GGGGGGGGGGCATTTCGGCATAACTGCTAAATTTAACACAAAACAACACATTCACATTCACAATGGCAACGTAACATGCAAAATGCAACCATAAATTATCAGATAATGCATTTTTACTATTCGTCTTTCAAACTTCCAATCAAATTCCGCAATGCATCAAGAAGAACAGCTTCATCTTTGGGCTCTCCATCGGGAAAGGAGCTCTTATCGGCATGTCCCAAGGCGCGTGCACGCGCACTTTTAAGTACCTCGCGAATATAATTCTTGTCGTCATAGTCTTCCGTTAGGACAGCCTCGAAATCGTCAATTGCCTTGTTTGCTCGTTCTAAGAAGGACATTGACGATTCGGGCTCTGCAGTTGGCGGGCATGACGGCGGTGGTGGCGGTTGGTGCTGCGGTTGTTGAGAATGTTGCTGATGTTGAGGTTGATATGCTTGTTGTTGAGGCACGGGATGCATTGTCTGTGAAGGTTGTTGAGGTGTAGAGGGTGGAAGTTGGCCGGATTGAGGATATTGTTGTATTTGATTATTGACTGGGGGTGAGTATGAAGCGAATGAAGGGGGAGGATGTTGCTGATGAGATTGATTTGGTTGCGTCTGTTGGTGCGGTTGCTGCTGTTGCGGTGGATGTGGTTGTGGTTGTGGTTGCAGCTGCGACTGGGGTGGTTGATGCTGCTGAGGTGGAGGAACAGCGTCTGGCTGCCTTTGATGCTCCATCGTTGGTTGTGGGGGAGGTGGCCGATTTGCCTGTTGGAGTTGGATAATCTCTGGAGGTAGGGCACAAGGATAAGGCGATACGTAGTTGGAGGGTCCTTGCTGGGTGAGTGCTGGAGGAAGGTTGGTATTTCTGAAAGGAGCTGGCAGGGATGACTGAATCGGGGGTGCAGGAGGTGCTGGAGGTGCTGGCGGACGTTGGTAAGGATTAGGCTGAGGTGGTCGAGGTGCGTTGAAAGGATCGGATGGATGTGCGGAAAATTGGAACTGCTGAGTTTGCAGACCTTGGTTGGAATATGAATGGCTCGGAGGAGGCATGTAGTGTTGATGAGGAGGCTGGTGAGGGATATGCGTTGATGGAGGCGGAGGTGACGGTCGCCTTTTCTTTTCCTTCTCCACCGATGCCCCAGCTCGGAGCTGCCATGACCAACCCTTGCCATCTCGTTCTGCATGCTCAAACAGCTGCCTATTGCCATTCAGATTGTGGCGGACACTAGATGTCCAACCTTCAGTTTCGCATTTGAATCTGAAGTACGGGTATTTCAATTTGAGCGCTCTGTAGATTTGCTTGAGCGTCATTGGCGTTTGTGATTCTGTCAAGGCGTCGAAGATGAGGACAGCGTAATTATAAGGAGGTTTTGCCAGTTGCTCTTGCGTATAAGACGATTCAGGAGGGTAGTCAGGGGACGGAGACCGAGACGGCTTGCGTTTCTTGGGAGGCGGTGGCTTCGGATATTCCACGACCTGCTCTGGTGGTAGCTGCTCACCACCTTCGATAGACTCAATTGGAACATCAATGATAGACCCATCCGGCTGCTTGCGCTTGACAAATTTCTTCTTTTCTACCGGCTTAGGAGTGGCAGGCTCTTCTACCGAATCCTCCTTGCGCGGTTTAGGAGGAGGCTTGATACGATTCGCCGGTGGAGGTGTTACGCCGCCATTCGCCTCACGTTTGGCTGCTAGTTTCTGTTCTCTAGCAATCTCAGCACGCTCCCGCTTCGACATGATTCCGTCCTTCGGCGGGCGTCCTGGTCCGCGTCGCTTTGGCTGTGGTGTTTCGGGATTGCCATCAATTGACACATCGGCATTCGCAGAATCGCTCGGCGCTTTCGTCTTAAGAATGAGCTTAGTCACTCTCTTGTCTGTGCCTTCTTGACTATCAATATCGGAGTCATCCGCTGCATCTACATCGCCAGTGATGTCTTCGGCAGCTTCTCCTGCCAAAGCCGTCCCATCTTCACCCATCAAAGTATCCTCTAGTCGATCGGCACCTGTTTCACCGATAGGCACATCAGGCAGGAGAAACCTGATCCGAACGCCTCCAATTTGAATGTAATCTCCGCTATGCAACGGCCTCAGTTGTCCCGGAGCAAGCCAATCAGCACCAATGAACGCGCCGTTTCGGCCCATAACCTCCATTTCAAAGAAACTTTTGTCGAAATTATAAGCGATCTTCACATGCTTTCGTGAGATGCCCTTGTGACCAGCGGAGCTGCCGTCTGCAGTCGCCGGTGGATGGATTGGAATGGTTGGACAAGCATCGGGTGAAGGTAACAAGGCTAGCATGTCAACCGGTTTGGCGTCGCCATTGCCATTGCCATTGCCGTCATATAAAGACTGCATAGCAAGAGCATTATAGTCTGTATGGTTTGTCTGAAGCTGGGCAGGGGTTGCATGAAGCACAGACTCCGGCTGAGATGAAACGGAGGACCGACGACTTAGCTGCGAGATGTGATGGGGTACATCCGGGTCAAATCCCATTATGCCACCTCGATCACTTACGACGCTTCCAACGTATGCACTGCCGTCGCGTTTGACTCGAATGGGAGTGTGAGAGGTATTACCACCGCTGGAGCTCTTGTTCTTATATTGCCTCCCCATGGCTTGTCGGACTTGCATTTCGCGTTGAAAGGCAGCGCGTGCCGCCCGGACATCTCGACCAAGGATGAATGAATATGTATTCACGTAGAAATGACCATCATCAAATTCGAGTTTCGCAAAAGCTTGGATGCGCGGCTCGGAGCCAGCTATCGAGGCAGCCATATCATTATAAGAAGCAGAGTAAGCCGAGATATCAGGAAGACCTGACATGTTGATTTCTTGTGACAAAAATGCATTTGCCAGCAGGTCATGCTGTTGGAGAGGATCTAGGCCGTTTTTGATCGCGGCGTCGGCATCAAAAGGCGCGAAGATGCCACCATTGGGGTCATGGCTTGTCTTGGAGAGCGGGTCTTCCATAACTCCAGTGATCATACCAGGGATTATTGCGGCATTCGCCGCGTCTTGGGCATCACCTATAGCTTTTTCTGTTTTTAACATGGGTTGATCTTGTATCTCCGTGGTGGTGGTGGTGGCAGGCATATTCTCCTCCTGATTTGAAAAAGCGGTAAATCCATTCTCCGTGTCCACCTGTGTCTGCTGAAGTTTCGCATCAGTGCGATCCGCGTGGAAATTTGTCAATGGCATTGAGGAGTCCTCGTAAGGCGCTGCGGGTGTCGAGGCATCTGTCAAGGGCTCTGCCAACGGTGTCCGGGGAAGATTTTCTGGCGTACCAGGTGCGGCGGATTGCGCTGTGACGTTTCCAAGTAACTGAGCGAGGAGAGACGTGGCTGCGAAATGTTTCTCTTGATCTTGTTGGCCCTTGTCGCCATTTTCTGGCGAATCCTTCTGCTCCTTGACTATGCTGTCCGACGACGCTGAGACTCCTTCCTTTTGCTCGCTGTTCTTTTCTCCGAATGCTTCTTGTTCACCGCACACCCTTTCATTTTGCATTTGTACTTGCTCGTCATTGACTTTTTCTCCAGATTTTTCTCCTCCGGGCACTACCGCATCCAAATTCCTTCCGGAGTCGTTTCCCAAGGTTTCTACCTTGACTTCGACAGGCGGTTCCTGCGGCAGACCAGACATAACCGGAGAGACAGCACGGTTCTGTCTTGAAGCAGCGATATCAGTACTTAGATCATGGTCCACTGGTTTTTCGCTGGTGGTGGCGCGGGGGACGTTGTCGTGGTTATGGTGGCTGTCCTTGTTATCAACAATCGCATGGCTACTAGCACTAGCAGCAGCAGCAGCGATGTCTATTCCAGGATCGGGAGGGCGATGGCCCACCGCTGCTGGCGCTGTCATGGTCTGCAAAGACGACATGACAGGCTGCTGCATTGCAGCTCTGGGTGAGCGGTTGCTGGTACTCGAGACTGGATTGCGCAGAGAGCAGAGCAGGGCGGTGAGATCGAGGCCATCGCAAGAAGTTCGCTCGACCTTTTCCGACAGTTCTTTGGACGGGGCCAGCCCAAAAAAAGCAAAGCAACTTCCCGGGCGGTGACCTGCGCGGCGTGGGTGCCAGAAAACTCAGGCATGCTGCATTTCCCCGGAAGGCAGCGACGACGCTGGTTCGCAGGGAAGGAAGGCGAAAAACGCCTGCGGGGCCCGCTTCTTTTTTTCTGCGCTGGTAATGACGGCCTGTGATTGGCCGTCATGCGGGTCTGCTCCGCTGAAGATTTGCCTAGTTTGGTTTGGCGCGGGCTCCGCCGGGCCCGTCCCTGCCAATAGAAAAATGCAACCTTGAGCACGCAGCGGGTACTCTGAATCAACGTCACCAGCCAATCACAAGCCATACAGCATCTGGTTCTACACTGTATGACCATAACTACATAGAATTATACCTATACTGCACTATTCAAACTGACCATCTGCTCAGTCTAAGATATCAGCTCTTCACAACTAAATCGCTCCTGATAACCCACTTCTCCCCACGCCGCACCTCCTTCCCCTCATGGAGAAGACAGTGCTCTCCATGGCGATGCAGAAGCGCCATTCCGACTTCTGGCGCAACCGATATGGGTGCACTGCCCTCTTCTTCCGGATAAAAGACTGTTTCCCCGCCTTCAGTCATGGTCAGGTAGATGAGTAGAGTCCATGTTGTGCGTGCAGTTAGCGTTTTGGACGAGGATAGAGGAGTTTCAGGGAATTGGATGGTGTTGGATTCGTCGTCTGTTTTGTAAGCCTTTTCCCCTCTCGTTGAATGTCAAATGAAACAAAAAGTCAAAAAAGAAAAAAAAAAAAAAAAAAAAAAAAAAAAAAAAAAAAAAAAGAGGAAATAATAAAAACATACAGTGTTGCGCAAAAAACTGCCCGGGCGTATATCGATATATCCTAATATTCGGATTCAATCCTAACGGCGTGCCGCCCCAAATGCGAGCATTTTCTTCTCTGTCATCTTTCTCTTGATCATCATAATCACCGTCTACACCCCTCCGCTCACAAACAATTTCCTTCAACGAAGTCGAACTCCAAAGCATCTCCGCAAATGCCGCATCCTGGACCTGGAACCGGTCGTTGACGCGGACCGCATCATCTCTGCTTTTGGGTTTGAGTGGCGTAGTTGTTAGATTTATTCCTGTAGTTGTAGATGGAGAAGACAAGAAGGAGATGTATGATTTGCACAAGTTGGCCGTGAAGAAGTTCCGGATCAGGTAGACTTGGTCTTTGAGGAGTGGTTCGATGTATAGATCTGAGGCGGGCACTAATGGGCGGAGAGGGGGCCAGTTTGGTGGTGGAGGACTGGACTTGATTTTGCTGGGGACAGTATTGTTCTTGCTGGATGCTTTTTGAGATGGCATTGTTTTGATGTGGCTGTGCAGTAGAAATTAATCTTTATGGTTGGTTGTAGGATGTTTTGAGTGGCCGATAGTTGAATAACGTATTTCCCGGGTAAACCGAACACCCGAGTAAACTGAACACCTGGGACCCACCTAATTTTTTAAGGTCATATATGTGACGACCGCGTAGGAATCCTGCCGGAGCTTACTAGGTAGGTAAGCATCTTCGTTAAAAAGCCCTAGAAGCCCTCCCCTTCGCTCGATCACGTTGATCATTCACGGGGTGTAATTTACAAAATGACAATCAACCATATCTTTGTCTGGGCCACGGCAGCCAAATTTCAATCCTTGCGGTCATTCTATCGTGCCATACTACAGCCAGTCGGCTATACTGAGATGATCTGCGCCAATAGCAACACTCTCATCAGATACGGCAGTGACTATCCTTATTTTTGGCTAAAGCAATTGCCAGAGGACAAGAAGCCGCTCCCAGCCCATATTGTGTTTGATGCTCCAAGTGAGATTGCCCAATATGGAGATCAAGCCAGCTAGCTGACAGAGATGGATAGGTCGAGAAGCAGTAGAACAGTTCTACCAAGTCGCACTGTAAGTCGCGTGAAGCCCTCTCGAAATACCCCCCTTTTTTATACCTAGTTATCACGGATGGCTGACAAAGTTCTAGACAGCACGGTGGGCGTGACAATGGACGACCAGGAATACGAAAAGAGATGAGCCGCTAGCCGTACTATGCGGCTTTCATCTCTGATTTGGATGGAAACAATGTGGAAGCTGTCTTTGTGCCAAAGTAGTTATAGTCGTACTGGAAGGACATCTACGAATTTACGTTCCTTGCACTATATTTAGCAGGTTATTCTATTGTTGTACTACCTCGAGGAATTGTCTAAGCACTCTCAAACTATTCTAACCATCTATCCCAGACACCTCCATCTGCAAGTCGTCTTGTCTCTCTTTTCTCTGTTATCATTCTTTATTTTTCATCTTCATTCTCGTCTTCCTCTTCATACTCCTCATCTTCATCCTCGCCTTCCCTTTCCTTTTCCTTCATCCTTGCTTCCTCGTCTTGCATTTCCCATATTCTTGTTGCCATTTCTTTCAAATCATCTGTATTGAAGCTGATGTCTCCTTCTTGCTCTCCTTGTGCAGGGCGGAGGAGGAGATCTTCGAACGTAATCGTAAGGGGGCTCTGGTTGGTGGCACAAATTCCGTTCTTGCCTTCAGACAGCATTGTTTGGAACTGCTTAGTCGGCCCTTGGTCGTACCCCCATTTCTCGAATGTTATCTCCTTCTTGTCCTGCTCCACAGAAATTACGATGACCGTTCTCACGTCTCCCCCTGAATTCTCTATCCACCATCGAGCGTCCAACCGCAGTTTTCTCAAATCCTCCGAGTATCCGACCTCGACCGCTAGGGTGGGCCACTTTGTGCTGCGGCCCCTTGGCAGGCGCCGTGGCTGATACGATTTGTCGGGTTGCTTCTCTCGGTCTTTCCCCCGTCGACCGGCGTTCTCCAAAAACCGAAGGCTTTTGTCTAGGCGACCCATACTCTGCAGCTTATAAAGCAGCTCTGCGGAGAAAACTCCCTGGGTTACCCCGTGAGTGTACGACGGCATTAGAATTAGAAGAACTCCGAGACGTGGTAAGAAGGTATCTGTGAGACGGGAATCGGGGAAGTCTCTGTGGTAGATGTCCTCGGTTATGCCGTGAAACACAATGAATTCACTTCTATTCAGAAGCCAAAGGCGATAACACTCTCGCCGTTTGATGGCGAGGAAGTCGCGTTTGTTTGTGTACGCATATTGGCGGGTGTCGGCGCTTAGACCAAATAGGAAGTCGACGTCGACTGCCTCGAAAGGCGCAATGGCGGCCATAATCCGGCAGTCTTTCTAGGGCTATCTCGAAAATTTGGTGTAAAGCAGATGAAAAGGCCAGACGAAAGACGGTCACGGTCAATGCACAATCTCAGGTCCCACGGATGATGACGTATCAAACTTAATACCATGGTCACTCAATTTTTTGCCGCCGTAGAACAAAGTCGGAATAGTTTTACACATAGGAGGATACAGACTCACAAGATGTCGACCTGGAAGGAGAAAGTTCCGAGGACTCTACGAGAGACGCTGGAGAATGTGATAGTGACAGCGGATTATGACCGCTATTCCGAATACAGCATGTAACCCACCATGTTACGAAACCAACTTGCATGACACTAGCCCAGACTAGTACTATACAGGCAAGGCACCATATTAAAGCAGCTAAAACTATAACCAGTTATTATCACGCACCCGGATGACTAGGCAGTAGGGGCCGGTTAGATGTTTTTCAGTTACCTATTGCACCGAGTACGACAGACTCTAACGCGACCAACGGCAGGCCTCTACCACTGAAATAGATATAAAAAATAATACCATTGTATGATATTATCTCGCAGGTGACTACTGACTTACGTCTTGCTGCGTACAGGCATGGCTAAGTATAGATAACTTTGGAACAAATTCGACATATAGGGATAACCCGCCGACATTTTGAAGAGTCCCCGACACAGGTAGTGTCACTTAATATTGCCAAAATATTGGGTGCCATCTCGCTAGTAGAAAATGTCAATGCCCCTTCTTTCTCTATTGTCGAGGCTACAAGCTTGTTGCTGTCTGTTAGCCCCGTCCCCCGTGTCCATCGAATGATAGCACCGCAGAGGGAGAGATAATCAGACCAGCTCTCGCATTCGCATCGACGAAGAAGTGTTTCCAAGGTAAGCTTTGGCTCGGCATACAAACTATCACCACCGAATATGCCATGATTGAAACATAATAGCAACACTGCGACTGTAGGTCTTGTAATGAACCCATTACTTCTGTTCTGCCGTACGATAGCGCCCAGGAATCGGATAACATTGACAAGCATCTATACGATCAATCTCCTTTCCATAGTCTGAGATAGCTGCGAAAAAGGTGACCTCCCTAGGCCTTCCTTGGAGTAAACATAATCGACCAGCGCGTTGAAGTCTTGTGCTGAACCCTGGTTGAATGGGACCAGTCAAAGTTACCGCACCGTCAGAACCGTATCTCTCATAGATCTGCTGACAAGATCGAGCTGCATTGCAAACAGGTCTGCTTGTAGTCATTATCACCCGAGCTCCACCGATTAACAGACCCTTGACAGCTTCAATTGCGATTGAACCGGGTCCGGACCTTGGTTGCTGCATTGCCACTCTGAGATCCATTTGGTTGGTGGAATGGGAGGTGTCATTATGGATGTCTCTGTAAGGGTAAATGATAGTAAAACTGTTGGGCCCTCTTGATCATGTTAAGCGCAGGCCATGTAATCTAGCCCGCTACACTACGGCTTTAGTCAAGCAATAAGAAGCAATAGGAACGCCAGGTTGAGCTTCCTGGTACGCCTAGTCTATAATATTCTCGCTTCAAGTTAGGGCTTCGTCTCGGGCGCGGGAATCGGAATCGGAAAATTCCCCGATTTGGAATAACCCCGAAACGGGTTTCGCAGTCCACCTTTCACGGCCTCGCCAACTTACAAGAAGAAGAACCCCGGATTTACCTCCTCTCGGCAGATGGCAGCTTTGAACCAAGCTCCGGCCAGAAAGAGCAATGATTTAGTTTGCCCAGGCTAGCTATACATGCTAGTTTCGAATAAAGCCATGTCCATCATCACCAGAGAAGAGAGTGTCTCAATATCTTTGGATCCCCAGACTCATCCGGTTTAGAAGGACTCGTTAAATTCAATTATGGCGTCAAAACTTCATGTCTACCTCTTCGGAGACCAAACTAGCGACGTGTCGAGCAAGCTAGATCAACTACTTCATATTACCTACAATCCGATCCTGAGAACGTTTTTTGAACGTGTGCATTCGAGGCACAAAGCACTGTTAGCCTTAGCAATGTCAAGAGAGACGGGAATATTATTTGTCATCCTGCTATAATTGATGGATTCACTCAAATCGCTGGGTTCACCATGAACGCTAAAGGCACCACTGATTTAGATCGACAGGTATACGTCAACCGAGGATGCGATCCCTTGCAGATTTTCAAGGGCGTCAGCTATACAGTCACATACCAACTGTATGTTAAGATGATCCGTTCAGAAGGAACAATATATAAGGGCGACGTGATTGTCCTTGATGATGAGGGGGTTACAGCTTCTTTCAAGGGTGTAGCGGTAAGTTTCCCTTGTTCTTTCCAAGACTTCTGTATTTTCTCAGTGCTGAAACTGAGTGGCAGCCGAGGGGTATTCCATGTAAAGCTTTCAATATGGTGTTACAAGCAGCTGTAGAGGGCAGAGAGCTTAACGGCCCAAAAGCGCCTGCAAGTAACCTGACTGCTTCCGCTGTCACTGCTGCTGCTGCTCTTCCTGTGGCACCAAGACCACCAGTAGTGCCTACAATTTCTTCAACAGCACCGGTTGACGCCCACGGTATTGAAAAACTTCCGGTTCAAAAGAGCCCTGTAAAGATGGAAATCAAGCAAACACCTCCAACAGCAAATGTTCAACCTTCCGTCTCACATCGGCCTCCCCCTCAACCTAAATCTGACCACAAGTGGAAAGCGGCTCTGACAATAATCCTAGAGGAAACTGGGCTTTCGGCAGATTAACTCACCGATCAGTGTACATTTGCTGATCTAGGTGTGGACTCACTACTGTCCATGGTAATTAACAGCCGATTTAGGGAGGAACTCGAGCATGACATTGAAGACGAAAGCAATTCAATATTCATCACTTATCCTACAATCTCATTTTTCTGGGCTAATGACGTCTCTTAAAACACTTCAAGTTGAACTTGCTGTAAGTCTCCACTCAATGAAGGTTACCTAGGTAGTATGAGTCCGGTCACAGGAAGAAACATGACTTCCGGCGGCATTTTTGGGGCAGCATCAGCTGCGAATCATCCCCGCCTTTACCTAGCTAGGTACCTACTTCAAGGTATGGGGGTTCAACTTTCATCTGCCCTCCTCCTTTTGCAGCTGTTAGTGGGTTGAAGCATTTTTTTCCCCCTATGCTGCAAACTGCAAATAATAACCAGGAACTTTCCCTCGATGACGAACGCGGACTAGTTGAGTTAACCACACGATTCGCCGGCTGTTGCTTCGTTCAGGCTCTTGCAGATGAAGTTAAATCTGAAAATTCATAGCATCAGTCATTGACAATGAATGGTCGATCTCCCTTCGTAGTTAGCCGTGTGCCGTTTCCACTGACCAGCGAGCAATGTGTGATTAGTATCATACACAGCTAGTAAATAATCTAGCTAACAGGTAGTAGTAGGGTAGGCAAGTAATCGGCGTCTTTCTATTAGCAAGATTAAATATTAATGTTTATTCCCAGATTTGATATTCTGACATTTCTTCCACCTTAGAAAAGGCAAATAAAATCCCATAACTGACGGGTACAGTATGAAAGAAAGAAAAGTAATACAGTCAAGTATCATTAACCGCCTTGTTAAAGCTTATATCAGACATGTAAAGGCAAGACAGAAACTACGAACAATGTTTGTAGCCATCAACGCTGGTCATTGGGTCTGACAGCGCGAAAACAAGGCGGATAGTATCAGATCAATAAGCCGAGCAAGGCAATAGCGATGGGTTGGACAAGGTGCACCTACAAAAAGAAGCTTATGCATTAGCTTGACGACTGAGTAGCTACGTAAGAAATAGCAAGAGCTCCAAGCACATACCGCTGCATGTTGATTGGCATTGGATGCCGACGTGGTGGTTATAGCTGACGATGTAGCTGCAGCTGCGGTCCTGGTAGCAGTTGCCGACGTCGTAGTTGAAGAAGCACTATCTGCAACAGACGTTGGAAAAGAGATTATCGTCGAGCCGCCAGCTGATGTTGATGCTGTTGTCGATGCCGATGCCGTGGCCGGCACTGCGTCGCCACCAAAGCCAGCAAAACAAGCACTTGAACTCGCCTGGCCGCAGCAAGAATCAATTCTAGTCTGTGCAAGGCTAGAGCAAAATTTGCACACGCCGTCGACATCTTCTTGGAAAATCTGGCTGAATGCGGTGGCGGGGAGACCAGATGGATTGGGTATTTGATGGATGTAGTTGGTGCATATACTCATAGCCTCTGACAGGGTCCCGACATAGGTCGCAGGGATGGCCGTGGCGCCAACAAATTGAGAGAAGAGTACTGAGTCTGCGTGAGAAAGGGAGAGGAGGGAGAAGAGGGAGAGTAGATGGATGAAGTGAGCTGATGGGCGCATGTTGGCTGTTCACTAGACGTTATAGCAATGAGTCCCGGCATTCAGGTCTTGTCAGATATCTCGGTATGGTGTGTAGGAGGTAAAAATCTACTAGGTATATTTTACTTTGTACTTGGCGTACCTAGGTAGGAAAACACCAATCTTTATAACTGCTGATCTCAATGACGACCTCGGCAGGAGGAATACACCGTGGCTATAACCCCTTTAGAATGTCCGTACTATGAAAAGCTCCATAACCCGGGCAATTTGAGGCGAGCGCTCAACCTGTCAGCTGGAGATTACTTTATCAGTCATTCTAATTATACCAGCCATCCATTGGCAGTCCATTTATTATCAGAGCATACATGCACGGAAATTATCCCCTGTAAAAAGCTTACAACAAGCTTATCATCGCATCCCTGCCGGGGGTCATGCATATTTTGAAGATGACTCGGATCCTCGAGGACGAATGACAGAGCATCTCGCTTCAAAGTTCTGGAGTAAGCGACCATGCCTTGAGGCTGAGCTCGCTTTTGCATTGATACATAGCAATCTCGGTATAATAATAACTCCTGGGGTCCAATGGTGTCTAGACCTTCGGTCAAGCTCAAACATGATGAGCACCGGGAAGAACTGTGTTTATTATTGCCTGAACTAGTTGTTTTTATTGCTAGCACCAGTCACTACTGCAGGTATGAGACGGTTAAGGACCCTTGTCTAGATTCAAACCCAATCCCGCATATGAATCGACGAGGTTAATACTCAGGCCGCTTGCTGATGCAGACCCCAGCCCGTCTCTACTCAAAACCACTCCCTAGGCCAAGTACGCAATAAATAGAAATATCCTTACGGTATATCCAGGTACGTATTGATATGTCAACAAATGGAATTAAACTTAACTTGCTGCGTGTTCCAGACTGGGTGTCACTTCAAAGTTCAAACCAAGTGCAAACGAGTGTATAAGAGAACACAAGACAAACGAAACCTGACAAACAAGAAGAAAACGATATAAGAATGGAAAGAACAAGAAGAAGAAAACAAAGTTATGGAGATGTCTTTGAAGGGTCGACATCGTATTCTGTCCTCCTCATAATCTGCTCCACAGGTCCTAGCAACCTCTTAAATCCGTCACGGCCAAGTCGCGCCACTTTAACGTCTGTTTTGGCTATGACACTGGCTGCTCGAGGTTTATCGTCTAGTAAAGCCAATTCGCCAAAGTAGTCGCCTCGCGAGTACGACTTCACAGACATCCCTGCCTTGGTGGCCTCGGCTTCGCCAGATTCTAGTAAATAAAAGGCGTCTCCAGGATCGCCTTCGTTGATGATTATCGACCCCGCTGCGTATTTGATGGTGTCCAATGCATCTGCGATCTTGGACCGTTCATACGGTTTCAGAGACGCGAGGAGTGGCACTTCTTCAAGGAACGCTTCATACATGCGTCGGCGTTGGAAGGCCGAGTCCATGAGAATCCGCCGAAATGTGATGCGATCCAGAGCCCATAAAGTGGATTTTGCATCTAGCGAGAGGATGGTTGCGGCTCGTGGTGCATTGTACATCAATGCCAGCTCTCCAAATGATCCCCCGGGGCCTATACTCCCAACTTGATTTCCGAGTCCATCCAGCCCGGATTGTGCCGCCCCCGATGGATGAATAAAGACGCCAAAGGCGCCTTCTTCGACAATGTAAAAGTAATCACCAGCATCGCCTTGGGTGATGACTTTGATATCCTTGGCGGGGATGGGTTTCTCGACCAAAGCGTCCAACACCGTCTTGAGATGTTCGTCGTCCAGGTGAGAAAAGAGAAAATTCCCGCTGACGGCTTTCTTCAATCGCGATACCTGATCGTCTGATTTCGGATGGAATGGCGGGCTCCAGCTGTCAGACCCGGAAGATGTGGGATTCAAAGATTCGGCAGACACGGATGTGCGTCGACCCATTGCATAATTATTCGGCAAGCCTTGGGCGGATGAGGTGGATGTGATATCGGCGGTGAAACCCACGCCTTCTCTGTCTTGGAAGGAGCTTCCGAAGAGGCTGCCAGTACTGCCTTTGCTATTATTATTATCACTGCCGTCCTCATTATCGTCATTGCCAGCCCCACCAGAAAACGGGCTCCGTGACGCCGTCCCGCCAGAAGTGGTATGCGAATGCCGGAAACGGGGATCGGTTGGCGAAGCCACTTCATATTCTTCCTCTTCGGATATCTTTGCAAAGGGCGACGCAGCTCCGGCAGCAAAGGGATTCGTCCCCGGAAAGCTGGAGTTGGAGGCCATCTTTCCGGACGGGAGGGGGAGAGGGAAGTCCGGCAGCTGGTTCAACGGGGCGTAGTCGACTCGAATCGACGGCTGAAATAAAATCGGCGCGGAATTGGAGAATCTCGGCGGGCTGGTGTTGGATGGGCCGGGCTGGGCCTCTTCTTCGTGATCGAGGGGAAGACCATGCACGCACTGGATGGCTGGTGAGAGTGGGATGGGAGAAGAGAGAATATTGGGCGGGGTCAAGAGCGAATGCCAATGGACGAGAAAAGAAAAAGCCTGGGATGAAAATCGGCGAGAGGCAATTTGTTGTCTCTATTTTTGATTTTTTTTTTCTTCGGTGGAAAAAAGAAAAGAGAGGAGGAGAAGAGGCGGCGTCTGGGGTAGAACTGAAGAAGAAAAAAGGTCACAGACGCGTGATCTGCGCGGGAAGGTGGGGGGAGGAGGAGGAGGAGGAGCGAACGGCAGGAGGGGAGGGGGCGCTTTCGAAGACTCGGCAGGCAGAGCGAGGCAAATACTGTAGCAAGCCAGCAAGCAAGGTGGGAGCAAGAGTATTTTCTGCAGATGCAGACACTGGTGTTCACTGGAGGTTGGAGAGCGGGGCATCTGTCACTTCATATCGGCGTCACTCAACCAGCCTCTACGATAGTCCTACCATTAATCGACTTGCGAATGCGGTGTGCTTTGACTACGTACACGAATAAAGAAAGGGCCTGCAGCACATAGCGCGGACATTATAGCTCTCGCTGCCTAGGTACATACTGTTTCTGAGTTCGGTCTGCATCGTCGAGGGGGGGGGCGCGCCTACCATCGATGCATGGAAGCCTCTTCCAGAGCACTTCTAGAAACAACCCCGCCTCGTGATTGGCTGCTCCGTTTGCGGCCGAGACACTTTTAATTTTGGCTCATTATGAAATGTGCTGAAGTCATCGAGTGAGCACAGCTGCTGCCTCAGGCATGCTTACGTCAGAGCGGCCCAAGCTCCCTTTTGGCGCCTGCCTGAGGCACCAAGCACAGCGTCGTCGGATTGGTCCACGTACTGCACTGTCGGCCTGATCGTAACCTTGTGCCTTAGGACGGCCTCTATTATATAGTGCGTATAGTATCGCATTCAGTTGATTCCTGGCGGTCGGTCTCATACAAAACCCATTTCTCCTAGTCCAGCGACATAGAGCGGTGTGGTCGTGACTGTCTAGTATGCCGGGCTGTGATTGGCTCAGCCGAGGATCGTGACCCAAACCACCTTCGCCGACGGATCTCCCCGCGCTCTTCCTCACCCACCACTTTCGCTGTACGAGTGGGATACTCTCTCTATATTGTGCCTATCGGCCGTCGACGTTTCCTTTTCATCGACACGCGCCCCGGCCTAGTTACAATTCTTTGCCCGGACTTGACTTGCCGGTACGATGCGCAGTTTCACATTTCGATGGTACGGCTTTCCTCTTCCGCCGAGCACATTGGCGATCTCTACTAATGGACACACGTCTTCTTGCAGGCCGGGCGAGGCGAACGAGGTGTTTGTCAGCGGCACCTTCGACGACTGGGGCAAGACGATTCAATTGGAAAAAAGAGGCGATGTCTTTGAAAAGGAGGTCCAGCTTCCGAGCACAAATGAAAAGATACAATACAAGGTGCGTTGGACGGGTTCTCTTCTACTCTGTTCTGGTCTGTTCTTTCCCGCGACGCCCATCTTAGGCTTTAAAGGGCTGGGCGAATCACAATGCACGCATAGGCACCGAGTTTGCAGTTGCAGATCAATAAACAATATAAAACATTCTGCCTGGCGAGAATCATATTAAATCCAAAAGGCAGAAAAAAAAGGGTGCACAGCCTGAGCGTTGCGGCGCGTCATTCAGTGACGTCATACTCACCGCCTTGGTTGCCTTTCAGTCAACCACATTTTAAGTTCTTATTTCTGCCCCGCCATCGCCGTCGCCCCCTTATCATACTCGCAACCAGACATTGACCCTTCCGTTTCCCTCGCTGACTTATTCAGTTTGTTGTCGACGGAATCTGGCTCACCGACAGCGACGCTCGTCAAGAGAACGACGGAAATAACAACATAAACAACGTCCTCTTGCCTGAGGACTTGACCGCCGCCCCCAACACCGATAAACCCGAGTTCCTTTCGCTGGCAGGAGGAAACACTGCTGCTGCTGTTATGGCTGGCGTCACCCCCGAATCCACCACCGCCCAGCTGGCGGGCGGTGTTGCAAAGGAGACCAAAGATTCAGTCCCTGGTGGATTCCCAGAGACGCCCAACGAATTATCCGTAAATCCTATTCCCGCAACCAATGGCATCGGAAATCCGGTGAAGCTGAATCCCGGAGACCCCCTTCCGGACCCCAGTACTCTTCACAGCAACACCGTGGAATCGACCGTCAGGACAGATAAGGAGGCCTATGAAGCAGACGCAAGCAACCCTGTCATTCCAAATAAGGAAGACTTTAAGACGGCCGATGCTCTCGAAGTGCCACCGCAGGGTGCTGGCCTCGTTCCTGAGTCCAGTCTGCCCCAGAACCCTCCTCAAACAACTGAGCCCGGCTTCACCATCCAATCCGCGCATCCAACTTCAACCACGGCTGCGCTTGCGGCGCAAGTGCCTCTTGAATCTCAGAAGGGCGCTGGCGCAGCCAATGATGTCCCGGAAGTTGTCCAACAGTCTCTTTCAAAGGCCCACGAAACCCCAGAAGCAGCCGCAAACGCAGAAGCTGTTGAGGAAAAGGTAAATGTAGAGAAGGAACTCCAAGATAAAGTCGCAGTTACAGATGGCCCTGCCGCGGTGCCAGCTCCCGAGGTTCCCGGGGTCGTGAAGGACTCCCTAGAACAGGCGCATCAAGACCCCGAGGCAGCAGCTAGCAAAGCTGTTGTTGGCGAAAAGAAAGAAGTTGAGCAAGAATTGCAACAGAAAGTTCCTACAACCGACAAAGCAGGTGAGCCAGCACCCACGACCACCGCTGCCACCACATCCACTGCTCCTGTTGCTGCTACTACCGACAACAAACCCATCGAATCGGCCGCTGTCTCGCCACAAAGCAAGCCTCCGCCGACCACTGCTGCGCAAGAACCCGCGACGACGACCCAGACTCAGCCCACAGTGACCACGGGTGTTGCTGCTGGGCAATCAACCGCAGAATCTAAACCGGTTGGTGGTGCTACTCAGGACATCGCGAAGGAGAAGGAGAAAAAGAAGAAGAACCGCGCTAGTGGGTTTTTCCAAAAGTTGAAAGAGAAGCTCAAATAGATTTTTCTTTTGCGCTTATGATAACGGACAAGCCTTATTGTCATATATAATTTGGACGACGCCAACAATGCCATGCGATGCGATGATTAGTTGGGGTGGAACTTTTCTTTATGTTGTTATGTTATGTTTTGCTTGCTGTTACGGTTTTGTTTTTGTCTTTTGGAACAAGATACCTTGTATTGCCGCGTATGATGTCTTTTGTCTTGTCTAGTTTGTGCTTCGTTTTGTATTGAATTTGATCTCAGTAGGTAGCTTGGTAATAAATGTATAGGCAGGAGTAGCTTTATATTAAGATTTGGCTTGATCAATTAAATGGGTAGCAAGTAGACATGAATATATCACATAGTCTTATAACTATTACAATCGCACCTCAAACCCAACCATATAGGATGTATACATCAAATCGGTATAAAATTACTAATTTCCCCATTCAACTTAACCGGAAACCCGAGCATACTAAACACACAGTCAACCAATCTGGCTTCCAATAGAATGAGGAAACATAAGAGGCAGACTAACCATTTCCCCGTCTTCGTCGCATTACATCCACAGAATATCGATGCCGGCCAGCAGATTACCTACAATATCATGAGTCTTAGTATACACACATTATGTAAAAGCGTGGTAGGACATCGACTAACCCCTGCAACGACACAGGACACAAAGCCTAATCTCGTCAGTATACCGTCTATAGCCCAAGCTAAACGAGAGACAGAGAGAGAGAGAGAGAGAGAGATACCCAACGTCGGCCCGACGACTTTGCAATGACACGGATTCTGGTCGGTGCCGCATTGGAAGCAGATGGGGAAGATGGGGAGATAGACCATTTTTTATGTCAATTTCAGTGAAAAAGGAGGAGGATTTCAGGTCTTTAAGCTATCAATTGGAATAGGTATAGTAGAATATTGGTTAGATATTGGAGACAAGAGTATGCGATGTCATGTTGTATGGGAATGGATGCAGATCGACTCCTTAGTCATCATGACGCTATCGATGATAACCAGATCACTTGATCTTGGCAGACCTGGAATGGTATTTTGTTTACTCCAATCTCAATCATTTATTTCGTGATATATTTGATGATATCTACGCTTATATATGTACATTCAAAATAGTACATATGCCATTGCCACATCTAGATATGTATACAGTAGCTAGCTATGCTGTATTAGGCTAAACACGGGGTAATTACGTAGTATGGGGTAGCCAGCATCCTAAATATAGATGCACACGCAGGCATGTGATTAATTGGCCAGCTTGGCGCTTGCTTCTGCATGATGATTCGCTGTGTGAACCGCACTGCGGCTTGCCCCGTAGGGCTCGGCATATTTTCTTCAGGGCGGATTATCATTCCACCCTCGCGTCCCCTCTTTTTTTCTTCTTTCTTCTTGCATTCTGTATCATTTCTTCTCTCTTCCCCCTCACATTCCTACCACGTATTCTCCATTTTCTCACCTTTGCCGTGCCCACTGTCCTTTCTGAAGTTTGAGCGAAGAAATCGAGTCTAAGCGCCAAGGTCTTGGTCCAGGCAACCGAATTACTCAGTCGAAAAAGTTGACACGGAAAAAATTGAATCGAAAAGAAAAAGAGACAAACATCATGGCACGAACAAACAGCATCGTTCCCTTAATCATCCTCTTCCTCGTCATCGGCGTCCTGGCCGCAGTCGGATTTGTCGTCTACACTATCGTTCAAGACATTAGCAAAAAGACCAGGGCTAAAATGGAGAAGCGGCACATCCAGTTTTCCAAGGATGGCGTGAAGGTTTCCATGAAGGAGGTTAATGATGAGGATTATAAGGATCAGACACAGAGGTTTGTTTTCTCGTTCTTCTTCGTCTGTCTGAAGTACTTGTGAATTAATAGATCATTGACGGCGTTTATTTTGATAGCGTCCTAGTCAATATGTGGAATCATGCCTCCTTCCCGGCGTACAAGAGTCGATTCTGGAGTAATGGAGTCACTGCGGTTCAGGATAAGGATTCTACGAAACTGTATGGCTCTTTCTGTTAATCTCTCGGTGATAAAGTACTAATACACCTGGGAGCAGGCATTAAAATTACGCTCCTACCCCCGTCTTCTTGATCTCCTCCGGACACGATCATTGACACGATCATCCACATTCACGAATTGGCATGCACACCAAGGAATTTATCTATGCATTGGAGCAGGTTTTTTTTATCTTCCCTATTTTTATTCATAGCGAGCGATCAGGTAGATGGTTTTGTCTCCCGATATATGTTGTTTGGATCAAGTTCTATATCTTTCACGACTTTGAACCGAGCACATTGGCATAACTATTATGTTTCAAATCAATTTGAGCGTCACTTATAACTAATGATCTTAATCTAGTTGATATGGCCTATTAATTATATCAGACTCGCATAATAAAGATAGATTATCGACTATTCTCAGTGTTGTGAATAGTGCTAGAGGGCTGCCTAAAACCCACTCCTACTGATAGCTTCAACAACAGCTCCCCCCCCCCTTGGTCTTTTTTACTTATGGATAAGGTTTATCGACAAGTCGACGTCGGTTTCTTATCAGCTGCACGCTGGAATTTGGGGAGGGTGAAATGGGAGAGGACTATGATAAAAGCAGACAATTGCCTAACCGCGGGCTGATAGTAGGTAGAAACATGAGCACTGCATCGCAAACACGACGAAGGTGCAGCTTACCAGCCAATGAGATACTAGCCGCAATAAGTAGCAGCGCACGCTATCTACCTGGGCGTTCTCGGAGTCGGGAATTATCCATCGAGTGAGAAGTTGTAAAGATTAAAAAGGTGAACAGATACCCATCTGGTAGATTCCTGGTCCATTTGGTTCTCTACTCCACAGAGCACCTGTCAAGCGCCGTTTTTTCCCCATATCTTACACCCACCAATTTTTATTCACTTAGAATATTGCCAATGTCTAGCAATAATAACAACGCCAACAATGGTGGAACTAGCAACAGCACCACCGGAAACACTTCCGGTACCACAGCGCCAAGTTTGAACGATCCAAAATATACAGAGCAACAGAAAGCCGACAGAGCAGCTGTCACCAAAGCGCAGATCAGAAAAACATGGAAGCCATAGTATCCTGGGGCCAATCTTCTCAAGAGCGGAGGAGAAAAGAAATGTTGGGATAGCCGGCTAATGGTTTATCATATACTAACTTTCTTACTCCATAGAAGATACAAGTTCAAGAGCATAACAATATGTTAGAAGACCCATTCTTCGACTTGTTTAGTGTACATCAAGGGATAATACAAAAGGCGACCATTCCTCCGTTCCGCTTAGTCCAAAATTCTATACCAACCCTCGATTATCGTTTGCCCCAGCAATTTCTTCTTGCCAACGTTTAATGTTTGTTGATATGGACTGGGACGAGCGCGCTCAAAGAGCTCATGATGAAGAATCTCTTGCGTGGTCCGGTAGATTCAACGACGCCAAGCAGACGAAGATAGCAAAATGGGTCTCCGGCTTTCGCAATAATCTCCCTTCTGAACTTGTCGAGAATAAATGCGGCTCATTCAATTGGAGTTGCCGAATCTGATTCAACGACGGTGTGCAATGGATGGTACGCTTTGCCGTGCCTGGCAAGATCATGGATGGCGATGAAAAAGTTCACCGGGAGGTTATTACAATGCAATTCATTAAAATAAAGACAAAAATCCCTGTCCCATCGATTATAACTTGGGGACGCGCAGCTGACAACCCCTTGGGTCTGGGGCCGTATATTATCATGGAATTTATTGACGGCCTGCCTCTGGATGAGATTGTGCGTCAGCGGACGGAGGATTATGGCTATACTCTGAGATCCGACATGGAGGATAGGGAACTGGAGACTATATTCCGGCAGGTTGCGAACATTTACCTTGAACTTTCATCGCATAATTTCCCGCACATTGGCGCCTTATCAAACCCCTCAGGTACTGAAGTTCAGCCAGGACCCCTGTCGCTGGAAATAAATGAAATCGAAAGCCACGGGGGTATCAGGGTGGGACGTGAGTTTGCAGAGCTCTTCATGGCCAGAAACTTTTAACTATAATAAGCTAAAATACTAAAGTCTATAGATCTAAGTGTTGCTCTTCGGTTAGAGAGTACTTTCAGGTTGTTGAACAAGATCTACAACACTTGGTCGCGCAGCCAAATTCTGTCGACAATCCGGAGGACGCTCGCAACAAGTACCTTTATAATAATATATTCAGAGTGATCATACCGATATTTGTTGCCAAAGAGTATAATTATGGTCCATTCAAACTTATTTGCGACGATCTGCGATATGGAAACATCCTTGTCAACAATAAGGAGGAGTTACGGATTGTTGCCGTTCTTGACTGGGAATGGGCATATGCTGCACCATATCAATGCTATTTTCGCCTCCATGTTGGGTACTGCTCAAAAGACCATCAAATTAGGACAGTGCAGATTTTTTCCGGTATGAAAGGCTATTAAAGGTTCACTGAAATCTTAACAGAGGAAGATGACAAAAGAGGAGTGAAAACATCTATGGGTGTACTAATGCAACAGTCTTTGTATGATGGGAAGTTCTGGTTCCATGAGCTAGTCTATTCCTGCTTTGGCTTCCACGAAGATGTAGCCTGGTCTTCTCTGAGGGAGACTCTGCCAGATCTTGATAAGGTTGCATCGGTCGAAGACACCAAAATCCAGTTATTTGTAGAAGCTAAGATCAAAGAGCTGCAACAATGTGATCTAGAGTGGGCAGCTATGAAAGAAAGAATTGACAAAGAGAATGCTGAGTTTAAGGCCAAGTTACAGAGAATTAGAGAGGAGACGGGCGATCTGGAAATTTCTGAAGTTGTTTGAGAATCTCAATATTGTCTATTCAATATCACTACCTTGGGAGTATTTGACATATCTTGAGGCATAGAATCAATCCTATGACTTATGAGTCTATTTAATAGTTAGAGTCTGAATCTAGCAAGCATGTAGAACAAAGCGCGAATGTTCCATAAGACTATACCTGGAACCGGAAACTGAATTATCATTACTTGCAAGATTTGATCTAATAGGACGATGACATAATACGAGTCCAGCCTCGAACTCTTCCTTGGGATGCAACGAAATTAGGGCATGTAGGGCACGTGTACGGCGGACCCACTGCCTCATTGTGCTGGATGGTGAATTCCTGAAGACTATAAATGAACAACATCAGAGATTTAGGCCTGTCCAAATATTCTAGAAAACTTTACAAGAAAAGGGATGGGATAAATGGAAAGCTGGGAGTAGGTGATCTGATTCCCACATATGTAGTCATCAACCCGAACTTCTTCGATACGACATGGTTATCCAGATCATAAATAATCGAGCATCGATCACAACCGTATAGAAATCTTTAGAGTTCTCATCTTCGTAGAAAAGGGGATTTCAGTGGCTCCACTCACAACAGCGTGGTGGCTACGGTCCTCTCTCCGTTTACGTCTGATAGCAGAGTAGATAGGATTTGATGATAACATAAATTAGAATGTTCGACCGTCCGACCCTCCGCACTGCGCAGATAAGCCAAACTGAATGAGTATGGGTTCGCGAATGAGGATAAACAGAAAAAAACTGGGTAAACCTTGAGAAAAGCATGACGCTAGAAAGTATGTAGTAGATGTTGGTGTTCTCCGGGCATTTACTAGGACTCAACCCTAAGTGAAAACTGACAACTAAGATGGAAGATTTGTGGTATTTGGCTAGAGTTTGTCAAAGTAATTATATCATTAAAATGAGATTATATGTTAACTGAATGGTACACGAGAAATACGAGCGACGAACTACAAATACAAATTCGAAGAACCACGTCTTGGCTTCTCGCCTCAAATAATTAGTAACTAAATATTACTTACAGATTATAAATGCCATACCGTAGCATTTATTGACAATCCAAGAAAGAAATTGCGTAGGTATTCAGCCATTCAAACCGCTCTTCTCCACCTCCACGTTTTCCTGTACTGCGTCCTGTCTTATTTCCGCCTCTATCTCTTCCATATGCCGCGTTGGTCCCTTGAACCATCGGTGTGCCCACAGAATCCACACCCCTAACGTAGCCACCAGCACAATGCCGACGGCGACAGGGGTATAGTTGAGAGTTTCTTCGGTGACGGGGTTTTCAGTGGGGAGACAAAAGACAATAGTGATAAAGGCGACCTGCGGGACAAAGTTTAGCACAGTGATTAGTAAAAGAGAGGAAAAGAAAAAGAGTCAAAATACCCATGTACAGGCAATAATGCCCACTAGCCTTGAGAATCGTCCGAGATCAAACGGCCCCTTGACAAGGTTCTGCGGCCAGATCACCGAGATGAGAATCGGCAAAGCATAGCTGATATACAATCCAATTGTTGCAATACTAGTTGCCGCTGAGAAAGCGACGGAGCTACCCAAAGATGGGAGCGAGAGGCAGAAGGCAAGAAACGCCGCCAGCCAGACAGTTCGCACGGGGCTCTTGAATCGCTGGTCGACATGGTCGAAGAAGCGGGGTAAGGCACCATCCCGCGAAAACGCAAACATCATACGGCTATTACTTGTCATGCTGAACAGACCGCAATGCCAGACGCAGATTATGATCAGACTAATGAGGACCAGAGCACCGTCTTCGCCAAAGACGTCGACGAGAATCTTGAACACGGGTTCGCCGTAGTTAGTATCGGAGTTGACCGTTGCGTCGAAGTTTTGGATCGAGAAGAGCAGGCAGAGAAGCAGGAAGAAGCCGAACAGCGCTGATACGCCAATTGACATGAGCACGCCGATTGGGGCACTCCAGTCTGCTCGGTGGGTTTCTTCAGACAGATGCGCGGAGGCGTCGAAGCCTGCTTGATGTTAGGCTTTTCCATTTCCTATCTGTTTTATGCTTGACACGGGATAGCGCATACCAGTAATGGTATATTGGCTCATGAGAATGCCGCAAATAGCAACATATGCGGGTGAAGCGCGGACAGACCATCCTGGATCGCCTGTGCCCTGTTTTAAGCGAGTAAGGAGTCAAAAAAAACGTACTTCAAAAAGGGAGCAGGAATAAAATGAATCTTACATCATAAAAGTGCTGAAAGACTTCTTTTGCCGTTTGGTGTGTTGGGGCCTTGGCGACGACCGCAATTGCCAGGCTGCCCACGCCGAGACTATGCAGAATGATGGAAGAGTTATTGAGATAGCGTAGGACACGCACGCCAAATGTATTGACCAGACCGTGGCTGACCAGGATTGCGGCGTATATCCCAACCGTCTGTCCTGCTGTTGCTGTCCACCCGGTCTTGATAGATGCGGCTGTGGCCATCAGCTCTGCGCATCCAAAACTGATACCAGTGGTGACGGCGAACTACAACTGCATCAGCTATAAGATATCTACTGGAAGTGGATAGAGTGGGTTTTACCTGTCCCACAAAGTTGAACCAGCCTGTCAGCCAGGACAGGAATGCAGCGTACTTCTGCGGCGCTAGCATGGCAGCCCAAAAGTACGGCCCGCCGCTCGTTGGGATGGCTGAGACAATCTCGGCCATGCTAAGTCCCACGAAGAAGGTCATGACGGCGACGACAATCCATCCGTAGACCATCACGGCTGCCCTAAGTCAGTATCGGTAGTGATAATAGACAGTGTTAGCAGCCTACCAGGCCCTCCCGTAGTTAACCCATAGCTAGCAACAGCGTTAGCTCAATCTGAAGCACATGCATGTAGATCCGTGATAGTGCATACCTAAACAACGTTGTGATACCAGTGATCACGCTCTGAGGAGTATTAGCTGCAATACCCACATGCAACGGTTTGCCGCCCACATACAATAATCGAAAACGAAACACCAAAGTTGTGCATCAGCGTCCAATCGCGCTTCAGCTCCTGTTTGTATCCCAGCTGCGCCAGTCGGCTCTCATCCTGGATGTCCACTGCAGTCTTGTTCGCCGCCATTTCGGCCATGTTGACGGGTTGGCGGGTTGTTACCGTGGGATTCTGTGAGGTCCCTTGCAGAGAGAGAGAGACACCTAGCTCTAGTTTAAGTAGCATGCATGGATAGAGCTTGACAGGGGCCAGCAGTCTTAGCGGCAGCTCTCAGATACTATAGATAAGCATCCTTGATTTCACAGGCTGGTTGGCTGGAGCCCCGCCACAATCAGCACGGGGCTTGCTGCTATCGCGAAGCGGTGGGAGGATTCTTAAAAACTGCTATTAAGTAGTATTGGGCAGTAGTCCGCGCGATGATTTCTTCTTCAGTTATCGATTGGGCGCTATCACGAGACCTGTTTCTGCCTGGGGCACGCGTTTGTCGGGTACTATTGCCTATTGGGGTTTAGTGCGCGGTGTCCATATCTTATCTAGATTAGGAAAATAGGGCAAGTTTGGGGCTTGGCCCAATGAAGCCCTAGACATGGGTTCTACTAGAGCTCTCGAGTCTCCAGGCTCCATTGGAGGATATCACTGAAGGATATTTTAGCCTTCTCTAGATCAATGTTTGAGAAGAAGTGATGGAATGTCACAATAACCGGGAATGTGAATGCGAATATCAATAGAAATAGTAAATCCATTTTTCCATCCATGGCCCCCAATTTCTAGGCAGTGGAAATACTTAGATTTCAACGTAGATCAACAATGCAAGCTGGTTTGTGGATAATTGGAAAACAAACACAAAGTTAATCCTTAACATTGATTCTTGCTCATAATCATCATGCTCCTTTCTCTAGCTCAGTGGTCAGCTCCTCAATAAGCTGTTTCTCCTCAGCCTGGTAAACCTCAAACTTGCCCCCTCCCGGCCCATGCCATTAACCAACTCATGAATCTCGGCTAGCAACTCTTTTGCCTCGGCGCATATTGAGGGGTCTTGACGAGCGCCGAGGGCTTGCGGTTTGCTCTGCTTCCTCGTATTTCCCATGCTTGACGATATAGATATACTCTGACAGTATGTGCGGTGGGACCACGTTTGAATTGTCCGATCTCAATCTAAGAGCGTGCGGACAGTCCGCTCGGCCGCAGATAGATGATCTAGCTGATCCTCCACCACAATGATGCCTTGCAACAATTGACTTCATAACGAGTAATCCCGCTTATTGAGCTAACATGTCGTGGCACGGGATCTGATTCTTCCCTGGCTAGCTTTTCTGGAGCAGGCGGAGAAAAAGCCAGAGTTTCGTTTGCATGTCGTCAGTGCTATTTGGGCAATCGGTAGCTACCTCGGCTCTGGTTCTAGAGCTTTGCTGAATATTAATTTGAGTCGGTGTACAGGGAGGGTACCGCAGGTTCATTGTTCTAGAAATTAATCTACACCTATACTCCATTGACTTGGTTTAGTGTAGAGAAGTGAGATCATTTAGTACTATCTTAGTACTATAATGTTATCCGTATTGCGTTGTTTAACAAATTTGACTACCGCATCTGACTCTGGGAAGTGTTATGTTTCAGCTAACTGGCTAGTAATGGGTGCTCTGTTCAAAGATTTGGCTGAAATGTCGTTACCTGGAGGGGTTCTTGTGGCATTTCTCAATTATGCTTTCTTTTGTTTCCTTTTATCAGTCTGTGCACTATGTATCTCTCACCCATACTACCTTGGTATTTTCTATAAACACGTATAAGATCGCAGGGTGATATAATACACTCGATTGTGATGAAAGGGTGAAATATCGATCAGAGTACAAATCAGTACTGTTTATTGTGCTGATATTAGCAAGTCTACATCAAGACGCATATTAGTCGGTTTCAACACCGTGTTACTTCAACTGTAAGAAGAAGATATAGTCAGCTTATTCCGTCATGACTAATTGTTCTATACAGACTGCAAATGTCGATTCTGATGCGAAAGCATTCGCTAGCTTTGCTCTAATTGGTTGAAGAAGCTAGATGATAAAGATTAGGTTTACGCTTTACTATGTTAGGCACGCTTTACCTAGGTAGGCCTTGACTCAGTGCAAGCGTGAAGGGTATATCGTCATTGACTTAGGAGTCGGAGCAATGGATGCTATCAGTTTCTAGATAATGATCGAGACAGTTTAGTAAATAATCCAGCTTCATTCTGTTATTTCTCTCTTCTGTCATCCCTTTCTTGTGTCTGTTGTCATTGCACCCGAGTCTGGCCATGCAATGAGGGATGTAGCTTGTAGTACTAAAAGAAGACTTGTATACCAAAATACATGATTAAAAATATCCTTGGCATCATTATTAGCCTTGTGATCCCTAGCTAGGTAGACAGTAAACCCCCTGGTCATGCTTGGTGGGCATTTAGCATTGTTGATAGGTTCACATGATAACCGTACCAAGACAAGCGCAGCATGGATAGCATGCATAAGTAACGAGTGCAACAGCCAACAGTTGTATCTGCATTATTGTTTTATGTTCTGTATTATTATATAATCACTATCAGCATGGTTGGTTAATCTAATATGGTTGTGTTAGTTCAGAGAGGAAGGCCAAACGTGCATCCCTTCTGGCCCCTCATTGGCCCAGCCAGTGACGAGCTCCCGCTGAGAAACTACACGCGTCTGATTGGCCAGATCTATCATGCATCCCCGCACTAGCGCTTGGCGATGCTTAATTCCTTAGTGCCCCTTGCGCCGCCCAGCCAATCAGCAGCCAGGAACGCCGCAACGTGCAAAGGCATGCAGGCTGGTCATGCCTGGCCTCTTCCTTTTCTGTGTGGCCCTTTGCCGGCGGCTTCCACGGCCTCGTGGCACAAGCACGGGACATGTAAATAATCTGTGCTCGCTATTTTTCTTTTCTCTTCCTGTTTTGCCTCGTCCGTCTCTGAGACTCGAGAGGAACAACAACATACCACACCGACAAAGACATAGACCGACAAAAGAAACCATGTCGTTCTCATCAGTCAAGGCCCTCCTCTCCCAATACTCGCCCGTTTCTGAGAGCTCTTTCTCGGATTCAGAGAAAGAAGCACACCTCCCCTTAGGACATAGCAAAGACTTAGAAATTGCATCCGGCGATGACTTTGCTTCTTCCTCTTCTTCTTCGCCCTCAGCAGCTGGTGCTGCTGTCTGCAATAGCCGCGCCGAGAAGAAGCCCTTTATCGACGCACGTGTCATCTCAGATGCCATTATCGGCTTGTCGGATGGCATGACAGTGCCCTTTGCCCTGACTGCCGGTCTGTCGACGCTCGATGATACCAAGGTGGTTGTTTTTGGTGGTTTGGCCGAGTTGATTGCCGGTGCTATCTCGATGGGATTGGGTGGATATCTGGGTGCGAAGAGTGAAGAGTGAGTTTTTCTTTTTCTGTCGACCGTCTATATATACTAATAGTATTAACTATCATATCAGAGAATCATACCACGCAACACTCAAGAAAACCCGCGAACAAACCCTTACCGACTTTGACGCTACCACGACCATCATCGCCGACATCTTCGAGCCCTACGATCTTCCCGCCCAAATCGTCTCTGACCTAACCAAGCACCTCATCGACTCCCCCAAACTATCCTCCTTCCTCATGAACTTCCACCACACACTACCCGAACCCTCAGGCTCGCGCGCTGTCACGTGTGCCCTCACCATTGCTCTGGGTTACTTCATCGGCGGTTTTGTGCCGCTCGTGCCCTACTTCTTTGTTGGGCCGCAGGACGCTTTTAGTGCGCTGAAATGGTCTATTGCGACCATGGCTGTCGCTCTTTTCCTCTTTGGGTACTGCAAGACCTGTTTTGTGTCGGGGTGGAAGGGCCGCGAGAATGTGAAGGGTGGTGTTTACGGGGGTGTGCAGATGGTGATTGTCGGTGGTGTGGCGGCTGGTGCTGCTATGGGGCTGGTGAAGCTGTTTCAGACGCTGGCTTCGCAATGATGTTTGTTTTCTGTTTGTCTCTTTCGGAATATAAAAACGCGGCACGAATGTGTATTGTTATGTGTGGCGGATTTGGACGGCGTTTTATGAAAAATATTATCAAGGCATATGACATGTTTGGGATTGGCGTTTTGGCGAAGTATATAGAATACCTATGGTTATGATTAGATTTGATTAATGACTAAAGAACTCCAGGCACTCAAGTAGAAGACTCTTGGTTGAGGATATATATCATGGACTGTGGCAGCAGCAGGCGACAGATTGGATAAGCCTAAGCTGTCTCGAACAGATCCGGATTCAATTGTCATTTTGCAGGTACATAGCAGCAGGACTCGAGCATGAGCATACCCTTAAGACTCCTGCGTCGTCAAGGAGAGACCTGAGGGCTCACGTACTGGTTGTTGAGCTTGTCTATCAAGCAGCACGCTGTGAAACAAAAGATGCCCTAGATGGCAAAGGTTTTGTGACGATTGTTAGAATTCCGATGCCAGAGTCAAATTTAGTTTATACACTGTGTAGCAGATGTAGAAGACAGATGAGAAATCCGCCTGTACTTGGGAAAATAAAAAAAAAAAAACTCGATCTAGCTTGCCAATTAGTATTGCAGACAGAAGCCATTACTGCACTGCGTAATTGTAGAACAATATGGAAAAAGTACAACCCAACTGGAGTCTAGACACGATATCACCAGTAATAAGAGGCGCTTGTTAAAGAGGTCAATGCACGTTCACAATCCAGTTCCGGCAGATAATTGTCGCCTCCAAGTCCAAGTACAAAGTTGTACCACCAGAAGTCCTCTCGGGTAACCCTTATTGCTGTAGTAAAATCCCAGTAATCAGGATACCAGCCCGCAGATTCCCAGTCTAGAAACCCTGTAATTTTGCCTCCTTTTACCAGAATGTTATGAGATTTCAGATCACCGTGGGTGAAGACGATACGGTGCGGCATTTTCTCTATGCTTTTAGCGACGCTGAGTGCGTTGTTATATGCTGCCTCAGACGGAAAACCGCCTGACCATGAAAACCGGATCAAATATTCATTGAACTCCTTGTCAGATTCGAATGGACCAGCCAAGTGACTAGGAATGCGAACACTTCTAATTGCAGTACCCTCCACAGAGCAGATCCTGTTCCCGCCCCACGGATTTGGCCACCCACGCATAACCCTTATATAGCCTTGTAGCTCTTTCAATATTGAAGCTCTGTCCTCGCTGCTCAGTGCCTCGTATACCTGGCCTAACTCTACGCCAGGCAAACGAGTCATTAGAATTGAGACCGGCGCATGTGGCGTGTCAGGATGCTCACCATAGCTAATCACTCGCGGAACCGGGAAACCAGCTGCTCTAGCAACTTGCATGGCTAGAACTTCTTCGAGCCGAGTACCGTCAGACCATTTTAGGATCAGCCCAAACGGAAGCTGGGCAATTTGGTTGTCGAATGGAATCCCAACCCAGCTGCAATAAAATTGGGAGAATAGTTGGAGGTAGTCATGTAAAACGCCCCCAAGTCGACGTAGTCGGGGCTGAGCTGGTCGGGGCGTGGGTGGTATGTGTTCGGTCGAGAGTGGTCGAACGTTGTCCTGCCATGTAAAGTCTGGCAGGAAATAGCGTAGAATGAGCCGGGAGAGCATCGCAATTGTAGGAGTTGAAGGGGAAGAGAACCATGGTGCGTGGAGACTATGTAGACCCACCGTGGAGAGCGGCTCGGTTCGATGCCGAAATCTAATCTATCCAGATCTCATCGCACCTAATCACAGGCGCAGCAACAAGAAATGAATCGTTCCTTAGGCGAGGCAGAAAGCAGGCAAACATATCATCTGCTAATGTTCCTAGAAAGAAAAATCATGTTTCGGGGGTGAGAACTTATGAGCCATTCGTGGGTGAGACCTTCCTAGACGTACCATGGCATTGCTGGACTATCCAAGAGCGAATAAAAAGCGCATTACTTTGCAATCTACATCTCATACGAAACCCTAGAAGCTCACTTACCAAGGTAATTAGCTAGAATAGAATATGTGTTTCTTTCTGGCCTCAAATTGGCTCCAGAAGGATCTTTTCTTGTTACTACGTAGACTAACTGGCATTCTCAGATATACTTACACAGTTACTCTAGCATTGCACTCGTTCGCAGGCGAAAAGCCTTACCGAAATATTCCAAGATAATGTTCAACCAGTCTAGCGAGGATACACTGAACCCATAGATCTGACTGCTATTGCTTCTTTGAACTTGCTTTTTTGACCCAACGGGAATGCATGGCATGTGTTCAGAAAATGTCATCAGCGTCGTCTCTTTCCTCATGATTCATTATGTCCATTTTATTATACATATCCTTGCTACAAAAGTAGCGTCTGCGCACTCGAATGTCCTTGTGGCGGTAACTGACTGGGGTCACTCCCAACAGCTGCAACGGTGTTTGTAGCTGCTGGCGGGAAATCATAGTTTGCCCCTATAGACCCCACGCCTTCTTTAAGATATAGCACGAGACGATATGCCGAATTCCCATTGAGGTAGTACTGATGCAGGTGTTTGCTTCGCAGAAATCCTAGGCGTTCGTATAGCTTCATAGCAGCTGTATTGACTACTTCGGTTTCGAGGGCGACCTGACAAGAAATCAATTAGTTCAATCGTCACCCTATATCGATAGCTTATGATCACTTCCGCTTACTTCATCTGCGTCCCGCTCAATCATCGCATCGATCGCCATGCGTACCAACTTGGTAGCTATACCCTGACCGCGATACTCCTCACGGACGGCCAACATAGCAATATAACCTCTCAGGGGCCCGCCCCGGTGAGGCTCTAGCTTGGACACAACCACGCCCACAAGGTTGTCGCTATCGGGATCCATGGCCAGAAAGCACAAATCCCCCCATTGGTATAGGAAGTATCGGTATACGTAGATGCTGTAGGGCTCCGACAGATCTTTCGAGATCAGCTGGCGCATTGCGGTGAGGTATTCATTCTCGCGGGCGCTGTCGTATTGTATATATCGGAGGGGCTTAAGCTTGTTGGCGCCCTCGGTCTTCGACTCGCTGGACTTTTGGTCCATTGTATGGCTGGTGCTTGTCGCGTAGGAGCGTGGGAGCGCGGGAGGTGTCAGGTTGGGTCGACTGTCAATTTCTCTTTACGAGGCAAAGCGGAGGGTAAAGAAAGCAAGCATTTCTTCTGAACTGTAGAATGTTTTTAAAGTATCACGACAATCCCATATCATGTGTATTACCAGGATGGATGCACAGTCAAGAAATGCATGGATCAGTGGAGGAGAAGGAGAAGGACTGCGGGGAGAGTTTTATGGTTGGCTTGGCTCGCAGCAGCAGAAAATCTCTTGCAGTCTCTGCCACACAGACAGTGCACCAATCATGCTATTCATTAGTGCACAATCATAGAATGAAAGCACAAGGAAGAAAGACACACTGACTAATATGCTGTCTATCACATGTTTTTTTCCCCTGTGCCAATTGCTGTAATTGGCTGCCGCAGACACCGCAGTGACGTTTTCTCCCATGTGATTGTGAGGCTAAGCTTTAACAGCCCTGCGACATTTTTCAGGTCCCCAACCTCCTCGTTATTTCTTTCATCCTCCCCAATCCCTTGTCTCTCGCTTTCTCTTCCACATACATTCACCAGCTGCCCTGAATCCCACCCTGGCTGCACGATACAAGCATGCCCGACCTCCGGCTTCGCGCGGGAAGGCGCAATGGCACTAATGACAATGACAACAGCAACGACAAGGACAGGGACACAGCAGCAGCAGCCAAAGCCAACATCTCAGTAGCCATATCCACTGAGCATGAAACCCAGAAAGCTGAGGTCCAGTACAATGCAGACAAGGGCCGTCCCAAATTAAGCCCTCTCACCAAATTGAAAAGCTCTCTGGCCAAACCTCACGGAAAGCGTCGGCACAGCTTCGTCTTTCTCTTGGGCGGGCTGTTTGGCATATTCGTCGCTCTGTTCTTCGCAAATCAGAACGAGGTTATCAGTCTCGACGCGCTGTTGGACTTGAATCTCGATTCTCTGATCGATGTCATTCCCAGTGGTCTTCTGAGCGATGCCAAGGAGTTTACGGTTGGTCTTAATCATTAAGCATTGACAAACAAAACGTCTTAGAATGAATGTGTCTTACTAATTTTGTCGCTGTACGCTATCCAGAGACATGAGCGCGATACCGTTAATTACGATTCTTTCTCCGTCGGCCTCTACCTACAGTCACAAGGCATCCAAGCCAAACATCCCGTCGTTATGATTCCTGGGGTTATTTCCACGGGCCTCGAGAGCTGGGGAACTGACGCCGAATCCCGCCAATACTTCCGCAAGAGACTCTGGGGCAGTTGGAGTATGATGCGCGCGTTGGTCATGGATAAGGCTTCGTGGAAAAATCATATCATGCTTGACAGAGACACGGGCTTGGATCCCCCAAACATCAAGCTGCGGGCGGCTCAGGGATTCGATGCTACGGACTTCTTCATAACGGGATATTGGATATGGAATAAGATCCTCGAAAACATGGCGACCATCGGCTACGACCCCACGAATGCATTTTCAGCTGCGTACGACTGGCGGCTGTCGTATGTCAACCTGGAAACCCGCGACCAGTACTTCAGCCGTCTCCGCTCACACATCGAGATGACAGTGAATGTCAAGAAGGAAAAGATCACATTGATATCACACAGCATGGGCTCCCAGGTAGTCATGCACTTCTTCAAATGGGTCGAAAACGAGCGACATGGCAACGGCGGGAAAGACTGGGTCAATCGTCACATAGACTCCTGGGTCAACATCAGCGGCTGCATGCTCGGCGCCGTCAAAGGACTAACAGCGGTACTATCTGGCGAAATGAGAGATACAGCACAACTCAACGCATTTGCCGTCTACGGCCTCGAAAGATTCCTCTCCAAGGAAGAACGAGCCGAAATTTTCCGCGCCATGCCCGGCATCTCAAGCATGCTCCCCAAAGGCGGCGACGCTGTCTGGGGCAACGAGACATGGGCACCGGACGACCAGCCCAACTCTCTCAGCTACGGCAGCTTCATTCGGTTCCGCGAAACCAACTCATCATGGACAAGCAAAAACCTAACCATGGAAAACAGCCTGGAGTACCTCTTCAACCAAAGCGAGCCCTGGTACCGCAACCAAGTATTCAACAACTATTCTCACGGCGTGGCGCACACACGCGCCGAAGTGGAAGCAAACGAAGACGATCCGCGCAAATGGCTGAATCCGCTCGAATCCCGCCTCCCATTAGCACCGGACATGAAAATCTACTGTTTCTACGGGGTCGGCAAGCCCACTGAACGCACGTACTTCTACCAGGAAGAAACCGACCCTCTGACCCGCCTCAACGTTTCTATCGACACCACCGTCACCGAACCCGGTAGCGGCGGCGCCGACCACGGCGTCGTCCTGGGCGAAGGCGACGGCACCGTCAGCCTGCTGAGCATGGGGTACATGTGCTCGCACGGCTGGCGCATGAAACGCTACAACCCAGCCGGCATCAAAGTCACCGTCCACGAAATGCTGCACGAGCCAGACAACTTTTCCACCCGCGGCGGTCCAAATACTGCAGACCACGTGGATATTCTGGGTCGCGCGTCGCTGAATGATTTGTTGCTGCGCGTCGCTGGCGGAAAGGGCGATATGATTGAGGAGAATTATGTGTCGAACATCAGGGAATATGCGAAGAAAGTCAAGATTTATGACGACGATGAATGAATGAATGATGAGAAACCAAATAGATCATGCCTTATCTTCCTATCTGCTGCCAGGAAGTTTGCATGCAAGCATATGCAGATTTTTCTTTTTCTTTTTCTTTTTTTTCCATTTCGTTTATTGTATTATATGAAGATGTATTTTAATTAGAAAAGAAAGTACAGCAATGATACCTACCTGCATATGCCAGTATCAATACAATCGAGATAACCCGGAACTACGTTTTACAATCAAATGCATAAAAAGCACAATCATTAGATAGAAGGCATGAACCATATGTGCATTGAAAGGTATATAATAAACCATCGTCCACAAAAAACATTGAGTAAATAGCAAGTATAAGCTTAGTCACTAAGCAAATACCGACTATTAGGAATCAATGTCATGTTCCTCTGCTCATCTCCATAACAATAGTGGAGATTGAACTGGTAGACCTGAGGTCTTCCTTCTTTCTATCTGAACATCATCCCATCATAAGAGAATAAATAGTGTCATTGACCATGTCTCCGTCAGAACATGGTCAATTTCAATCTCCTATTCAAACATACACATGCACTCCAGTCTTGTCAAGTCTTAACAGAGCAAGAACAAGATGGGAAAATATAAAAAGAAATCGTCACCAAGCGTACCGTCCCCTGAGAATGTGAAAAAAAAAAAGACGTCTTTCGAGGCTGTATTCGTCTTCGTCCTTGGACTATCCCACACATGTCTAGCGTATGTGAGAGGCTAACCAAAGTTGTCGGAGCGGATGACAGGTTGACAAATACGGAGTCGAAAGATGTCGAAACCACGAATCGAAATCTGTGTTCTAAAAGCAGCACAGCGAGCGAAAGTGCTGTAGTGATAATGCATTCCCTTTCCCCGAAAACCATAAACTTCCTGTTGTAAAAAAAAAACCAAACATTTGACTCCTTATCCCGTTTTCTCCAGGCACCAGAGTGAAGCGACCGACATGAAATTCGTAATATGCGGGGTTTGTTTTTTAAAAAAAACCCCAACCAAGCCGAGAAGATGAAAAAGAAGTGAAAAATTGGCTCGGTTGAGTAAAAAGGGTGATAGCGAAGTGAAATAACTCTCACCAACTCGTGGTAAAAGCAAAAGTATTGTACAAGCGAAGGTCTCCAACGGCGAGCATAGCGCAGATCCATGGCTAAAAGCGAATGAGTTGGGTTCAAAAGAACAATGCCAGGGTTCTGTCAGTAGTCGCCGGAATTAAGAATTATCGACGGAATTGTTTGTGAAACCGACTTCGGAGACATTATAAAGGTCCTTAGGCGGAGAGTATAGGCGCACCAGTCCATGATGCGATGCATGTACAGGGAAAAACAAAAACTCAAAAACAGATGCAGAATCAAGATCGACTAATCGACCGCATCAAAGTCAAAGTGGCTAGAAGCCATTATTATAAATCTGTACCGGTAAAAGATCATGCCCGTGCTATATGCGCAAGCAACTGTAAGCAGCGCTAGCAGAAACAGCAATGCAAAAAAGGTTATCGACGGGGGGACGGCCATCGATCATTAGTATGTATCCACAATCGGCGAAGTCGATGAATATGATATGTGGGTGATATAATATGGGTGAGCAGGTCTTTAATGACCGGCTTCAACATCAGAAATGGAGGCAAGGGTTTCGCCCTCCCAAAGGTGTTGGTCTTCGGTTGGACTCTGAGAACCAGATGACACTGACGACGACGAACCAACAGTCCATTCGTCGCTATCGGCATGCAGGTCACCCTTAAAGTTATCCATATCATAGCCTTCTTCATCTGATCCATTGCCTCTTTCGATGTAATCGTAGTCCCAGCGGAAACGCTTTCCAGGCTGAACTCGCGGCAGGAATCGAGCCTTGGAGAAGTAAAAAGCCACAGCTGCGAGAATGCCACCGCAGACGAGATCGACCGCATAGTGGTGAGACAGGTACATGGTAGCCCACCACATCCATAAAGTGTAGGTCACGAAGAGTGGCTTGAGCTTGGGGAAAACATGGCTCATGAACAGAGCAGCGATAGTGGAATCAGCGGCATGCAGAGAGGGGAAAGCGCCAAACACGACCGGCGACGCATGGAATCCGGACGTGTAAAGATCGATACCGAACAAAGCATCGATACGAGCTAGTCCGGCTGGATCGCCTTTGATCGAATAATCGGCAGGAGCGAGACCGTATGTGTTCTCATACCATGGGGGAGAGCATGGGAAAATCAGCTGAATAGCCACAGCTGTCAGGCTGATGTAGCCAAAGGTTTTGGCAAAGACGGGGACAGTTCCGGGAGGCCCGAAGATGAACATGATGATCGAGCACACAAAGGGAGCTCCATAATGGCAGATGCCATAGGGCAACCATGCCAGTACGTCGAGCACAACGCTTTGGTGTGCAGACAGAATATTGCTGATATTGGCGCCGTACAAGATGTTTTCCAAAGCCGGCAAAACACGAACCCAGACACCGGGACGATAATCTGAAGGAACGAACCTGTTGATCGTTAACGGTCGTTCTTTCCCCACCTTTCTTTCAAGCGTTACATCCAATCATAATGGCAAAGATACTTACTGGCAAGCATAGAAGAAAATCAACCAAGAGGCAATCGGCAAAAACGGTAGGAAGAATTGTCGGGTAATGGGCAGCAGCAAGGACAGCAAGAGGAGCGAGGCAATTGTCGTCTTGCCAATGACGCCTGGCGACTGAATGATGCACAGCGAAAAGATGCCGATAATCGCTAGAAGTATATACTGCAAATCGTAGACACTCCAGCGATACGACTGTAGAGAGCGTAGAGTATCCTTTGGCGAGAACGAGGTCTGGAGCGAGGCAATCGAAGTCGCTGGAGAAATTCTGCTACGTAGTTTGGATCGCAGTCTTCGCCTCATCCGATGTGGCATCAACAGTTTGAAGGAGCGCCATGGCATGACGGGCAGTTGGACCTTGCTGAACTGGGAGGATGATTGCCGATCCTTCCATGAAGGTATCGATATCGTCGGGGCCATCATGGTTGTAGAATGGTTTTACTTTCGAGAGAATCGAAGGAGAACAGGCACAGAACACCTTTTTGTTGGTTCTTTCCACCGGGCGACGCAAGGGATGGTGGGTGGTGGAAGAGGCGGGCGGCGAGAGGATGATGACAGCACTCTTGTTTCGCTCGTTGTATGTTGTATGTCACGTTCTTCACCTCACACAGACGATCTCCGACAGACACACGACGTATTTGCACAGGGACTCTTTTTCTTTTTCTCTTTTTTTTCCCCTTCTTCTTTCCAACACAGCCTCGCTGGCCAAGCGCTCGGCGGTTGTCGTGGGCAGTTATGGTTAGGGAAGGCTACTACTAGTTGAGAGTCCGGGGGCAGGCGTCGCACGGGGGGCGGCAGGACCGAATGAGCAGGGCGAGACGTTTCGTCTCGGTCGCAAAGGATGACACGCACGACGAACCGGACAGGGGGGGAGGAAAGATGGGAAAAGGAAAGACTGGCAAAGAGAAATGGTTAAATAGAAGTGTCGTCGCCGAGGCAGGGGGGAAGACGGGGAGAAAAAGGGAAGGAAAATCGCTGAGCTGACTGAGCAGCTCAGCAAATCCAGTGGCAGGCTTTTTCAGTTTGTATCGTAATTAAACTGGGCAGAAGAAGAGGTTAATACCCGTTATTACACGCCGGCACCGCAATCTGATTGGCAGTTGGCGGGCGGGCGGGTGTGTCGGCAACATGATCAGACGGAGCCGGTATTGGTATTTCCAGACAGACCATGCCGCCAGAGTTCGTGCTCCACGGCCGCTGATTCGCTGATTACCGTTGCAATACAGGGCTAGTATTATTTAGTAGTGTTTATTCAATATTGAACTATTTAGTTAGTAATTTACCCTCTTTACTTCCTATTTGGTATCACCATTATTTAGCACTATGGAGAGAGAGCTCCGTATTCGATATCCAACGGCTCCCTCTGGACAAGAGTTATGATTTACTCGACCCTCATGTCGAGGGACACCTCCCGTGTTCGCCCTTGCTGCGTACAACGCAGGCGGCTAACTCATCTGATATCTGCAGGAGCGCCACATCGTCACACGAATCAGACGGGCAGTCCGGAAGGCTCGGAGGACTCGCTCTTCAAACTTGTCACGCAGCGGAGACTGCGGATGGGTGCATGCACTTGCTCTTAGTATACATCATACCTAGGCACGCATACCCCATATTTCCCAACAACCGCCGCGATTGCAGTCTATACGCGGAAGCCTACAACTAGGGATGCGGCAGTGCTTCATCCTGATACTTATTAATAGCTCGTATTCGCATTCACCCGTCAAATGCGGCTGCCTACAGGTGTATCTGGTGTAGAACTCTATCGTTGCAGAAGTCGACCTAAAGTTTCCCTGTTGGGCGCTAGGCCCGTCTGGGCGATCAGCAATTTTAATTTTGTGGGCCTCATCTCTTCGCTTAGCCCGAAACGGAACTGCGCCAAGCATTTTGTGTATTTTTCGTATTTGCTTCGCGCATTCGTATGTATTGTTCGGATGGCGGACGACTAGTCTTCCGGCGTGCCGATGATCTTCTTCACTCCGGAGCACGAACATCAATCAGAGTGCATGTGATAACTAGTTATATGCTCTGTATGCAGCTGAGTGAACTTTGACTTTCGAGGTGACTTTATCGGATGACTCGCACGACTGATACGCTGACTCGCGCAGGGTAATTTTACACCTTTTCCTCCGAATGCTGCAGCCAATCACGGGGCAGGCACATACTGTCTGCCAGCCTCATCGTCGTTTCAGCTTGAGCCTTGAGGTGCTTTTTATATATAGAATGCTGCCAACGCCCAATGAAAAGCCGAGCTGCTTGCCTAGTTGCGTTAGTGCGCTAGCCCATAGAGACTATTCACAAGAATAGCTTCTGAGAATAGCAGACGGCGAATACAGAGCATATTAGCTGCCGTACATCTATTGCTATTCAATCTATAGAAAGTCCACAGCTTAGTCTTCAGTCCCGCGCCAGCCACCGTCTGCAACAAAGCCATCCCAGGTGTCCCGGCTCAGAATTGGTACCGAGGAGTAGCGCTGAGCGCCTGTTCGGTTCGCTAATTCTTCCAACAGCGGAGCGCATTGCCCATTACCATTGTCATTGCCATATAGCCACAACGCCTATACGCCATATGGTGGTCAGGAAGGCCTCACGTTCGTTTATGGGTGCAAACCCCGGCGTACATGCGCTCGCCGCCATTTGAGCAGAGACATCGAAGTGCAGCATCTGCTCGAGTCTGGCCTGAGGGTGTGTGCTGGATGGACATTAATGACCACGGACTATATTCACTCAATATGACTAAAGTGTCATCGTCGTACGGCTGTGCAGCTAGACAGCATTCAGGCTGCAGCTGCTGGAGTTAACAGCGATGGCAACCATGTTAGACACCTAATACGTAGCAAAAATGCGAGTCTTCGCTGACACATATCACCAGCCAGACCTCGCCTGCACTGCCTTTTCTATGGCATCGCCAGGGCGTAAGCAGAGACCTTCAGGCTCATCATATCTTCCTAGATAGAATAGACAATCTCCGTATGCCTTGAGCTAGGTCCATCCATCATTGAGCATGCATGACACGACGCCTAGTTTCCATGAGGCCCAACGAGTCAGAAAAGAAAAGCTGAATGGAATTTCCATGCTTTATCGAGCAAGCATCAAAAGAAGAATATCTTTATCCTGTCAACTGCAACTTCTGCTTCTCGTAACTAAGTCCTAGAATTTGCTTAGCTACATGGCGTGCTCTGATTAGCCACAAAGTGTGTATGCGCTGGGCTGGGATTAGGACTTCATACAATCTCCAACTGTTGTAACCTGTGGGAACTGACGAGCTTTTTTAGCAGGGCGGCATTCCCTAGAACTTGCAGACATCTGTTCATTTCAAGGAGAGGGAAAAGCCAATCGGTCAAACAGATAGCAAGAGATGTATTTTACATGCCTAGGTCTAGTTTTATACTGCTAATGTACACACGCACATATATATATATATATATATATATACTCGCTACCGTATAGGCACTGCGATGACTTCTTTCAGAATATCCACAGTCGGCCGCCTATTCATGGCCGGATGGTCTGCATGCTTCGAATGCCACTGCGTCTCCTTATCGAGCGTGGTAGCCGCATGCAGCATCATGTTGAACGACTCAACACTCTGGCGTTGCGGACCCTGCTCAACATCGTCATTCACCAACTGGGTCGCGAGCTTCATCCTCTCACTGCACGCCGGTTCCATAGTATGAATCAAATGTGCCACCACGTTCCTTCCAAGCTCAACCTCACCAGGGGCCATTTTGAACATCTCTCCATGCACTTGCACTTTGCGCAAGTACTCTAGGCCAATCACAATCGAGCCAATGTGATACTCAATCTGGTCTTGGTCCCTGGCTCGGCCCTTGTTTGCCCCTGCTAGAGAGCTCCGCACGATATGTCGCATTAGCGGGGTCGTGGCGCCTTTCAAACAGGCATATCTCCAAATGACGCGACAGGTGTTGTACAGGTTCGATGTTATGGCGATACGGAACATTTTCTCGTAGTTCAACGGGCTGAGCGCGTACTCATGATGATAGATATATGAGCTCAGGAAGAAATGGGCCATGTCCATGCCTCTAAAATGGTTGAACGCTAGGTTAAAGGTCCTGCTGTCCGGGGTGAGCCCATACTTTTTGAAACATTCGAAAATTTCTCGCAGAAGGTCGGAATCTCGTCGCGGCGTAACTTGTTCCAAAATCAGATTCAATGTATAAGTCGATATGATTTCATGGCCATGACTCTGCTCCAATTCCTCGAGAAAAGATTTAATCCCAAGACCCTTTCGCAGATGCGGGAATAATATCATTCCAATGTTGTTTTGTACAACGTCTAGTTCCACCCTCCTATCTTTGAGGAACCCTAGTTCCGTCATACGCTCAATCACCTGAGTCCTCGGGCCCGGCGAAAGAAGGCTCTCTAAGAAAGCCACCCAAGTGGCCCCATTTGGCTGCATTCCGGATTTTCCCATCTCCGACAGAAGGCCCATGAAGAAGAAGAAGTCTTGACGTCTGGCAGTTGATCGGAAGAAGATGTTGTACGAGTTTACTGTAGCCACGGTCTGGGAGGCTCTGAATACGTGGCGCGCTGAATCCAGGTATTCATGTTCGCACAGAAACGTCAAGGCTCGATTCAACGCATAAGTCGATAGATAAATCCGATTCCCCGGTTCTGTGAATATGAACCGAAGTCGTTGAGCCACTCCGTTGATATACGGAGGGTCTCCAGGTTTGGTGGGCAGATTGGGGCGAGCTGTAATTAATTGTTCGACATATTGTGCAAATCCCCGGATATCGGTGAATTTTGGCCGTCGTGCCAATGGATCGCCCTTGGTAATGATTTTATCATCCCAATGACCACGGATAAGGGGTAGCGGCTGGCCTGTTTTTTTATATGCGAGTATTGATGGGATAATGGGCAGCCATGACCTCGCCATTTGAGACCCTCTCTGATCCAATGGCAAATTCATTGCCGCTACCTGCTGTTCATCCACCTGCTTTATTTGTTTCTCTACCAACTCAACGGCTCTCCTGGTCCCAGATAAGACCACCTTGCGTAATATACCTTCGCTTTCGACAGCATCCAGCACCCGCAGTCGACAGCCGTTTCGGATTTCAATAAACCATATATTTTCCTTTTCCGTTGTGTCTCCGGAAAGCTGTACGACGACTTCCTCTCGTACCAGGATCTCTTTGTGGACGGTTGATTTCGGTGTCACGGGCATTTCAACATGGAACTTTTCAAGTATCGCCATAATTTCAGTCCAGTGAGGGGGCAACGACCTTTTCCCAGTGACTGCTTGACGCCACTTATTAACGTACTTCCGATAACCCAATTTAGCCGCGTCCACGTATGTTTGCTGTTCTCCAAACAGCCCGACCCCCTTTCGGGAACGAATGCGTTCAGCGGCGAGCCGCTTCTTGTCGTTGATGGACATCCCTTTTGACAGCGTCCTTCGAATCACAACTTTTTCTGTGGAGCTGCTGTCATTGTGTACATCCTCAAATGGACCGCCGGGGTGAGTTTCATGGTTGTCCTGCCCAGGCAAATCGCCATGCACCGAATTGAGCGATTCGCTCTCGAGAACACCATACTGTGCCGATTCAGATACTGGACTCAAATCCGATGCATCTGAGACGATATCAGCTTTGTCTTCCTTGGGAGCAGATCCCTCATGAGAAAGCCATCGGCAAGACTGGGTATCAGGCGCTGCGTGGCGCCGTGGCGGTTCCGAAAAGGCTCCGCTTGGTTTTGGACGTCGTGGAGAGAAGAGTGGAGGCCGTATATGGTACAATCGTGACAGTAGCAAGCCTGATCGTGCCCAGCGGGGGTAGAGGAAGTGTAAAGGTTCGTTTGTTGTTGGAACGACGACACTATCTATAAGCGTTGACAAGTTGCCGCGTCGAAGACGGCTCTTGCCTCGTGTAATCATTGGAAAATGGGCATGACCCGCCGCTCAGATCCAGAAAGTAAAATTCAATCCCACATTGAGAGACGGGGTTCGACTAAATTGTGGGATTGAAGATGAGTCCTCGTTGACTATGGTCAGGCAAGATGCTGCCGCAAAGTCGAAAGAAAATATCTGAGGCGAAGCTCCCGGAACTGCGCATCTGGCCGCTCCGCCTCCCGGACTGCTGCTTTTATAAGCTGGAGCCAATGACAATCGACTACAGATATCTTACTACACGTTTTCGTGTAGATTAATATCTATTCTAAATGAAGGCGAGCATACTTATATATCAGTTGGCTGGCATTGATGAGAAACACAGCTTCATACGAAAGACTGTCTTGTATGTACTAGTTATAATGATTGTTAATCGCACTCGTCAACAACTAATATATATGGCCCTCCTTTCCAATAGCAGCTCCCTTAGGAATGCCTTTGATCTCACTAAACAACATGCCTTTGCCTTTGCCGCGTGATGATTCACGGGCGTTTAAAGCCTGATGCATTCGAGAATCTTGAAGCCCATTATCATCGTCCTTGGAAATATCGAAGACTTCGTAGTTAGAGACCTCTCGATTCACAGCCTCAATAGCTCTCAATATGTTATTCCGCTTTCGTTGCCTGGCGTCGTCTTCCTTTTTGTCTGCATTGGATGGAGTCCCATTTGTATCGTTCAGTGCATCCTGCAGGATCTTCAGAAACTGCCATCGTGACGTTTGGAAGACAAATAATGCTAAAATTTCAGGAACCTGTCCAACTATAACGTCAGCATCAATAGAATAAATGATATATTCCTATTCCGGTAACGGACCCTTTCAGGTAGATAGTAGATCTCCTCTCCACCTTGAGCTATGAATTTTCTCAGCGTGTCTATCTTTTCACGATCCACAATAGCGTTCTTAAGAGCTTGGAATAATGTCGGTATATTTTCAACATTCTCTTCCACAGGCCTCTCCGGTGAAGCATCCGTATCTCGCCTTAGGTATGCCGAAGAAGGAACATTAGCAGGTGCAATACTTGGCTCTGCACCGCTGACATTTGGAGGATGAATCGTGAAGTAGTCTTCGTTCAGCATATGGGCCCGGTGAAAGTCCGTTTGCTCCGTTCCATCTCTCAGCCGTGCACTTTTCTTCTTGACCCTCAGTCTTACCCAACGTCTCCTACGAACGTACGAATGAAACCATGGATGGGTACCGTGCCAGCCGCATTTCGGCACAAACGAGAAAGAATACTGCCACCCTTCTTCATCAACGTCATCAGACATGTCCACATACCACGACTGCCAGGCCCACTCCCAGCTGGGATCGGGAAGTTGAGCATTTGTGATATTCACGGGACTGTCGTGGTAATCCTTATTCACCCACGCAGGGGGGTCGAATTGAAGAAGAGAGCGATGCGAGTAGAAAGGTACCCCAAAAAAGAACCATCCTCGCTGGTTCTCATAGAGGATCTCCAGCTCCGAATTAGACGCGGCATTCTCCTCCGCTTTCACACTCTCCGTCGCTTGCAACTGCCCTGGTGCGATATTGAATAGGTTGACATCAGTGTCTCGGTCAACTGTATTTCTTGTTGTCGTCCGAGATACGTTTCGGCTGCTAGCTTCTGTATCTGAGGCGCCGAGTCTTTCGGGCTGCCATTTGCTATATTTCCTCCTCTGGAGCTCGTTCCTGACAGAGCCTTTAGTCAAGGGTTTTGTGAGTAGGAAACGAGCTAGCGAGGTCTCTGCGCGAGTTAGGTCCTGCTCCAGAGGGGCGGGCGTAGCATTATCGACTAAGCTAATAGCTTTGCCAGTATCGGTAGACATGATGATCCTAGGCCGACACACTAGAAATATGTATATAAGGAAAGTTCAAGAAATGAATAATACGAGTAGCGTTGGATTAATTAATAAAGACATCAAGTTCGTCAAGCTTCAGTGCAAGCTGTAATGTTTATATGACGGAGAAGGAAAAAAAAGAACGAGGTATTACTTTGCGAAAGAACTTGGAAGATGATGCGGCGAAGGAAGCTTAGCTATGACGGAGATTCCCAGAATGGCTTAGTGCGGGTATCAGGTAAACACTCTCTTCAGCGTTTGCGCCGAATATGATACAATCAACACTTCCACCTAGCTACGTCGAATCGCCTCAAAATTTAACGATTTGCTCGACATTATAAACATATACAGGTGCCCTATCTAGAGAAAGGCACTGAGCTTGAGCATAAAAGGGCTGCAACAATGCAATCCCCTCACTACCGCAGAATCGAATTACAGTCGCCCGCAGACCTCACATACCTATACACAAACACTGTGGCATTGTCACGCCAAAAACTCGACCTGCACTTTCCTCCATCTGCCTATTCCGATGGCGATAACCCGGATCCCATGAAGGAGCGCGTCAAGGAGCTCGTTGACCAGGTTTGTGCCATTCAATCATACTTGAAAAGAATGAAAATAAGAGCCAAGCTGACGATTTTTTTTTTTTGGATGAAAACAGTTCATTCGACAAACATACACATACGCATCCGACTCAATAACCATCAATGGCCTAGAATCCAACTCATCAGCAACCAATAACCACTCCACTTCACAAGGCCCATTCCCTTTCCCCTCTGCATTCTCCGCACCCGAAACCATCGAATACGAAACATATGACGGCAACCTAGCATCTCGCGTCAGTTCGCTCTACGCTCAACTCGAATCACTGACTACCACCGTTGCGCAACTACGACGCGATGCGCCCCGGAAAGCAGCTAGGACGTTTGCCGACACCCTGAATGACGCGTTGAATAAAGACGATGCTGGATTTGAGGCTGCTGCTTTTGCTCATACTAAACAAGGAGGACAGCAGCAGCAGCAGCAACAACAACAACAAGAAGAAGATAGCTCAAAAATGGATATTGATCCCAATCCCGAATGGAAATTAGACATCCCCTTTGGAACAGATTCTGAGCGCGAGCGATGGCACAGCGGCGAAATGGCCGAGGTCTATGCGGATACGTTACGGACTCTGTTACGACTGCAAGGGGAGGAAGAGGAAGGGAGAGCTGGTGATGGGGACGATGATAGGAATACCAAGGCTATATCGACGACTATTGCGACTGCAGAGAGGGCCGAGAGGGCAGTAGAGTTTGTGGAGAGGATGTGATTGATTTGACGCCACTTTTTAGTTGACGAAGTTATGAATACATTATACTTACTCTGTCGGAAGGCAGATCACACCAAAAATGATGCGTCAAAAAAAAAAAAAAAAGAAAAAGAAAAGGTAAATGCAAAGAACTGAACAAAATGTAGATAATCACTTCATAACAACTAATTCCAGGGCGTAAACCAGCCAGATATCTAATCTAACCACAAGTTTAGTACTTTCCAATCAATTATGACCAAGAATAGAAGACATGTTTTGAGGAAATAGCCATAACATAAGAAAATTATTCTTTTATCTACATTCGTGACGAGGCAAAGAAAAGAAAAGAAAAGAAATTCAAAAAGAGAAAATTTCCATGCACTATATAGATCACTCCTGGTTTGCAGTTCTGTTCTGTTCTCTGCTCTTTCTTTGATGGTTTGGGGGGAGGTTGGAGTATATGTATGTATGATTTCTGGTAGATAGAGAGAGGTGGGTAGGAAGAGGGTAGGGGGAGAAAAGAAAGCCACGAGAAAGAACAGTTTCAAATGTCATTAATAAAGTAGTAGTTAATGGAACTTAGGCTGCTGTCTCTTTAGCAGCGGAGTCGTCAGCAGGGGCGGCGGCGGATGCACTCTCGGCCTGCTGTTCAGGGGCAGGAGTAGTAGCAGTAGCCCACTTTGGTGGTCGTGACCATTGCGGATCTTGCCATGGACCAGCGTCGCTAAGCGCACAGCCACCCTCGCACTCGCAAGTGCCGCCAAACTCCTTGGGGAGGTTCTCCTTGGGCACTTGCGCAAACAGCTCCGACTGATAGCCCGAGCCCAGCACCTTGATCTTGTCGACGGTGACGGGATCAAGGAAGCTCTTGACAGCGCTGAAAGCGCTACTGAAACCCCAGGGTGCGTTGATCAGATACAGCTTTCCGAGGCGCTCGGGGTAGTAGTTCTGCGAGATTGCAGAGGCTTGCTTCACGTATCCGTACACTGAGGGGATGCTGGTAATCCCGACCCCTTTTAGATCCATGATTGTGCAGCATGTCTCAAGCAGTTTTCCGGCTTTGCGGGAGCATGAGGGGAGACGCGGGTCGGCTAGTTTCTCGTACTCGACGACCAGGTTTTGAAGCATTCGCTCGCCCGTGGTGATCTTGTACATGGCGTTGAGGTCAATTTTGCCGAGTTTTTCAATGTAGACGGGCCGGCCATCCTGACGAGTCAGTACAAACACACAGAGATCAACGAAAAGGAAAGAAAGGGAATAATACCTTGTCTGTCTTGTGGTAATATTGCGGGTAGTAGGCAAACACCTGGGGTTTCTCGGTATAGTCAAAGGTCCGCACGAGGTCGTCCGTGCCAAATTCCTTCCTCCACTTCTCACACTCAACGAACCTGTTCAGAAAGATGTCAGCAATCTTCATAAATACATACACCACCATAATTTTATGTCTGCAAGTATCCGAGGATCACCAGGCCGGAGAGAGAGGGGGAGGGGGTGACTGTACATCAACTTCGCGGCCTCGACATTAAACTTCCGGGCGCGCAAAAACCGCAGCAGAGTCAGCGTATCTAGACGCTCCGTGTAGCCCTCCTGCTCGAGGAGAGAGCGCAGCTGAAAGATCTTTGCATCCTGCTCTTCAGTTGTGTGGCCGGGGTGACCAGCTCGTGCCTCAGGCGAGGTGGTGGGGAAATCGTAGTCGTCGTATTTCGGATCGAAGTTCTGCGATTTCTCGGCCATGGTTGGGTTGTGGTTGCGTCTATTGTATGACTTAATGATGAACAAGGAGAGAAAACAGGAGACAAGCGAGTCCGATTGTAGCGGCACAGGAGGGTGGACGCAGCAGGAGGTAGTGTGAAACTTGAGTAAGAGTAACTAGTTAGGAACTTTAGCGGAAGCGGAAGCGGAAGTGCAGGTGGAGGTTCTCTCGCCAAGCATCAACGCTCAACATCAACAACAACAACAACAACAACAACAGCAGCAGCAGCAACAGCAGCAACAGCCGCGAGTTGGCTGTATACGAACGAAGATTTGTAGTACAGGGTGAGACAATTAGCATTGGCCATGGAGTGAATAATTAGGTATGAATTCTCATTAGAGCTTGCACTTTCCACTAGTTACTGCATATATAATAAGCATGTGACAACGGAGAATTACACCTAAATATACAAAATACACACACCATTTATACGATTATTAGAAAAGTGCTATAAGGGGTTTTTCTTGGGTGGCTTAATGGTTACTAATCTGCTGTAACACGTTTTCGAGTAGAGAGGGTATATCTATTGTAACTATCAACAAATCTGTTTAGCGTTCTGATATCGTCTAGTAGCAAATACAAAGCAAAGCAAAATCACATAAACCCGAAAGGCTGATGCGCGCGAATTGCATCACTGATCAGGTTAGTCGAATCCTGGGCATAGTTCACTCGAGCCCCATGGCCTTTTTCTCTTCTTCCCAGAAGATGCGCAGTCGTTCGTCTTCTCCAGAGCGCCAGAGCCCATGCAACCGTTGAAGTTCGGAAAGGTTTACCCTAATCTCATCATGTTCAAGGTCGGCATGACGTCCCCACAGATCAATAATAGCAGTGCAAACTTCCTTCATGTTCTCGATTTCTTGTTTGTGGTGTCGACTGTTGAGGTAACAGTGAAGATTATTGAGATCACTCCTTTTGTTCACAGCCTCTATGATGTCTTTTGGCGCTGTACGATCGAGAGAATAGCCCTGGCCTATAGGCAAGTCATAGATCTTCTCAAATCCTTCGATGGCGGCGGGTCGTCTCTCCTCCTCGTTATTGTTTCGCATCCAGTCAAGAGCTTCCAGATCCAACTTGATATTTGCACCGTGGACGCTAGCATTCCTCTCCTGCTGCGCTGCGTTGAAGCGCTTGCTCTCTGTACTTACATGCACCAATCCGGCGATGCGTCCAAGTATCTCTATCCTCTCCATTCTCGTGAGCATCTCCTGTTGGTGATCGAGCGTCTCCTTCTGGACACCGAGCTTCTCCTTTTGAATATCGAGCTTTTCCGCTTGGGTATTGAGAATCTCCGATTGGATATTGAGCTTCTCCTCTTGAATACCGAGCCTCCGTTCCATGTCGTTCATCATCCGGAATAAGCTAAAGCCTCCTTGATTAGCGATCATTTTGGGTTTGTGTGACATCATCAGGTCCTCTGATTGAATAATATTTCGTGCTTGTAGGAGCAGATCGCGTTGTGCCAGGTTCTTCTGGTGAGGCATCTCTGCGGCGATGCAGATAGGGACTGTTGTATTGACACTCCGTTAGCTAAGTGCTTTGAGTACATTTTCAGCCTCAGAACTTACTGTTGCTGCTATTCTGCCCATATGCCCAACTCGGCTTTAGAAATGTGGATATCATGTTCGGAGCCTTCCTAGTTGCATCTTCGCCTTGATAAGCCCAAGGCATTGAACTTGGACTGTACAAGTCAGAAGTAACGTGGGAAGCATTCCTGAGATGGTAATGATTAGGAGACAGGAACAGATTCCATTGTCGCTTTGGCGAGCTCAAAGCAACAGGTTTCGACTGTACAAGTTGGGGGTGACGAGAAAGTTGCATTTTCTCTTTTGGTAGATTCCACGGCTTGGACTGTGCAGATCGAAAGCGAAAAGGTTGGAAGGGCTCCAAAGATGTCAATGATTGGGGAGTAAGAAAAAGATGCGTCCAGTTGGACAAGTCCACAGCTTGGACTGTGCAAGTCGAAGGCGAAGAGGTCGGAAGGCCCTCAGAGATAGTAATGGCTGGGGGACAGGAATAAATTGTGGTTTGAGTGGTTGCATGTTGGTCAGCAGGGTTTTTATAAACAAGAAATTGTTCAGATGAATAGCGAGTGCCCCAAGCCTTTGTCTAAGCACAGTTCTTTATTTGAGTAATCCAGCGAGCATGCCCGCTATCCTGAAGCAAACATAAAACGATTCATTATCTAGGCAGAATCAAAGCAGGATTGTTTGTTGCCATTTCATTTTCTGATAGACATGGTCAGTAACTCATCGAGCAGTCTAACCCCTGGGCTGTCAATGTTACTCACTGAGTCCTTGGTGAATATGCCAACCACTGCAGGTGAACTCTAACAAAGCTCCCTGTTTTGCTTTCAAACTCTCTTAGCCCACAAGATGTATTGGACGGATACCCAGGTACTGTTTGGCGTCATTTCTTTCTTTCTCTGTGCTTGATTTTGCAATTGTTGCAGCCAACTCTGTTAAATACCTAGGCATGGTTTACTGCTAGGTGTGCAGGCAAGAATTGACTAAAACTTGACTTTTAAAACCACAACCCTTTCCAGTCTTTTTTGAGTTCTGCAAAATTTTTAAGTCAGACTTCGGAAGGTCCAGATCAGGAAGAGGATAGAGAGATAGATTTCACATACCCAACACTTGTAAAAAATGTCTCCTAAGACATGCATAGGCAAATCTCCAAATGCTAGGGAAACCTCTAAATATCCAAGGTATATATGATTCTGCCAAAAGATGCCTATCTGTATGTATATAGATATAATATCGCTTATTCAATGCCCGCAAACCAACTGAAATAAATGCAAAAAGCAAGTAGGAAAGAAAAAACATCATAATTATTATTACATGAGGCAAGACTGTTGATTAGCCGCAGCCGCGCCTGTGCAAAGGCAGAACAACATGGTATAGAAAGACAAACTCAAACCAGAGAGAGTAGGTAGTATAACCACCGTCCCTGCTCGCAAACAGCAAAAGAACCAACAAGTAGTGATATAATCAAAATCATCATTTCGAACCAGCGAAATGATAGTATATAGGTATGAGTAAACCCTAATCTCTCCAGCAAGAGACGCATTACTGTATATACCATATCGTATCTTCAACAACAGACATAATTCAGAAGATAAAACGAAAAAATAATTGAACAAGGGTATGTGCAAAATCAGACTAGAATCAACTGATCCAAGCCGGCATGAAAGGGTATCATAGCAAGAGCCGCTAGCTCAATACGGAACAGACGTAGTATACATCACCTACCATCCTTTCCGACGAGCAAACCGTTTGTTCAAAAGAACCAAGACTTTCGACACATTGAACTGCACGTACTCCAGATCGAGGTCTTCTTGACTGTCTTTCTGCATTTCAAGAAGATCATCGAGTTTCAGGTCCAATTCCAAGAGACCACGCGCACGTCCTGTACGAAGGTTTATTAAGTTAGTTTACGTCAAGATTAGAATGAAAAAGCACTGCTTACCCTTATAGTGTAGGCTGATGACAAACGTCCCCGGAAGAGGGCTCCGGAACATGAAGTAGATATTGGCTCGGCGATTCTCAGGGACATTGCTTTTGCGGATAACGCCTTCCTTCTCCAGCTGCTGATGAGTGAACTTGTAGGGCCCAAGCTCTTGGTTCTTCTGTTGTTTGCGTTGCTTGCCTTCGGACTGGCTGCGCACATTATGCAAGTATGATTTGTACGTTTCCAACTGACCTACCAAGTACGCATTGTGGTCACGGATCGTACGGAAGACCTCATCCAGCTTTTTGGTTTCTTCAACAACTTTCTCTTTGAGAGATCCGAGGTGGACTAATTCCTGCTCAACCTCATCGCGCAAAAGGCCAAACTCATCTGAACGATCAATCACCCCCATCTCTTGAAGCTGGCTGAGAAGTTCCATAGTACGGATTCCCTTGCGAACCATGACTGCATCATTCTTCAAGGTTGCTGCAGCTTCGGCAATACGATCCAGACGCAAAGGTCGTCTCAAAACGCTCGAATTGGGCGGCAGAGAACGCAATATCTGCACAAAAGTTGACTTGGCCTCCATGAAGTAGATTTCCTCTTGTGTGATGTCTAATGCAGCGGTAAGATCGTCAACCGATGTTTCCCACTTGCTAAAGAGAGGCAGATTGATCGTGCGGTTGTCTTTTCGAGGGAGCTGGGAGGGCGCTGGGCCGAGTTCTTGTAGCAGTGTGTGCAAATGAGAGTGCTGATCCGAAGCTACCAGAGAACCGGTATGCTTTTCTAGTAAGGCATGAGTGGCGTAAATCTCATTTAATGAGATCTGTAGTTCCAAGTCGCGCTTCGTCAAAGCGACGTAATTATCCATCTCCAAGCTTTCGTAGAAATCTTGAACTTCGCACAAATCAAGCATGAACTTGTTCACACGCTCTTTGTTCTGGTGAATGAATGGTTGCAACTTTGCCATGTAGGGCTCTTTGGCATACGAAGGTTTGTTCGCCAGGTTCTGCAGCATCTTGGCGATGAGGGTCAATGTGCGGCGCGGCTTATCCGACGGAACAGACTCAATCAGCATGTAGGAGCGGGGGGTCACAATGGCTGGATTAATAAAGCGAAGGAAAAAGAAGCCTCCGATCAAAGTACAAATGGTCTGATCTTGGGCATCAGGATACTTGCGGCGAGACAGGCTACGAATTTGCTTGCAAATCCATCGGATACCGTATGGAGCATCCTCGAGTCCATCAATTATAGTTGTCAGGAAAGTGTTGGCAATGTCGGTTAACATCTTCAATCGAGGAGCAATGATTGCCTGCACCTGTTCGTTTTCGGCTGCGACTTCAGCTGTCACAGATTTGGCTAAGTAATCCGGCAGGTGTCCGGTGTCCTCTTCAATCTGTTGAACCATGCTTTCATAGACCTTCAATGGGTTGATTTCAAGATCCACGTCCTGCAACTCAATGAGCGAATTGATCTGATCAGCCAAAACATGTTTTAGGTAACTTTGGCCGGGGCCGCGGCGAGTGTAAGTCGTCATCATCCGCGAAACGGGTGTATTCTGGCGCAAAAGCGAAGAGTATTCCGGAGTATTGTCAAACTGATAGGTGAGAACAGATTGAAACATGGTCAGTAGTAAATGTTCTTCGCGACTCTCGTACTGATTCCCGTAGATTGTGAACATGACTGTTTGCAGAAGAGAATCAATTTCTGACATTGAAACGAGACGGCAGAGATGTGCGATGTGCTTCGGCTCCGACTGGAGGAGAAAGAGGAGGTTTCCATATCGTTGAGTTTTCTCGTCGTTGGGGAAATATCCTTCTTGTTGAGTATCTAAGCTTTCTTCGAGACGGCTCGAGATTTCGTTTTGCTACGGAAAAAGGTCAGTCACGTTTATAAAGAGGATGTAGCAGAAGGAAAACGTACTTCTTCCAATGCCATCCGGTTTTGAATAAGCAATGCGATTCTGGAATCCAAATAGCGGACATCTTTCTCGAGAACGAAGTTCTTTTTGGACTGCGACGAAATTTTGGCTTTGAGTTCCCGGAGGTGTTTTTGAGCTGTCAAACCGAAACAAAGTCAGCGGATACAATAGTTTTCGGAATCACAGAGACGTCGCTATACCTTTGGCTAATTCGTCCGAGATTTCCAAATCCTTGTCCTTGGCGGACATAGACAAGTAGAGTGCGGTGACGGAAATGCGCTTCGACGCACGCACTGACCTGGTATCGTGCGAAGACATTGTGTTTTGGCGAGAGACGGGCTGGAAGGAAGAAGACGAGGAGGTTGAGGCCCTTGACGCCGGCTGGAGCATGGTTGCTACCGACATTGGAGCGACAGAATATAATGATATCGAATGACCCGAATGCGAAAGAACGGATGGTTATAATATAATTAACGCTGTCAATATATATGTCGCGTAGTATAGCAGGAGGGTATGAAAGTCAAAGCTGCCCGTCCCATTAAGAAATACGGATGAGGAGGCTGAGTGTCAATGGTTTGTCGACTCGTACTCGGCTCGGTGTCGCTCAATGGATGAAATAAACAACAATAACGATGCTCGAGAAATTAAACCTTTCTGGACGGTACCAAGAAAAGTGGTGGTTTTCCAACGTCAAATGCGATCTTTCTTTTTCGGTTTGTATTTTTTATTCGCTGTGAAAGTACTGAGAAACTGAGGTATTCTTGCTGAACACAGGGGATGCTGGGTAGGGGCGAAACGGGAAAAGTGTGTCACGCTTTATTGTTGAATTGGGGCCGTGTACGGACGGATGTAGGGCGATGGCGATGGCGATGTCGAGGACAAAGACAAAGGCAGAGAGAGAGAGAGAAGAAGAAGAAGACGAAAGAGCGAAAAGAAGGACGGATTGGGTGGTGAGGAAGGAGGGGTGCGAAGGTGGAAGGTGGAAGTGGGAAGCGGAAAGAGGAAAGAGGAAGGAGCAGGGAAGGGAAGGAGCGGGGGTGTGCGACTTCCTTGAGTTCTTAGTAGAAAATAGTCGGCTGGCTGCTACACGTACAGGCTACATACAATAAATAAATAATATTTAAGATAACTAATATCAGATACCAAGTGCTAATAACCGCGATAAGAGTCAGCATGGCAGATATAATTATATGTCGCAAACCGGCGTTAGGACGGCGTTCAGAATGTCACAGCCTCCAAATCACTAAACGTGCACATAGAAGTTATCAAGAGGAAGAGCCCAAGACTAAGAAATCAGGAATGGACTTGACTGCGCACAGTGCGCAGTGAGTGGGCTCTGTGGAGAACGAGATTAATTAGATAGAGAAAAAGGGGCAAGTTCGAGGTGAGACAGGCTTTTACTATTTAGCATGGTGCGACAAGAAAAAGCAACCCCTGAGCCGGTCTGAGGGACGCCGAGAAGCACGCTGATTGGCCCAGGCAGGGCGCTTGCACGCAGGAACAGGCTCAGCTCGGAGTATAAATTATTGAATATAAGACTTACATATCTCATTTGTCACTTGATATTGATATTGATATTGGTAGTGGTATTGGTATTGGTATTGGTATTGGTATCAATATCCTGTCTTATTTCCGACGCTATTATAAGAAAACGTAGTCATACTTCAGGGCACTAACTACTGCTGTATGCAAGGGGAATGTGTGACAGGTCTGGACTGTCAGAGTACCTGGGACAGAGGAGCGACTCCGTCTCGTGACCGCAGCCCGGACTACAACTTTCCGAGTCTTACAACCAGCGCTTGCCCGTCCGTCAATCAATATATTTCTCCAATGAATGTGGACTAGCAATTTTCCTTGACATACATCCGAGTCATGTGACTATCTCAATCACGTGACCCAATCAGGTTTAATCACATGCATTAATACTTCATAGCGTCATACGCTTCCGCTAATTGATGATATCCACAAAAAAAAAAAAAAGGAACCCCCCTGTATACGGGAGAGAGATGGGGGAAATGCTTTTTAGAGTATTCCACACTACGCGCAAGAATGCAAAACATCGTGATTGGTGGCCGTGGACCGTGGTTCCAGCGACCGGCAGCCTTACCCGAATAGGCGCTAGTTTTCCTACCCGCACTAGCGCCTCCGCAATGTCCGCATACGGCCCCACTAGCTCTTCCCACTCCTTAAAATCAAGTTAGCAACCGTTTAAGTTTTGATGTACCCTTTGCGTGCTTTGGCCAACTGCAAAATGGCTCGGCTCCGGCTGCTCCCGCCGCCTTGCTGCCGATGATGACGAAGATGTGCACAGTGGTAGAGCTCGGCGTGCATGAGGATTTCTTAGACTGCCCTGAAGCCCTGAAGCGTCTACGATGCCGGCGATGACGTGGTGGCCGTTTTCAATGTCGGCGACGTTCCATCTGTAAGCTTCTTTTTTTTTTTTTGCCGTGATGGTTTATCTCTGGACAATCGCGCTCTCTAGTGTAGTAGGACTTGAGTGGTCTGAGGTCGTGGCTTTATAACATGTAGGATGTAGGAACGTTGTACTGAAAGAGATATGTGTATATCCTGCGAACAATTGTTACTAATATGTCAGCGACCGGAACAGTTTCCTTTGCCATTTGGAAGTGCGAAACAACGCCGGTTGAAGTACTAGTTACTGCTTCTACCCCCGCTGCGTCATCAACCTCATTTGTTTCTTTACCTAGGTACCACAGGCACTTGACTCTAGCTCGGCTAAGCCTAGCGAGAGGCGCGTCTGCTAAAAGCGCATATGCTGGTACTTGCTATTGGTACAATGGCCTTTCTTTTTTTGGGAAGGGGTATGAACAGCTTGATATTAAATAAAGCATTACTGGCATGTAAACTCTGGACTGGATACTCCATTACCGAACCCAACCCTCCTTCCTCATGACCTCTCCAGTCCACTCCTCCAACCTCTCTGCAAGCTTGTCATCCTTCGCCGCACTGCTCTGCCACCTCGGCTCCCCAAAACGTCGGAAAATTTCAAAATAAGCGCCGCTCTGCTCCGCTTTCATATCCGGACTCGCCGCACAGAACAAATTAGACCACGACCCCTTATCGGCAGGCCATATGAATCCAAAAAAGCGCAAGGCCGAGAAAGCGCCGTTCATGCCCGACCCCGACTTCCCCACCGACGCAGCGAGGTTTGTCTCAACAAGACCTGGATGCACGGACGAAACCCAGATCTCGCCCTCCCCGTTCCGTGCACTGGGAGAGCCGGGCCCGTACTTTTTGTTGAGGGTCTTGGTGTGCAGAATATTGGCGAGCTTGCTCTGTCCGTACCGCTGCCACGGCCCGTTATCCTTGAGCGATAGGTCCTTGAAATTGATGCCGCCCTTGGGTGCGCCCAAGTGGCCCGACGAAGTGAGGTTGACGATGCGCACGCTGCCGGGAGGAAGCATTGTGGCGGTCCACAGCATCACAGGAAGCAAGTGCTCTGTCAGAACCCAGTGCGCGAGGTAGTTGGTCTGCCACTGAGCCTCGTGGCCATCTTTGGTCATTTCAAAGGGCGTTGCCATGATGCCTGCGTTGTTGACTAGGCCGTGCAGGGCTGTTTCGCGGGCGAGGAAGTGCTTAGCGGCGGCGACGACGCTGGCCACATTCATGAGGTCCATTTGCAGGAGGTCCACGTTGGCTGAGGGGTGCATTTCCTTGATGTTGGCGATGGCTGCTGTGCCCTTCTCTGGGGATCGGGCGCACATGTAGACGTGGGCGCCGTGTTCTGCCAGGTGGGCTACAGTGTGGTAGCCTCTGTAGTTTGGTGAGGTCAGCTATTCGGGCTTAGTGCTGAGACGGGATACTCACATGCCAGAGTTCCCGCCTGTGACTATGAATACTTTGCCTTTGAGATTGGGGAGGGTTTCGGGAGTGAAAGTCATGTTCAACGAGTGCTCGAGGCAATGCGATGTCGATTCGATGTTATTGATTGCTACGAAAAGATGCGTCAAAACTAGGGTATTGCTACTGTTTTTATATATTGCTGTTGTTCAAAAAAATAAGTTGCCTGTTGGATGTTTAGATATTCACAATTCTAGATATTGTGAGCCACCTGCATAAACCAGGGCGAATTTGTAGCCAATGACAGCGCTGTGTTTGCTGGTGATGGAGCCGAGGCGGGGTGGGGCCCGTCCACGATGTGAGCAGGATGCATGGCGCTAGGCCTGTTCAGTTTAGATGCTGCAATAGTGGCCAATGATAGACTATTATTTCATTTCTGGGACAGATTAGATTATCGCCGCCTCCCTCCCGTGAGCAGGTTGTATAAACAATGAGTAGATGTGTTAATTCATGTCAGTCTCATCATCACCGCAGTTCTAGCGTCTGCCAGCATCATGATGAGTACGTATCAGCCTGTTAAATCAGCAGCTCCACGCATCCAGCTCGCGTCGATACCTCAATTGGCCGAGGTACGTATCAGGCCGCCTTCATTTATCACGATGACCCGACTTGCTCACCGTCCACAGGCGAGAAGCAAAGCAGATGACTGGACTGGCACCAAGGATCCCGCAGCACGCAGACGGGCACAGACTAGACTCAACACGAGAGCATACCGTAAGTGAGGCCTTCTCATTCGTCCCCAACTAGGCCCCAAATATCAAAACTAAAAGTCCAGTAGGAAAGCGAAAAGCCCTAGCAAGGAAAGCGGAAGCATGCAGTGCCGCAACTAGCACATCCGAAGCGATGGTAGAATGCTGGGACATTGAGCAGCAATCCGTCTCCATCGTCCCAGCATCCCGTATCAAGCAACTATACAACGCGAGAAAACCTCTGCTGCCGCCAAACAGATCTAGCAAAAAGCAAGTAAACGTTGTCTTCCCCCTCTGCCCAGACCACCTCATCACACTCCTCCAATTCAATGCCCTCCGCGCCCTGGCTGTCAACCGCACTCTAATCTCCGGCATCCTCGTTACGCCGCTCGACTGTTCTGAGGAAATTGTCCACATCATCCCTTACCCTACCAAGCCCGAAGTACTCCCTTCAACACTCCTGCCCACCACCCTTCAACAAACGGTGCCTCACAGCGACTGGATCGACCTGTTCCCCTGTCCCGAGGGCCGAGACCGCCTGATCCAGGCCGTGGGTACCTTCGACGAGGATGAGTTGTGGGCCGACTGCATCGGCGGGCTGTACGATGGCTTTCCCGACGACGAGATCAAGCGACGCGGCATTATTGCGTGGTCGCCGCCCTGGGACATCACGGGGTGGGAGATGTCGGAAGGGTTTCTGAGGAAATGGGGGTGGTTGTTTGAAGGGTTGCCAGGGGCGTTAGAGGCGACAAATCGGTGGCGGAGGGAGAGAGGCGAGGAGCCGCTTGTTTATGATGATTGTACGTTACCTGCAACTTTGTGACAATTTTTTATGTTGTACTTCAGTTTGATTCCGTGGCAGAACTACATACCCAGCTCTATACGATCACGTACTCATGCTTGCCCAGAAGGGGCGGGTATTTGGTATTTCCTAATTAAACTCCGTAGATCTGCTGGCGATCGATTGGACATCCGTAAGTCGTGGCGGATCGCTGCCAGAAGGAAAGTATCGTAACAGGTATAAGACTATAAGGATACATGTACAAGCTATCGGTTAAAAGTAAACGCCCTTCCAGCAATTTCTTTCTTCGTCTTCCGCACACCACTTGGCGCATTCAACGCCTTTGCATATGGGTTGAAGGGCTTTTTCTGGTTCGCCAAACCTGACGCTGCACTGCCTGATGCTGCTGCGGCCAAATCCTGTGAATGGAGCACGGAAGCTGCGGAATTATAATCAAAAGGAATTGCGTCTTCCTCCTTTTTGTTTGTTGGTTTTGTCACTTCTTTTCGTGGCTTTTTGGCGACAGGTTGTTGGACCTCTTCCTCCTCCTCCGAGTCCTCTGAAGAGCCCTCTTCATCGTCCTCTTCACTGCTGCTGCTGCCGCTGCTAGAGGTGGACGATGCATCAGACTCTTCTGGTTCGTCTTCGGCCACCTTCCTCTTGTGTCTGGGTGCGATCTCCTTGACCGTGAATATCTCATCCCTTTTGTCTGCTTTTTTGTTGACTGATGGAGATGCCGACGGCGAGGCCACAGCCGAACTAACATCTTTGATTGTATGTTGCACTTCGGACACTGTCACCGGCATAGGAGGAATAGGAAGAGACAGCCTGAGGGCCTCGAATGATGCGGCAACTTTATAGTTTGCCGGTACCACAGCCGCCACCTGTGGCTGCAATGCAGCGCCCCAGAACTGAGACGAATCTGCTCGAACCACTGATATTATATTATCACTATACAGTTTGTCGACCGATTCGACAGCGGGAGGTGGTGATTTTGATGAAGCAGCAGCAGCTTCCGCTACGGTTTTCCTAGGCTTGATAACGTCACGTAGCTCGGGACCTGTAGCTCCTTCAATCTTCGCCTTTTTGATGACCTCCAACAGCTCTGATATCCTGTTCTTCACTATCAAAGTCACAGGGGAAAGTGTCTTGAAGAGAGTATGCTTGTCGACGGGCATCGCCGCAGCTACTTTGAATAGTGCATGCCTTGGGAAAACACATTGCACACCTTCATCTTCTGCTCGAGCAACTTGGTCTCGCCACTCATGGACAGCCTTGAAGACAGCGAATTGCTCTTTTGAGAAAAACCCAGAGTTCCTGCTTAAGAGATCGTACCAACCTCCAGCACCCTGCCCGCTGGCAGCATCATAAACGGGCCGTTCGTAACGTTGCAAAGCTTCGGTTTTTGATCGTTCCAGAACATAATCAACCAGATTGTTTTTAGGGCTTGAATTCTCCACCAACTCATTGCGCATGCAGTCGTATACGTAGAGAAGGTAATGTGTATCGGCTCGAGCATATTTCAACATCTCCTCAGTCAATGGCCGGAGACGCCAGTCGGCCATTTGGTACTTCTTGTCCGCGTCGTAATTGGCGAATTTTTCAAGAAGAAACTTCAAGCTTCGCTTGGGATACTCTAGAGCCACGGCAGCATGATAAGTATCGAACATGCCCACAACGTACAACCCCAGATCCCTTTGGAGCCAGACAATATCCATTGTGGAGCCATGCAAGACTTTTAGGATCTTGGGGTCAGTGAACACTTCGTTCAGCTGCTGCAGATCCTCTCTCCACGGTTGCAGAGTGTCCACCACCCAATCCTTGTCGCGCGTACTGATTTGCATCAACGACACCAGCCCATGATACGAGTGCACATCGTGATGTTCCAAGTCAATAGCAATCTCCTTTGCTTTCTTGAGCTCCTTGATCATTTCGGCCAGGCCTTCTTGTGTATCGACCCAGACAGCCTCTGTCGTTTCGACGGGACCGAACTCAGTCGGCGGCGCAACAACGTAAGCCGACTCGCTGTACTTCGCCTCGCGGATCTCTTTTTCATACGGATTAGGATAGCTGTGCGTGTCTATTGTCAGTATAGTTTCGGAAAGTCAAGAATAGTTTTCAGATATGTAGTCCACGTACAATGCCGGTTTTCCTTTCCCGTCGACCAATTGAAGAGATTTCTTCAATGGCACTATCGCATTGGGTTTAGATGACAGAAGAGGGCGGAACGGAGACAAGTCCTGGTTATTCGGCGCAGTGCGAAAGAGCAGCTGAGGCTTTGGAATCTTGGACGGTCCATAGTCATAGACACTCGGGAAGGGCTTTGCTTCACGAGGCGGCCGGTCTTGCTGCGGAGGGCTCAACTTCTTGATGACGCCAGTAAACTCATCCAAACACGCATCGGCTTTTTCCAGTAGATTGTCGATCACGTCGACCACGCCTCGCCAATTGTCTTCCACCGCGTCTTCGTTTTCGAGGACCGGCGCCTGTATGTCTGTCCCGCCAGTCGCGGCCTTGAGGAGCGAGGTGGTTAGCGAGAGCAAGCGCGAGCTCTGTTCGTCCAGATCATCGGCAAATTCATGGCTCGAATTTCGATGGAAATTGATGTCCTCTGAGGCTATCCGATTTACTGAGAGGGTGGTGCTCTTCAAAGCATCAGTGAAGCTTTTTTGGAACGAGGAAAAATCTGCCAAGTCGCCCATGTTTGGCAGCCAAGGAGGCCTAAAAAGAGAAGGGGAAAAAAAATGAATTCAGTGAAAGTGAACTGCTTCACTGCATTGGCACATGAGTGAGCACAGGATAAAAAGAGTATCAGCAAAAATCAATTTCTGGAACTCAGAGCCTTTATCATTCTATGTATCTGATAATGAAAATTATTGGATCTGCGGCACAAAACGGCACTGGAAAAAGGTACAGCCGGGGGCGGTGAGACTTTGTTGCCCCCGGGCACATCAAGAACACAACCCAGCTCACTTTGCTACCTTCTCCTCCCCAGCTATTTTTCCCTTGACATTTCTTGTGCACAGTCAGAGACTTCAGCTTCATATTCACGGAAAAAAAGAATCCACAACCCAAACCACCATGTCTGCCTCCCTTGCTCCAGAGTGCAATGAGATTAAAGAGTATGTCTTCCTGTGCAGTCTCAAGAAGTGCGTGCTAGTCTGACTGAAGAGCGATAGGAAGTACGACACATGCTTCCTCAAATGGTACAGTGAGAGTATGGATTCCTTGGTGATTCATGATGTGTCTGAATACATAACTAACAAATAACAGAGTACCTACGCGGCAATACTCAGGATGAATGTGCCAATCTGTTCAAAAAGTACAACTCTTGCCTGATGGTGCGTCCCTGCTTGGTTGTCGAGATAGTCCTTTTATCTTCGTAGAAAGAGACGACTGCTGACAAGATGGAAACAGAAAGCTCTCAAAGAGCGTGGCATCGATACGATGCTCGAAGAGGCCAAAGAGGGGTCGAAAGAGAGCGATGCCGAGTACCTCAAGAGGTAGTGTCTGGCGCTTGACGTCAGGATAGAGCATATCAAAAAGAGAAAAAATAAAAGAACAGCATCCCACCTCTCTGGGAAATCTCCTCTCAACAAAATTAAAAAAAAAAAGAAAGGAAAGATGAAGAGAAAAAGAGAGAGAAGAATACCCACCACTACATATGTCGGCGCTCTTGGGGTACTGCCCCTAGCAACACGATGGCCAACGCAACGATGTAGTCCTCATCTTCGCTCATGGTCTCGGCCGTTTCCATGTATCGGGCGAAGAACTCCTTGTCGGCGGTCGTCTTGAGGTCTTTATTAAACTTGGACTCGCAGTCCTTGTGGGTCGTGTCGGTTCCGTATTGGTTACGGAAAATCTCTGCCACCTCCTTCCACGACAGTGAGGTCGCGAGCTTCATGATGATGAGGAATAGGCATTGCTCCCTGGTCCAATGGCCTCCGTGAGCCATTTTCTTTTCCTCGGCTGGTTTTCTAGGTCTTCATTGATTGATCAGTTGATTGTCTCCTGAGTCTGGAATCTGGGACTCACTGATTTGAAGCGTAGAGAGGTTGGAGAGGATGACGAGGATGTTGTTGAAAGTGTCTTTGATTCTGGGGTTTGGGAGTTAGCCACTTGGAATTTGAAATCGAGGACAGTAGCCAACAGGATGTTGGTTGTGAATATGAGTTGGGTGTGGGCCTTTCTAAGGATGGAAGTGCTACTCTGGGATTCAGACCTACCGACTTATGGATTTGGCGTGAGGGCAGGCAGCCAGCAGGATGTTGACTGTGAATATGATATGGATCTGATGTTGGATTTGAGGTTGAAGTTAAGGAAAAGTGCTGAAAGAAAAGAGAAAGATTTGGAGGAAATTTCCATATTCACAGACAAGTCGTGCACGATAAGTCAGGGTCAAGTGATTTTTCTGTGAGTGAATTTGGTCTCAATACTTGCTATTATGGACAATAGGTTGATGCCTGGAAGGCTTGTATTATTTATTGTGTCTACTATTTGTTATGTCTATTATTTATTGTGTTTGTCAATTATTGTGTTTATATCTTAGTATTGACAAATGAAAATCCTAGTAATTCAACCAAATAACTTGGTATCAATAGCCATTCCTACTATTAAAGATTATATTATGCCTGCCTACGCCATATAACAACCCACTTTACAATTCACCACCCTGGATTACTGACCTCTGGCAATACCCTTGGGAGCTCATAAGTAATTTGTTTATAGCTGCCTAGGTACAAGGCTGCGTCAACAAATATGTTGAAGAGATCACTTATTAAAAAGAGCTATGTATATATATACACATTAAGTGCAAGAGCATCATACAATTATCATCATCATCATCACCATCGATGGCCTCGCCGACCACCACCACCATTAGTTATATAACTAGTAGGCACTTTTACGACACCACCACCTCCTCCTGCGGAATGACTCTTTCTTTCCGTCAGCCGGTTCCAGACTTCGAACATTCCGGCACGGTGCGCGGGAAGCATGCTGTATTGCATACTGTAGAGGTTCCGACGGTGTATTGGAGGCACAAATTGGCCGGTGACGAGGCACAGGATGACGCTCAGAGATATGTAGTGTTTGCGAAGACGATGGCCGAGTTGGAAGTATTGGTCGAACATGGCGCGGAGAGAGAGAGGCATGGACTATATTTTATGTTTGAGAAATGTGAGTATGGCGGTTTCTTTGTTTTTTTTTTTTTTTTTTTTTTCTTCTTTCTTTCTTGTCTTTGGGAAAGGGGGTTTGGGTCAACACACGTCAAGATGGATGTACGATATGGTGGTGGGTTCATCCACGTCTTTCTGCTTGGATGATGGTTTGATGACTTCTTCTCGTAACGAAAAATATATCCCCCCTACAAGCCATAGTTAGTATGAGAAAGGTCGTCAAAAGGGTTTCGGAAGATTTCGTACCTGGCAAGCGTCCAGGATCCTTGACGCGCAGCATCAATGCAAACAGAGGGAAATGATTCAAAAATGCCAACCACGTATCAAGTGCTGCCTTGAGCGAGATGATTAACATGCGTGCCGATGCAAAGGCAAGATAGAAGACGACAACCGTCGGCAACAGAAAAAACAAAACAGTGAAGAGGATCGTTCCCAGCAAAAGCTGATCGAGATCATAGTCGCACGAATCGATTCGGTTTCGAAGAACATTTCGTTTCTTGCCGCGAAAAAGATGGAAGAGGGATATTATAATGCTAAGTTGCCAATTGAAAATGCGCGCGGACGCTATGTAGAATGAGTAAATATGAATGGTGATGATTGAGAGTAAATCAGAGAACAGAGCAATTGGCATGCTGGCGCCGGCAAAGCTCGAGCATCCAATGACGTATATTAGATGTGGTAGGTATGGTTGTAGGTTGGCAATACAGGCTATAGACGAAGCATATCAGCATTTCGAAAGTTTTTCACTGTAATAGATCAGTCCACCACCTACCAGCCCAGTGTTCAATGACCCAGAGGAAAAGGTCCCCCAGAAAAGCAGCCAATTCATTATTCAGCTTCAAACCAGCGGGCCAGCCCATAAGCCATGATATAGTTCTTTGCAACCCCTCCACTGTCCAATCTGTTATCAAGTAATTAATCTGACTGGCCACCCACTGAGCGTTATCAATAATGTAAGAACCCAGCGCAATGCCGATGATGACGTCGTTTGCTACAAGCCATAGCGAGTTATAAAAACGAATGTAATCGGGATGGCTAGTTGTGATGCTTTCCCAGTTATCTTTTCTCTGCCGAAGCTTGACGTATTGTATCGGCCAGTAGCAGAATTGTTGTAGTCGAATGTCTACCTGCTGCGCTGTGGCAGATATATCTTTGAGAGCTGCAGCATCAGGCCGAGCTCGCCATTCAAGCAAACGCAGAACGATTTCAGCTACTGCTCGATGACACACCAAGCCGAAGACGAAGCATCTCGTAATAACCGGCCACATCCATTGCCAAAACACGTAAGCAATCCCCAAGACGAAAAGATCCCAGATTGTTGTAGCAGATTCAACGACGCGCTCGCTGACACTCATGCTCCTTTTGGGACGCGTTCCGATCAATCCACTATTCCTTTCGATAAGCTGTCCAATCTCAAATGCGCAGTTCACTTGATTTAGAATAGTATGCAGCATGACCTCCTTTTGAGAGGGGACATGCCGAACGACCGCATGCCACTTGAGTTTCTCAATTAGTTTCTTTGACCGTGCCTTCTCTAATTCTTCCTCCGCATCAATCTCGGCGAAAGATACGCCTTTCCCTGAACTTATTCGTTTATCGGCTAGAGCTAAAGAAATGGGATCCAATGACATGTATTGCATACGCGTCGGGTGAGGGCGATTAAACATTATAACCTGGACCGAGATATGCACCTCCGGCGGACAAAACACGCGAGGAACCCTATGTGATGAACGTGTGGTTACCGAAAGATGTGAGGCATCGAAGGTTGTTGGTGGTTCGACGGGGTTTGTCGAGCCCAAAACATGCATCGACGACTTTCCGCAAAGCACGAATAGCTGTGCAATTGGATGTGGGCAATTGCGGAATAATATGCCTGTTCGCAGGGCATTGTCGACGTTTTTGGGCTAAGCAGTTTGATATCACGAATTAGTTCTGTATCTCTAGCATTGCTTATTATACGTACCTCGACATGCTCCAACACGGTTACCACGAAGAGATCCAGAGGCGAATTGCGCCAACCTACAATCACACCCGGAGACGAAGAGCGTGGTATATCATTCGGCCAGAAGACGCGTAGCAATCCATCGCCATTTAGCATATTGACATCGTTTCAGGTGTGACGGCCCACCCTCCTCAGAATTGTTATTTTAAAAGGAACCCCTCCGGCGCAATTCTTCTCGGGCAGAAATGCCTTGCTGAGCAACTCGAGGATGTAGGTCGATTTCCTTCGATGCGAGATAATTAAGCGGTACGATGAAAATGAAAAATACTATTGAGAGCAGCACAAATCCCTTAGCAGTGCGAGCAACAACGCTGTGATTCCATGCGAAAATAGCCAATTCGTAGAGGCGAGTGACCAAGTCCCACCGTGCAGTGATGTAGCCCGCTACGAAGATTCCGAGAGTGAGAACAGAGAATGGATGCATTAATTTGAAGCCGGATTTTGTCTGGCAGTCAAATCTGCAGTATCAGGTTCGATGTAAAGAAAACAAAAAAAAAAGTTAAAAAATTCAACGTAGCCGCATGGTCGTGGAGGTTGGGATTTTCCTAGACTGAGAAAGCTTGCGTATGCAATTCGGAGAGCGCCAACGGTGTCGCAAAGCTGATATCAAATGCGAAGATAGAGGGTACGGCGTAGCGGTTCGAGTCAGAAGGAAAAAAAGAGCATTCTCCCAATATTGATGGGGAAAGAGATTGAATTTCGAGAGGAAAGCAGCGTGTTTTTGTCAGGGGATCTTGTTTGCTGGTGATGATCGCGATTGGTGGCATCCCGGGCACGTGATTGTCAGACATCTACTGCTGCTGACGGTTCTACAAAGGCGTTGCAGACTAAATCTGGGTTGTTGAATTATCTTTTCAAAAAAAAAAAAAAAAAAAAATTAAATGGGACAGTTTCTGAGCGCTAGAGATATAATCAACAATATAGAATTACTCCCCCAGCCGCAGGACAGTCAAAGATGAGGATATTTCCTCTTCATTATCAGTAAAATATTATACATCATCAACCCATATTGTGTGTTTGTTCTAGACCTTCCAACCAATTACTCCGTAAAAGAATAGCCTTGTGCCTGATAATCGAACTGATATAAACTCAAAATAGCGCAAATAGATCAAGTCGAGAGCGGTCTATAAAGCTTTGATGCCCTGGAACATCTTATTTGACTGCAACTTCTCATCTGCTGCAACTAAATCACGCATGATCTTGCGTTTTTCTTCCGTTGTCATATTCTCCTTCCCTGGACCCTCAATCTCAGCCTTCCACTTGAGTAGCATCGATTTCAACAGAGCATTGCCTTCTTCTACTTCTTCTTGCGTATAACCATCGAGACCCGCGGACTCCTTCTCCTGGTTATCAGCAGTTGCTGATGTGAAATCTTCCAGCTCTTCTGCCTTCTGCCTAGCCATATTGACAACCTTTTCTGGGAACCGGACAAGTTCGGCGACATGAATGCCAAAGGATTGATCACAAATGCCAGGCTCGACGCGGTACAGGAGTGTGACTTCTCTTTTCTTCTTGCCCTCTTGCTCCTTACCATCTCCAATAAAAGCCACGACATGCAAGTTCTTCGCAGACTTTGGATAACGATCGGCCAAAGCCGTCAGCTCATGAAAATGAGTTGCAAACATGCCGAAGCAGCCTATCTCGGTAATAATATGCTCGGAAATAGCCCACGCAAGACCAAAGCCATCGTATGTACTGGTTCCTCGACCGAGTTCGTCAATGATAATCAAGGACTCCGAGGTGGCAGACTTTAGAATATTCGAAGTTTCAAGCATTTCCGCCATGAAGGTCGACACACCCTTGAGCTGGGAATCACTCGCCCCCACTCGAGCTAGGATGCAGTCAAATATAGTTAACTCTGCTTCGGTACATGGCACGAAGCAGCCAATCTGGGCCATCAGCGCGATGACCCCAATTTGTCGAATGTAGGTAGATTTACCACCCATGTTCGGTCCAGTAATGATCAGGAACGAGGACTCATCTCGCACAAGTGAAACGTCGTTGGTGATAAAAGAAATGTCGTCTTGCATTTCCATGCATGGGTGGCGCGCTTCTTTCAAAATAGTGTTCCCTGTACCTCGTGGATGCATTGAAGGACGAACATATGCTGTTGGGGCGTGGACTGATACATGCGCGAAGCTCACAATAACATCCAGATGAGACAGTGTCCCGGCTAATTGTTCAAGCACTGGACAATAGGAAGTAGCAACATTGACTACTTCTTGAACAAGTCCCGACTGCGTGCGGTTGTAATTCGATGACAATTGATCATGCTCTCTACGGAGTTCTTGCATTGTTTTGGTGGTGAAATAGACACCGTTCTTCTGTGTCGAGCACTCTTGATACCCGCGTTTATTGCGAATACAACCGGCTTCATTCCGGGTTAACCTGAAGCACCAGCCATGAACACGGTGGTTCTCAAGGAAAAGCTTCTTTTCCATGTCCTGGTTTAAGTCCCGAGCGACAGTTCGATGCTCCACATTCATGTCATGCCTAAGCTTGTCTAGCTTCTTCCGAATGACTCGGAGGCTATCATCAAATTCTGGCTTTATGATAAATTCGTGACGATCAAGCGCATCAAGGTCGACTGTAGTCTCAACCATCTCCTCAAGTTTTGCAAGACTGTTGGAAAGTCCGCGCAACTTCGTCGTGTATTGCTCATCCAAGGGAGTCTGATATTGCTCGTCCATGACGTTCTCAAAGCTATTAATAAAGCCTGGTAAGCGGATAGCAACCTGATAGACTCGCACGACGTCTTCCAAGTTTGCCTGGCTACGCTGAAAGCGCTTTGCTAGCCTATATAAATCGGGAATTGCCCGTAAATGTTCCTCTTGCATAGTCTGGCGTAGCTCTGTGTCAACGACAAATGCCTCGACTAATTGATGTCGCTTTTTGATTTCAGTGATATCCATGAGTGGTTGCTTGAGCCATTGAGCAAGCAGTCGACTTCCCACTGGTGTCTTGCAATGGTTTAAGAGGCCGTACAAACTCATGCTCTTTGCCCCGTCCCGGGGACCTGGCATTAGGTTGAGTGCACGTAGAGCTGACGCATCTAGCTTCATATATTGTGAAAGATCATGCTGGAAGAGTTGATACTGCCCGAAATTGGTTGAATCGGACATCACCCCCAAATATTTGATCAAAGACGCTGCAGCACCCATGGCCAGTTTCAATTCTGTTTGGGGTAGAGTTGCAGCTGACCGCTCATCACGCAAAAGTCTGGTCAAATCTTGCTCAATGTCTCTAGTACCAAAGTCTGCCACAGGCCGTTCGGTAATAGCAATTCCACAAGTATCAGCAATGGCTCTAAGCTTTCCCAATTCGGCATCCTTCTTTGAACTGTCAAGCTGAATGACACATTCTTTTACGCCGAGCTGAATCACAAGCGACTCAAAATTAGAGTAAACGTCATTGTCGAGGAACTCGCTAACACCGAGCTCTCTAACGCTGGCATCGGCGAAACAAACACCAATATTCTTGGCCTCTGTCGAGCGAGCGGAGACTTTAACAGCAAGGATGATAGGCGCCGAGTCCATTGCCGTTCCGCCTGCACCACCAAGTTCTTCTTCAACATCCTGCAAGTTTCCTGGGCTAGCTTGCTTTCCTAGTCTCCATTGGCCTCGTCCGCCTTCCCCGGAGACCCAGATCTCAACTCGCTTGTTCAGACGGAAAAGCGCCTCTCGGATAAAGCTTCGAAAGACTGTCACGCTCAAAGTCACAGAGGGCAGGCCACCGGAATCACTTCGACCTAGTGTTCGAAGAACAGAGGTAGTTTTGTATACGGTGCGGGCGATGAATTCAGCATCAGTGCCATGGGCTGTGTACCAGTCACCGCGGTCGAATAATCGAATTGTCGTTGGATTGCTTTCATTAACGGCATCTTTAGCAGGTAGCGACCGGAAAAAGCGAATAAAGCCGACTTCATCATCGACCTAGGAAGGTTATGGGTTAGCCAAAGTACTATTTTGCCTCGCGGCGTAAGAAAGATAGTAAAGGAGAATGAGGCATTTCAAAGCACACTGCTATCATATAAATAGAATCCATACCTTCAGCTCCGGCCGTGAAGACATCTTGTCGTTTTCCTTTATGTCGCGACAGGGGAAGTTGTCACAGTAGTTTTTCCAAGCCGCTGAGCAGCATCGAATCGGGGGAGACGCGAACCGGGAGGACGCGGTCACGTGATCACGCGTTCGTGTTTTAAATGACTTTCTCGAATAGGAATAGCCTGGCTATATCATTTCTATCAATCATTTTCATATACTCGACTTGGATCAATGAGACATCTCCTGCCAGCTCTGCTTGTACGAGAAGAAACGGGAAAAAAAAAGGAAAGCAATCCCGTAACCAGGGCATAGGTCTGGAGTTTGTTCGACAAATGATCAGGTGAATCCTTGATTTAGCTTGAGCCAAATTAGTTACGGTAAAGCTAGGATATTATACATTATGCTATGCTCCCGAGCTTCATTTTCCCTGTCGTCTAGGAGGAGCATTGGCGAGGCATATTTTCACAGTGGAGATCATATCAAAACATAATTATCTTCCCACCCATACACGACCAATATATACGGTTGGACATCTTTGCCGGACTCTACAATCGCCGTCTGGGGCCAGAAGCAATTCACAGGTCTTGTCTGATATAAGAGGTCATGGGCCAACCTTTGATCAACCAGCTGAGCGTAAATAGCACCCTGCCTTGTTGGAGACATATTTGAATTCATGGAATATCACGTCATGGGCGTATCGGGACTTATGCAGGGTGAATATCGGTGGTAGGCCGAAATAACCACCCATCCCTGCACAGCGACCTTGTGTTGCGTGTACATTCGAGGGCCGTGCGAACAGTGTATACAAATGCTTGCTGGTCATGGCGAAGTACTGTTTCTCTTCAAAAGATGCCCGGAAAGAAATATACCCAGCCCGCAACACCTCCAGAACTTCCAACCGCGCCAGCCGATCCTCGCAAAGAGTTGTATTATCCAGCGGAAAACAGCGGGAAACAAAGTATATTATTGTATTCAAGGAGGTAAGCGGTCCGTCAGCTGTAGTTAGTTCGAACACAATCTCATTGTTTTTGGCAGAACCTGAATGGCGTCAAGCACCCAATTATTGCATATGGTAAGTCAGCAGTATTTGTTTGATGAGTATATATACTGACTTCTGGAGCAGGTTAAAGACGATGCCACACTGGAACCGTTTATAATATAAATGCTGAATATATTCGCCAGCGGATTGACGCATAGCACCGACAATTTAGCAATGTGCATCCTCTCTGTCTTGGATGACTTTCATCACCCACTTCCAAACTTTTGAATCTGCCACGAAAATCTGTTCTCTTTGAAGACAGCGGTGATGAGATTGCCATTGTAAGACAAAAGTCAAGTTTTTAGCTATTGACCTTTTCAATATGTCTTTCTTGAAATAGCCGTCTTCTGCTTGTTGTATTTTCTCAAGAGGTTCATCTTCCATCTGCATCTCTTTGTAGTGTTGTGTGTTGCGAAGTAAAAAGCGTTTATTGGAAAAAATTAGACTTCATGTCCTCTTCAGCGCCATTTATATGGAACCAGATCATACTAAATAGGCCATAGTCGTCTATCGAGTCGAAGTTGAGAAGTCGGGTCAGCGGCGAGGCGCAGTTGCTCTGCTGAAGTAGTTTAGAAATCTTATTTTCAGGGCAATCCATCCTTCCCATATCCCGTGAGGAAGCAGTTTTGAAGCCATCCTCAAAGCAGATGACGAGATCTAGATTGAGTTTATCGCGTGATTTGTGGCAGTCCAGGAGGGAGGGATTAGGAGCATGACATCAGGGACTGACGAACAAAAAGCCCAATCAATGATGCATGTAATGTTGAAGTCATTGTCAATGTATATATTGTTAACACTCAAATCAGAGTGGCATAGCGGAAATAAAGTAGAGTATTCTTTTGGTAGGCTTTGCAACCATTTTGGAATCATGTCACGAAGAGCCTCTCCGGCGATATTATAGCCAAGCCTCCTAATTTCCTATTTCGGATAATTTCGTTGTTTCCTATCTTGGTAAGTGATGCACGGAGAAGAAATCGACAAATAACAGTATTAGCAATATAGAAGTAAATAACAATGAATGTAAAAAACTACTCCATGTAAAAGTCTTGAATAACACCAATAACTACTGCTGCATACGACGATCACCTATGCCAGTGCGAGTCTGTTAGGAATACAAATACACATAAATCTACTAGCTAGTAGCCAAGTTCTCTTCTCTTCAGCTAAGAATCATGCCAATCAATCCAGGCTACTGACTACATGAGATTGTCCCTCTTCCCCGATTCATTCTCACACATAACTAGCCACTAGTCATGCAATGCACCGACGACCCAGTACGTCAAAGGATGAAGACATCCGACCGGAAAAGCAGGGATTAATCTATCACTAGTGATTCAAGCGTATGCTTGTTTTTTCGCCGGTGCAATGTGTGCGGAAGAAGTTGGTTAATCCGAGTCCTGTCATACTAGCTAATGCATACCATGTACAAGCATAGTCAGTCAGGTCGGCAGTTGGGAACATGAGGCGGAATAGATGGAGCGAATGTTGATATTACTAACTGGTCTTGTTGTCAACCGTGTTGTCTGGCAGAATTGTTTCGGTATAGGTATGCATGGATGACTAGGACCCTGGTCTGAATTGGAGTCTAGGATGATACTGGTTGGAGCTGATCTGGCTTGCCATATATGTATTACCTGATTCAAATACCGTATCAAGTTGTAGCCTGAAGCTCCGCTTTCTCAAGGCTGGTTGTATTTAGAAATTCAATATTATAACTATGCATTCTGGTATATAGATACATTGCAAAACAAACAACGCCCGCTAAATGCACAAAATGACGGAAAAAAAAAAAAAAAAAAAAAAACCGTGTCCAAGTGAATATATAATTCAAAACTGCATCTTGCTCACTTTAATCCCAATATCCCTCGGCGACACATCATAGCCAGACATCAACACCACCGACTTCAGGGTACCAACAGTAACAACCTCAATCCAGTCCCCCGCCACATCCTGCTGGGCTAGTATATCCAAACACGCGGCAATCTCATCGGCAGGGATAGGATTGCGCAGAGAGTCCTGCACTGTTTGTATAAGACTCTGCGATATAAATGGTTTCTTCTGCATGACGACGCAGCCCGTTCTTGTCATCGTGTGAGGAGGCCTCAGCATGGCAAGCACTTGAGCCACCTCCTCAGCGCGCTGGGCGGCAGACCGACGGAGTAGCTGCTCCTTTGTCGGCGCAGGGCCGAGTTTCGACTGCAAAAGCTCCTTGTTCTTGATACGCTCGAACAGGCCTTTGCGACGATCCGCTACGGGGTCGCGCGATACAGCGTCTGCAGCTGTTGGGGTTGTTTCGGCGGCTTTCATCAATGCGGTTTTGGCCTTGATCACGCCGCCCTTGAGATCTTGTAGTCGCTGCTGGCCCTTGCGGAATGTGGTGAGCGGGGTAAGACAGTCGTGGATGGGAGCGAGATCCAGTTTGTCCACATCAAATACATCTTTGTGGGTTTCCTCTTTCTGTGCGACTTGCTGTTGTTCCCTCCATTTCTGGTCCAAAAGCGAGACGAACCGTTCCTGAAGCCGATTCTCATCCAGGAGCCCCGCCGTATTATTGTTATCCATGCATCGTTCAAGACAGACTTTACCAAGTCCATAGTTTGCAATTCGAAACCGCCCCCCGTTTTCATTACCCTGATTCCATACCTGCACTATCCTCTGCACATCCTTGACCGCGACCTTGCGCTTCTTCCATATCTTCTCGATACTGGGCAGCAGCTCTCGCAGATCCGTGGCTGTCGAGGCATCATTATGAGCAGAGTGCAGGGACAGCGCTTTTAAAAAGGAGGAATGCAGATTCGCAAAGTCGGTGAATGCGGCGGGATGTGCGGTGTCGTGGTCGCTGAGTTTGACGGAGAATTTCTTGACAGATGGCAATTTCTGTTGTTTGCTAATCCTGGAGCTGCGCGGCGTCGAGACGGAGAGATTGCTGAATTTCAGGGTTTTGGACGGAGTGTCCGCGACGACGGATTTCCCCTGTTCGTTGGTGATTTCGTTGAGCTTGCGTTTCTTGGAAGGCGAGGCTTCGGGCAGCAGGAGCGACTTGGACGATGCAGAAGCAGCAAGAGCGCCGGGCTTGGATGTTCGCGTGAAGCGCTGGATGCCTATGCCTCCTGCCTGCGCCGACTGCGAGCGAGGCAGGCGAGAGCGAGAGCGAGTTGTTGCCGCTGGCATTATTTTTTTCCCCCTTCCTACTTCCTTCCTTGGTTGTACAGAAATTGATTGAAGCTGACTGAATGCGTTGTCAAAGGTAGGAACGATGGGATCTGCTTTGTGCTGTGTGGTGCGCTGTGGTGTCTCTTTTTTTTGGTGTTTGTTTTATGTTTTCTCCCCCGTGGCTAAAGAAAGAAACTCCCGTGCACGCGTCGTCGCGTCGTCGCGCCGATTTCGCGTCGCACTTTAGCGGCCCTTTCCGAATTGGGAAATAATCTTCTTGATTTCTGATGAACAGACAAAACAGTCTAATCAGACCATTCGCATAACTAACTTAACTAACTATCCATCCAGCTTATTATATAAACCATACGCACCGTGTTTTGGCGTCGGTGCATGAATTCTCCGAGTCGCCACAGCAATGCACGGAATGTGAAGATACGAGCATGCATTCCCAACTCATACAATGCTTTTTGTATCTGATGCTAGACTCGTGTCTAGACCGATGGACACTCGGAAGCATCATTTCATCATTAGTTAATCAAGTAACTACTAGTTAAGTTACATACATTCACAGTTCATCCTAGGTATCCACCCCCTCCCTCTCTTGATACAAGGCAAAAAAAAAGGCAAAAAGGACTGAGCTCAGATCACTTCCCAAACCACCCTCCAACACTCTTCTTCGCCTCCGACGCCTTCTCTTCCACTTTCCGATCCCAATTATCCACCTTGGCACCCACACTGCGCGCCGTGTCCTGGCGGAGACGATCAACCCGATCAAGACTCTCCTTTGCGCCGTCGCCGACGCGTTCGTTTGTTTGTCTGGCTTTGGAGGATGTTGTATCCAACTATTTCACCTCATTAGCAAGATTGATTCTGAGAGGGGTGAAAAAAAGAATAAAAGGAAGGGAGGAGGACAATTTCGTCAATTTTAGCACCCGCTCGTTCTCCGAGTTCTTCGCTGCTAGTGGTGCTGCTGGTGGTGGTGTCTAGTTTGTTGCGTGCTTTGGCTGCGTCGGCTGTTTTTCAATCAATCAATCGGTTAGTCAGTCAGTCAGCTCAGGTTGAATTCATAAGAGAAAAAGGTTCGCACCTTTTGCCCTCGCCTTGGCGCTGTCGACATTTCCGCCGGACTGGTATAGATAGTAGCCGCCGACGCCAGCAGCGCCGAGTCCGAGGTAGAGTGGGAGACGGGACTTGGACATTATTGTGTCTTGATGCCTTCTTCTTTCGTGCGACTGTAGATGTGAAGGTTTTGGGTGTAGGAGAAGTAAGAGTTGATTGAGGTCGGGACAGGTTATAGTTAGTAGGTAGGGTTCTGCAACGATGACGTGAGTCTGGCTGCTCACGAGAATGGTATTGTTACATACATACACGATACAACCTTCAACTAGTATCTATATAGTTATGTAGTATATAGTACATAGTACATAGTATATGGTAAATGCTAGGAAAATTATAGATCCTTTATGCATTTACATAATCGATACGTAAGACAACCCAACTACGACACTTGCTGTGTCCACGTCCCATGCCATTCGTACATATATCTGTCTGTACTCCAGTCATCGAGAGACTAAATACTAAATAGAGACGGAAGAGGATACACTGCCAATCTGGTATGGTAAGGTAAGTACTACGTAGAACCAACTGATGAGGTCATCGTTTTATACATGTCACGCTAGACCGGAAACGGCGGCATATTGTATCCAATTTCAGACTCATCTCATAATCAGCTCTGAAAATATATAAATAAAATAATTTCATAATACCAAGTTACATATATTCGAAGCGAAGCCAAGAAAGAATGTCGGTCATGAGAAACAAAACGAAGGGTCATGGCCGGGTATATCCAATATCCATATCCATATTCATACCACACGAATAACGTGAATCATAAGACATAAAACGTCAAGCGTAAGCTTACCATAGCATAGCATAACAAGACATAACAACGTGAACAAACGTCGTCGAATAAAACAAATCCTGCTGGAAAACCTCCTGTATACACCAAATTCGTGAATCATATCATAGCGTCGTCAGGGAATTGAAGTTGAAGTTGAAAAAAGGAGCTGAGAGAGTGAGCGCGCGATCGTATCAATCTGTAGACGGCGTGCGTGTAAAAAAAAAAAAATTTTAACTCAATCGTCAAGACTATAGTTAGAAAATAATGAATAGACACTGCCTAGAATAACCGTGTAGCAGCAGCAGTCTTGCCCTCGCTGGTTGCAACCGCCACAAGTGCTTCCAAGCGACCCATACCACCCGACCCACCAGATGAACTGTCAAGCATACCGGGGCGGTTGGATGGGGGATAACCACTCTTCAACTCATTCATTAGCTTGATTCCTTCATCTTCAAATGCTGTCAGAAAGAAACTCACATGTGCAGCCTCATGGGCTATCGCGGGCTCTACATGTCCATTGCTATGTACAATGGCCGGATGATACTCCATAGAAACGGTCGACGGAGTAGCAACACCTTCGCTACTGCTGGAATCTTCAGGAGACGTGCGCGTCACGTGAGAGCCAGGTGTCCCAGAAACAGTAGCAGCAGCCTGCAAGCTGTACCGATGTGAATTTTGGGGCGTGGAAGGCTCCTGCCGTATTTGTACATTTCCTCCTGCATTAGAAAAAGGCTGTCCACTGCTCAACGGTCGAGACCCAATGCTGTGGATTTCCCCTAACGTCTGCTGGCCCCACGGGGTTGTCACTTCCTTATATGCGGGGTGGGAGCTTCCATTGCCCAGGGTGAGTCCCGTGAGATTGTAGTGTAGGTCCCAAGACCCCTGGGCACGGCGGTGCCCTGGACCTGAGATTGGAGGAGGCGGCGCGGGGGGGCGATTTGTCGGTGGTTGTCCGCCAAAGCCAGGGGTAAAAGCTTGGGTTGCAGCAGGATGCGGTCCTCGGCTGGGTGTGTCGACTTGCATAGGACTAAGTCTGCGTAAAGGAGGAGTGAGTGGACGACTCTGAATAACCTTATCAAAGCTTTCAATGCCGGGAAGTCGGGTGGTCTGGTTATCAGCATGCCCAGCGCCAAAGGCCGGACGAAGAGTGTTGGCTGCTGACTCCTCATACTTGACCAACCCGCTGGTAGCCGGTCGAGGATGGTATGTTGAAGGGTGCCAAGTGCGCCGTCGCAACTCGGCCTCGGACGGAGTAATACCTTCATCCCGAGACGGTGCAAAGCTTGAACTCGTAGGACTGGCATATACAGCGGAGCTTGGAGTGTACGAAGCGTGGGGATGGCCCGTCGAGGTCATATACGGTGGCGGATACGTATCATGGTTGGTGAATGGGTTCGGCCCTGTTGGAACAGACAGACGCCGAGCGTGACCCCTTGCATCCCAGAATCCAGGCTGTGAAGTAGTCGAGAGAGGAGAAGCATAGTGGGAACCGACCCCCCCGCCAGCAGAAAATGTGGGATAGTTGCTACCGGGTGATGGGCCTGGGATGGAGCGAATTTGACTAGGCGGAGTCGTTGGCTCGGGCATGGCGCCCAAAGAAAGGTGTGCCCGTGCGGAACCGTCATTGGCCATGATCAGAGGGGGCGGTCGTCGCCGCAAGTCCGAAGGCTGACTCATAGTGGAAGCAGTTGAAGCGATGCTTGATGTGGACAAATTCCGGCTGTGTCCTCTGGCATGGCCGCCCTGGCTTCCCGTAGTGCCGGCTCGCGCACGACCCTGGGGAGGACGCACGCGATCGGTGCGAATTTGGCGCTGAAACCGAGTACCTGTGGCGGCGAGCGAGTCTCCGGGGATATCCTCATTCACATGGACCGTCTGGGCATGTTGGCGCAAGTTATCGAGCCGTGAAAAGCGCCTCGAACAATGGCATTGAAAGGGACGCTCGCCGGTGTGTTTGCGAATGTGACGGGCGAGATGTTCGCTTCGGGTAAAGCTTAGCTGACAGGGTGGGAAGTCGGTGCAGAAAAACCGCTGGCCCTTTTTCTTCTTCGACGGCGGAGCGGTCTCTTCGGCGTCGTGCTCATTATCCGAAGGCTCCCGGTCAGGCTCATCATCGGCCACGGTGGTTTCGTCTCCTGTCGAAGCGATCGATGGCGCTCGTTGTTCTGCTGCGGATGACAGGGCTTGGGTTTGTGATGGGTTCGTCGTCGAGGGTTTGGAGTCTCGAGACTCGGGCGAGTTCGGCCGTGGAGTAGCGGATGTTGTCACGTCCTCCATCGCCAGGCTACTCGATGCCGGGGTACTGTTCACGGGGAGAAACGAGGTCATATCGAAATCTTATGGACAGACAGATATAATGAGAATCGGCCAGGGACTGTGACAGTGAAGATAAAAGACGGTATAGCGAAGCGGTGAAATATGTGATATGTACCAAATCGATTAATACCAGTTTCCCGGTGATACAAAATCCAAGCCAATATTCGAAGATAAGAAAAGAAGAGTAACGAAAGGGCCGCTCCGTGGCGCGCCGACAAGGCTATCTAACCGGAAGAGGCGATGATCGAGTCGGCGCATAGGATGGAGGATGGATGAAGAGTAGATGGAGGAGGATGCGGCGGTGGGGAGACGTGAGATGATGTGAGACGAGGAGAAAGATGCGAGCGGCTGAGACCGGCCGCCGACAAAAGGGACGGCGTGTGTTGCAGTTGATCCGTGAACGAGGCGTAACGGGAGGCAGAGAAGCGCGTGAGGAGAAGAAGAAGAGGAAGAGGAGGAGGAGGGGGAGAGAGGCGGGGAAAAAAAGAAAGAAAGACGATCAAGTGCAGTAGGACATGTCTCTGCTCGTCTTTTCTGCCAGCAGGGACACTCGCACGAGCTGGGTGTTCAATAATACTCCCTTTTGCTCTGGCGACGTCGTGGTCGGTGTGCAGGCGATGGGAGGGAGGGATGGATGGATGGATGGACGGATGGAACTAATGCGTTCGGGGCGGAATTCCCGCTGGGCAGGTTCGGTGTCAGAAGGATCAACCCAGCTCCTTCGCTTGACCGGAGCAGGAGACGCAGATTCGACGAAGCGAGAGGATGTGAGCAGCGAGAATGAAGGGGAGAAGGATAGGGCTGTGCAGGAGAGATCGGATATGTATGAGTGGGGGGAGGAGCGACGAGGAAGGAGGATGACGGCAAGACTAGAGCAGACGCGAGGGGCAGAGGGCCCGCCCACTGTCCAGGCCCGCGCGAGCCACGGTTGACCAGGCACAAACAAGTTTTCTCATGTACCTTTCAAAGGACTTTGCATTCAGTCATCTATATCATGCGCACAACAACTCTACTCCTCGCGGTCGACGTCTATATCCACGGCATCGCTTCAGCAGATGCTGTCCGTATGTATCTGTTGGAGGCTACGAGGGAGTGGAGATCCAGGAACCTGACTAAGCCGATGATGATTCATTGATCTTCTGGCGTGAGTTACTGTTTGCGACGATGCGTCTAGATATATATATACACTTCTGTCTCTCTGCCTCTCTCTCTGCCTCCCTCTCCCTCTCTCTATATGTCTGTGTTAGTATAGCGTCACAACCTTGCCAACGTCATACCAAGACAGCCGTTAGTTAGGTACGATCGTCTCGGTCGATCGCCGGGATGATGAAACGCTGCAGCGCCCATCAGCCCATGGTATGGAACGTTCTTTTTTTCTCCTTCCCCGTCTAGTTCTTTCTTTCTTTCTTTCTTCTTTTCTCCCCCCCTCCTTTCCTCTTATCGAAAAAGAAAAAGAAAAAAAGAACGATCGAAACGTGTTTGTAGATCTAAGGATTCCATCGATCGTACGTAACGTAGGACGGAAGCGGCAATCGGGCTGATGAGCACTGACGTAGCCTTGCCCTGTCCAAGCTATAGATTCCGTTTCGTCCGGGAGAAATCTTTCTTCTTATCCTTGTGGGGAACGTTTCGGGGAGCGGGCTTGTGCAGAGGAAGTATCCATGGACGTGGTTCTTGTGGATGTGCGAAGGTCAAGGTTGAATTGGTAGTTAGTTAGTCTATCGATGATGATGACTCGAGTGGCGAGCGGCACTCGTGACTAGATTATTCATCGTTCCGACTTCCGCATCGAGACATGCCGGTGATGATTCGTGAGAGCCATGCCATGCCAATGCCAATGCCATGCTATGCCATGCCAATGCCAATGCCATGCTATGCCATGCAGTGCAGCGCATTTATGCAGCAGTGCCTAGGCCGTATTCGCAGTGCGTACGTGCCTGGCGGTCGGTCATGTGTCAGAGCGGCTGTTTCCAGGGGTTACTAACGTGTTGTTCTACTGCCGCCAGACTCCGTCGAGAGTACCTGCGTAGAGCGATGCTGCCATTGCTGGATACAGCCTCGACCTGGGCGCACGATGAATGCTAAAAACATATAACGAGAAATGAAAGACGATGAATGAGTATATCAAAAGAGGAATTCATTCCCCCCCTTTGGATTTCCTTTTAGACTCTTCCCCCCACCCGCCAGGAGGCGTGGGTCTGTGCGGGCCAATCACGTCGATTGCTTATCTATCGATACTTCAGTAGACACACAGTAGACACATAGCAGTCTACCATTGTATATATAGTCTATAGTACTATATACAAGAGTATAAACAAGAGTTTAAGTCGTACCGTGACAAACAGCGGTACCACCCTTGCATGCATACAACAATCCTGATGCCTACAGGTACTCACCCCCGCATCACGACAGTTACACAAGTAACACCAATATGAAACCGGTATCTGCTACGTCTTCGTATTGCACAGTGCAGCACTGCCTGTCCACCGTACGTGTGTGCGTACGTACCTAGGTAGGGACCCGGGTTTGAAATCGGACGGGCTGAATCTTGGGGGCTGACAGGATTCTCGGTGAAAGGTCAGCAACGTGTGTACGGAGTACGTGTATCATTGTACATGAGTAGATTTCAGGATTTGAGGTGCATATGATAGTTATTGATCACATTTGAAATATCTAGCGGATAACGGAATTGTCGATACCTCGTCGCTTGCCATGCATCGCATCGAAGATGGGGATCGGCGCTTTAGATGCGAGTCATGCAAGGGGCTGGGTGACATGCTCGTATAGCACAATTCTAGCATTGAGCAGTATGGCTATGCACTATGTACTGAGATAAAGTTCCTATATTAGTTATTCTTGATTGGCTGTATGATATAGACAGCTCTATCTGCTCAATGCACCAACCACCGAACTGACCATCACCGCCGCTTCTCGCTCCCAATTCCCAACAACAACCGTCGTTCTGCCTTTGCCGTTGTGACCCTTGCCAATACTGGACGGTAACCGGGAACCTCGCAGCACGCAGTCGCGAAGATCACCCCGCAATCTGTCGCGGTTGGAGCGCAGCGTGCGCGCCGCAGCTCCACCCCGGTTGAGGATATCCTGTACGCGAGCCGGCAGCGACGACGCCAAGGAGCGCCAGTAGTAGGATGGCAGGGAGGATGTGTCTAATACTTGTAGTACAGGTTGTAGGAGCGTTTTGCCTTCTTCTGATTCCGTCTCGCTTTCCGGGCGAGGGTTAGAAGATGTCGTTATCAATGGATGAGACGGTCGTTTCAGGCCGCCTAGTAGACTCTCTAGCGCAGCTAGGTCCTGGCATCGGCTGGAGACTTCAAGCAGCGCGCGATCCAGAGTTGGTAGCGTTGCGAGCCCACGTATTAGTGAGGATAGAGACGAGGTTAAGGAATTGTGAATATATCCTTGTAACGTAGATAGAAGGAGTTCTGGCTGAAAGTCTACCGCTCGAACCCCAGCCTTCGGAGTCGGGGAGAGCAGATACAGTGTCGTAATGGCAGAGAAGAGCCTTGACTTTGTTTCCTCCGTCTGTGCATATGTAGAAGATGCTGGAGGCGGTGACTGGGCTCCATTGCCCGTCGCTGTGCTAATAGAGTTATCAACGAGCAACGACGACACGGAAAATCGGTTAATGACTTGCTGCGCCCTAGCCTTGGTGGTGTTCTCCGCGGGGATGACCAAATCGCTTCGCAGCGTTCGAATGACCTTCACCCTATCCAAGCCCTGGCCTTCCTCTCCCTCCCCGATAGCGGAAAACATCTGTCGCAGCATGAGGATGGTCGTCGCGGCACGAACCATGGCTCGATGATCATCTTTCCCGCCTGCCCGGCCTGTCACCTCGGCAATCTGGCCCTCCAGCTGTCTGCCCAGACTGATACATCGAGCCACGGCACGAGCCAGGCGCAGGGTCGCCCACGAATTCTGCGCCGCTACCCTGGCTTCTTCGGCCCCGGCCCATTTGCGGAGAACCTCCCTCTCCAGATGCTGGTAGCCATCTGCAAGAGACAAGACCTGCTCCTCGACTTCTGAGAGGATGTGCTGACTAGACTTTGCGCGGTCCTGGGTATATTCCAAGAGCGGCAGGGCAGATTTAGTGGTTAGGTTGTGGATGTGAGTGTCTATCTCTTGCACGTCGAATAGAACGCGGGATAGCGGTGTGGACAAGTCTACCTGCGTGTCATTGATGTTGTTGGTGTTGGTGACCAGGGTATTTGCAAATGATGCTGCACTGAAGTCCGGATCCAGAAATGTGTCGTAGTCTATGTATGCTGCGTCGCTCTGTGCCATGATGTGCTCAGGATCAAAACTTCGGAGTCGGAATGTTCAATATGCATCATTTATCATGTTTTTTTCTTCAATTCATTATGCCAGGCTGATACGGCTCTCTGGTATGATACAAGAGCCGATTTTTTTAGTTATTGCTGCTTGTCTCAATAACTTGCTGGAGGGATGTTGCGGCCGACACGGATTGGCCGATCTGGCCGTCGCTAATCATCGAGTCACGTGATATACGTACATCTACTATTATCTTGCCAAGGGACGTCCATTCATCTACTGCAGTCTACAATGCTACATCCAGGAATACTGGCAACATCGAATTGCCAGGTTCAAATTCTCATGGTTATTCCATTCAATCCCTTCAAAAAGCCCTACTCAAGGACACGACCATTGGATTCCTCCACAATGAGGTCAAACTCCGGCTGGAATTCGAGATAAAGGTTATGCTAGACATCAAAACCAAACACTGTTAGAAGCGGTTCGTTATTTGAAAAGAGAAACAATAAACAACGTACCGGGTTCTGCACTGCCTCTGCCGTATACGCCGCAACCTCGTCCGAGATGATTATCTTCGGAACTCCGTTGGCAGCGGCCGCTTCAGCCATCAATTGGGAGTGGCATGCCTTGTCGAGACTGTAGAAGAGAAACGCCGCTTCGTCGACGGTGCTTCCCACAGTCAATAAACTATAAAACCAGTTCGTCAGTCTGACTAATCTGGCTATAACTAACTATAGTTAACTAGTTAGTTAGGAGATATAAAGACCATCATACCCGTGATTCTGCAGGATGCAAGCCATATTATTCCCAAGCGCCTTTGCAATCTGCCGTCCCTCATCCTGGGCCAGAGCAATACCTCCATGGTCATCGTAGACACTAAGTTTGCCATAAAAGTTGCATGCATCTAGTCAATCACATCAGCCAAATGCCATCAACCTAACACCTCGTCTTCCGACAAAGCACAAGGACAAACCTTGGGTAATCATTTCAATAGGCTTCCCAAACGCGCTCCATGTCTTTCCGTAGATTCCATGGGTATGAGCCGCTGCAACTACATCGGGACGAGCCTTGTGTATTTCCGAGTGGATCATGAATCCAGCTTCATTGATGAGTGTCTGGTTGCCTCCCTCGCAGACGTACCCTTCGCTGTCAACGAGCACTAAATCAGAGGCCTTCATGAGCGAGAAATGCTTCGCAAATGGGTTGATCCAGAAGTGATCTTTGAGAACAGGGTCTGTTTTCATGTTTTTGTTTTTGCAAAAGCACCGGTTAGTCTCTCCACAGAAAGCAAAAAGAAAAAGTAAAAAAAAAAAAGACATATAATGTAGATAGGGATATGATTATCTCTACCTCTCATGGAAATATGTCCAGAGACACCCTCTCCATACCCCTGCTTGCCAAAGAACCGGAACGCCGCAGCCATGTGCTCTCTCATCCATTGTCTCTTCGCATACACATCGGTATGGATAGGAATGCCGCGCAGCTTCAACGTTCCAGCCCGGTTCCCGCGAGCGAGAGCCTGAAACGTCTTATCGTTTTCGGCAGGGTGCATCGCGGGGAACTCGGTCCCTTCATCAGCAGGAGTACTGTCGGACACTCCGACGACTCGGCTGGGGATACTGCGTGTTTCAGTAACAGTAGTGGACGACATTGTTGTTCTCTTTCTATGCTGGTAGACGTGAGATTGGGTCTTGGTGTGCGAAACTTGGAGGAAGATCTTCTCTGTTCAAGGAGAATACCGGTCAATAAGGCTGTTTGTCGCGAAATTCCGTTATCGTCCAGCGTGATATACTTCATAGTTCGGCGGCTCCGGCCAATCGGGCAGTCGCCGATAGAGAGCCCCGCGAGGATTTGCTATTAGAATGGTTATAGATTGATATTCATTATGTTTTGTAGAAGAATGCTCAAAGTATATTGACGAGATAAGAAAAAGAAACAACATGCCCAAAAAAACATAGAGTGCTAGACAGGGTATATATATACACATAAGTGCAGGGTAGATAAGTTACAATGCATGGCGTGATGGGAAGAGAGCGAAGAAGAAGGCCAAAAAAAAAAAAGGAAAAAAGAAAAAGAATGGTATATAGGCAAATTTACCAAGTCATGTTCTGTCGTCACATAGTCTGTTCCTTGATGGGTTCCATCTCATATTCTGCACCGCCATCTCGGTTCCGGCCTCGACCTCGTCCGCGAGAGAAGCCTGGCAGTCCACTCTCGATGTCTTCATCCCCTTGCGGCCCCGGATGTGTAGATGACAATTGTTCCCCAGTGTCAGTGTTATTGCTATCACCCGCACTGCCATCGCCAGCACTCCCTCCCAGACCAAGGCCCAATCCGAAAGTGATCGGCCGCAGCTCCCGTCTTTGACAGGCCCATATCCCACCGAATGTCATTAGCGCCGAGCTCGTGATTTGGAGAGACCACCACAGCAGATTCATCGGCAGGGAATGCGTGTAAAAGAATACAACGACCAAGTGGATAAAATGTATCGTGAGCGCAAAGTCGGGTATAAGTTTCGAGCGCGAAACGAAAACGAGAAGGAATATGATACTGCACATGATAGCAACAACATTGTTAGCATGTAATCAGATCTGACAGAGAGAAATATGTTCTCACCAGAGAAAGCTATTCAGTATCCACACTAATCCCAACATCCACCCTACCGAGGTGTCTCCTCGCAAGCTGTCCCATCCAAAGATAAGGTCAAGCGAGAATACCGTGCCCGCCACAAGCGTGGTGAAGAGGACGAGAACGGTGATGCAGACATAGTAAAGGGCCTGGAGCAAGATGATCTTTCGTACAATCTTCAGAGGCGGGAGCTCCGTCAGCGCCCCGGGACGAGGAGGGCGTCGTCGCGGGGGCATCAACTAGCGACTAAGAGGCGCTTAAACAACACCCCTGTTGTATAAAGTTGATCTGATATGTATGCGCGAAGTATATAGGGGTGCACTCGCTATATCGTTGGTGACGAGGAGTAGCTCGGCATCCCTTTCTTTCGTTTTCGGAATGAGCTTGTGCTCGACACTTTTAACAGGTCGATTTTGTGTATGCAACGCTGCCAGTCAAGTCTCCTAGATGATCCTATGTAAGAGAATGATATGATATGAATTGGATTGAATCGTCGAGTGGCTTGCGATGTATGTACCTTGCCGTAATGGCGTAGTTGTAGTTGGAATGACGGAAAAAACAAACGCCACGAGGCCAGCTCCGGCGCCAAGAAAATTGGCCGCAAAAAGGCCAAACCACCAAGTCAAATGCGGAGCAAAGCTCAATTTCAACCTCCAGCTTTCGAACAATCAAAGAACATTTTATCGCAGGAGAGAGAGAGAGAGAGTCATAATTGACGGCCCACCAATTTCGGTTCTATTCTACGACAAGAAAAAACAAGAAAAAAAAGGAACTCACAATGGGCTGGTTCTCATTCGGCTCGTCGAATGCACCGCAATCAGCAAAAGCGTCAGATGGCGGACGCATTGCTCCTGACCGCTCGTCTCGAGAGAGCTGCTACAATGGTCGGGATCATTTCTTTGCTTGCCTCGACAGCAACGACATTCTAGATGCTGTCAAGCATGACTCGGAGGCTCGCAAGAAATGCGCCAAAGAAATTGCCGAGTTTGAATCTGCTTGTTCCAAGGCCTGGGTGTGTTTGGTCTCCCCCCCCCCTTTTCCATGTTTCGAAGGACTATATACTGATGTGTCGGCTCTGCTTTACAGGTCAAATATTTCAAAGAGAAGCGTGTCATGGAGTACAACAGGGACCAGACGATCGCCCGAATCCAAAAAGCGGACGCAGAGAAAGCAGCTGAGGAGGCAGCTGGACGATAGAAGAGAGACAAAGGGAACATCGCATTACGTTCACGGAGTTTTACGGACGGCAATAGTTATTTGCAGTGTATTATCATTACTGGGAGAATTTTTTTTATGTATTATATCGATTGAACAATCTGGCAGAAATTCACCTTTTACTTTGTATCTGTATAGTTCGGTACTCCGCTCAAGAAACACTAATACATTATATTATGTCCAAAAGAAGTGGGGAAAAAAAGGAAAAAGAAAAAACCGTTGTTCGCATGAAAGCGAAAAGGGAGATCATTGAAAAAAAAAAAAAAAACCATGCCGAATAGTGCCCACCAGGTTCGCCAGTAACCGTTCGAAGATGCATACAGATAAAGCTCAAATAGGACTCGCCGTTCTAAGAAAATCAAGGCAGAGAAAGAAGCATAACGCCAGCACACTATATAACGCCCCTGTTCGGTAGGAGCATTGCACTTATTTGCAAATGGAAGAAAGCAGTAGCATAAAAGAAGACAAGAATAGAACAGTAGCCCACGGGTAGAAAGCCTACTGCTTCCACTTGGCTAATTGATTGACGATATTTTGCACATGTTGTGTCTGACCTTGTGGGGGATTTGCATTTCCTGCGCCTTTTGCTAGTAGTGCAAGAAGGTTTGGATCTGGGCGACTGGAAACCTGGGCAGGAAGGGGCAGACCAAATGGATTGGCAATAGCGTGAGGCAAAGGCCCTTGGTTCTGAGCCGTTGCAAGTGGATTTTGTTGACGATGAGCATTGTTCAAAAGACTTGCAAGGTCAACTGGATTGGTGGCATTTGGTGCAACAGGGATGGGTGGCTGAACTGCCTGTGGGACGGATTGCGCTTGCTGAAGCGTGCTTAGCAGCGATTGCAAGCCAGGTCCATCGAGTGTTGATATGAAATTTGCAATTTGATTTGTTTGCGGAAGAGCCGGAATGGCTGGCTGCGCATGAGGGATCGCCTGAGGGTATTGACCGGGTATAGGAAACGTCTGGTTGGATGGATAATAGTTTTGAGTGACACCAGCTCGGCGTACCGACTGGAACTGGACCGTCATTTCAACTGCTACATGTAGATCGAGGTCTGGATATTCTGCCAATTCAAAGCATCATCAGCAGCAGCTTCAAGTGTGTTTTATATGTAAAAGCACATACCAATTGAGCGAGGTTTATTGCCAGCGCCAACGCTGCGATCAAACACCACCAGTGTAACTTTTCCCGAAAATTGTTGGCTTCTTGTGAGTTTTATCACTGCAGAAACGCCTTCTTCCATTTGTCTTTGGATTGCTACATCCACTGGAATCCGCGATAGCACCAATACATTTGTTCGAAGCCCCCGGGTTTTGAACGAGTTTTCAACGTGATACACGAAACTCCTGGAAGACAGGTCAGTTTAAGTCGCAAGAACATAGCCTCCGGGGAGTACACACATTTCGACATCATCAGCGGCCAAAATCTGCAAGTCAGGCACATCTCTCGGCGTACGGCGAGAGAATGCGAGCTCAGTCTCGCCATCATACCCCGACCGTCCTCGAGGGCTGGGACTTCTAAATCGCCTATCTCTGCCGTAAGGGGATCGTGATCTGCGTCTATCACGTCGCTCAAATCTCTCCGGTGTTCGATCTCTTGAACGAAACCCGCCCTCTCGGTTGCGGAAAGGGCGTGGTGATGGTGATCTGGGGGGTCGGTAGTCGTCACGACGCCGCGGATTGTGCTCGTCTCTGAAATCACTGAAATTTCCTCGTTTACCATCATAAGCGCGATCATGACGGTCTCCGCCCTGATTGCGCATTCCACGACTATGTGAAGCTCCACCACGAAAGGTGTCTGCGGGCGACCTAGATCGTCTTGGTAGGGGTGCACGCGCTGACTCAGAATGACCTGGCCCAGGCCGTGTGTTTTTTTGAGGCTTGGATATCTCGAGGTCTATTGAAAAAGAATTAGCCAAGCCCATGAAATTTAGAAGGAAAAAATGTATGCTTACGAATCTTTCGGCCTCTCACAACACCCCCTTGTTCGGCTTGCAGGGCTTGATGGCACGAGTTCGCGTCTAGAAATTGAATAAAGCCGTAGGCTTGCTTGATAGATATCTGTGCAAGCTTGCCATACTTATGGAAAACGTGAAACAAGTCACGCTTGGTTACTCGCTCCGTGGGGAGATTACCTATGAAGTTGTTGTTTAGTTGAGTGCTCTCAAGCAAGTCGGAAGCCTATTTGTGATACTCACCAACAAACAGTCTAGAGCCATGGGGAAAGCGATCCCATAGGCCCTCAGTAACGTAAATGCGCTCCTCACGAAGAAACTCGTCGTATATTTTCTGTACTTCTGGTCCCCAAGGAGCCTCATCATCAGCGACATTACCAGGTCGTGCGCCATATTTATCGGTTCTTGAGCCTTTGTGGCTCACTTGGGCAATATTATCTGGAGACAAGTCCAGCTTCTGCTGTGTTTGGTGCTGCTGAAACGTTGCTACAGGAGGCGGGGGTAGCCCGTTTGCTCCCGAAGACGTACCTGGAGGTACTCCTGGCGCGAATGCTGTGGCATTTGAATACTGATCTTCACCCTGAGGCTGGGATACATAGGCAGATGAATTGGGCGCCTGGGAAAAGAGCCTATGGTAATCACTATTCTCTTCCGGGGATGTATAGTTGGAGCTTAGGTCTGGCACCTCCTGAGCTGGGGGTCGCGGAGGTAGACCTGCATATGTATTATTTGAGATCGAAGGATGCGGTGGCTGTTCGTGTTCTTGAAGAACGGCATTATTGGAAGGGGATGAAGCAGTCGCAGTGACCGCGGGAGCGGGTGGTGCAGTGGACAGATTATCAAGCAGATTTTGGAAATCGACACCTGCCTCGGCTTTTACATTTTCACCGTTAGATGAGACCTGCTGCTGTGGAATTGGGCCGCCTTTGGTAGAATCGGCATTGGTCGGTACAGCCGTCTGATGATACGGACCAACATTGTGCTCTGTTGAAGACGCAGGGTCCACGGCTGTGGACTGGGAATTTATGATAGGAAGATTGGCTAATTCTGAACATAGGTATGTTAGAGACTCATGAATGGACAGTTTTTCAGATTTCGGGATATCGTAGCTCCAATTGAGATTCAATAATGAATGTAGAGACACGTGTCTTCAGCTATGAATGAAACGGACGGAGCATTTCATTCGTGGGCAGGGTTGATTTTGTTGCATCAAAGGAAAGGTAACTGAAAATGGGAATGGGGACTACCTGAGTCTGAAGCCAAGCTGTGGCTTGTCTCTTCAATCCTGCTCTGGCTATCATCGACGCTTTGGTATATTGCATGTTCCGAGTTCAGCTGAGAGAGCTGCTCTTCACTTCTGTTGCTAGCAGGCTTCTCATAGGTTGACGTGTCATTGAAGATAGGATCCATCTGATTTTCTAGCACAGGTATATTTGATGGCTCTGGGATATGAAGCGGACGGGGACTCTCGGGAGTAAGAGTCTTGCCGCGAAAGTGTATAGCCTCATCTGGAGAGTTGGGTGTCATAGGGATGGCAAGTTCTGATGCGCTTCATCTACAAAACAAAAAAAGCAGCGACTAACCGCGGAATATGAAGATTCCGCGATGCTCGCCTTGAGAGGGGCTTGGGAGGAAACCGGCTAAGAAAGAAAGAAATTTAGCAGACTGCGATTGCTTGGAAATTGAATGGCTATGGATTGGCAATAACCGGGGCAGTTTTGACAGAAGAGGCTTCGAAGCGCAAGTTATCCAGGGAAGACGGGCCGTGATGGAAAACCGATTGTAGAAGCGCACAAATGGCCAAACAAATCAAGAAAAACGGGGGGGTGTATACCAGAAACCTGATGGAGAGAAAAGAAGCTTTGTCGCTGTAGGACCGGATATCCGAGAGCAGTTGATGATTGGCTGGATGACTGAGATGATGGATCGACAAGACTTGGACGTCGCGTTGTTTCCTTCAAATAAATCAGGCAAGAATAATATGCGCCAAAATACTCGGGTCCGAGGAGGAGAAGAGATGACTTGGAGGCTTTTCGCCAGCGCGATAGTCAAGTTCTGCTGTCGAAGGCAGTCGAGGTTCTCGTCGATAAGGCGGGGCCAGAACTCAATACGGAAGGCGGTACGTCACGTGGGCGGTGTGGAGGTCGGGAAAAATAATTTTGTTTTTCCTGGGATTATTTTTTGAAGGAGGAAAAGAAAAGACTCTCCGACTGCATCACGCACGCTTCAGACATCTCCGTCATCACAATGGATTCTGTCAAGGGATCTAAGAAGCGGAAGGCTGTAACTCGCGATGTCGAACCAGACACGGATATTGTTTCAGGGGAAGAATTGAACAACCTAGACCTCTCTGACGGCGCCCATGACCTGTCCGAGGAGAGCGATTCTGAGATTGAAATTGTCAACGAATTCAGCGACGAAGATGAGGACGACAGCGAGTCTGACATTGACAGTGACGAGGTCCCATCGGACATTGAAAACGACAAATTCGGAAAGAATGGTGCACAGGATGCCGACGAAGACGAGCTCGAACGACCCAATTATCGAATCGAGAAAGACGCCAATGGAAATGAACGATATGTGTATGACGAGATCAACCCGGACGATAACTCAGATTATTCGGATGTAGATGAGAACTCAAACACAATCGGCAACATACCTCTTTCATTCTACGACCAATACCCTCACATTGGTTATGATATTAATGGCAAAAAGATCATGCGCCCTGCCAAAGGCGAGGCATTGGATGCTTTATTGGATAGCATTGAGATCCCTAAGGGCTGGACCGGTCTTACTGATCCCTCTACGGGCAAGCCCCTGGAACTCAGCCAAGATGAACTGGAATTACTGCGAAAAGTCCAAATGAACGAAATCCCCGAGGAGGGCTACAACCCCTACGAGCCCACAGTTGAATGGTTCACCAGTAAGCAGGAGATAATGCCTCTAAGCGCAGCACCAGAGCCGAAGCGTCGATTCGTTCCTTCTAAGCACGAAGGGAAGCGTGTGATGAAAATTGTCCGTGCCATTCGAGAAGGCCGGATCCTTCCTTACAAGCCTCCCGCAGAAGAAGATGAGGCAGAAGATGGCGTAATTCGCTATGATATCTGGGCAGACGAAGCTCCAAGACCCGATCACATTATGAATATCCCGGCGCCCAAACTTCCCCCTCCAGGTTACGAGGAGAGTTATCATCCACCTCCTGAATATTTGCCGGATAAGAAAGAGAGGAAAGAATGGGAAGAGGCCGACGAAGAAGACCGTGAAAGGGAATATCTCCCCACAGACTTTGCCGCTCTCCGCAAAGTCCCCGGTTATGAAAGCTTCGTCAAGGAAAAATTCGAGCGTTGCTTGGATCTATACCTTGCTCCTAGGGTCAGGAGGAATAAGCTCAATATTGACCCTGAAAGTCTGCTTCCTAAACTGCCGAGTCCTGAAGAGCTCAAGCCATTCCCTACGGCATGTGCAACTCTTTTCAGGGGCCACAGCGGTCGCGTGCGTTCTGTATCAGTTGACCCGTCTGGCCAGTGGCTGGCCAGTGGAGGTGATGACGGAACAGTGCGCGTTTGGGAAATCCTTACAGGTCGTCAGCTGTGGTCTGCGAAATTGAGCGATGACGAACCTATCAATGTCGTCCGTTGGCGTCCTGGTCAAGATGCCGTCGTACTGTGTATTGCCTGTGGCGACGACCTACATCTCGCCGTTCCCTCGATAATCAACCCGGACCTAGAAAAAGCCAGTTTGGAACTTCTTGACGCTGGATGGGGCTATGCAGCCAACAAGACAGCTTCTAAGACTGGAGACGCAGACTCCAAGAGTGCACCCACAAACTGGATCCGACCATCGGCGGATCTTGCCGAGTCTGGAGTTTGCATCACAATACCTTTACGATACGTCGCAAAGTCGATTTCATGGCATCGTCGCGGTGATTACTTTGTCACTGTCTGCCCTGGATCCTCTACACCGGCACACCAAGCCATTGCAATCCACACGCTCTCCAAGCATATCACCCAAAACCCGTTCAGGCGCCGACTCAAGGGAGGTGGCCCTCCTCAAGCGGCTCATTTCCATCCTTCCAAACCCATTCTTTTCGTCGCCAACCAGCGCACCATTCGTGCGTACGATCTTTCTCGTCAACTACTCGTCAAGATTCTGCAGCCTGGCGCACGATGGATTTCATCATTTGATATCCACCCGACCTCGTCAACAACATCGGGTGGGGACAACCTTATTGTCGGGTCGTATGATCGTCGACTCTTGTGGCACGATGTTGACCTATCTTCGCGCCCATACAAAACCCTTCGCTATCACAGCAAAGCTATTCGAGCCGTCAAGTTCCATCCTGGTGGTCGGTATCCCTTGTTTGCGGATGCGAGTGACGACGGCTCTCTGCAGATTTTCCACGGCAGTGTTACCGGCGATATGCTTAGCAATGCCAGCATCGTCCCTCTGAAAGTTCTTCGAGGCCACAAAATCACCGGTCAGCTCGGTATCCTAGATGTAGACTGGCATCCTACCCAACCTTGGTGTGTTTCTGCTGGTGCAGACGGTACCTGTCGTTTGTGGTGCTAATGATATCTTTCTGCAATGGCGGGTCTTCTTTGGTCTCTCTCTTTTTTTTTTTTTTTTTTTTTTTTTTTTTTTTTGTTAAGCTCTCTCAAGAGTATGATGTTAAAAACTTAACTTGGCTATATTTTGAAGGAATATATTGGCGTTCTCAAAAGTTCTGTACATAAAGAAAGAGTTATATATATGAGTTGCATAAACGATTCATAATGAATAGCATTTGCATCTGAGTTTCTTGACGTGTCTCTATTTGTTTAGGCCATTCTTTGTGGATAGTGATCTATCTGATTGGGTATCATCATGCTGGTGTAATAATCAATATGTACTGTTTGTCTACAAAATCTACACACAAAATTAATGAATAATACTCCAAATAAGTCATCAAAAGCAAGTGTACTGGCAAGTTTATTTTCACACCACACCGCTGCTCCAATCTCTCCTCAGCCTCTCATACTTCTTCATATCCGTCACGCTAGGCCTGATATGTTCTCTCGCAGCCACAAAATCTTCGAATTTGATATTATCCCTTCGCTTGATCGCCGAATATCCGGCTCTGCGGAGAAGACTGCCGATATCCGCACCGCTATAACCCTCGCAACTCTCGGCGAGTGCTCGCAATTGATCGCTGAATTCGATAGTGGGGAGGTTGCGGACAAGCGTTTGCAAGATTTCAGCCCGTTCACTTGGTCCCGGAAGATTGACGAAGAGAAGCGTCTCTAATCGTCCGGGCCGAAGCATAGCCGGGTCAATGATGTCCGGTCGATTCGTGGCGGCAATTATGTAGATTCCTTGTCTGTTGCTTCCTAGTCCATCGAGTTCTGTCAAAAGAGTGTTGACGACTCTTGCTGAGCTCTCGGACAGCGCGTCATCGCGACGAGGGACTAGAGCATCCAGTTCGTCGAAGAAGATGACGCAAGGTATAGAAGACCTCGCGCGCACGAAGACTTGACGGACTGCCCGCTCGGATTCACCGACGTATTTGTTCAGCAGTTCGGGTCCCTTGATGCTAATGAAATTTGCGCGCGATTCGTTGGCAACGGCCTTCGCTAACAGAGTCTTACCGCATCCAGGTGGACCCCAGAGCAGAACACCGGTGGGAGCTGTAATGCCCACTTTCGCATATATATCTGGGTTCTTAATTGGCTCGACTACCGCCGTTACCAGTTCCTCCCGGACACCACCGAGAGCACCGATATCTGCCCATGTTGTGTCGGGAATGGTGGCAAATCCTTCACGCTTAGATGATGGCTGTATCTTCGGAAGTGCTGTGAAGAAATCTGCATTGGACACCAAGACGGGATTGGTTTCTTCTCCCATTGGTGCATCTTTGGCATGCTTGATTAGGCGGCGTATCTCTTTGACTTTCTCAGGTACCTGTTGCTCGGCATCGCCTTCGATATCCATCTCTTCGCCTGTATTTGACTTGAGGATTTCTAAGTACCGTTTGATTGCGGCGGCTCCAGCGGTAGAAACTAGATCGTTCAGATCAGCGCCCACGAATCCCGCTGTCCTTTTGGCTAAGGTTTTGAGGTCGAGATCATCTGCGAGCTGCATTTTCCGAGTCAAGGTACGAAGGATCTGCTCTCGCACAGGTTCCGAAGGAACTGTTAGATTGATCTCCTTGTCAAACCGACCTCCTCGTCGCAGCGCAGGGTCGAGGCTATCTGGTCTGTTGGTAGCAGCCAGGACAATGACGGGCTTGCCATCTGTCTTTTCCAGCGCTAGATCGTCCAGGCAGGTTAATAGCTGGGCAACTATACGCTTTTCCATCTCTCGTTGTGCGCTTTCTCTTTTTGGGGTGATGGCATCGATCTCATCGATGAAGATCAAACACGGAGCCACCTTCTTTGCTTCTTCGAAATGTTCTCGGAGAGCCTTCTCGGATTCACCAGACATGCCAGATACGACGGATGGAGCAGATATCGAGATGAAGGGAACTCCCAGGTCAGCGGCAAAGGCGTTCGCAAGCATGGTCTTTCCGCAACCTGGTGGCCCATGCAACAATACACCTCGCGGGGGCTGTACCTTAGAAGACGTGAATATCTGTGGCCGAGTCATGGGCAGAATGATCAAATCTCCAAGCTCCTGTAACACATCGTCCATACCACCCAGATCCGATAAGCTGACATGCGTGGGCGGCGACTTGTCTATAGAATGATCCGCTTTTCTTCGTTTCGGCACGGATTCGGATGCTTGGTTGCGTCTTTTATTGGACCCTGTAGTCTGTGCAGAGCTTTCCACAGTAATAGGCGTGTCGGTTCCTTTCCTAGAGGCAGATAAAGGCTTGGCCGAGGTCGACCAGGCACTGACAATGCTTCTATTTAAGCCATTGGATTCCTACCCCAATGAGTAAGTACGCTGGACTACATATATGCGGTATTTGCCTCGGTACTTACCACTACCTGCTCCGACTTTTCCTCCTCTAGGCCCTCGAAATCTCCATTTACCGAGTCGGACTCATCATCGCCCAGAATGTCACTCTGAAATACTTCCAGCACGCGCTCAATGCTGTCTTCGAGCAATTTCTTCGGCTTCCGATTCAAGCTCGAGTTTGATCGTTTAATAGTATCGTATATGCTATAGGTAGATAGGCGCGGTCGCCCTGACTCGGCCTGCTGTTCGTCGGCGATTTTGCGCACAATCTGGTAGATCTGCGGAAGGTAGGTTTGAATTAGCATTTGCTTGCTGTGGTTGACTTTGTTGACATACCTCCTTATCTAAGCCATGGCTTAGCAATGGCCTTCCTTTGTTTTTGTACGGCATGGTGACGCATGCATGCGGTTACTGAGTCGAGTAATTTTGTATTTCAATGTTGTTTCTGTTGTCGCGGAGTTATCACTTTTTTTTTTTGTTATCGACGGATTAACTAAGCCGCCGGGCCGCGCTGATTGGTCGGTGTAGACATCGCCCAAACAAGTTGCTCCTACTTGGAAGTTGAACCTCAAGATTCGACTGTCCTTTCAGTCGCACGGATCTTAAAGGCAGGCCATGTTCCTACGCCGGAAAGGAAGTCCAAAGCAAGTGTGTCTTGGGCGGGAATAATCCACCTAACCTCGGTTATGGGCCGTGATCGGCGTTGATGACTGGACCAAGCCTACCACGCCTCATCAAGTTGATCAAGTACCATCCTCATAGCTACCCAGGTAGCGAGAACAACTCCGTTGTCAAACAGCCTAGGCGAACAGATTAGGTACTGCCATGTCTGGTGTCAAGTTCTCCGAAGCTACAAAGGTCGAGAGATTGGATTCTCATGCATACAGAATCGATCTCTCTGAAAGCTTCTGCACTGGCGCAGGTACTTTTGACTCATATTTCTTTATCTCAACTTATCTATGGAAGAAATGCATTCTGCCGGCTTGGTGGAAGCTCCAATCAAGTCTTTAAATGAATATTCAGCTGTTCTAACCCAAATCCAACTACATAGTCCCTAATGGCGGCTACACAGCCTCATGCATGCTCGCCGCTGCGAGCATGCATCTCTCCTCGCGCGGCCAGTGTGACACACTCACTGCACATTTCGAGTATCTGAACCGAACTAAGATTGGGCCCGCTGTTGTCGTAATTGAGGATATGAAGCTGGGCCGACAACTGACTACACTCCACCTTACACTCTGGCAAGATGGACTTATCTCACAAGCGCCATGGGTTGACACCTCTGTTTCACGCCGCAGGGTACTTGCATACACGACTAACGCTAATCTGCGTACTTTTACTGGTATCTCACTGCCCACAGGATACGAAGTAACCCCGGCAGCCGCATTGCCTTCTCCGCCAGATTTCGAGGCTCTGAAGAACAATGGCGCCGATGACCATTGGGAGAAGTCAAAGTCTCCTGAGTCACTATCTGAGCATCTGGCCTCCATATATACCTGGAACCTCTACGTACCTCGCGGGGGCCCCCTCAGCCCTGGGGTGCTAGACATGTGGATCTGCATGGCGAATGGGGAGCACATCACACAAACTGCGTTGACATATGTAGTGGATTCATTCCCATATAATCTGCACATTTTCCTAGCTACGCCTGCACTGCTCGAACTTTTGAATGCGCCGCCGGAACGGGCAGCTGATCCTCAGGTACAGGAGGTCCGACAAAGAAATCAGCAGCGCTCAGTATTGTGGTCTCCAACGGTAGTGCTGAACTTGGAGGCGAAGATGGCTCTCCCAGAGAATGGTGTTGAATGGTTAGCAGTGCGGGTAACGTCAAAGCAAATTAGGAATGGCACGCTTGATCTAGAGGTGCTTGTGAGAGATGTGGATGGGGGGTTAGTCGCACTGAGTAATCAGGTAGCGATGCTTGTGAGCATGGACAGGAACACCGGGGGCAACAAGGGAGATACGACAAAGGCATCGCTCTGAGAAAACAAGCCAGCCTTGCTACTATAATGGACTCCTTCGATGGGGTTACTAGAGGACAATTGATTAGTCCCTGCCATGCTGCTCCAGCTATCTATCTATACGTCAAACGAAACTCTTGCCAAAACCGAACGCCGTGGGTTCCAGAGCGCCTAGTTATATTCCGAGTCTGCTGATCAGGCACGTACGTAGCTAGTATGAGGGGGAAATGTACGCCAAACGCCTGCATGAACACAGCATCTCCAGGTCCGTTAGGTGTGCTGATGCAACCATCCAACCATTAGCCGTTGGGTTAACCCCAGTCCATGTATTCAAAATGCCTGGAGCTCCCAGCGCTCAAACAAATCACCTATGTACATCAAGTATACGGTTATAAGACACGCCACAGGCTTACTTAGCCTGGGCGGCTAGACGTCAATAGGCATGTTGACGAGACCGCGGGAAAACGGTTTTAGGGACTGCATTCTCGGGTTGAGCTCACGACGAACCCTGAATCTATAGTTCAGAAAGACCCAGTTCAGATTGCATGGTTCACGGCGCAACGCACACATCGACTCATGGAAATAAGAACACGAGTTGACTTGGAATAGAGCGTCTAGTATAGTCTCATACGTATGCTGGCCAGAAAGAAGAGGGGTGCGATCTAGGATCTGGGGTGACCGAACACTGCAGAAAGTCGTGACATTCATATGCTACCCTAACTGCATAACGGTGCAGCAGCAATTGTTTCCAGAATTGGCAACTCGAATATTTTCATCGAATCAGCGACTCGCTTACGCTGCAGCCACCCGAGCAGATTTGCCGTCCCGTTAGTTATGCGCGTCACTGTGTCTGGATTATTATGCTGGTAAGACTTAAATGCAACCTTGTACCATGTCTCTTCTCGGCGACTATCCTCTCGTTATGCATGGGTTCATCCCCTAACGAGGCATACTGGGGGCGGAAACTGGCCGCCTCTCATTTGCGAGAAGAGCGCAGAGCCAATCATGCAGTTGATAGCCTGCCAGGGTATTTCTGACCCTAGCAATCGCCGGACGCACTCTACGAAAACTACCTAGGGAGCTAGATGACCTTGCAGATAGCTGAGACTGCTAATTGGGGCGTGGGTTGAACAACGCAGTGCGCTCGCTCCCAGAGATCCTCAGGGCGCGCCCCCCCCCGTCCCTCATTCTTCAACTACATACATACATATGTGTTGACCATCGTCGCCGTCATAGCAACCCCCGCAAAAAGGGCAAAATGAATGGAAAACTGTTGCTTTAACACGGCCTCCAATGTACAGGCAGAAAAGAGGCCAGAATTCCACGGCTTTCATGCTTGCTCTTCCGCTAGTAATAACTGATACACAGACCCGCCGGTAGCAGCAGGGCCAGAAAGCAGCAAAGATGGCGTTCGAGATATACAAAAACTCCACGGAAATGGGCCAGTTTATGATACTGGTCATATTCTCGCCGCTTAGTATCGTATTGCTAGTGCTGCGCTTTAGGGCTGTTCGACGCAGCACGCGCAATATCAGTGCCGAGGACTGGCTGGCAGTACTGGCATTGCTTTTCCTCCTGTTGTGCAACATTGCCGCTATAATAGGCAAGTGCCGTATTCTGTGGTACGAACATGGGCTATTGCTGACGTTTTTATTGTATAGCCGTTAGTATCATCAATGGACGTGAATTGGACGTCATGGTTGAGGAGAGCATGGCCGACTATGCACATATGCGTAGGGTAAGATACGTCATGGCCGTCAAGACTTGTCGATTCAATAGATACTGACTCCGGAACACAGTGCGATATTTCGGCTCTTTACTTCTACTATGCGCACTCGCTCTTTGTCAAGCTTAGCGTCCTGGTCTTCTACCGTCGGGTCTTTGGAGTCAGTCGCCTGAACAAGTTCTGGATCTACGTGATTGGAGGCGCTCAAACGGCGCTGTTCGTAGGGTTTTGCATCTTCCAGGGCTTTCAATGCATACCACTCGCCAAATACTTCAATATAACCGTTCCGGGCCATTGCACGGACGAGTGGTTGATAGTACTCACCTTTGAGTGTCCTAACTCATTGCTCGATTACGCTGTGGTGATTCTGGCTATTTTTATTATCCAGCCTCTCCATTTATCGCCAACCGTGAAATGGAAGCTCAGATTCCTCTTCGGTCTGGGGTTCCTGTGGGTTATCATCCTATCCTGTCCTTGACCAAAAGTTATGTTTACTGACTATGACTTTTTACTTCTAGTACTGGGACATTAGGGTTTATCAAAATAGCCATCACTTACTCTAAGAGCAAGCTATGTCAGTCTAGTCCAGTCCTGCCTTCAATACTATTGTTGTATGCCAGTGCTAACAATATCTCCCCTATCAGACCCCTTAAACATGGTCTCCTTATGGACCAGCGTGCAGATGTTCGTCTCCCTGCTCTGCTGCTGCCTGCCCATGTATAACGTCTTTCTCCCGGGCCTCGTCGCATTCTGGAGTAGACTCAGCTCACGAATGGTGAGCTACGCCACCTTTGGACGAGTATCCCGGTTTAATTCAGGATCAAAATCGTCCACAGACTCGAGTAGGCGCAGCGGATACGGCAATCAGGGTCAGGACTGGGTGCATCTGGGCGACGACAATAGCAGCAAGGGTTTTGCTTGGGCTGAGGCTGCGCCCTTTGCGGAGGCACATGCCCTAGGCGAGCTTGCTCCTCATGGCCGTGCAAATCCGGAAGCATCGGGTATACATGTGCATCGGCAGTTTGATGTGGCTTAGTAGGATGGGATTGTTTTTGTTTGCATGGAGTTTGATGGGATGTGGATATAGCATAAAGGGCTCTTCGCATATATACCTCTAGTATGCATTTCTTTTGAAGGAATAAAAGATATTCGACTTCTTTATTTCAACGATACTTACTTTCATCATTTTATACATGATAATATTTATTTTTGTCTTTCGACTGGCTAGTAATTCTCTCTTGCTTACTCATCCTGCCTAGTCAACTGCCGCCTATCACGCACGGCCTATCTTCATCTCGACACACGACAGCAGGGACAACCTTGGAAGAGCACTTGGCGACAATCTAAGCATGGCAACTTGAAACAGCATGCTTCTAACACTTTTTTCATATATATATCCGTCTATTTCCTTTTCATCTTCGAAGCCTGTCCTGCAACAAAGCTGTTGAACGCGCTGTCCTAACAGCTCCGACGTCATTGCCGCGCCGAAGGTGTTCACCGAACAGGAGAATGCTGCAAACATGGGAAATACAAATAGCTCTCATAAGATTTCTTCTCAGGATAGGTTTGTTTTTCTTCTTTGCTTACAACGTAATACATAATGAAAGACGGACGAGTCCTCCTTAGCTAACCACCCAACCCTTCAACAGAGCAATCCTAGACCTCAAGAACCAACGCGACAAACTACACCAGTACCAAAAACGAATCATAGTCCTCACCGACCGCGAAACGGCGATCGCGAAAGAATGCCTAGCACGTAATGACAGGAAGCGCGCTCTTCTAGCGCTCCGTCGCAAGAAATACCAGGAAACACTATTGGCCAAGACGGATGCGCAGTTGGCGCAACTAGAGCAACTGACGTCCCAAGTCGAGTTTGCGTTGGTGCAAAAGGATATTCTTTTTGGGTTGCAGCAGGGCACTCAGGTGCTGCAGGCTATTAATAAGGAGATGGGTGGCTTGGCTGCTGTGGAGAAGTTGATGGGCGAGACGGAGGATGCTAGGGCGTATCAGGAGGTAGGTGGACCGTCCTTTTGACTTTTGCCATGATACCGTACTAATTGGGTAAAAAAAAAAAAGGAAATAAGCCAAATGCTCGCTGGGCAAATGTCCAACCAAGACGAAGACGAGGTCGAGGACGAATTGGAAGCCCTACAAAGAGAAGCAGAGGGCGTCGTCGAACTGCCCAAGGTTCCCACAGCCGATCTTCCCGCCGTCACAGAGGAAGAAAAGGAACAAAAAGCAAAAGCTAGAGCAAAGGCAAGGGAACAGGAACGAACCGCCATGCTGGCTGCTTAAGTACGTTCTGATCGATCACGCTTTTAACGAAACTCAATAATAAGATTGCAGTGCCTGATCTTGACGCTCAAATATGGATTGCATAGACTATTTGAAACAAAAGCTGGAACTGGAACTGGAACCGTCCGGCTTCGACATCCCTGCATCCGAGTTGTTCATTACAAACGCATCATGTAGACGTAGAAAATGATATCAATGACTGCCATCGCTGTGAACAGTGCATACAAACCTCATAAAACTATTGTCCTGGCATAATTCTTCCTCCAATTCCATGTACGCCCTGAATAGCGACATGATCACTTGGATTCGCAGCTGCCTCGTACATCACGCTCACAGGCTCACGGTTCAAAGCCATGAACTGTCCCTTGAACCCCAAATACCCGATTTTAGTGATCTCTTCATCGCCCCAATTGTCCTCGAAAAACAGAGTAATCGATGTAGTGGCGTTCCACGAAGCGCGACTGAGGGGTAGCTCGAAGACGTCAGTTCCCGGAACAGGCTGAGGTACTTCGATCGTTTGGGTGGGCTTGAGGTCTGATGCCATGGAGAAGTCGATATCGTTTCGGTTTTTGAAGAGTTTGAGTGTCTTGGGCGCAGATGGGGTTGGCGCTGTGTAGATTAGGAGCGAATGTAGTTTGACCTGCCCGGCAAATCTTTTGCGTTTGTTAGTCTCAGAACCGAAATTATGACGTCCCATATCATGACTAAATGAGCTAAATGGTTCCATAGAAGAAATACATACGGAATGTGCATCAGGAGTTGTTCGTCGGCATCGCTCTCGAGCTCAGGCTGCTCACTCAACCTTTCAGTCCACGGCTTTTGAAGAATAGCGGCGCCGGCGCGGGAGACAGATTCTGCAGAAATAACACTCTTAGTCAATGACCACTCATTCAAAAACAAAGTCGCTGACACAAACGCACCGTTCAGAGTAGACACCATCTCAAACTGGATCTGCGAGTACAAGAGTGATTGCAGAGCTGGAGTGATGTCATCGGAATGGTCGTGGCCTTCGTCGTGACAGTGACCTCCAGGGCCATGATCGTGGTGGTGATGGCCTGACATTGTGGTGCGCAAGCTGTTGAGGTTTGTTGGTTATATGAAGGTCATGGTGGATGAAGAAAGAAGGAGTGCTTTGGCAGGAACGTGCCTGGCAACAAACAGAAAGAAGCTTTCGAGCATCTTTTTTGGATGCCCCAGGCCCGCGTTTCCCCACGTGGCACGTGCTTTGTCCTTATCCTTATCTTATCGGCTACTATGGAAGTTGGATAGCAAATCACCTTCACTAGTTTAACTATTCAAAAGTTTGAATTGTCTAACAAAAACATCAAGGGACGTGTTTGATGTGTCCACTAGCTCATCCGATAGTATTCCGGGGCATACTGAACGAGCCAGCTCTTCTCGATCTTCGTTACATCGCGAATGAAGGTCTTCTCGCCAGTCTCCAAAATTTCATGAAAAATAACCCAATCAGCTTTGCGATTCTACGCGTGAAGAGACCAATGTTAGCAAGATATTTAGTAGTAAGATATATTTCGTGGGACACAAGACAAACGTACAAACATTAATGAGCTCGGATGAGCATGTAAAGTGAGACCACCGCTCACAGTCTTGAAGCTACCATCAGGTTGCATCTTGGCGGCATGCGCAAAGTACCCCGTTGTAAGACACCGACGTATTTGCTCTGGCTTATGAGTATCTGCGGAGGTAGAACTAGTTGGTGGCTTCGTGTCGACCTCCAATCCAAAGCGCTCGAGATACCGCTTCAGTTGAGCACGGATACTTACGGCGCGAGTCAACGACTTGTAATTCAAGAGGTTGTCCCTGCACCACTTGGAGTCCTTTCTGCCCTTCGTGATGAACGCCTGGTATACATTCAGATATGTCATGTGATCGCCCTCTTCAACTGCAAACTTCCTACGCGCGCTCTCTGCTTCGTCTTTACCGCCGTCATGCTGAACCCATAAAGAGCCCTGCAAGCTCAACATAGCTGCAATAGAGAGTATTTCGCTGAGACACTGAAAGCTGGGAGCGCTAAGCAGGACTTTGGCCAACATCGGCTCAACCCCGAGTTCAGCCATACGAAATCCCATGGGTTTCGTGAGCTTTGCATAGTCATCCACAGCTCCGAGAGAGTATAAAAGCTCTAGCGCACGAGTCATCAGCTCGGACGGCGGGGCTGAAAGGAAGTCAAAACGGACGACATTATCGATGCCTAGAGCTTTCAGCTGCATGACAACCGGTGCGAGATTCGAGCGTTGAATCTCTGGTATACCCATCTCAGGCAACGTCTCGTAAGATTGTTGGGTGTATAGCCGAAAGCATTTCCCGGGTTTTGTTCTACCCGCTCTTCCCGCGCGCTGTGTAGCTGAAGCTTTGGATATCGGTGTCGCGGTCAAGGTCTCGATGCCAGTCTTAGGATTATAGGCGCGAAGTTTAACGAAGCCACAGTCAATCACATAAACGATGCCGTCTATCGTAACTGAGGCCTCTGCGATATTTGTCGACACTATAGCTTTCCGAGTATTTTCCGGTGTAGGCTCAAAGATATACATCTGCTGTTCGGTAGTCAAGCCAGAAAAAAGTGGCAGGGGAAGAAGAGACTTTGCCTTTGGATGAAGCATTGCAGCCCGCTCCGAGATCATTTGGACTGCTTGTTCTATTTCTTCGCGCCCAGTTAGGAAAACCAGTATGTCACCGTCATCCTCTTGAGAATGAATATCAAAGACTGTCTTTATGGCCCTTTCAACATAATTCTCTGCAGGGCTATCCAGGAAAAGAATGTCGACAGGATACATTCGGCCTTCGAGACTGATAATGCGGCCGACGTCTCCCCCGGGCTCAGTACCTTGCTCTTCAGCTGACACCTTATCGTCACCGGAGAAGAACTGCAAGAACTGCTCGGCCTGCAGAGTTGCACTGCTGATGATAATTCGTAATTCAGGGCGTCTTTTCATAATCTTCTTCAGGATTCCAAGCAGAATGTCCGTACTGATCGAGCGCTCGTGAGCTTCGTCAACCATAATCACTGAGTAACGGGAGAGCAACGGGTCAACAAGAGCTTCTCGAAGCAGCAGCCCATCTGTAAGGAACTTGACGCGCGTGGCAGCAGATGTGACATCCTCAAATCTAATAGAGTAGCCTACTTCTTCCCCTAGTTTGCAACGCATCTCCTCGGCCACTCTATGAGCAACAGTCGTGGCTGCCACTCGGCGAGGCTATCCATAGAGCTTCGGTCAGTGTTGCTTTGGATCTAAACAAAAGGGAGATAAGGCGATCTTTCACGTACCTGAGTAACCCCGATGATTTTCCCATCGGCAGTCCATCCTGCCTGGTCTAGGTATTGGGGCAACTGCGTGGTCTTACCGCTTCCTGTCTGGCCAACAACTATCGTGACAGGAAAAGTCTCGATGAGATACAGTAAGTTGTCTCTATACCGCGCAATTGGCAGAAGAGAGGCCGGCTTATACAAGGAAGGGATAAAAGCCGAAGACAAACCGAGCTCATCGGCCATTGGACCAAGATTTTGGAGAATCACGACTCCCTGATCGGCCTATTTTGACAGCTTATTAAAGACACCATATGGCCATCTTGGGGCGAGTCGAGTCCACTATCCCATAGTCAACATTTGTCGAGCTGGAAAATATTGACAGAAGTTAGTCGCTTGCAAGCCACAGAGAGCAGTCTTGGCTCTCAGAATTATGTGTGGCTGACGCGGACTGTGGCTGGAGCTGTAGTTAACTACATTCTTTAACGGGATGATGTAATGCTTGCTTGCTGCTGTTTGTTGCCCCCCCTGGAAAAGTCATCCCAGCTCAACAGCAATGAACTTCCTACGCCCATTCAGATCAAGGTGTTTCTACCGACAAACACAAACACGCAACATGCATGTCCAGACGATACCGATGTGGACGGGAAAGAGCAACAATTACGCGTACCTGGTGACCGACGAGCCCACGAAGGAGTCGGTTATTATCGATCCGGCGAATCCAGAAGAAGTGACTCCTGTCCTGAAATCCAAACTGGCTGCTGGAGAGATAAAGCTGAATGCAATTGTCAATACACATCACCATTGGGACCATGCTGGCGGCAATGATGAGACTCTGAAGGTGTTCCCTCACCTGCAGGTAATCGGCGGCAAAGATTGCAAACATGTCACAAAAACACCAGCTCATGGTGAGACATGGAAGATAGGTGAGCGTATCAATGTAAAAGCGCTCCATACTCCGTGCCATACGCAGGACAGTATATGCTATTTCATGGAAGACGGCGCGCAGCGTGCTGTCTTCACTGGCGATACACTTTTCATTGGAGGGTGCGGACGCTTTTTCGAGGGCACTGCAGCTCAGATGCATAAAGCTCTTAATGTGACGCTTGCGTCTTTGCCAGATGATACCAAAGTCTACAGTGGCCACGAATATACCAAGTCCAATGTGAAATTCCTCCTTGCTGTATCGAACTCGGCGGCCATCAAGAGACTTCATGATTTTACAAAGAATAATCAGCAGACACAAGGGGTTTTCACTATCGGAGATGAAAAGGCCCATAATGTCTTCATGAGACTCAGCGACCCCGAGGTCTTGAAAGCAACAGGCAAGAAGGATCCTGTGGAGGTCATGACTGCTTTAAGAGAGATGAAGAACGCAATGTAATCGATAAAGCTAGATATTATTTGGGCAGTGGAATCTCCTCGTCAATGTTGATGAGCTCGATTCTTGAAACAATAAATATAGAGTCTACGAATATGAAATCATACCAACTTTTTAACTTCAAGGCTCTTCTTGTCATCTTAGTGCCGGTCTTGCCTGAAAGGAACATCAAGTATAATACTTGGGTTTGTACTGATATTAGAAGTGATGCCACTTTCAAGCACGAACATTCAAGCCCATCGAAATCTGTTTATCTCTGATCGAATTCATAATCACATCGACATCCTTCTCCGTTTTGTGCCAGTTATTCTCAATGACTTCCTTACTCTGCATACTGCGTGGCTCGAAGATTGCCTCAAATGGGAAGGGCGAGGAGACGAATCCCGAAGTCATATCCATGTCATTGACTTCCTTGGTTTTGCCATCCTTGTCGACAGCGTGGCGTATATTAAACCCCCAGAGGATGCGTGCAATGAGTAAGAAAAGCGAGTTTTTGGCAATATGTCTACCAGTGCAAATGCGACGCCCATATCCAAAAAAGTTTGCAAACCGATCTTTCCCATCCTCTGGCTTCTCCAGCCATCGTTCAGGAAGGAATTCAAGCGGCCGATCAAACGTGTTCTCATCGAGGGCCATGGCCCAGAAAAGGCCAATTATTGTAGCACCCTTTGGAATACGATAGCCCAAATACTCGTCTTCTTCTAGTGTGGCATGCGGAACACCTCCTGGGGCAATGGAACGCCATCGGAGACTCTCCTTTACCACTGCAACAACATAAGGAAGGTTTGGCTCGTCCTCTAGGGTAGGAAGTCGGTCCGGTCCAACAACTGCATCCAGTTCTTTCTGGGCCTTTGTGACGAACTCTGGATATGAAAGAGCGGCTAGGGTGAACATACGCATCTGCACGGAGGTAGTGTCAAGGCCGGCATCAGCCAAAATGCCCAGATTATAAGCCAATTCAATGTCTGACATCTGAGCCGCCTCTTTGGATTTGAAGAACTCCTTAGTCCAGTTCCAACCCTTGTTAGCAAGTGCAGTCTGCATGTTGCCCACATGCAGTGCCCTCTCAATCTGGTAGAACTTTTCGGCTGTCTTTTTCCACGGGGCCAATCTGGATGGCAAGTGGTTAAGGAACGGAAGCGCATCTACAATCCACGTGCCTACGCGGCCTGCATATGCAAAGTTTTCCTGTACCTGGTGTGCATGCTTCAGCATCGGCTCGGTGCCGGTATGTAAGCGGATTCCGTATGCGAGACTATAAACCACACTTGCTGCATAGCGTTCATACACCATTTGGAAGTTATTCGTGGACAAGAAATCAAACAACAGTTGCTTGCTTTCTAAATCCTGCAATGGATAGTAAGTCTTCGATGCACGAGGGCTAAGCACCGGCGCATCAAGACGCTGATGGAGCTTGTACCGTTCATCATAGCGGCGGAGGAGCAGGTGCATGCCTTTCGTCAGGTTTTCGCCGGCCATAACCATGCGTGGCCGGTCACTATAGATATGTCCCCGTTTCTCCAAAAGCTCTCGGGCAATAGAGGCATCTCCTATGAAAACAACTGTATTGCCGCCGAATTGGGCGCTGATGATTGGTCCATACTGCTGGATCCATCTCCGGTAGGTCACCCAAGGAACATCGGTAGGCGCTTGGTGGAGGTTTCCAATGAGTGGAAGACGAGGGGGGCCTGGAGGAAGACTCCTATCCCGTATGCGTTCATATAGGATCCTGAGAAGCACGAGGCCGACAATTGACCACAGAACTATAGTGGCCGGCATGGTATATGTGACAAATCAAAGACGTTGAAATAAGTTAGTTGAAGAAAAAGAAAAGAAAAAGGAAACCAAAAGAGAAGAAAACCGCATTCAGAGGTTTTTTAGTCAGGGACATAACTACGCGAAATTAAAATCAGCGGTCAAGCTACACTACTGGAAACATTTTCATACGATAGTTAGTGTGTTTGGGTAGGAAATGTCGAGCCTTTGGTAATTCTAGCTATGCACGGGAATTATGTGCGACTTGATATACTGTACATATAGTGGTCTGAACTCTTCTTGGCTATCTCTAGCCCTCTTTCTTCTATCTAGTTTGACTTCTCAGGGGCTCTCACTGGATAACTTTGAAGTGGTATTCTGTTGAGTGTCGTCCAGCTCTGGGATTCTAGTCGAGATATTTCAGGAAAACTAATGATGGATAATTTAATATAACTAGTGACGCCCGCATACTCCGACCGACTAAAGTACTACATGTATTATTGATGTTACCGTATATTTGCGGTATCGTGATGTATTTCGGTTCGGTCAGCCACGAGACCTGCCGTGTGGCTGTGCAATGTATTGTAATATATACATTGGTTAGTCGTACCCGTCATGAAACCTTTAAACCCTAAAATACGGTTATCCGTATACATATAATTTACACTTTATGCCCGCGATTCTTTACTCTGGGGTTGGCATCCCATCAACTACCAAACTGAGGGATGAAAGAGTGTCGCAATGACCGGCGTTCCAATTCGTGACACGGGCTTGTGGCTACAGTACTTAGGTAAACGAATCTTATCTGGCTTGACGCTCATCTCATCATCACACAAGGTCAATATTAGTGGTTCACTTTGTGAGAGAGAGTTCTCTCCCCGTGTCTAGCGATCAGATCAATATATCTTATATCTATGATTTGTCTTTCAGAATCACATGTGAGTTCTCTTCATTCATGACCATTTCTGCCTCGACTCCATCGATAGGCAACTGAAACTCTGCCTCTTCCTCGTCCACCTTGAAGGGTTTGATCTGGAACAGAAGCCAATATACAACCCCAGAGACAACAAAACTCACCAGCCAACTCAAGGAGTACAGATAAGAGGCACCTTTGGGAATCCCAGTTTGCCCACACACCGCCGCTAGGCCGGGCATATTTGGCACTATCCCACAGATGAAGGCGATAAAAGCCCGCAGGTTGAATCCCGCAGTAAAGTAATGCGTTCCCTGCATCTCGTATAACGAACGGATCCTAATGCTTCGACGGCGGCAGATCCAAAAGTCCGCGATAATTACGCCAGCGATCGCACCAAGGAAGAGTGAGTAGCCGCCCAGAAATGCCGAGAAGGAGGCCGCCCTGTATGCATGATATATCAGTGGCAAGTCGTCGAATCGACGCCGGGTTGAAGCGGAGGGGAAAAGCTTACGAATGCTGTATGTACCATGGCATTGACAGAATGCTCAGTAATGCACATATATAGGCCCCGCGTCTCGTGTCGATGTATTTCGGGAACCACAGTGAGATATCGTTCGAGAACGAGACACTGTTTGCCGAAATATTCGTCCCCATTGCGGCAAAAGCCCAGCAGAATGCAGCGAAGAATTGGGCCGCTCTGTTATTCCAAAGGAGCGCCACCTGGAGTGGATTCCAGGTTAATTGTCCGTAGATCACCTCCGAAGCACTCGAGACCGTTGCGCCTAATAGTCCACATAACGAAACGAGGATGATCAGACCGACGGCCTGAGTCCAGAAGACTTCACGGGGTCTTCGTGCGTATCGAGTGAAATCGGGCATGTCTGCATCGCATTAGACATCTCAACCAGCATTATATACGGGTATTATAGAAAAAGGAAAGAAAAAAAAAAAAAAAAAAAAAAAAAAAAAAAAAAGAGAAAAGAGCATACTCAATGCCAGGGTTGCTTTCGGACCGATTGCGCTTGTCAGGCATTGTAGAAAGACAACCGCCACTGGAGTTCCATCCTTGATATGACTTGGCTTCGAGAATACGGGACCAAATCCGTGGGCTGACATACATGATCAGCAATTCATATAACTAGTTACTAAGTAGTTACTGTCTTCTGCCTTCAGATTTACTTACCCGCGGCAAGGGCCCAGCTGAAGAGCACAATTCCAAATACCGGCATGACTATGGTCTTCACCAGGAAGAAATACCGTAGAGTGGAAACATTGAGATACAGCAGGGGAAGCTGAGCGATAATAGCGAGGAAGAAGCACAGAAGCTCCGACGATGTCACGGGTGAACTCTGCGGCAGATGATTTGGAAGATTCTTGAAGGATGGCCAGATGGCTTGGATCATCACTGATATACATTCGCCTGCTTGATACGACTGTGTACCGAACCAGATCACCGCGACTATGCCACGCACTGCGAAATAATCAGAAGAAAAAATTTCTTTCTTTCTTTGACCGTGAAGAACCCACCGAAGACTGCAAAATAACTTCCTCTCATTCCAAAACTCATGCGGGTGAATACGGGAAAGTTGATTCCATGGATGGCACCAACATACGCGTCTAACATGGCCGGAATGCATACTAGCACATGTCCGATAACCATGGCTCCCAGTGCCATCGGTGGACTGAGACCCTTCGTTACAGCAGAGGAGGTTACTGCATTGAGTTAGCTGTGAGTCGTTTCATATATTTTCATTTCGAGGCCATTCAGTCACCTTGGTACATGCTAATGCTGAACGCCTCGGCGATCCAGAAGCCGAGAAGAGACGGCCATGTCCATGTTCGTTTGGGGGAGCCCCGGGGTATAGGTTCGAGGTCTTTGTTGGACAGCGCCAGCGAGGAATCACCTTGACTAACTTGCAGTCGAGTTCGAAGTCCCATGTTTGTTGTTGCAAAATCGAAGAGCATGTACACTTTCTCTGTGCAACGCTTCCAGGGACCACGAGCTTTAACTTGTTAAAAGCAAAAGCCCTTACTAACCCCTATCGGCCATAGATAGATCTAGTTTTGAGGTTGGAGTGGGAACCAGAAAGATAAGACTCCGTTGGTTGGGGTGAATTCAACTGATAACCTGTTTCAACCCCGAATTTGGGTCGTATACTTAGTCCATTATAATCTACCAGCGGTATCGTCGGCCTGTGCAGAAACTCTTCCTCCAAAACCACGCGCAAACATGGCTTCCACGACTTCATCGCCCAGGTTGGTGACCGTTGCGGCCTGCCAGCTTGGCCCCGTTCATCTTGCAGATTCCCGGCAAGATGTGTTGAAGCGCATGCTGTCGCTTTTGGAACAGGCCGCGCAGCAAGGAGCAAAGCTTGCTGTCTTCCCAGAGCTTGCTTTCACCACGTTCTTCCCCCGATATCTTCTCGAGGAGACAGACTTGGACCAGTATTTTGACGTCGAAGATCCAAGCAAGGGGGGAATAGAGCAATCTCCAAACGTCAAGCCTCTTTTTGACCGTGCAAGTGCACTGGGTATAGATGTGTATGTGGGCTACGCGGAACGTAGCATTCAGAAGGATGGAACCCATATCGACTACAACTCCAGTGTTTACTACTCGGCGAACGCAAATAAAATCGTCGGGAAATACCGCAAAGTCCATCTTCCCGGCACCGTGGAGCCTCGTACCGAGCCCGGCGCCGTTCAGCAGTTAGAGAAGCGTTATTTCCGCCCGGGAGATCTTGGGTTTCCGGCGTTCAGAGCCCCCGGACTCGTCGAGGGCGCACTGAAGAGGTCGAGCGGCCAGTATACCGCGACACAATCAGCGGGCAAGGGCGATCCGATCATTGGAATGCTCATCTGCAATGACCGGCGTTGGGCCGAGGCGTGGCGCGTGTACGGCCTCCAAGGAATGGAGATTTTATGCTGTGGATATAATACCACCGCATTCCCGACAACTGCCAGTGGCCACCAGCTCGATCACCTCACTCCCGAAGCCGCGGAGGAGATGGTCATGCTGCATCATAAACTTTCATGCCAGGGAAACAGCTATATGAATGCCTGTTTCAGCATCAACGTGGCAAAGACGGGCGCTGAAGATGGGAATCCGTTGGTGGGTGGAACGATCATTGTGCATCCGCTGGGGCACATTATCAAGGAAGCCCAAACGAAGGAGGACGAATTGGTTCTGGCAACAATTGACCTGGCAGACTGCCACCGGCCTAAGAGCACTGTTTTTGCCTTTGAGAAGCATCGTCGACCTGAACACTACCACCCTATTCTGGATCGTACGGGGGTCATTGAGCCAGACTTGCTATGATCAATCAACATGTATTATTCCATTGAGAGCGAAATATAAGGCATTATCTACACATCAAATGAGCATTCCCAGAAGCTCCCTTAAGGGGTCCCTTTTTTTGGTGGCTTCCTAGTTAATATTCCGTTGTTATCCTTACATATCCTTACATTGAACCGTAAACTCTAGATGAACTGCACGAAAAGTCCCCTTCCGGTAGCCTTCGACCACAGCCCTCCTAGGACTAGAAGAATACGCAGTTCTCTTGCTTCAATTTTTTTTTTTTTCACCTCAAGATTTACGAGTCGAGTTTTGTCAACCAATGTACACGGAAGCGTCAAATTGGAGTTGTTGGGGTCGAAACTCCACCCAGGGACGATAAGCCGGAAGTTCAAGCTTGACTCACTCACCTAGAAAAGTTGCACAGGATGGATCAATAACCCTCTTCTACAATTGCATCGCTACCATGCAGCTGGATACTATCGTGAGAAACGGGCTCATTGTGAGTTCCCCCGTTCCCAATGCCAACGCCGTCAAATATGTACTCATTTTGATCATGATCAGGCCACGGAAAGCGGCGTGCTTCCTGCCGGGCAAGAAATTGGAATTTCCAACGGAAAAATATCTCTTATAGGATATGAGCTGCCTGAAGGCCCCGAGACCAAGATCATTGACGCGCAGGGCGCATACATTACCCCCGGTGGTGTCGATTCGCATGTGCATCTGGCGCAAAGAAATGCGCCGACTGGAGACACCTGGGAGACTGGAACGCGCAGTGCGGTCGCCGGGGGTACGACGACGGTGCTTGCATTTGCATCGCAAACGAAGGAGATGACATCCTTGTTCCCCGTCCTCGAAGAGTATCACGGAAAAGCTCGTGGCCAAAGCTACTGCGACTACGGGTTTCACTTTATTCTCACGAACCCCAACGCGACAATCCTGGAACAGGAATTGCCTCGGATTGCCAAGGAGGAAGGCATCACAAGCATCAAACTATACATGACGTACGAGCTGTACAAACTGTCCGATCATCAACTCCTCGATACTATGCTTGCATGCCGCTTGCTGGGACTGACGACCATGATCCATGCGGAGAACAGCGACATGATCAATTTCCTGATCCAGGGCCTGGAGAGAAACAAGAACACGGCGCCTTTCTTCCACGCCATTTCAGCGCCGAAAATCGCCGAAGATGAAGCGTCGTACCGTGCCATTCGACTCGCAGAATTGGTCGATGCTCCGGTGCTGCTAGTTCACGTTTCTTCCGACGGAGCCATGAAGCATATCAGGGAAGCGCAGACGAGATTGCTCCCGATCCATGCAGAGACCTGTCCCCATTATCTCTTCCTACTGTCTGACAAACTGGCAAACCACGAGCATGATGCCTTCCATGGTGCCAAGGGGGTGTGCTCCCCTCCGCTTCGCCACAACCTAGACGATCTCGAAGCTCTCTGGCGCGGAATTTCCAACGACACGTTCACTGTGTTTTCGTCAGACCACGCGTCCACCAAATACGACCATCCCCAGGGGAAGAAAGCTGGGATGATCGACGGAATTCCCCGATTTAGTAAAATCCCCAAGGGGATCCCAGGAATTGAGACCCGGCTCTCTCTTCTGTTCAGTGAATCAGAAGCATGTCTTCCAACGGAGCGAGCGCGACTGAGCGTGGCTCGTTTTGTGCAACTAACCTCGAGCAACCCGGCCAGGCTGTACGGGCTCACGCAGAAGGGATCCATTATGCCAGGGTTTGATGCAGATCTAGTTATCTGGCATCCACACAGCCAAGGTGAGACCACGATTGCACAGGAGAAACTCCACCACGGGGTCGACTATACGCCATTTGAAGGGATGCGCGTTCGGAACTGGCCTCGCTTTACGATGTTGCGGGGTGAGATTGTATGGGATGCAGACAAGGATAGCGTGACTGGAGGGAAAGGGTTTGGGAAGTTCTTAAAAAGAGAAAATGGTCGCCTTTTGGTTGGAAAGCTTGGTCAACTGCCCTCGGGGATGATCGAGGGAGAGCGAGAGTACTGGCTCCCCAAGTCAGGTATGAAAGCATGAAGATAATAATATAGCACTAGAGATTGATATGATAAATACGAGAAACGTTGGAAGCAGAATGAAGCCGTCTGTATTTACATAGCCAAAGAAACTGATGGTCAGAAAGCAAAGATTTATAGTCGAGCTCGTTCGGGAATCAAGTCGACGGCTTCCTGGGCCAGACCCCTGATGCTGTCAGCGGTATATTCGAGGCCTCTTGTCACATCCATCGGAAAACTTACCAAGATGCTTGGAACCCAGTACCACCGGCGCCATAGTTATGGATGACGAGCTTGCCATCAATGTACTCACCTTCGACCCTCGCACCGCCTTTTCGGCTGGCTGTAGGTATAGGATTAGCAACGCAAACGGGGAAATTTCGAAAAAAATATTCAGGATAACTGTACTTACGACGAAGCCCGACGCCGTGTTTGATGATCTTGAGGTTTTCGGGCTTTCCAAGCTGGGGAACCAGCTTGCAACATTTTCGCTTAATAACCTCTGCAAATTCCAAATCGACTGATCCATCCCAGTTGTCCTTTTCCCGACATCCCCCCAAGATCACACCGCCTATTCCATTTTTGCCGCGTGGAAAGATATGTGTTGCATCTGCGTCTCGATGTGGAGCTTGGAAGTACATTGTGGGAATTGGTTCTTTTGGACCCTCGACGAGCAGAATTTGACCCTAAGCCCCCGTGGGGGGGCGCGCTGTCAGAACCTGTCATAACAAAGCCAGTAGAGGGGAGAGAGAGAGAGAGAGAGAGAGAGAAACATACCCTTGCAGGATATAGCATTTTGTCCTCAACGCCCCCAAGTGTAAGGGAGCCTAATCCGGTGCAATTGAACACCGCTGATGCCTTAGGGTACAAATTGAAGACCTCGCGAATGTCGGTGAAGATCTTTCGATGGATTTCAATTCCACGAGAGTGGGCTTCCATCTGTAACCTACAACCATCTCAATTAGACGACGAGCACTTGATTTTGCCAGCGTAAACTAGGCAGTCATCATACCAGGGAAGATATCGCTGAACATCAAGAACAAATGAAGCCATCTCAAACCCAAAAGCTGCGCCGGCGGGAAGTTCATCCTTCTCAATGGGCTTTAACCCCCCAACAAGATCCTCAAACCAGAGTTTCCCCGTGGAAGGCGTGAGAATTCCAACCTCTTCGATTGGTCTGTCATAATGGAAGCGAATGTTCATGGCCTTGACACCGGAGTCTGGTCGCGCGCTAGAAAGATGTCGAAACTTCTTGTAGGTGATCGAGTCCCATTTCTCTTGTCGGCCATTGTCAGCCGAGGCAGGAAACCAATTGGCACCTCCCCAGTTAGACGCGTAGTCTGCAAAGGAATCGCCTGGCAGATACTTGGCTGCGATGGTAACATGGGCACTCGGGTGGCGGTCTTTCAGTTCCAGCGCAGTAGTAAGCCCTACGACGCCAGCACCGACGACAACATAGCATGCTATTTCATTTTAATGTCGGCATCTAATGGAAAGAGGGTACATTTTTGTCTTACACATTTTCCGGGCCAACTCGCCTCAAGGTGACAGCAGGTTGAAAAACACCAAATTCCTCGCGGTGTATACTCGGTGCTTGCTGCATTTCACGTTGATTTTGCCGGCTTATCAGGACTCCACTCCAACGCCGGAGTCGGAGTAGAACCCACTGGATAGAAGACTTCGAGGAACCTTGAATTCGGGGTAAAAACCCCCTCGTTTCCTCCAACTCCACCGATAAGAGTCGCAGTAAACCCATCGGGCACGATCACGATGGCAGTATTCAGAACGACCGTACGGGTTCTCGGGCTGTTCTACAGGATGCGAAGCAGCTATAGAACACCCAGTTGAATCAATCCGGGGGCATTTTTTTTCTGGTTGCCTCGCAGCAGATCAAATACCGTCAGTAGCTTTACAGAGAGAGACTACGTTGTTGAGTCGGTATAGTTAAACTAAGTTAACGTAATCGGACACCGAGCGGGCCACTTCCCTTTCCAATCTTGTAAATATTTCTATACACCAATCTTCAACGCGTCATTATGCCACCAAATCGTACAGAAAATCGCCAAAAAATTGGCTAACCAAGAAGGCAAGATATTACTTGCCATTTCCGATTTAAAAAATGGAAAAATTCGAACTATACGTGAAGCTGTATGGATCTATAACGTTTCGCGTACAACTTTTCAACGTCGACTTGCCGGCATCGAATATCGAGCTGAAAAAACGCGCTAATAGCTATAAAATGACTCAATATGAGGAGGAATCCCTTCTAAAGTGGGTTCTTGATCTTGATAAATATGGATTACCCCCCCAGCTATCTCTTGTATAAGATATGGCTGATCTTCTTCTTTCTTATATGGAAATAAGCACGTTAGTGAGAAATGGGTTTATTGATTTGTTAACCGGCATCTGGAAGTGAAATTATGATTTCCATGGAGATATAACTATGAGTGAGTAAAGTGTGAAGATATCAAGATAATCGGAGAGTATTTTGACTGCGTATAAGATATTATATAAGAATATGGGATCCTATCTGAAGATATATATAATTTTAATGAGACTGGCTTTGTTATGGGTCTTTGTGTAACTGTAAAAGTTATTATAGGCAGTGATCGATATAGTAGGCCTTATTTATTATAGCCGCTCGGTGTCCGATTACGTTAGTCGTTCGTCCCTTCGGCTTATGTAATGCATGCTGTATCCTTATCAGGAAGTGGAGAGCAGCAGTCGGACATCCCCCGACGAGCATCATCCCTTCTCCTCCTTGAAGCCATGCGCCCTCGTGTTGAAGTCGCACCATGTAGATTCTGCCGGAGGCGCTTCGCCAGACGTGAACACCTACTGCGCCACGAGCGGACTCGTGCGTTCTCCTGTTCCCATTGCTGCCGGCATGCGCACGTCTGACATGCACAGATACTCGCGAGAAGCCATTTCACTGCCGCTGTGGCAAGGACTTCACTCGGCGGTACGTACTACTGGAGACTCGCATCGCATCAGACGCTGAGTAGCAAAAACAATAGTGACCTGTTGTCGCGCCACTTGAAGCTCAAGAGCGATGCCTCTGGCCATGGAGAGGCATTGCCCTTGGAGAATAATGCCACGCCGCTTGCACATGTAAACAGCCCATCTGGCGCCGTTCCTCCCATTTTCCCGGCAAATGCCGTAGGTCAAATAGACGAGGACATCAACGCCTTACTGCCGCCCGCCACCTCTCACAGTTTTCTAGAAGACAATCTGGAAGATCTCAACGTGTTATGGGGAAGCGTTGATACCAACTTCCCCTTGGAAGGACTCGGGTTTGGTCTTCCAAACGATCTCATCTCTCTCCCGGGCTTCGATGCATCGCCCTCGACCATTGTCGACAAAACTCCCCGCCAGCCCGTTCCAGATAGCCCGCCATCGGATGACGATGTTGCCTCGCTGTCCAATTTCCAACTCCCATCTTTACCACGAAACGACGAATCCTCTTCTCAGGATGTGGAAAGTGCCTCGCAACACTGCGACTCACGTCCCAACTCTTCCAGTGAACATTATCCGTGGCGAATCAGCAATGAGGACTACCGCTGTATTGTGACGCAGATCGATCATATGCGTCCACACCTCCCAGTCTCTTTTACTTTGCCCTCGAAATATGTCTTGTGCAGATACATCGAAGGGTTCTTCACAGGAAGCCATGGGCATTTGCCCTTTTTGCACATATCGACCGTGTCGATTGCGGATCTGTCTCCGCCTTTAATCTTAGCAATTATGGCTATGGGGGCGCAATATCGCTTCGAGCGAGAACGAGCCGTGAGGTTCTACAAGGCGTCACGATCTTTGATTGATCACCACATCAGTCTATACACCCAGTCTCATTCGCTTTATACCCCTCGTTCCCACGTTGAGACTACGGAGAAGACTCACTTTGAGGTGCTGCAAGCTCAGATCATCCTTACCACTTTGGGCACATGGGGTAATCATGGTCTACTCCACGATTCACTTGGAATTGCTGGTCAAATGTCGCTCTATCTCCGGGATAGCGGCCTGCTCCTACACGATCGTCATTTCAGCGATGGATCGTGGAGCGCCTGGATTCAGCAAGAGGGGCAACGGCGCACCATATTCAGTGCCTATATGATTTGCAGTAATCAAACGATTCTTTACAATATGCCTCCAAAGATCCTGAATAGTGAAGTTAGTTCTCTCTATCTCCCTTGGCCTGAGGAGCTCTGGAGAGCGTCAAGTGCCTCGGAGTGGAAATCTCTCCGCTCCAGGTGGCCGCACTACGTCTCCTTTGGCGACGGCTACGGCCAGTTGTTTCACAATAAACCAATTCATCAGAGCTTATCTTCCTTTGGGAACCTGGTCCTAATCCACGGTCTCTTCCAACACATATATCTAGCATGGGAGGCGTCATTCCGCATCCCAGTCTCTTCCGAGGACCAGCCTACCTCACTACCCGTCGAGTTCCTCACAAGATTCCACTCAGCGCTCCGACGATGGCAGAAAAGCTGGGAGACAAGCTCCGACCCGTCCATCACCCCTTCATCTCCAAAGGGACCCCTCGGTTTCAACGCGACAGCAATATTTCGAATCGCATGCATCAGGCTACACCTCAACCTTGGCCCGCACCGCAGCTTAGGAACGGGGGAGCCGGAAGCCATTGCATCAGCCTTTTGCAACGCCCCAAGACCCGCGCAAACCCCCCAAATCTACCACGCCGTCCTCCAATCCATCCACGCTCTTTCCATTCCCGTCCGCCTCGGCGTGGAATACGTCGCGAGAACACAGACCTTGACATGGAGCACAATCCATTCCCTCTGTAACCTCGAATGCGCCCTGTTCTTGTGTAAATGGCTCGAGATGCTCGCGTCGGACCCGACAAAAGATATTATTCATCGAGATACGCGACGGCTTTTAAGAATCATTACCAGTGTACTGCGCGAAGCAGATCTGGCACCGCCAGGTGACCGAGCGGATAAATTTGAGCCCGAGCAATTACGGCGGATGGGTGCGATGCTGGTGCGACTATTGTCGGAGATACTCAAGGGGGCGCACGTTTTCGAAAAGATGCATGTTTTTTGTGACTCTCTTCGCACCTACGCCACTTTGCTCGAGAATGATCTCGATTCCGATATGGCGGAATGAGCAGCAGCTCCATGTCTCCTCTGGGCTCATTCCATCACCAGCACGTTTTTCGATAATCCCAGTGCCGCCTGAAGAGCATACAAGCATGCAACTGCTATTTTTCCTTTTTTTCTTCCTTCCTACCAATGGGAGGTTGGACCGGATGGGCGGGTTCTGGGAAGATTGCAGAGGTCATCTAGGCATAGGATGAGTTCTCCAGGTTGTAATTCGGTAAATGAATACCGGAGCCTTACCAGTCAAGATACGATTCTCATGTATTGATTGTCACGCCTTTTTACTGATACCCAAATTTACAAAAATTACGACTATACATGTAACTATACGAGACGGTAAGGTTATGTATTGCAGCTGTGCCATATACTTCCAGGCTTGGCTCATTATTGACAGCTTCGAAGCAAAGCTGTCCAGTCGGATGACAAGTCTTGTAATCCGCCTTGGTGCGACTCCACTTCTAATATATAGACAGGTCACTATTGTGATTAGGATGCATTAGGCATGTGTCACAATGAAGGTCAGCAGCACTTGTTTCTGGGCTTGAGCCGACTAGGAAACCACCACTTTTGGTGCAAATTCATGCTTGCATTCTCTTGATGCCGCCAGTAACTGCGCTGGTCTCGGCCGGGGGGTTGGGGGGTCCCTTGTCACATAGAGAGCGCTGTGAAAACTAGGCTGGCCTAATACCTAAAAGAGAAACGAAGTGCCTCGAATCCCTCGAGATATAGACAGGGATTAGTTATGTTGGGTATTTGGATTTCTGCATCATGTAGTTACTCCGTCCGGCAAAAAGCAGGAGGATGTAGCGGATATCTACTATACAAACTGCAAATAAACCAACGGGTTTCTATCTTTTCACCAATAACTAATCATGTAGGTATACCTTCCAGTGTCCCTCTTTCCTTATTTCGTCTCTTTTATCGGGTTTCGATCTCCGAAGAAGAGATCGGATTTGGCGATCTCCGAAAAAGGGAGGAAGAGAGAGAGAGAGAGAGAGAGAGAAGCAAGAACAAGCAACATCAACAGTTCACGAGTGTCAGCGTCTGTGTCTTCAGAGTTCATTCTCTAGTAAGTACCACGGTCTCTGAAACCTCAAACTCTGCGCTGCTAACATATTCAGCATGACAAATGATTACCGCCCAACCTTGCTAGCGGTGGGCTGGACTCTCGCAGCTTTAGCCACCATAGCTGTCGCCTGTCGAATCTATTGCCGTACAGTTTTGACCAATAGAAGAGGATGGGAGGATGTCATCATGGGGTTTGCCTGGGTATGTCAGTCTAGACCTCATACGAGCAGAAAAGAAAGAGGTGCTTATTCAGAGTGCTTTGTTACTAAATCGTTACATCCCTTTTGATATTGTACAGGCTGGTGCAATCGCCACCACAGTGCTGGTTACGCTTAGTACGAGATATGGCTTTGGCTTGCACTTTGACGAAATCGAGAACCCCGTCAAACAGAGTCTCGCAACCAAGTACACGCTCATCCCACCCGCTATTTCACTCCTATCTGCCGGCGCGGCGAAAATCTCAATCGTGATGTTTCTGGTGAGGATCTTGGGGTCCTCAGTTGAGATTTCGTATAAGCTCGTCCTGTACATTCCTTCAATCATTATGATAGGCGCAAATGTCTTCGCCATGGTTGTATTGCTTGGATACTGCACTCCTCCGGAAAAGGCGTGGATCCCTTCCATCCCAGGGCATTGCATGTCAGCGGCCACCCTGGACATTGGTGGAAGAGCTGTTACTGGTACGAGAATCCGTCCAATCTTTCTCCGTTCGTGTTTAGCTTCTCTTCTTTCGCATCTTGAAGAATGACAAAAGAGACAATAACAAAAGTGTACAACGCTGCCATGGATCTTTTATGTGCAATTTTCCCTGTCTTCATGGTCTGGAGACTCAACATGAAAACACGCACGAAATGGGGATTGGCCATTGTAATGAGTGGCGGCATTGTGTGAGTCATGACAATCCTTTTTTCTTTTTTTTCTTTTCGAAGACAAGGCGTTGCTAAGACATACTGTTTACATAGTGGTGCAATAGCTAGTATCGTAAAAGTCGTTATGATGAGCAATATCAAGAATACCGCCGATATAACATGTGAGATTCCTCCCACCTACACACATCCACCTTCAATTCTTCCTGATTAACGATGTGTTTACAGATTCGTGGGCGCCTATTGCCATATGGTATATGGTCGAGGTATTATTCCCTTGCTCAAATGCATGATATTACCTATTTACAGCATACTAACGGACGAATTCAGATGTTCGCTATTATCATTGCTGGATCTATCCCTACACTGCGTCCACTCTGGAAAGTCATTCGCGGCCTTCAATCTACCTCTGAGAGCAACATCTCCTCCAGCGACCGTTACAACAAGCGATTCCAGCGTCCCAGTACCGGGAACAGCTCAGCAGGGGCAGGACTGTATACGATGGCGCTGCGAGAGCTTGACAAGGAACCAAGTGATTTGGACTTGAACGGACCAACATCCAGTAGAGAGAGGATCTTGTGATATTCAATATATATACATGCAGCTTAGCTCTCGCTATATTGAAATGCCTGACTATCATTTCCGGAAGAATATATGTATGACTTGAATAAAAAGGAAGTGGCTGTCTTCCAAAGTAAAATGCGCCACCTTCGGGTTAGGGTTATGTTATACAAGATCCGTAACCCCAACCCGTACAGAGAGGGGATGCATCACGTGACGGGCTGTGCATTTCATTTTTAGAGACGTTTAAGCATAGACCAGTAAGATTAATAGAGTTGCCTCGTAGTTAATTACGTAGTGTAGTTATTATTAGTGATGGGCTGCTGGCATAGCCGCATGATAGCCACAAACATCTTCCTCCATTCCATTCTTCATTCCGCCCGCCGCCTCTCAACTTCTCTCCCTCCTGCTACAACTACTCGATAACTGTCTTTAGTTGAAAAGATATTCAGTTCTCTTCAACATGGCCGACGAGGGGAAAGGGGTATGTCATATTCCTCAGGATAGCTAAAAAGACAATCACTAAAATGCGACCAACCTCCCCCCCCTCCCCCGCGCAGCAAACCCCTACCAAGTACTCCGCAGGAGTGAACAATGCCAACCCAGAGTCTCCAACGACCGCACGCCCGCTTGATTTTGACGATGAGCCTCAAGAGACAGGCGTCATCTCTACACCCTCAAAAGCAGATACCACCGCGCCCGCTGCCGACGATGTGCCTCCGCCAAAGCCGCCGCGTCCGCTCAGTCCGCGACAGCAGGCCGAAGAGACATTGAAAGAAGCGTTCCCGTCAATCGATGCCGCCGTGGTCAGAGCTGTCTTGACGGCGAGTGGATACAATGTGGAAAGGGCCTTTCATGCACTACTAGGTTGGTTGGATATTTGCGGCCTTTTTTTTTTTCTTTTCTGGCGTTGCTTGTAGCTGAACAAGTTCCATGCTATATATATTAGGCATGACGGATCCTACTGCCCAAGAAGAACTTCCACCGCCCCCGCCAGCGAAGCCCCCGAGACCTTCCTATCATCCAGCGACCTCAACTACTCAGAAACAGTTACATGACGATGAGTTATATGCTCGCCAACTAGCTCAACACTTCAGCGGTTCAGCCCGCCAGGCGAGACCGGGCTACAGCCACCCAGAAGATGAATACCCAGAGGAGCGAGAGCGCAACTTTTTTGATGGTTCGTTATGGTTCCTTGCCTTGTTTGTTCTCCAAAAGGGAGGTTTGGGGGCTTATGGATGATGCAGATGATTTGCCTGTGATTCGAGAAAATATCCGAAAGGGCTTCCTGGAAACACAGTCTAAGGTCAATACTTGGGTGCAAAACTTCAAGAAAAGACTCGATGGTGACGAAGACGAGGCGCAGCCCGAGGACAGCTATGCCCGGCCACATGGCGAGACTCAGACTTATGGCCGTGTGCGACGGAGCGGCGACTCGGCTCGACGCAGTGGAGATCGTGAGCGTTACGATGCAGACCCGCAAGTGCTTGGAGATGACTTTTCAGCATTGGATTTAAGAGATTCAGAAGGTTCTAAGATCACTGGCACTAGTTCTATTCATGTAATCCTTCTCAACTGACTTCGATTGCAGTACCTCCTCCGCGTCCCCCACGACCCTTAGCAAACATCAGACCTGCCAATGTCTCCCGCTCCCAAGAGAGGCGAAAAGTGTCATTCCAGGACGGCCCGCCGGAGGAGATTGACAATCTCTACGACGCCCCAGAAACAACCAAACGTATACCGTCGACAGGAGGCAAGGCAAGCAAATGGCAGCCTCTTTCCACTACCGATCATTCTTCCGTCGGAGAAAACGACCCTTTCAGTCTTGGCGATAGCGAGGATGAACGGGACAACAACACCAAACCCAAGGATGGCCAGACAGATCAACTCAAGCAACTCACGACAGATGCCATGGAGTCAGACATTGGGTCGGGCTCGAAGGAAGAGAGCAAGAAAGCCGAGGATAAATGATAGCGATTCCATTCGTACGGTGTCTGGCGGGTTGTATTGTTTCTTTTCTTTTCTTTTTTTCTTCTGTTCAGACTGATTTAATGAGATATCCCACGAACCGAAGGATGTTCTTCCTTTTCTGGTTTCTATCCGGAAATAAACTGGACGTGTAGTGATGATCGCGATATTTTCACTCGTTTCAGGAACCTTCGCAACGTAGTTCATAGCGATAAAAGAAGAAGAAAAAAAAAGCGTCAAGCAATATTGTTGTCGGTCGTTCCCAATCAATCGTCAATGCCATTATCCCCTCGAGCAGGCGCATCTTTCCGTAGGTCTTTGATCACAGTCTAGGAATCACCCAGTTAACACACACACACACACACACACACACACACACACACACGAGTACATGTAAACAAAAGGCAGAAGAGAGAACATACAGCAAGAGCATCTGGATTCACCCCATTCTCGATGAGCGACACACACAGCGACAATTCAGTCCGATCGAGATGAGTATTCTGGATTCTTTAGTACGTTTATCACGTTTAACTCCAGGGTCAGTCTTCACCCCATACCAATAGTGTTGAGATCTCGTAGAGGATGTCAATGACTTCGCGCGCGGCTTGGCGCTTTTCGTCCTGTTGTGATGGCATTGTTGTTGTTGTTGTTGTCTGTATTGATTTGATGTTGACACTGTCGGGTTGGATGAGCTCGCGTCGTGTTGGTTGAGGTTGTGGTTGCCGTTTCACATGCAAACCCGTCATGGCCAATCAGAGGCTGACTAAAGCAGCTGCTTAGCTTAGCCTTCATGATGCTCGACGACACACAACAGGCACAGTCAACGGCTCCTCTATTTTTCTCGCCTTCAGAATTGTCTACATTGCCATAGAAGGATGCAAATTCTGCATAACCCCACTACATCAAGGCTGGGGAAGCCGGAAGAGAGAAGACTATACTTATGGAAGAATGTCTCGCAATCGCATATCTCCATTCCTCGTCGCGCCCCAAGCCCTTGAAATGCTTAGGCCTTTGGTTTCAATAATGCTAGCTTTTGGAAAAGCCGAATACGTGGGCGCCGTACGGCACATATCACTGAACACTGATTCTGATAGTACCGTGGTGGTTGTGCACCTGATGTACCTATGCCGGCGTGATACAGCGTTTCTGCGTGAATTATGTGTGGCGGGGAGCTATCGGCGACAGGGAATAAGGGAAAGCGTACTGCTATGTGCTATCAGGGACAGATTGGCAAATGAAGGGTGTGAATATGTCCAGTTATGGGTTGACAAAGCGCGGTTTGGGGCCGGGAGTTTATACGCGAAGTGTGGGTTTGAGGAAGAAGGAGGAGATGCCTGATTCTTTATTCTGGAGGGAGGACGGGGATTTGCATGGTTCTTAATCTTTTAATTTAGGTGACTGGATATTCTCCGCTTTCGATGTTCGGCGCAACGATACTAATGTCTACGGCTATCAAGGAGAGAGAAAGAGAATGGGATATGGCTCGGTCTCCTTCGGCGCATGCCCTTTCCTCCTCTGCCCCCCTTGAGCAGGAGTCAAGCAAATACTTGGTGGTGTGCGTTTCGTGTGTGTGCTATGTGCCTGGATTCTGGGACGTGGTCTGGGGCTAACCCTGGATCTGGTGCCACTGAGGAATGCCCCTTGCAGCACCATACACGCTTAACGTGAGCCCTGATATCTGTGCCGCAACTGCATATGCCACTATCCTTCAAGGCTGCTGCCATAGTGCATACTAGCACGTACTCGTACAATGAGCCAGCCATGTGTGCACATTTCTGACGTCAAACATACCCTACCATGGCTCCCAACAATGTTTTACGCGACCCACGTAGGCCATCATATACTCCTGTATCCCTTCAGCCTGGGCTTAGAAAGCTTTCTCCCTTCTGTTCTGATGTTCAACCATCTCTCACGTCTTCTGGGCATGGTAAATCCGAGCCAAACACTTGCCAGGCTCCCATCAAGCTCGACAATCTTGACGGCCATAGCTGTCTTGTGTTTGCTCACCTGAATGTCGAACACGATGAAGATGAACTCGACGAGGAGTATGGCAGTGAACTTGGTTTTGACTCTGCTGGTGGCATTAGTTAATGCTGTTGCTGCGACACCGACGCCAAACTATCCGATTAATTCGCAGCTACCCCCGGTTGCCCGCGTTTCTCAGCCTTTCAACTTCACCTTTTCAAGCGGCACATTCAGTAACGGTGACAGCGGCTTGCACTATTCCCTGTCGAATGCTCCATCATGGTTGAAGATAGACTCGGCCACTCAGACCCTCTATGGCACTCCGGGTACAAATGACGCTGGAGCGCCGCAGTTTCTCCTCGTCGCCGCTGATCAGTCTGGGTCAGGATCCATGGACGTGACACTTGTTGTTTCTAGTGACCCAGGTCCGCAGACTGGAAAGTCTCTTCTGCCCCAATTAGCAAAGACCGGTCCAACGTCGAGTCCCGGCACCGTTTTCATGTATCCGGGACGAGCATTCACTATAGACTTCGGCGCTGCAGGAGTGTTCTCCAACATCCAAGCAAACACTATCTTCTACGCGACATCTGCGCCGTACAATTCGCCTCTTCCATCATGGATGTCATTCGACCCCTCCCAACTCAAGTTCACCGGCATCAGCCCATCCAACCCATCATCGGTCCCTCAATCATTCACCTTCAATCTCATCGCCTCCGATACCGCCGGGTTTAGTGCAGCCATGGTGACATTCGAGATCGTTGTAGGCCAGCATATACTGTCGTTCAGTGAAACCGCGCAAACTCTCAACTTCACTCGTGGGCAACCCTTCAGCACGCCGCAATTCATTGAGAACCTTTCACTGGATAATCGCAGCGTCTCCTCGAAGAATCTGTCGCATTTCAGCCTCGATGGGCCCTCCTGGCTGAAACTAGACAACAAAACCCTCTCCCTCAGCGGCACAGCCCCGCAAGATGCCGACAACGAAAACGTTACACTCACTGTCGGCGACATTTATGATGACATGGCAAGACTGGAGCTCAATCTCAGAGTCTCACAACTTTTTGCAAAGGGCGTACAAAGCTGCAATGCGACTATTGGAGACACATTCTCATATACCTTTGATAAATCTTTGTTGAGCGATGCTTCCGTGAAACTGCAGGTCGACTTGGGTGAAGTATCTTCCTGGGTCCAATATAATACGGCGACTGAGACACTCACTGGAGATGTTCCGAAGAACCTCACCCCGCAAACATTCTCAATCAAGTTGACGGCTACTCAGGGGCCAGTGAAGGAGACGCGGAATCTCAATCTCAAGGTCAGCAAATCTGGAACAGGCGGCGTTTTCAACGACAATCAGACTTCATCTGGCACAAAGCATGGGATAGACAGCAGGAAAGCCGGAATAATTGCAGCTGCTGTACTTGCGCCCTGCGCAGTGGCCGCAGCAATCGGCATTCTCCTCTTTTTATGGTGCCGTCGCCGGCGTTCCAAAGCGAGCAACGCAAGGCATGATAAAGACGAAGAAACCGCCTCGTCAGAGCAGCAATTCTCATCCCAAGATATACATCCTGACAAGAGCGGTGCAGCAGCTCAAGTCACGGAGGTTCCACGGGATTTGTCGGACTTGTCGTCGAACGATTCGGCTCCGCCGCAGTTGGGACCACTTTGGGAGACTGCTTCTCTTGAAGATGAGCAGCGCCAGCCGTCATCCAGACTCGATATTGAACCACAAAAACTTATCATGGAATGGGACAGTGCAAGCATGCGTGCGGGCAAAAGTCGAGTACCGTCAAATGTGTCACCCACAAGAAGCACGAGCATCTCCCAAGCGTCTCCATTACCCCGTCGCGGTAGCAGGAGACACTCGAAACGAGAGCCTCTCAAACCAATTCAAGCTCGTTCGCTCAAACGAGATTCTATCATGTCCTCCAAATCGAAACGCTACTCCAGGCGTTCCAGTGGAATCTCGGGAGTAGCACCAGGCCTTCCTGTTCGGCTCAGCGGCGCCGGCCATGGCGCTGGGGGGATTGGCCCTCCACGGTCAGACATGGTCAGGGCATCATGGCATACCACACAACTATCTCTACAAAGCGATGATACCGGCATCGAAAACTTGGCGATTATGTTCCCTCGCCCCCCTCATGTGCGCAATAGAGACGGTAGCATATCAACTCGACATCGCCGTGACTACCAAAAGCGAGTCAGCATGAAATCCAACAGACCTTTATCGATGGAGCCTCCCGAACCAGACTCTCTCGAGGCTTTCATTCAAGGTCGTGCGCGCAGCCGCAACTCGGGCAATCCCCTATTTTCATCTCGAATGAACAGCCGGGGGTCCACTGGATATCGCGCATTGGATAAAGCGCGTCGCAGCTCCAGCATTGCTGACACGACGGTGTCCACGTCTACCTATGCGGACGATCGACGACAGTCTCAGGTGGTTCGTCCTGTGTCTGCCGCCATGTCGGCATCGGTGTATGGAGATGATAATCGAAATTCGATGATCCCAGCTCGACCAATGTCGCAGATATCTGAGCTTGGCGGGTTCAATACAAACAGAAACAGGACCAGTCAAGGCTTGGTGCAACGCTATACCGAAGCCATAGCCGAACTACCACGGTTCTGGAGTCAGGGCAGCATGGGCAGCATGCGACGGTTTGAATCGGCAGAGTCCCTGGCTGGGTCGGACGACTATTACGATTTGATTGACGAGCGCGAGGACCCTGAAGGCCGTCGGCAGTGGTACCGCGTCAATTCGCAGACGCAGCCACTTTGCAAGGTAGATGAAGTCGTCAAGGCACAGGCTGTGGTGGAAAACGAAGACTTCTCGCCGGTCTCCGAGACGGCCGACACTCGAGTGCGTCGCATGAGTCTGCTGCGCACGGGAGGTCAGGATAGCAGTCCTGCTGCGCCTCGACACTGGCGGCTTGCAGACACACAGCAAAGGCGACCCAGTATTGAAGACAGCGACAGTCTTCAGCCAATGACAAACAGCAGTTTTAGGGGCGACCTGGCTTTTGTTTAGCTTGAGGCTGTTGTGCTTTTTTTTTTTGTTGTTGTTGTTATTAGGTTTATAGTTTCTCCTGCTATTCTGTTGGAAGTTTTCGGAGTTCGCATCAGGCGTTGAACAAGATACCTCGGACGATACACACCAAGTCCAATTGTGGGTAGGCGTATTTGTCTTACATTCAATTCATCTCAATTCAATCGAATATAATCAATATCATATCTGACTCGGTTTGTAGCCTGATTCACAAGGCGTGCATGATTTCTTAATTTAGCAAGCACTACGCCGTAAGCAGAAGCCGTCCAGCCAATCACAGCACTTGAAGCCCTCCAGAGCCCTAAGTCGTCCTGCGCACTGCCTGCGAATTACGCCTGCATTCCATGCCTGCTGGAGTATTGCCGTCAAACATGGCGCGGCATACTGTCGCAACAACGCCAGAAACCTCAAAATTACGGCTCCCTGGCGGCGGAATACGCGGCGGAACGCAGAACATACGGGGTTTGGCCGCAGCTGGTAACGTACGACAAAACCGGCGCTAAGTATTTTCGTCATCCTCATCGCAGCAACTCTGCCTCTCTCCCTCTTCCCTCTCTCTCTCTCTTGCGATCTCTCCCTCTTCCACGCACACAACTCGCGTTTCTCGAGCTGCTCGTCTGTCCTGCTCCTCGCACTCTTCTGTGACTTCACTGTGTCCCGTTGTTCCGGTACGCAAAAGCTAGGAAAAGGAAAAATACGCCCGCTTCCACCCCACATTTATCCTTTCTCTCTCTCTCTCTCTCGTGCTTGATCGAGTTTGCTAGCGCTAAGAACACCTCCTCGTCCTCCCTCTCATCCCCTCGCCAACCACCCCTCTGCTTCCGATCCTCGCGTCTCATCTATCCGACTCCTTTTCTATTATTCTCGCCTTGAACCTCGAGGTTGTATATGACCGATCCTCCAGCTGCCTAATATCCCCCAAGTCGTTGATCGGGACCCGCGAGTCATTATGGGTCAGACCTTATCAGAACCCATCACAGACAAGGTGAGAGCATTTCTGACGAAATTTTACCCTTGGCCCAGCTACTTCTCGTCGCCCTTGTAGTTCGAGGCATCTCGTCGCGCTTGCTTGGTCGCATTTATTTCTAGGCCCTTGCGGCTGCAAAAATCTTGCCTGTCATCTGGGTGCGGGGCAGATCCAGAGCATGAGCAGATTTCGTTCTATGAGGCCAGAAATTGATGCCTCAACATGGATATCCAACATCATTCCTGTCATCACATTTGTTATATCTTTTTCTGCTTCAATCTCGCCATTTCTTTCTTTCTTTCTTTTTCACACTTATATCGAGTTTTTGAAATCGAAACATGGGGCTGAAAAAAACTGACTTGTCATTCATTCCATTAGGCGTCTGCGGAGGGCCAGGATGATTGTGTTCTGTACGGAGTATCAGCCATGCAGGGCTGGAGAATTACGATGGAGGATGCGCATGCCGCCATCCTCGATCTCCAAGCCAAGTATAGATCCAAAACTTCCGAACCTACTTCACCCGACCAGCGGCTGTCGTTTTTCGGTGTCTATGACGGACACGGCGGAGATAAAGTAGCTCTTTTCGCGGGAGAGAAAGTGCATCAGATTGTCGCAAACCAGGAGGCGTTTGCGAAGGGTGATATCGAGCAGGCGCTAAAGGACGGGTTTCTAGCCACTGATCGTGCTATCCTTGATGGTTCGTGAAATCGCTCCGTTGCATATCACACATACACAACTTGCTCATGAAAGAAATGAAATGTTTAGATCCGAGGTATGAGGAGGAGGTCTCTGGGTGTACGGCATCAGTGGGAGTCATTTCTCGTGATAAGATCTGGGTGGTGAGTAACCCTGTCACCGAAAACAACAGGAAAGTTGTTTTACTAAGATACTCTGCAGGCCAATGCTGGCGATTCCCGAACCGTCTTGGGCGTAAAAGGACGAGCGAAACCACTCTCCTTTGACCACAAGCCTCAGAATGAAGGTAAATAATTCTTGTTGAACCTTTCAGAATGTCTAGTGCCTGACCTCGATACTTTTCTTTCCAGGCGAGAAGGCGCGTATAAGTGCTGCAGGCGGATTTGTTGATTTTGGAAGGGTTAATGGCAATCTCGCCCTTTCGCGGGCTATTGGCGATTTTGAATTCAAAAAGAGCGCCGAGCTGTCCCCTGAACAGCAGATAGTCACCGCATACCCCGACGTCACAACACACGAGATTACAGAGGACGACGAATTTCTGGTGATTGCTTGCGATGGTATGCCTGAAACTTCTTCTCTCTTCTTCTTCTTAAGACGATGGGGCTAATTTCTTTGATAGGTATCTGGGATTGTCAATCGTCCCAAGCAGTCGTCGAGTTTGTCCGAAGAGGGATTGCGGCCAAGCAAGATCTGTACCGCATCTGCGAGAATATGATGGACAACTGCCTGTCTTCAAACAGCGAAACCGGAGGTGTGGGATGTGACAACATGACAATGGTCATTGTCGGCCTTCTTCACGGAAAGACGAAAGAAGAATGGTACAACACTATTGCGGAGCGAGTTGCTAACGGCGATGGTCCTGTTGCTCCTCCGGAGTATGGCAAGTTTTGAAGGACAATCTCCCCTGGATCCCACAAGCTGCTAACTGGAGAGAGTTGCAGCTGAATTCCGCGGACCTGGTGTCCGTCCTGGCACACGCCATCAGTTTGACGAAAGTCCGGACGACTACGATTTAGACACGGATAGTAATAGTCGACGGGCTTTTGGAGTTCGATCAGGACGAATCATCTTACTCGGGGACGGAACGGAAGTGCATACGGGTCAGGATGAGGATGATTTATTTGATGCCACTGAAGAAGAAGACGAGGAGAAAGATGTCGTCCAGAAACAGGTACGAAATAGCACCGCTAACTCGGGGCTTGATGCCGTTCGAGGCCATCGTGAAGACACTCCTGGACCCGAGCTTACGCAGAAACCCGCTGTTCAGAATGCCGAGACTGCTCCGGTGTCCGCCTCGCCGGCCTCGATCAACACAGAAACGAGCAACGACGAAAACAAAGCTGCCAAATCCTAGCATGCGTACTGGTATATAGAGTCTATTTCATTTTAAAGAAAAGCACTCTTACAACAGGGTCAATCATGGGAATCGCATACTTCAAATGCCGAGATCATAATGATGATAACGAACCACCGGGATCAATGAAATCTCTTGTTATTTTTTTTTTCGACCTTTCTTCTTTCCTACCGCTCCGTCGCCTCGAATCTGGCTTTGATTTCCGTTATATTCCTCCTTCTCCTTCATATATTCCGTCGCAAAGAGCGCTGTGCTACGATTTTCCTTTTTTTTTTTTTTTTTTTATATATTTTCGGGTCGATTGAAACTCTCGACTCGTGTTTTGACTTTGACTCTCCCAGTTCTGGTTCTATCCTACCCACAATCTCGAGACAAACATCCATACTATGATTGATCCAGAGCCCGCACCGGTTACTACCTAGTTGACACATCATCTGAAAAGGCCACACTATGATTCGAGCTTGTCTGCTGTCCCTGCGTGTTGACTCTGTCTAAGCTATGCTGGATTATATCCTGTTGATTATTTGTTACTATGCCATTGCGATGATACTATGCGAGAAGCGAGGGAAACGACGGGAGGAAAAGAACAAGCAACAAGAGACAACTCTTTTTGTGTGTACACATTACGGCGTAAGGGTAATTCTTTAACTATAGCTTCTTCACGGTGCTTTCCTCTCCTAGAATTTCGTTCGAGATAGAATCGATTACCTTGTTACTCTGTTACTTGATGTTGTAAGTATACGGGACTGTCGGAGGCGGCTCCACAGATATTTTCTGCTAGCAAGTCTTAGTGACTTGCACGACGCCCCTGACTCCATTCTTTCAAATTAACTGAATATTAAGTAAGAATAAAAATAATATTATTATTTCGGTGTTTCCGTCGTCTGTAGCAATTCGATCATTGTTCGTGCTGCCAATTCACCCGTTCATCGATTTCGTCTTTTATTTTATTTTGTTTTTCTCCATCCGAGTCGGTGTCGGTGTGGGGAGTGACGTCTTGAACCTCCTCCGTTTTTTTCCTGTTTTAATCTAACAACTTCAACAACACCTTCAGTATTCCTAGTCTCACACATTCACTCACACACGGCTCTCGTGATGTCTTCGCCGTCCTCCTCGTCCGCCGGAAAGCGCAAGCGCAGTGCCTCCACCGTCCACAATAGTAATAATGCTCTCAAGCCGCCGCCGACCGCCGCCGAGCTCCTCCAGCCATCCTCTCGCGACGCATCGGGAGAAGAAGGCGACGATTCCGCACCAGGCCCTGGACAGGAGCCATCGCTATCCAGACACAAGAAACCGGCTTTTTCAGACCATACCCATTTGTCAAAACGCGCGAGAACTCAAGCAGCTCAATTATCGAGCAATGGCACAACAGGACTAAATAACGAAGATCCCGGCGAACCGTCCGAAACGACCGAGGCCAGCGCTGATATCGAGGCGAGCTCCAAGCGTAATGCTAGCGGTCCGCAGGCGAGATCGTTGTCGGTGACGACTGCTGGTGCTGCTGCGAATGGGGACAGCAACAACAACAACAACAATAATAATACTAATAATAATACCGGCGACTTTCTGCAACCGCTCCGTGCAGGACTGCAGGATCCCGTTGGGTATCACACCAACCCGCCTCCTACCGGTCGGGCGGTGCGAGTGTATGCCGATGGCGTGTTTGATCTTTTCCATCTGGGGTGAGACCAAACCCTCAACCCAAAGAACTTTGTAGCAAATGCTAACATGGGTCACAGCCACATGCGGCAGCTTGAACAAGCCAAAAAGGCCTTCCCAGAAGTCTACCTCATTGTCGGCGTGACGGGCGACGAAGAAACGCACAAGCGAAAGGGCCTAACTGTGCTGTCGGGTGCGGAGCGTGCAGAGACTCTGCGACACTGCAAATGGATCGACGAGGTTATCCCCAATTGTCCGTGGATCGTGACGCCGGAGTTTCTGGAGAGGCATCGCATTGACTATGTGGCGCACGATGATCTGCCGTATCAGGCGGACGAGGGCGATGATATCTACGCTCCGATTAAGGAGCAGGGCAAGTTTTTGGTGACGCAACGGACGGAGGGTGTTAGTACTACGGGCATTATTACGAAGTGAGTATCCTTTCTTTTTTCCCCCGCCTTGAAAAAAAAAAGAAAAGAAAAAGGGGGAGAAGGGAGTGATCATAATAACCTTGTTTGGTGTGTGCAGGATTGTCCGTGACTACGATAAATACATAGCCCGCCAATTCAAGCGCGGCGCATCCCGACAAGAACTCAACGTATCCTGGCTGAAAAAGAACGAACTCGAGATCAAGCGTCACGTTGGCGAACTCCGCGAAAGCATCCGGAACAACTGGAACATGACAGGCCAAGAACTAAGCAAGGAATTCCGCCAATTCTGGGGCACCAGTCGAAATAGCAGTCCTACACGCGGCGGTAGCGGCAGCATTCGAAATGGTGCCGAAATGCATAGTCCGCGATCGAGCTTCACCTTTTCCAAAGCCCATTTGTCACGTATAGACAGTCCCAGTCGGCCCGATAGTCCGGGGCCGGCGGGCCGAAATGAGGATTTTGCGACTGGTTATAGTCTGGGGTTGATTGGTGGAGTGAGGTCATGGGTAATTTTTTTTTTTTCTTTTCTCTTTTTCTCTTTCCTTTTTCATGTCGAACTTCCACTAACATGATACGATGGAATGATGATAGATGTCCCGCACACGAACCCCATACCTAAGCGGCCCTACATCCCCCGTTGCAAGCGACGACGACAGGGACGCAGCATCATTTCTAGAAAGTGGTGATGAGCGACGACGACCGAGTCTTTTGCGAGGAGATTCATAATATTTTTTCTTCCTTTTCTTTCTCATTTGTTCTCCTCTCCGTATACAAAGAAAAAAAAAACAATGATTACACTTTCTATTTTTAGTAAAAATTAATACTTTTCTGTTCGCCGGGTTATCTTAGATTGTCGCCACGTTGAATGGTTCATGCATGCTATTATATTTGCAGGGGATTTGGGTTATGAGTGGTTATGCAGGTATATATATATATAAATATATAGATTGACAATGTGTCGCTTATTTCAAGGATGTTGATTTTAAAAGCTCTCAGAGCCTTGTATTGAGGATATAAATGTATAGGTGTATAAGTCTTCAGGTGATATATAAAAGTAATATGCACCGGTTCAACAAACCTTTTATCAGTCCGAACCTAACAGGACAGGAGAAACGAGACAAAAACAACATGGGTATCTATCATATAAAAACATAATCATGGGGAAGGTCATTCATTTTATGCAGCCGTAACCAGCAAACTCGGCTTCGTAACAGGGATATGCGAATTCTGGTCTTCCATTGCGCATGAAGAGAGAGGGGTATAAGTAAGAAGTTTTTGGGATGATACTGATGATGATGATGACGACGATGCTAGTATCGGCGTTGGCCGCGGCAAGCACATCACAGCCTTGAGATGATCGCGCAGAATCACCGCGTCACGACCGATTTCTTGCGCCAGGATGTTCTGCGCGGACGCATCACAGCGCGCCGTGACGCACAGCTCGAAATCCTTCAGGCCGCGCACGGCCAGCATCGGGGTAATCCATGGCTCGTTGACGTCCAGGCTGATTTTCTTGCTGGTGCCGCCGAGCAGGAGCACATGGTTAGCGGCATTGGCGACGTGGCCGTGGCCGTGGCCATGGCCATTGCCCATAAACCGGCCGAGGTCGAGGCTGAATTGTAGATGCTCGAGACCCGTGAGCGCCTGCACGCGCGACCAGAAGAGTCTCCAGAGCTGGTCGTTGTGCGTGTGCGAGTAGATGGAGGACGCGCTCTCCTCGCCCGTCATGGGCTGCCAGATGGGCGTCCATTGCACGGTGAGGCGCTTGATGCAGCGCAGGCGCTCGGGGCAGATGGCCAGCGAGAAGGCGACAAAGGTGTGCAGGTCGTCGACGTCAAAGGCCAGGTTGGAGTAGGGCATGTCTGCGGCTTCGAGGTAGATGGCGCGGCAGGTGCGGAGCAGCGAGAGGGAGGAGTTGCTCAGTTTGGCGGGCAGCGAGGCGTGTGTATGCGGATACAGCATTGCCATCGCGTCTGAAGACACACGCCAGCGCGCAGGCGTCTCCGGGCAGCAGTGCCGGTGGTTGGCGATGGAGGCGGAGGGGTGCTGGCAGCGCACGTGACGGATCTTGCCCTTGAGCTGCACCAGATGCACGGCCTCGTCGCCGAAGACGTAGCCGTAGATGATCAGGCGGATTTCGGGCGGCAGTCTCTGCAAGAGCCCACAGCCGGGCTGGTGCGACATGTTGCGTGCGAGCGGTTCGACCACAGGGCGCTCAGACTCGACTTGGGGGGCGCAGATTTGGCGGTCTTGGATCATGGCGCGTAGCGACTCTTGCCAGACTCGGCCGGTCGAGTAGTAGTGGCCGATGGAGTAGGGATCGCGCAGGATCCAGGTGTCGAGGTGGCGCATTGCGAGTGGCTGCGTAGGGTGCTTGATTGGAATCGACACCAAGAGACAGGCAGAAGAGCCGTTTGTGCGTGTGTGTGTGTGTGTATATATATATACATAATTATATGATTACATATACTAAGTTATATATTTCCCTGTCTGGATGTGAGTGCTCCGTCTGCAGCACAGATGACATCACTGGCCCCGTCCGCCAGGGGAATGCCGTCTGCTGATTGGCTGCTCGGGCCTTTTCGGCAAGGAGAGCTGATGCCTGAGGCAGCACTATATAGTCCATACTGCAGCACCCAAGCAAGTCACCCAACTCAGCGTACTCCGTTTGTAGAGACATCGGAGTACTCTGCTCCTCGATCGACCGGTGGGTCAGATCCTGCCAAATAACTTTCTGGGGTAGCCCGCTCGGTGCGGTGTGCTCCGTTGATATATTGGGTCTTCTATAACTGAGACCTGGCTGTACCGGCGCTCGGCTTATTTTATATACACTTGTCGCTCCTGTGCGACTGCATGGTATCGTTGATACCTCGCGCAAAAACTTTATCACGAAGAAAAGGCAGACTACAATGTGGGATTGATCTATCCTCCGCTCAATATGGACTCTGATCCATCATGCCAGACTTCCAATGCAAGTCTCCATGGCCCTATATATTGGATCCATATAGCCATTCTGTGGTCGATTCCCAATACCATGTTGGTTTGATATATGATTATATCCGCCAGCCAGTGCTGCCATACTGTCTGCGGGCTTTGAGCCAATTGGAGGAAAAGCTTGCAGAAACCCTGAGCGAGTGAGCACGCTGTCCACAAGGCAAATGCGTCTGTGGCCGCTGTCTCTGAGTCTGTGCATTGAGCTGGGGTAACTACATCCGAGCTTCCTGAGGCAAATAAGGTGACGTGAACATTGAAATAAAAAAAATAAATATTATGCTGTCAAGGGAAACGACGGAGTAGATTATTCTTGGTAGAGCGTTGTACAATGAATATCCCACGCGGAATCTGTACTGCTTCTCTAAATCACTAGTACATGGCCCGGTGAAAAGATAGTCTTGAAGAGGGAAAAAAGAAAAAAGAGACTAGAATCTCAATTCACCGATCCTGGGACAGTGATTGCCCATGGCTGAAAAGGATTCAAGTTTCCTCTCGAGACTGTCAGTGGACTTATACATATATGTATATTCGCTCTTCGTCTTCCTTTTCCTTTCTACCTAGGTATCTATCTGGGTAATTATCAAACATCACTACTTAATATTCTAGCCCAATAAATACGGAGTAAAATGTCATCAAGTCTTGAGTTACTGGATAGAAAGGCTACAAATGTACTTTTCCTGTGTATATTCTGACCTATTCAGCTAAGACTAGGCACGGCCATGATACAGATGTCAATTGCGTGCCATGCAAACAGACTTATCAACCACAAAACTCACCCAGGTACGCCGCACTTTTTTCTTTTTTTTTCACGGCCATTCCATTGGATCCCGTTGTATCATAAAAATTTACTACGCCATACCGCAAGATGCAAAAAATAGCGAATAAAAGAAAGACTCTAATCGAGCTAGATCGCAAGACGGGGCTGGCCCCCATTAGTCTGGGTTCGACTTTGAAACGCTGTTTCCTCCAGAAACAACCAGTGGCCCGCCTTGCGAAGTACCATTATTATTACTATTATTCGGGAAAGAATTCGCCGGTATGGGAAGCGTTCGGGATTTCGCTTCAAATTCAGTAGGCACCTCGGATGGAGGAGGTTTGGGGGGAAGATGAGCTGGTGTTCCCCATTTCGCAATCGAGTCATGGCTTCCAGGCTGTGCGCCACGAGGCACTGAGCTTGGGCTTGCGGTATTGCCATTAGCTCGGTTGTTCGAATGCGATGCTCCGTAAGCCATTGATTGCCCATTGTTCTCCATGTGCCCTGACCATTGCTGCCGTTGACCATTGGCTTGAGAGTTGGTATTGTTATACGCAACATTAGCGTTATGGCCTACTCCTCCCTTGTGGCTGTATCGGCCGGTATTTGGGTTTCCGGTTGGTATAAAGGACCGAGTCTGCGGGTTGAATGTGGATCTATTGAAGTTGCTTATCATCGGATGAGTGTTTTGGGTTTGCGCCGGTGTCGAATAGTGCTGGCCGGAGACTTGACCATAGGAGGAGTACGGATTAGCATTCGCAGCCATCGTGTGCGAGGAGGGGTAGCCGGGCCAATTCATCGATGCGTTTCGCTGAGCGGGTTGAGTGTAGTTATTCTGATACGACTGGCCAGTCCACGATGGTGGTGAATGAGAAGCAAATGACGATGTGTTGGGTATGGCGTAAGTATTCATTGCTGGCGATGAGCCCGTCTGGGCTTGTTGTCCCATCATTGGTGATTGTTGATTGAGCGTAGTATATCCTTGGAACGGAGATTGTTGAGGTGCACCAGAGTTCTGCCATGCGTGGTTTTGGCCCAAATGCATCGTGTTCATCGGGTACTGGGACACATTATTCTGGAACACGTTTGAACCAGCAGTGCCCTGAGCGTAATTCATGGCAGGCAACGACGCACCCGGACCAACCATGTAAGGGTGTTGACCGTAGATTGTTCCATTGTGCATCGGCATCGATACCGTGCCCGGCGTATAGGGCATTCCCGGATAGTATGCATTGAACTGAGATCTAGCTTCGAAGCTATCATCGTGTGGGGTTTTCTGCCTGAAATTCTTTTTACGACCGCTAGTCGAGCTTGAACGGGACATATCTGCGCTATTGTCCCCGCTAGGCGAATCTCCCGGTTTGGATTCTGGGAAGTCTCGGAATATCCTTTCTCTCGCCTCTTGGTACTTGGCCTCACGCTCTTCCCGAGTCATTGTTGACCGATCTTTGGCTGGTGTCGCTCCTGCAGACGATCCCCCGCGGTCTTCATCATTTCCGCCATCCTCTCCAGCTTCGGAAACGGTTTTCGAAGGGACTGAGGAGCTAGCTGTAGTGTCATCACCTGCCAGAGTCCGGTCGCCACTCTGTTCATTCCGACGCATGATCTTCATGGCCGGTGCATTAGGTGGCGGTGTACTGTGGGAATTCACAGGTCGCAGGAGCGACAACGGCGTTGGGCTGTGTCTTGTTTAGTATCAATAAAAACCAGGAAATATGTGCTGATAGGGATGTACTAACAGCCTGCAGAATGGCGTCCGATGAAGCCGCACCGAGGTGACATTATTGTCCACGAAATGCGTCAAATGATAATAATCTCCTAGTTTGTGTGCGAGAAGTCGACCAAAAGCATTCGAAGGCGGTAATTCTAATGATTGTTCACTGTGCAAGGAGCATTAGCGAGTTCGTTCAACATAACGATAATCAATACAGGTACTCACTTCGAATCTTGAATGAAGTTTCGAATCTTTTCCTCCAGTTGTAACAGGAAAAGACGGTCCTTGGGCGAACTCATTGCTTCCAAAAGCTTTTCATCAGGGTCTAAAGGATATCCATTGAGGGACCTTCCAGCCTCAAATTCAGACCGATCATTGTTGACTATAAAATTGTTAGCCACGGAATCGGGTGGAATCGCGCCTGGGATCCCAATATCTCCATCTGGGAATCGCTGGATGGACACAGGCAATAGCCCGCGACTTCTTTGAGCCATTCCATCTTTGATATGATCGCGAAATACTCTTACACCAGATTCGGAGCCGGTGAGCGAATTGGGGGCGCCTGATGCTGGGCCAGACAGGGAGTCGTCTTCATCAGCTGCCTGGACACTTGCACTATCATCTGGTCGTAGAGAATCTTTCTCGTCCATTGCAAATGTAGTGACTGATGCCATGCTCTTCGAGTCAAAACTCGTTGGTTTTGTGGAACTGTTGGACAGATGAGTTTGATCGTCGTCGAATGAAGCTTCTCTCTGAAGCACTCCGGTCTCACGAGCTTCACCGGACGAGTGAGAAAACTCTGACTCATGCTTCTCATTCATTGAAATTCGCTGTACACCACCCTCGATGCCTTCTATATAAGCATCTAGTGGTGCGTCATGTTGGCCTTCCAAGCCTGGCTGGTTCGGCAAGGCCATGATAGAGGAGGGTTGGGGAACCCGGGAACCTTCAAAATCTGCATTCATTTGATTTTCCGACTCTCCAGGGTTTGTTGCAGTGGTTTGTGGTTTGGCCGGGGCAGGCATGGCCACAATCTGAGTGATCATTGTTAGTCGGCAGATCCTGGCCATCTCATAAACTAGGGACGCACTTTTGCAAAAGAAGGACGGTTCAAATTGCTTCCAGAAGCTTGCGAAGCCATCTTGTAGCCTGAAAATGCAACCAGTTGTTTTGAAGGTATTGGAACAACAAAGCCTTCAAAAGGGAGACCCTGACAAAGCGAAGACCGAAAGGAGATCCAATAACTTTTTCTTTTCTAATTTCTCGCTTCACAACCCGAAGAGATTGGAGACATCTCTTTCAAACACGACGTTCGCCATAGGGGCCAAAGTCCTTCATTTCTCTGGAAAGCTAGGGACACAGCTGTCGTTTATTTTTGTAGACGAATACACAACTGGAAGCAAACGGATCTCGTAGCGTAGTGGCGTGAACAAAAACATAAGAGAGAATCTCACTCGTACTGAATACCAGCTCTATGGCCTTAGCATGCGATTGTAATTGAAAAATAAAGGCGAGAAAGAGAGAGAGATGAACTTACATTTCAGGGGAAACCAGGGTCGCGAATGGCACGATTGAGGCTGAGTGGCAGCAGCCAGGGCGTGGTGATAAAAGGCTGGGTTTGATTTGTGAGAGCGTTTTCCTCCGTGGGGTTTAGGCTGCGACGCCGCCCTGTGCTTGCCGCGCGCGTACGGACATCCTCAGGCCTAGTCTGATTGGCCGCCGTAGCCGACGCTTTTTATGGCTTCTGGTTGGGAAAGCTTAGAAACAATCTCACGGCATAACTCGCAGTCTTTGTTCCTATGGGTGCTGCCTACTTGGCTGAATTCTCAGAAGCAACCTGCTCTATTTTCTGAACTATCCGCCAATCAAGATTGTTTCCATTCACAAGGCTGCTGCTCCTCGATGAATAGATATAGAAACGTCCCTGGCGTGCGCGGGCCCTCTAAGGCGACTGCTACTACGCTGTGTCAAAAATGTCTTAAACGAGATATGTATTCCGATTGTAGCTATCTCTCGCGTCCGTTGCTGACTCCAAACACGACACTACAGCTACGAATGCAAGGCAACAGCGCAGGAACGTCCCTATGTATCTAGGCCTTCGCGCACGCAGCAATTGCAGAATCCCGAGCTGGTACCGAAATTAAAAAATGAGGCGCCGACTGATCTGACAAGAACGTATGGAACATTTGTTAAGCTGCTTCTTTTTGGTAGTACACGGAGCTGACCACAATGCGCCTGGCAGCGATGGCCTCGCAGATGAAATCCTTGCTAAGCAAGAGCGAGAGCGAGGCAGGAAGCGAGATCTCGATGATGAGATTCAAGCCCAGCCGCCCAAACGACCAAGATCTATGTCCTCGCGCTCATCGGTCTCTGTGTCCACTATATCTACGGACCGTTCACGATCAAGATCGCCAGAATTCCGGACGAGATTCAAACATTCTCGAAATACGGAGCGGGATCAAAGTAAATTCGAATCTCCTACGGATAGGTCTCGTCAACGAAAAAGACGCTACAGTGATGCCTCATCGAATAACTCCGACTCGTCGGCTTCCGCCGAACGGGGGTCACGAAATTTGAGTCGTGAATCGGAGCGGAATACTCGCAGAAAACGGCGCGAATATAGTCCAACGGAGAGGGGTAGACGGAGAGATTCATCTACTCATGGAAGCTGCAGACACAAGTCGGAAAGTCAGAGCCGAGAGAGAAGTCGCATCGCGAGGCAACGGCGGTCAATAACACCAAACACACAACATCGGAGGTCTCCCAATCCCAGCCAGGCGAAGGGAGGCAAAGAGGTTCCGCCGCAGAGGCCTCGAGAACGCAGTCTGAGCCCCTTCAGTAAGCGGCTTGCCCTTACCCAAGCAATGAATATGGGCAGATAGTATATATGACGAATTTTAATGTTCGTTATGATTACTTTGAGTGTATTCTTATATATTTCATTATTAAGCCGCTTTCGGTATTTTGATAGATATACACAATAATAATCCACGCCTTTTCTGTGTGCTCCATTAAACCTTAACGCCGATTTTGTCTCCCCGATGCAATTCCAAGTCATATCTCCAAATGAAAATGGGTATTCTATTCAGATCAGATCGTCGTCTTCCCGTTCGGCAGCCCCCTCTTGTTCGCGAACATGGATACCTTCGACCAGCGCCTCTCCTCCAATCCCAACGTCTTCACCCTGATCGTCCGCGTTTCTGTTCCGCGCCTTCGCCTTCTCTTCGCGTTGTGCATTCTCAATCCGTTGCCGAACCAATCTCGCAATTGCATTTTCTGTTCTAACATTCAATACCCGCATTTTCTCGTCTAGATGACGTTTCAAATCCCAGTTTGGCTTCTTGGGCTGAAGTTTGAATAAATCCATAGGCTGTTCGGCTTCCTCGTCCCTTTTTGTTTGTTCCGCAGCCGTCCTGGCTATCTCTGCTGCCTGTTGCTCGAGTGTATTCTGTCCTTCTATTGGAGCCTGGTCGAATCCCAGTTTGGGGCCCCGCGTTTCAGCATCGTAGTTTCTTCCCGAAAGATATGTCCGCGTAATATCTTGATTCTCTGCTGGTAATTCGTGCTTTTCTGCAACAACTTCGACTAGTGGCTCAGGCTCAGGCTGCTTCCTTTTAAGGGCAGCAAGTTTGGCAAGTCGGGCTTTGCGCTCTGTGGCTGCAGCCTCAAGAGAGGCGTTGTTCGTTGACATGGCGTTGTGCTGACGGCGGCTCTGCTGTGTGGTGAATTGAAACGCGAGACGGCCCAAAGTCAATCGGATGCACCAGATGTGTTCGGAAAAGTCAATACTGTGGACGTTGCACACTTCTAACGAAGAAAAGCAAGCAAGTATACGCAGTGCAACGTTGGCGGGCTAGTTAAATAAATGCGGTGCAAATGACTAAATTAGAATTAGCCGCGCTCAGCGTTAAGTTTTGCCTTAGCCGCAATTTCTATTCGTCCGCGGCCAGCCCGATTCAACTACGGACTCTTTTTTTTTTCTTTTTTGGACAACCTCTCGATCCCCTCACGCTCTGCTCCTCGTCTCAATGTGCGAAATCTGAATGCCGAATCATTTCAGAGCCGTCGCATGCTGCGAACTCGCAGCCCACTCTTCCATACCGACCACCCCCTACCGAGGGCTTTCGCCAAAATGGAATCTCGTATGCGGCGGGCCGGAAAGAAGACTTCCATGGCCAAGATGGACGCGCACAACCCCAAATAACGTCAATGGCCTGGGCGGTACGTCTTGTTTCATCAAGGAGGCGAGTTGCTTTGTTGGTGGCTACGCTCAAAAGCAACTTATTCACACTCTTTTGCCTACGGGGCCGAACCCGGGTACACAGACGCCTCCTCCTTCAGCAGCCAGTTGGGAAAAGGGAAGCATACACCGCGACATTTCTAAAATGATTTCAATCAGACGAAGTGATTCCCCAGTAGTATACGTTACTGATGACAGACTCCGCCGCCGCCGTTATTCAGGGAGAATCCGTAGAATGCGTACTTTACACCTTTTCAAAAGACGGCAGACGCATGAAGGAAGAGGCTATGTATCGCCCTTCTCTATCCCGAGGCGTGTCCGAATAGCAACCAGTCGCGCTCTCAGAGAACTTAGAAAACAAGGGAGGGTTGTCAGCAAAGAATCATTCAAGATTGATGTTAAGCTTAGGCTGTCGTCAATGTACACTTTACGTGGCATTCCGAAATGGTGGTTCGACCACTTTCAGGACCTTTTTGCAAGAGCGAAGGAGGGGAAATTAGAGGGCTGGAGAATGCCACAAAGGGTTGACGACTTTACCTCTGGCCTAATCAATATTATCGAGACCCAAGGTATCCAGAGTTTCAAGGAAACGTGGGACACTCTCGAAAGCAGGGTCAGGACAGCACAGTGGCCTCTAATTGCTCTTTATTTGTTACGCAATTCTCCCGCCAAGGCGCCCGAATTCCTGCTCACTACACATTATGAACCCTATCCCCCGTTTGGGATGGTGAGTGATTGTATCATTTACCTTACCTACTTCCATCCGGAGCTCGATCGAGCCCTTACCCGAAATGCTCTTTTGACCTGCATGGACCCAGAAAGATGGCCGGTCATAACGGTGCCCCAGCGCGGAGTCAGGATGTATGTGAAGTCTGCGGGGTTGAAGAACGCATACAAGGCGTTTGAAATTATGCGGGAACGAGAATCTCAGGTTTCAGCTCACACAATCCTTGGCTTTATGAATGTCTTCATAAATGCTTGTGATGTCGACAGAGCACTCGAATGCCTCCGTATGATCCCCGTGATCAACTCGCCTCGACTTACAATGGATTCAGAAGGTGTGCTGCGCCACTGCTGCAAGTTGCTTCTCTTGGATCGGGTTGTGGATGAGGACGGTTCACGGAATTTCAAGATCTTGCCGCAGATCTTGGAACTAGGGGTCAAACCGTGTCTGGAAATGATGAATATCGTGCTATCAAACGCTTTTGCGACTGGCGATTCACATCTTGGTATGGACATGCTGAAATACATGGAGGACCAGGGCATGGTATTCAGTTCTTATACTTACATGACGTTGCTCAAGGATGCTGTGGCTCGAACTGATGTGGACCGAGTCGAGTCTCTTTTGCGGGAAATAAATTCTCGCAATGATTTCAGAAACAATAAATTCATTGCTAGCAAAGTATTCCATGCTCATTTCGTTTTCAACGTCAAGCATTACAATACAGAAATTAGCCCGAGCGCAACATTCGTGGACATGCTGGATTTTTACTCTCGCTACTACGACCTTACTCCGCTCAGAGACCTCAAGATCATACCAAACGACTATAACAACATGGAAATTGATCAAGACTTACAGCCGAGCGCTCCAGTGCTCTTCATCATGCTAGCGACGTATCTGAGGTGCTCTCGGAACCCTGAGCGAACACTGCAGGTATACCGGGAATTTTGCCAACGCGTTGCCGAGCGACATCCTCTCATTGCACCACTAGTCCAGTATCCACAGATATTCAACGAATTCATCCTTTCCTTCCGTTATCCCCATTCGGATTTATCGGACTGTGTTCAAATCGTGGAGGACATGATCCATCCCAGTACAGAGTCGTTCGTTATTGACGACGAGCTGATAGAACCAGCCAAGCCCAACATCTACACATGGACCACCTTGATGAGCGTATTTGTAGCGCACGGTGATCCGGAGGCTGTGAGATCGGTTCGAGAGACAATGGAGAAAAACGGCGTTGACTTCAACATTGTGACATGGAACACGATCATCAACAGCGCCGTGCGTACTGACGATGTGCCAGCCACCGCCTTGGCAATGAAGGAAATGGACAGGGACGGCTTTACTCCTGATGCGTACACGCTGAAAGCATTGCGCTTGGTCAAGGAGCCGGAACTCCTTCAAGCGGCAATCCAGAAGCTGGACGAAGAGGCAAAAAAGCTTCTCTGGGAGGAACAAGAAGCTCTTGATCGAGAGGACGACGAGCTTTTGGATAAAGGCCTGAAACGGTTGGCCATTTCTGCGAAAACATAGGTCGCATTTTCCCTCCAAAAATAAAAAAAAAATAAATAAAAAGATACCCACATTATTATATATCATTTGTCTCCTTTTCCTCACTGTGGTTGACATTAGCGTTAGATTGCATGGATACGATTTCTTGTATTTATAAGATAATGTACATCAGATTTCTCTTGGGCAGGATGGGCCATCATACAATGGGCGAATGGAGTTGACAGCATATTCGTTATTTATTTTGCTATTCTTCTTTATTTTCGTAGGGAAAAAACATGAAACGCCAATTACTTCCAAGATTTATTATTATCACCCATGATTAGCCGCCGATAAATATAGATATCTAGACACAGGCACAAGAACTACGGTCAGACTTTGTACGTAAGATAATAAGGAGTCTTTTCCTTAAGACTTACCGCCATCACAACGCAGCATATGCTAACATAGGGACTGAGCCGTTCGCCAATTCTTGCACATTTCCAGAAGATGCCAAGGATGCTAGATAGATATTAGCAAAATGGCATTGGGTTTAACAGAATGATTTAGAGATCTGAAGGTTGCTCTCCCCATCCCACTTCCATAATAACAAAGGTGCAATACATACCCATGTTGGTTGCGATCCATAATACCGGGCATCATCGAGTGAGCGTATGCGCTTGTGCAGATAATCAAAAGGAAGACGAGAAGGAGAGATTGAAAATTGAAGAGAGCAGACTGTAGATCATTTGAATGGAAGTTAGTGTGGGCTCATGGTGATTTGGTTTGCTAGAGTTCATTTGATGACCGGGAGTTGTATGTACGTACCATCGTGGATGCTTGGTTTTCAGATCTGCGGATCTAGCCAAAGTAAGGTATGGCTGAAACTGGAGGACTGGATCTTTGACGCAGCGCGTTATAAAGCATGTACGCAGCTGTCTGGAGGGGGCATCGACTCGTGAGGTTCTGGACATTTTGATGATGCCAGACCGGAGACCTCGCAGACGCGCGCTAAGACTGTTGCGGCTAGCACGATGATCCACCCTCGTTTTCTAATCTTAAGCGCCGAGATTCAATCAAGGCCGTCATCTCAAATCACGCTTTCTGTCTATGGATTGAACTGCTTCAATTACGAATCGAGCGCTATCGACAACAACGGCTCACCTGGGTGCTCGCTCACCTTCACCTCACTTAGCCACTTTTTGCCCTCCGATTTTAAGTCGACCATCACATTTACACGGACAGAGGAAGCTGAATCGAAAGCACAAAAGACAGCCATGGCGGAGCCCCGCGCCCGTGCTGCAAGGCACAAAGGGCAGATGAACTTTGCTAGCGACTGTACGTTCATAGCCTCACGTTAGAAAAAGAAACCTCCCTATCCGATAAGCCAGCTAACCACGGGAACAAGTGCGAGCCTTACTCTCCGGCTACGGTGATCGCGATGCTCACCCCTACTGCCCGCCAGGCCCGCTACCTGAGACGGTGCGCGTGCTCGACGAAATCGTCACCGACTTCATATTAGAAATGTGCCACGGAGCCGCTGCATATGCCAGCTATGCGCGACGGCAAAAGATCAAAGTCGACGACTTCCGCTTCGCCTTGCGCCATGATCCGCTCAAGCTTGGTCGTGTGCAACAGCTCCTGCAGATGGATCGCGAGCTCAAGGATGCTCGTAAGATCTTCGACCATGATGACGACCAGGTAGCTGGCGGTCGGAAGGTGGCTGAAGAGCTGGATGTTAGTGTCGACGGTACCGTTGCCACTGGCACGGGCAAAAAGAGCAAGGGTAAGGGCAAACGGAGTGGTAGGCGTGCATCTGACGCCGCGGAGGAAACTCCTTCTAAGAGACGTAGAGTCGACGGTTGATGCCACTGACGATTCTCTTGTACATTACCACTTATTAATGGCTAGCATATTTGGAGTTTGGGTTTATAGGGTTTCGGCGTTTGGCAAGGTTTCTTTTCACTATGATCTTTTCTATCTGCGGAGTACTTTTTTTCTTTTTGGCAATCCGGGTCAATGATGATACCATTCCAAAATTGACCTTTTTATGACAAGTATCTTCTAGAAGAACGGAAGCTCAAATGATTTGGTCATGAGTTTCAAGCGCTCTGGTCTTTTTAACAAGGTTCATGAAACAGATGCAACTTAGCCAGTAATCCACTAGCTAAATAGAGAATCTTTATAACTATAAACGTCCAACTGACTATGACTATGACTATGACTGGTTACTCCAATACGCCGTGCCCTTTTTCTTTTGTCTTGATTCCTCAATCCTTTCCCCCTCTTTGTTTTGGAAGTCGGTCGTTGATGGATAGCGTGGTGTTGCTGATGAAAGTGAAATCATGGAAATGAGATTTCCAAAGCAAGAGGAACCAAAGGAACAAAGAAAGACGAAAGGAGAAGCAAGAATTACAAGAATAGTTGAAATCCCTCTAAAACCAAACAGACAATGAGAAGGAAAAATGGAAATAGTCAGACATTGTCGTTGGTATATGCATGGGCATGTTAATGTTGCTTGTTTTCTTCGTTTCTTGTGTATTATGTCCTTTTCTTTTTTCATGCGCGGGCTTCCTCGGTATTCCTCTCTTGGTTGCGCTGTTGTTGACCCTCGCGGCCTCCTCGGCCACCTTTGCCGCCTCGCTGGTTGCGTTGATTGCCTGACTCGCCGGCCGCGCCCTCGCCTCCTCCAAGAGTAAGTTGAGCAGTAGCAAGTCGGTTTGAGAGATCCATTTGTGTGCGAATAGTGTTAGCAAGGTAAGAAACAACCAGGACGTCCTGGATGTGATTGTTGCTGCAGGAACACAAGAAGTAGTTAGTTATCAGTTTCCATCCCTCATATATCAAGTGTCGTTCGTATAGCAGTAAAACATACAAGTCACGCTCAATATCGGCTGGCTCAACCTTGGGAGCCAACGCAAGTGCGTTCAGCAAAAACTGGCCAAGTGCAGTGGATGCCGGGGCCTCTTCGTCAATGACAGCCTCGACATATTTCGAGACTCGGTCGATCATACCAATCACCTCTTCCACAGCGCGCTCCAAGGCCTCGATATCAGTGAAGATGCTTGCAGTTCGGTCTTCGGAATCCCGTGCGCTTGCAATCGCCTCCAAGCCATTCTTCTCAGCCTCGCCGTAGCGAATCTCATGGGGCACAGGGATGAAAGCAGCGCTGTCAGCGGCCCGCTCAACCGTGACACCGACGGGGGCGGAGATATAAGCACGGGTCTCGATATCCTTCCCAGGCTCCGTCGATACAGTAAGATGGACTGCAGGATGCGGCCATGTTCCATCGCTTTGGCCGTAGAAGTTCTGAATCAAAGCCGAGAACGTGTTCAATTCCGACGAAGTGGCATACCAGCCAACGAGGACTTCCTTGGGGTTCGCCTTCAAGTGCAGCGCTAGCATCTGTTTCTGGTATTCCATATCAACCTCGACCTGGTCGGTGGTCTCTGTGTGTCCGACGGCGAAACAGCTGCGGATTTCGACTTCGGTGCCATCTTCGCTTCGCGTACCCAAAAGTGTTCCAATGACTCGGTCTTGATCGGCGTTTCGGCGGAGCGAGTGGTCGAGGATTGAGAAGATGGCCTGGATCGGTTCAACGAGCAGTCAGCAACAGGGGAAAAGACGGCATAGCGTATCGACAGAGCGGTCGTACCTGAGGTTGAATCACCACATTCAGAGGGGCAGTGGTTGGTGCAGACCCCACTGTCACTGGGCCCAAAGGCCGCGCGAGGTGAAGAAAGGAATCGGTCTCAGCCATACTGGGCGTGCAAGTTACAAGACAGAATCCGTCTCTCAGCGATCGGGAAACACGGCTTGTCTTGGATAGGGAGGTGTTTTTTTTATTTTTCGCTTGCGGAGGTGGAGGTGGCTCCTTTGTTCGGCCCGTCAGAGACTGAGATGGCGCTCAGTGGTTGAGGCGCCAAATTGTGTGTGCGCTCCGAACAAAATTTCACGCTAAGATAAGATAAGCCGCGTCCGCCAGCCCAACGGGAAAAAAAGTGTTCCAGGCCAATAAATACCAACACTGTCATTGTCATTCCACAATTAAACCTAGCATGGCGCCGCCACGAGGAAGAGGAAGAGGAAGGGGAAGGGGCAGAGGCTCTTTTAGAGGAGCCCGCGGACGGCCTGGCCCTGCGCGAGGCGGAAGAAATGGGTTTCAGACATCTCGTCTGGACGAGAAGAAGTACGTACGACGGCTATAAATTGATCGCCAAATGCTAATGCGGCTTCTTTGGTCAAGGGAATTGACATCGTCGGATGAGGAGGAAGACCAGTTTGAAGGGTTCGACGATAATACTGATGGCGACGGCGATGATCAAATACAAGACGCAGATATCGCGAGCGAATCGTCTTCGGAAGACGAAGAAGAAGAAGAGAACTCGACAGAACGCCCCTACAATTCTCTCCTACAGCTACTGGATGCCGGCTCGGATCGGAGTCATGTGCGCAAGAAACGAAAGCTTGACCATAACACAGGCGACTCGCGCAATGATAGAAGTAGCTACGACGTGAACATGGAAGAGGAGGCCGATGATCAAGATGTTCTCCAGAACCAGGAAGCTTCGGAAGACGAGGATGCTGCTGCTGAAGATGAAGAGCCGGTATCAGATGACGAGGATGACGAGGATGGTCAGTACAATATATCCCATTTATGAGCTAGTACTCACGGATATCCTAGCTTCGGATCCATTTGAAACGCACATTGCCAGTCCAGACGAGGCTGAAATCTCCAAGCGAGTGCAGGAAGTAACAGCAGGCAAATGGCGATCGGTCAAAGCATCTCTGCCGGAATCATTCAAATTGATTTACAGCATCCCAGACGGCGAGGGTAGCAGCTGGAACGTGCCCTCCGGTGTGAAGAGTACTCGGAATTTGAAGGTAACAGATATCTTAGGCTCAGAATCACGTCACGATGAATACTGACCGTCAAACCAGCTCAAGAAGAAATTGATTTCTGTGGCTGCAGAATCTATGCCGAGCTTTAAGGGCGTTTCTCAAAGTATCGCACCGCTGGTTTTCAACTATAGTGACGTCCTCTTCAGCGGCAGGACAGCGTCGAATGCCGCTCAGATGCGCGATATTCTTAGTCTGCACGTCCTCAACCATGTCCTCAAGACGCGTGACCGAGTGATCAAAAACAACGCCCGGCTCTCGAAAGACACGACGACTGAAGACTTGGAATTGCGCGATCAGGGCTTTACCAGACCAAAAGCCTTGATCATCCTGCCGACCAGACAAGCATGTGTTCGGTTCGTAGAATGCATAAGCAAACTCTACCAGCCAGAGCAGCATGAGAACAAGAAGAGGTTTCTCGACGAATATAGTTCAACGGACAATGAATCATGGGAAAGCAAGCCTGATGATTTTCGGGATCTTTTCGGGGGAAACGACGATGATATGTTCCGGCTTGGTCTGAAGTTTACTCGCAAGACTATGAAGTATTATTCGCAGTTCTACAATTCGGACATCATCTTAGCTAGTCCTCTGGGCTTGCGAACGATCATGGATAAACAAGAGTATGCTCTCTCTCTCTCTCTCTCTTTTTTTTTTTTTTTTTTTTTTTTTTTTTTTTCTACTGAATACTGAATACCATACTAACGACTTGCAGTGAGAAGAAGAGGGACCACGATTTCTTATCGTCGATTGAGATAGTCATCGCTGACCATGCTGATGGCCTACTCATGCAGAACTGGGAGCATGTGGAATATATCTTCGAGCATCTCAACCTGCAACCAAAGGAAGCTCACGGCTGTGACTTCAGCCGAGTGCGGACATGGTATCTGGACGACCGCGCACGATACATGCGACAGACTATCGTGCTCGCATCATTCATCACCCCGGAAATCAACTCTTTATTTTCCCAGCACATGCACAACATCGCGGGCAAAGCGAAACTACTCCCGCATTACAACGGAGCCATCACCGAACTCGCTCTGCCCGTTGCAGTAAAGCAGACATTTTCGCGCTTTGATGCTACGTTTGCTTTGAAGGACCCTGACCTGCGATTCAAATATTTCACCACCGCCATCCTGCCATCTCTTGCGCGATCAGTCACGGGGAAAGGACAGGGCAACGGCGCCGGGGTTCTGATCTTTATACCATCATACTTGGATTTTGTGCGGGTGCGCAATTTCTTTGCATCCTCCTCGCAAACCACCAACATCTCGTTCGGCGCTATCTCCGAGTACACGCCGCAGAGCGAGATGGCACGGACGCGCAGTCATTTTGCGAGTGGACGACACTCGGTCCTGCTGTACACGGAGCGAACACACCATTTCCGGCGGTACAACATCCGCGGCGTTAAACATATCGTCTTTTACGGCCTGCCTGAGAATCCGATCTTCTTCAGGGAGATTGTCCAGTATCTGGCTCTGGACCCGGGGGCTACCGGCAATATGGAAGTGCGTGCCGTGTTCTCGAAATACGATGCTTTTAAGCTGGAGCGCGTTGTAGGCAGTCAACGCGCGGGCAACATGCTCAAGGAGAGGGGCGGGGATACGTTTCGATTCGTGTGATATAAAAGCTTATATATATCTATATGTTGTACCTAGATGGAAATACCAGGAAATAATAATCTACTTCGTGCGGCGTGCCACCTTGAGGTGCGGCTTGTGCTTCAGACAGACATCCATGGATGCTGTTTTACATATATGATGCCAATTCACAAGGTCCACGAGGAAAAGCTAGAATCAAGCCAACTCTGCTTCTATCAGGCTTTCTGCGACGCCCGGGTATGTGTAAATATTGACAATCCTGAGTCCAGCCTTCTCAAGAATGCCTTTCCACTCAGCCTCTGTTCTTTCGCGGACAGCAAAATGCGCCAGCATCATCAAGTCCATACTGGTCACCGCCAGCGTCGGCTTCTCCTCGCTGACCACAATCTCATTGAGAAGGACCCGTGAGTAGTCCCTCTGGAGCGCAGGAACGAGATTCTCAAGAATCTTGATCCCGTCTTCATCGCTCCAGTCGTGCAGGATAGAGTGGAGTAAATACGCGCGGGCTCCCTTGATAGGCTGCGGCGTGAAGAAATCGTGTGCTTGGGCTTCGAAAGGCAGCTCGTTTGCTTTTGCTGCTGCCATCACGCTGGCAATAACGGGTTCACGGTCCTGAAGCACCACTCTTCCAGGGAGGTGCTGCTGCTGCTGCTGCTGCTGCGAGCAGGTATGTTGCGCGACGAAAGCGGCGACGTCGTGGCCCTTTCCACCGCCCACGTCCACCAGCAGAACACCCTGCTTCGAGGCATCAAACCCGTCAATTAAACGTTCAGTCACTGGGTAGAAGCCAGGATCGAACCAGTTGGGCTTTCCGGCCCGGTAGACACTCATGAAAGAGTCGAAATACTGCAGATGCGGTGGTGTGGCCACCAGCCATTCAAAAAACGGCAGTTGTGACTTGTGCGCTTCTTGGAAAGGGCCGGAAAGCGAGCCCAGAGGCGGGGATTTGTACTGGGTCCTTTGGAAGAAGGAAGGGAATCCGTTGAATGAAGGTCTCGCGGCGTCGTAGCAGAAGGAAATGCTATGTTGGTAGTTTTCCCGTGCGAGACTGTTGCTCAGGGGTGTAGCGTGGAATGTGCCATGATGGAAAGATATGATATACATTGCCACTAAGTGTCTAGCAAGGCGTTGCAAAAGGACAACATCGACACCAGTCTTTTCTGACAAGACATTCGCACAAATCCCGGCTTCGCCGGCGTCCTCCAAATATTGAAAAAGTTTGACATCGACCGCAAGGCGAATGATGGCGGACAACGCTGGCTGTCAATGGACGGTTATCCTCTGATAGATATATACATGATGCTGTAAAAGATTACCTCTGCCCAAAAAGTGCGCTGCAGGAATTCACTCGGTATCTCCAACGATGCAATGAGTGCGCGACTCTGGTCAATAAGGGCCTCTTTCGAGCCTGGCTCGTTGTTCTCGTATGCTTTTCCTGCCGAAGCAATGTGTTCTAAAATTGCTGATATTGATTGCGAAGCCATGGTGCGAGACCAATGTCAATGGAAAGTACAGAAAGGACAGCACTTCAGGTACTAACCCAGCTCTAGATACGACCCCTTAGTGGGAGAAGCTATTATAATGGGACTTGAAAGTGCCGGCTAGTTAGGATACAGAGTAAATTATGTCCGAACATCGTCCACTAGGAATTAAATTATAGTCCGATCATATTCTAGAGCCTAGTACGACGCGCCATGTTACATGAAACCTCACGTAGTTTTCCCGAATAGGCATCATTAGGGTTTTAGGGCCGGCCGAGCCGGGTACCCATGTACTATATAGTTGTTGATTTGTATTGCTATCATATTAATGAACAAAGAATTGATAGTAGATAGCAATTTACTAAAAGCATTCAGATAAACTAACGCATATCCATGTCTATAAAGTAGGGAGTTATACAGACAGTCAATGAACTTTGCTAACTGGTACCCCCCCCCTTCTCTCTCTCTCTCTGTTTGCGTCTCTTTGTTAGAATTGGCAGCAAGATAAGCAGGGGTAGGACTAATCCGGTGGTCAAGGCCCGTGGAAGAATGGCATTGACTTATGGTGCCGGAAAATATGCATATTTCAAACAGAGCTACAAGTCTATGTATCTATGTAGCTTTATTGTGACAATATAGAATGTTCCGAGCATACAACCATAGTCACTGTACCGGACACAAGTCTTGGACCTCAGCTCAACGACCTTGCCATGTCTGCTTTTGATACGAATGTTGACTTCAACCAGAGCCGCGGCCGAGAAATCAATGTGATCGGCTGGGTCTTCACCGGAATTGCAATGGGTGCTGTCGGCCTGAAACTCTTTCACCGCGGGCACATGTCAAAGAATCTAGGCTGGGACGATTTCTTTATTTTCCTGTCATTGGTAAGTACATCGACGCAGCGCAGCAGCTCCATGGGTCTGAAAAGCAAGAAACATACCCTTCTTCATAGGCTGAAAAAGCACCTACTCGAATAGTCTTTCAGCATCATTGCAACAGCGTTTGTCTCGTATGCTGCCACCCTTGGCCTTGGTCGCCATACCGCGGCAGTGGTTGCTGATTATGGCATGGGACGATATTCTGAAGCTGCCAAATGGCAAATAATAGCGTTTCGTATGTCTCCTCGGCCCTAAATACTGTCTCCTCTAGGCTGACTGACTTTCTCTTTGCCACCAGCCTTTAACATCGGTTTGTCTAGCCATTCCACTCAGTTCAACGGGGTTTCTAGCCCAACATGGATGTTAATACTTTACCAGGATCTTTCAGCTTTCCAAACATATCCATTGCTATCCTAATCAATCACATTCTCGGACCAAATAAGTATCGCCAAATTGCTCTCTATATTATGTCCACTTTTCAGGTCATATTTGCCATGATATCTGCCATATTGGTCTTTGTGCAGTGCAAACCGTCGAAAATGCTTTGGGATCCTACCGTGGGTGGAACATGCTGGAATGCCGATATCTTTGATGACTTCACATACTGGGTCAGCGCATACACGGCTACGACAGATGCCATTCTGGCATTTGTGCCAATAAATGTCTTCCGGAAATTGCAGATGCCTGCATCGACCAAGTGGTCGGTTTGCATCATGATGGGACTGACGTTGCTTTCTGCAATTGTAACTATTGTCAAAGCAACGTATCTGCATTTGTTCACGAACCACACCGATCCTCGTAAGTTCCTGCTTACTACTACCTCATATGAGAAAAGGGAATTTTTACTAACATTTTTCTACTAGTTTACGATGTTGTGCCATTAGTGCTCTGGGGTCTGTAAGTAGATCCTTACCTAATACTTGTTGCTTCCATTTGTTACTACTCGACCGACTGTCTCTGACCTTCTTTTTGTTAACTAGTATCGAGCAAAATGTAGTTATAGTAGCTGCTTGTATCCCAACCTTGCGACCGCTGTTCCGAGAAGTATTTGCAGACTATGGTACACATACGCATTCCAACTCCATTATCAAACACGGTCTCAACGCCATACTCGGACATGCCAGTCATGCCGCTTCTGAATCGGCAATCCCTCTGGATCAACCCAAAGCTTGTATTGATAAAGACAGCAATAATACTTCTCAAATATGGCGCACAAGGGAGGTAAGAGTGGAAACCGATCAGGAGGAGAATTACCATCTCGCGATGATGAATGGGCGATGAATACAAACTTGGTCGAGCTTGGGGGAAATACTCGTTGGTATTGGCGAGTGGTGGAAGTATTATCAATGAATCCTCTTAGAAGTGCTCTACACCTTTGTGTTTATGATTCTAACAAGTATAGATTTATATTGTACGGCGTGCTACTATGTTGCATAGAATTTCAAGCACATAACCCAAATAGGCATCGTTAGGGTTTTAGGGCCAGCCGAGCCGAATGACCAGGGCTAGTAGGAGTTTCCATCTTTGTCTTTATCATATTAAAAATCGGTTTATAGCGTATAAATCATATAGATGAGTTCATCAACCGAGCTTCTGATACGATTTCCACAAGTAATACACTTGTTTTGCGAATGGGAGCTGTTCTGCTCGATCGCTCGTAAATTGGAACTGAGCATATTGCAAAAACAAATGCATAACACGTCGTGAGAACGAAATCTCAAGCAGACATGATAATATCAACCAGAACAATATTTTTAGAACCAACTATCGAACTGTATACAACAAGAAACGAGCTGTACGGGGTACGAAAAACTTCCGACTTTGATCTAGACTACCCAACTACCCATACCCGTTTTTCAAGGCTCTTAAAGCCAAATGGTAGCAGATATCCATCGCGAGGCAAAAAACCCCAGATCAAAACACGCCGTGCAGTGCCCACGCCCACGTACCGGGCATAGTGAACATTGTCTGCTTCTGTGGATTGATATTCCACCAAGGCAAAGGTACAAGACTTCCCAGCATACGATTCCTCTCGCTGCAAGATAACCCCATAAACCTTGTCCGGCATCAACTTCACCGAGTTCGTGAAATGCAATGTGCAAGCATCGACGGTGGTTGCATCTTTGAGGTTATGCTGCACAAGCCAGTCACCAGAAGTAGACTGAAAATCCGCACTGCTTATATCCAACGCCACCATAGATGGAAATAACCACGAAGATAGAGATGATACCTGCAAGCCTCTAGGAGTGATCTTGCCTGTTTTGCCCCCCAAAACATGGGGCATACCGGAAAACTGACACTGTTTCACTGCCCACCGCATCCCTTCATCTTCAAAGCGTGGCTCTTCCTCAAACAAGATGCCGTACGGAAACTCGTCCAACATGCCGTAAAAGACGCGCATTCGCTCTTCCGGACCGCCCTTGGCGTCTAAGATAGGTTTGACGTCGAAATTCAACACACCGGCCAAGATGATCGGACGATCTTCGGGTTTGGTCGCAGTGCGTGTGCCTACGTTATACCAATTTGCGGACAATATGTGGCCTTTGTCGAACGCCCGTTCCACAAACGGGCTTCCAAAAAAATCCAATGTCCGTATAAACTTGGATGCGTAATCGATCGATTCCTTGAAAAACATGAACCAGACGGACATGGCGTGATACGCGACTCTTTCTTGCAAGATCGGTAATTTGTTCTTGTCAATTTTGGTGAGAATCTCGTCGGCGATGGTGGCTATGTTGACAGGCTTGTCGGAAAACAGCACATAAAGACGGTATTTGGCCGCGAGGCCTTCTTGAAGGGTCCATAGACGGCGCATCCAGCCCGAGCAAAATACGACTCGGATCAGAAGCTGCGTCCGAGAGATCGAGTTTGATTCGACTTCCCGCATTTCGGAGTCCAGGATTAGCACTCGATATGCTTATATCGCAGATGAGCTTAGCTTTTCTTTTTTTTTTATACTCTAGGACCGAGAGAGAGAAAAAACATACCGTCGAGATAGACCTGGCGAATCCGCTGGATTGCCAAACTTCGCACGTCCCGTTGTTCCGGGATACACAACGTATCAATCCACACCAGTACCGACTTGTCTTTGCCACGAGCCTGACCGAAGGCAAAATGAGCCAGTCGAGACACGCCGGTTTCAATGTGCTCCAAGGGATCGCCAACTTGTCGTGGGATGTATTCCTTGTCTGTCACGAGACGCGTCGCCTGCTCGTAGAGAAGTCGCACTTGACAATTGGGGAGCGAGTTGCCATTGCAGTTTCCCATTCCATCGGACCACACATGCGAGATGGCCACGTATGGCCTCCCTGTTCGTTTGCGAACAATCTCAATCTTGAATCCTGCGTCTCCGTCCTCGTCAGCCAGTGGTGTGATTTTGGCGAGAGGGATGCCTCCATCCTTCAGAATGGCATGCAAATGTTCAACGTCCGCCGGTATATGACCGCATCTACATCCTTCTGTAGCGTGCCTCGTTAAATATTTACTTTCGTCAATATTATGTGCCACGCACTTTGTCAGCCCACATGCAACATGCGTCCTATTATCCCACGCCGGTTTTCTGCGATTAAGCTGAAGCAGATACGCCATAGTATCAACATGACAGCCCGTGAAACGTGATTTCATTACTTCCCACGGACACCATTCGCTCTTGATCATTCGAACAGTCTCATAGGTGTCACTCAGTAGCCACCTCGAAACGTGCTCGGGCTGAGGCCGGGGTCCGTCTCGTTTAACAGAAGTATTCCAGAGGGCCTGGCAAATCAAGCGTATTGCTAGTTTCATTTCATCCCGAAGAGAGTCCTTGAAGGTCTCCAGCTCTTTGCAGACCTTGTCCACGATGGTCACGGCTCGTTCACCGTATTTCTTCTTCTTCCATTCCTGGACATTATCCACATAGTCACATAGATGAGTCGTAGTTAGGAGCTCTTCACTTTCTTCTTTCCGAAGAAAATCAGCCTGGTTCAGCGTCTCTCCAAACACGTAAAATAACATTCCAAAATAGAGCCAGCACTCAACCTCCTTGGCGTGAGCCAGCAAGAAACCAAGCCATTCTATGTCACCGTTCCCTTTTTTCCATCCATGGCGAGTCGGGTATTCATCCCACTCGCCTCCATCGTACAGCGGACCTGTATATTCTATCCGAAGAGGCTTTTCAGGTTTTTCAGGGAAAAATAGATGCTCCGCCATTGTAAGTCTTTGCAATGTTTTGGTTAGTTGCTCGTATTTCAGCCCCGCGTCGGTTCTACCTGTGTTTAAGTTGCACGCACGGCTATTTTAGTCCATTAATTCTCTGCTATACATTAGATTAACTATCATCATCACTTTAACTTTGGGAAGGGCGTGCTCAGCAGGATCCTTGAACCCTAGCCAACTGTACTATAGGCTCTTTCAGCTTCCCACACATGTCCATTGCGATCCTCATCAATCGCCTTCTTGGACCGAATAAAGCATCGTCTATGCCATGTCCATTTTCCAGGTTGTGTTTGCCATACATAATATCTGCCATATTGGCTTTTGTGCAGTGAAAACCGTGGGAAATGCTGTGGGATCTCCTTGTGGATGCACTGATGTTGCTTGCTGCAAGAGCGACTCTTGTCAAAGCAACAAAATCAATGCCCGAAGATTTGGCGCTGTGAACCTTGGAAGAATGAAGATGCCTCAGGACTCGAGATGCGACCAATCAGAAGCGCAACCCCGCATGGCTGCCTTAACAATACGAGATTAGTAAGTGCTCGCACGACACCTCGAGATATAATATTATCCCAGGATATTCTATACAAGGCTACCTCGCTGCAATCATTCAGCCTCTCTCTCTGTGGAGCGAAGACTGGCAGTCAACAAAGATTTCCTTTCTGGGTAATCCCGGGAACTCGGCTCGTCGGACTCGCCACTGCCTGCTGTCATCGTTTTCAACAATTGGTTTCCTGTCGCTTTTTCCCTTCCATCCTCCTACCAAGTTGACGCTCTCAAGTGGTTTGAAGATGGAGGACTCGTCGCGGACTGAGCATCTGCAGCAGATCGGATCAGCAGATTTAGAGGAGTCAAGAGATACGGCAGAAACAGTCCCATCTGATGTTGATGGCGCCAAAAACAGTGACGACACCGTTCGAGCCGTCAGATATCCTTATCGAGATGAGCATAGCAATGCCCAAGTGATCACGACGACGGCCGACACACTACTCACCGACCTCTCTCTATACGGCGGCAACGTCTCGGAAGGCCAGACCTATGGCCGACTTCCAGCACATCGACCCCTACCGTCATCCTCGCCTTCGCCTATGACACAGAGCCCGTCGTCCCATAATCCGTCGCCTTTGCAGCCATTGTCCAGATGGCAGCGTTCGGTGATTGGGAGAGCATGGCTACAAGGCAAAGGGATGCTCATGGTGGTTCTGTCACAGTACTTTGGCGCATCGATGAATGTGATGACGCAGATTCTGGAAAGGGATGGTGCCCATGGAAAGGCCATGCATCCATTTCAGGTAAGAACAAAAAGATATTGAGTATAAAAAAAAGGGGGAGGATATCTTATCTTATTGACTTTCTCTTGCTAGATCCTCTTCACTCGTATGATCCTCACCGCCACAGCCAGCTACTTCTACATGTGGTATGTGCGTGTTCCGGATCCGTTCGGCACGAGGGGTATCACATGGTTGCTGATATTGCGAGCTGCTGGCGGCTTTTTCGGGGTTTTTGGCATGTACTTTTCCCTACTATACATGCCCCTGTCGGAAGCCACGGTGATTACCTTCTTGTCGCCAATCGTGGCGTGCTATGCGTGTTCCTTTCTGATGCCCAATGAGCCATTCACTCGAAAACAGCAGCTAGCAGGTCTTATTTCGCTAGTGGGAGTTGTGCTCATTGCAAGACCGTTTTCTGGCGGGCGAATCACAGGGGAAGTTGAAGTGCCCCCTGAAATCTCCCCTGGAAATAGCACGACGATGAACAATAATAACATGACCATGACGCTGTCAGACAATGATATAGCAGAGGGTCTAGGAGCAGTTCACCATCTCATGGCAATAGGGTTTGGCCTGCTCGGGGTCTTTGGCTCTGCATGCGCGTTTGTGACGATTCGCCTGATTGGATCGAGGGCACATCCGCTCGTCAGCGTCACTTACTTCTCTACCTATACCACGCTAGTATCGGTCATTGCGCTAATCGCGATTCCGTCCGTTTCGTTTCGAGTTCCGGGTAACTTGACGGAATGGGGTTTACTAATCGGTCTCGGGGTGACGGGATTTACGATGCAGTATCTACTCACTGCCGGGTTGGCGTATCAACCACCGGTTTTTGGGGTCAAGCAGCAGCAGCAGCAGCAGCAAAAACAAGTGGGCAGCGGCACCCGGGCAACATCAATGGTATACACGCAGATGCTGTTTGCGCTATTCTACGACAAGGTGGTGATGCACAGTTCTCCCTCGGCAATCAGCTGGGCGGGCTCCGGGCTTATCCTAGGCAGTGCACTGTATGTTGGGATTATTCGGGATAAAAGTGCAGCGGAAGACGAAACAGAGCAAAGAAAGAATGCAATAGTAACTTCTGATGGCGATGATATGGATGACATGCGAGATATCGAGGAAGGCCGAGGGCTTTTGATGGAGGATAGGAGCGGCTCGTAGTAGATAGATTAGCCGACGATTTGCTATAAAAAAGGTGTTTAATGCTGAAAAGCATAGGTATCGTTTTGCGCGGCGCGTAGACAATCCCAATAGGTGCGAAGTATCCGACGACGTCTGTAACGCTAGTCCACCAGCTTGGGGCATTAGCTGTGTCTATGAATGAGGGAAAAGCTGCATGTAACGAAGTCCCAACGTCTACCAAATGCCTCACGGTAGGACTGCAATCGTATTCAGCTCTTGTGGCAATGAATTTCTCGATTGTTTTTCGCGGTGCTGCTGCAGTGAAAAACATCGCAGTCATGACTTTGCGCGTCAGACTCTGCGCCATATCTGCGCGTTGGAACATCTGCTTCTCGTAATGAGCCACCCCGGAGAGTTGTTGAGAACCAACCCGCCCCCTGGTTTCGCATTGATGATAGCTTCTGCTAATCTTCTCGCATCATCCAACGCTATATTGACTCCCTCATCCGCAAATGGGGTCATCAGATGCGCTGCGTCTCCGACCAGAGTCACCCCGCGGCGACGAGGCCATCAGGGGAGCATGTAAAATGAAGAAGCCCTAATGTGACGCTCGGTCTGATTGATCATATCCACCAACTCTGGCGCCCAGTCTGCATATTCACTAGTAGTATCCCTGAGGGATGGCAGCTGTGCCCTCGTCTCATTCGCCCATTCGATGTTCTTACGCCCCCAGGCTGAGACATGGATACTTCCATCGCCCATCTGCTGAGCGATGATGGACTTGCCGTCTGAAAAGGCAAACAGATTCCCACGCTGAAGTAGATCGTAAGTTGGGAGTGCCTTTTCTTGTGCATTGGGCATAGACATATCGAAGCCTGATATCCCCGAATACTCTGGCAGTGGGTCTCTGAGACCTGATCGAACTACACTCCACGCTCCATCAGCACCAACCACAAGGCTGAATCCGCCTTGGACTTTTCCCCGGTTCTCAAAATGCAAAGAAAATAACACTTCCCCCTCCCCCCCCTCAAATCATCTTCATGCTCTTGCTCCTCGACCCGTTTCAGGCGATGACCCCCCAGCGCACCCGATCCGAGGGTATCGATTGCAATAGCAGTGACCGGAGCTGCACACGGTCTATCTCTGGATTATTCGTAAACAGGGCTGGCAGTCTGAAGTAAGGCTGGTTTCTCTTATCACAGATGGTCAGAGACGATCCGTCGAAACGCGCAAGTTTGGTGAATTCGTCGTATAGCCCTGCTGCCTTCAGCGCGGCAATGCCCGTCTTTGCGTGCAAGTCAAGAGTCCCGCCTTGAATGCGACGACTGTCGGGGGATGCTTCAGCTTCAAACACTGTAAATTGAATGCCGTTTATATGCAGCAGACGGGCTAACAGGCAACCGGCTGGACCGGCTCCGATATTGGCGACGTTAAGCGGTGCCATGTTAATTGTTCTAGATGAAATGTAAGAATAATTGTGATTATGTAGGAATGGAGTTGGGCACATCATGTTAGACTCCTCAATAGAAAATGCGCTAGTAGACACTAGCAAATTCCTTCTCAAGACTTACACTAGGTTTTGTATGCACAATATTTCTTATCTTCAGTTTCTAAAGGAAGCGATTGCTGACGGCGAAGTGTCTGTTGATGCTCGAATCAATGGCACAATATACGTACATACACTAAGACAACACAAATAAATAAATCAGTCCAATCGCGATTATGATACATAGAAATTCAGCTTCTCTTTCCTTCTGCAGTTACTTCTTCCTGGACTTCTCAGATTTGTCCTCCTTGCCATCATCTTTATCCTTCTTATCCAACGAAATCTTCTTTATCGCAGCCTCCAGAGCCTCAACGCCGTTCTTTCGGAACCGCGTAACTTTCCGTACATTGAGCGAAGTCAGCTCATTCAGTGTCTCAATGCCCTGCTCGCGCTGGCGAGCTATCGCCTTGGCGGTTAACGCAAATCGCATATCCTTCGGTCCGTCAACGAGTTCCAAAATCGCACTGGGGGCCTGATCATCCTTTTTCGGCTCGACTCGCAGAACACGCGTGTATCCGCCTTGTCGTTCTGCGTAGCGATCTTTAAGGGTGCCGAATAGTTTGGGGAGGAGTTCATGTGGTGTCTAACATCGAAAATCAGCCCGCGTTCATGATATGTTTTGGAGAGCATTGAGCACGATAATGCAGTGAAGAGGAAGTCAACATACATAAAATATCGATTGAGCACGCCTTCGAGCATGTTCTGTATCCCGTTTTCCCAATGTGATCAGTTTTTCAGCCAGCCGTTGCGCTTCTTTTGCTTTGGCCCATGTAGTCGTTATTGATTCATGCTTGATGAGAGATGTGACGAGATTTCGCAAAAGTGCCTGTCGGTGCGACGAACTCCGACTCAGGTGACGGTATTTGGCTGCGCCTCCAGCCATTTCGATGCTGGTTCTCTGACGATGTCTGGGGGGAGAAAGGAGAAAAGGCAACTGCGAGAGGTTGCTGAATCGGCTGGCAGACGAATTGCAGAGAGAATAAACAATTCAACACAGGTTCTTACTGTGTTGAATCTTGAAACTCCAGTGCGATAAAGTACTAACGAGTTGTTAATTTGTTGAAGTTGCTGGAGTAGAAAAGAAAGTTCCGTTCCCTGATCTCTGAGTTGACCAATCGGAGGCTTCTGTGGCGCTTAGACTCGCCGGGAGGGAAGTTGGCACTTGCCGAGCGATCGAATTGCTCGACTTCGTTCTTTTCTCCAACAACTTCAGGCTCATCGTGGCTGTTGATTCGAGTGTCATGGTTGTTCAATTGCATTTCAGCCAGGCTACCTCAGTCGCTTGAGTATCGACGCCGGCTAGCAGACTTGGGGTTTAATCATCTTATCTTCAAGAAATGCTCAACTGTGATATCTTCCGCGAATAACTGAGAAGAAGAAGAAGAAGAAGAAGAAGAAAAAGAAGAAGAAGAAAAAGAAAAAGAAGAAGAAAAAGAATCAAAGATGGGATTCTTCGCTGGATTTGTATGTCTTCTTGACAGAGATATTCTATGACTAGTTTTTAATTACATTGACTAGTTTGGTGGCTTCACCTTGACAGCATCGGTTCTCTATCTCAGTGTTCAAGTACACCGTTCGACACGCCTAGCGCAACGAGACGCCATTCGTGAACAGGTCGAAATCTTGAACGACATTTCCTCTCCTCTAGGCGCATATATTCGGAGATTTGCCCAGGAGGATCCATCCAAACCATCCGTCGCGGCGCAGCCGACTAAACCATCCGCAGAAGATTTACTGAAGCAACAATGGAATAAGGAAGTTAAGGCATTGGCCAGGAAGACCGTGAATCTGCGCTGGGAGGATGTTACCGATACCGCCACAGAAGTCGCTAAGACGATATTAAAGTTGGTTAAACGGGAATGAGGGATTCCACGAATCAAGGGTATACGGATTGCTTTAATTGATGCGAGCAAGGTGGATTTCGCGTCCTGTCGTTCAGAATCAGTGGCGAGGACTAGTGTCTGGTGTTTAGGCTGAGTTTTGGTGTAAATCTTGGGATACATGGCTCCTTTTTATCGAGAGTAGACTGTCTACATTGTGTTGGAAGTCCGAACTGCATGAAAAGATAAATTTTAACAAAAGATAACTAGCTGTGTAAACCTAACTATAATCAAAAAACTCTTTGCTGCTATTTGTTGGATAGTTTGGATAAAGATCTTTATACTTTTTGTGATGCTTCATATGTTAGCCCTTTCTCCGGTGAAGAGTGCCTGGTCGTTCAGGCATTCAACAGAGTGAGCAGTTTCCGCGTGAAGAGATGTCCCTCTTCTCTCTTCCCTCTTCCCTCTTCCAGACGTTGGTCTCTCGACTCTTATCACCATTCCACGACGCATACTGACTATACTGACTCCCTCTACGGAGTATAATCAACGTCATTTTGCATTATCCTTCTCATCCCGCCTCGTTAATCCATTCATGCGCGTCACTGATTAGATGACGATGCATTTGGCTACCTTAAGAGCTTGCGGGACTCAAGTCTGTGGCCACTGCCTCGAGCAACAAGCTTGGTAGGCAACAGTGGCTTCTGCCTACGGCAGTTCATCGCTGACATGTAAGTATCAAACAGGCCCCATGCTATTTTTGTGTGCTCTCAAGCATACATGGTCCAATAAACGACTTGAACGACCTTGAAATGATAGCTTTTTAAGAGATGACTTTCCAACAGGTCCACTTGACTATTGATTCATCCCAGCGCAGCATTGGAAACCATGATGGTCTTGATCACCTTGTCAGATTCGATCGTATTGATCAGGAAATCCAGAGTCTCCAGAAATTTGCTCCAAATGAGCACCAAGAAAACCCTCTACAGCCGGCGGGGAAAACGCAACTCTGGGGGATTTAGGGGTGCTGGGCACCGCTAACTTTGTGCGCGGGCGAGGGTTTTTCAGGCTTGGGAATGATCTTTTAGGGATGGGTTAGAGGTGGTTGCATAATTGGTTCTAATACTCTTCTGTAGATGTTTTTCTTAGCGCTCATTTTGGCCTGTAGGCCCGTTTTAGGCCATGGCCAGGGGGGAAAAGTTGTATGTAACGCCTATTCCGGTATTCCAACACTCTTGTAACTTCATATTAATACCAATACTTTTCACACTCTGATTTTGGATATTGGATTGCTACCGGATCGCTTTCATTGATGCGAGCAAGTTGGGTTTCGCGCTCTGCCATTCGTAATCAGTGGCGAGCATTGGTGTCTGGTGTTTAGGCTGAGTTTTGGTGTAAATTCTGGGATACGTAGCACCTTTTTATCGACGGGCTAGATCGGCCGTATCATTCGCAGATTAGCGGAATTGATGCCCTAAGTACCACGAGGATAGCATCATCTTATGCAATATACTGCCATGTATCTGCCTCCACCAGTAAGCTGTAATGATTTCTCCGTTTGATGCTAGGCTTTGTTGTTTCAACCCGTCGTCGAAGCTGTCGTTACGTTGAGACTCTCACTTGCGGTGTCACTCCAAATGTCTTCGCTTTCTCTTTTCACCGCGCGCATCGCTTCTGCTACCTCCTCCAAGCTTGCAACAACATCTAAAACACCATTGTTAACGCGTTCGAAATACTGATCGTTTGCCTGCCGCCTCTTTCGAGCTTGTTGTAAATCCTTCTCAGTCTCTGCCTCAAGTGCCTTGTAAGTAGCGGTGCTATCTGTTGTGCCCGCTTTATCCAATGCAGTACCCGTCTTCTGAGTCTGTGGCTCTGGCTGATCAGTGTCGTCAGTCTTCTCATCAACCTCCTCGGCGTCATGTCTCGTCCATGTTTGAGCTAATTTGAGCTGCTTTATCCGTAGCTCCTCAAGAGCTTTGGAATGTTCTTCCCCGAAAACATGCTCCCCTTTGAAAGCACTCAGTTCTACTTCGGCTAGAGTATTCTGCATTTCCTGCCAGAGCGCTTCGGCACTCTCGGTTTCCTTGGGTAACATTGTTCGGGTCATAAAAGGTGATATACTCCTATTGCCAGCCGCGGAAGTGGTAGAAATTCTCGACCATGTTCTCTGTGCTCCGGGCCGTTGAGCAGACGCCGAGGCTTGATTGCCGGGCAGCAATCCCACTTGAACTGAGTTGCTGGATTCATTGCGAGATGGCGGTCCCTGGAATAGGGACGGTGGAGGAAGGCGCTGAGAGCTGACTCTCGATATCGGATTGGGTCTCGGCGATAGAGACATGATGGGATTTTATGCTTTGGTACCCACGCCAACACAGAGCAAGCAGTAAACAGGAACTTGGTTAAAATGCTCGAGTCAGCGACGTACTGTAAGGTTGAATTGGCTCCTCAGGCATCACATACGCCAAGCCGACCGAGGTTGGTCCGGCGCTAACCCGCTCTGGGATCTGGGTGGTGGCCCGCACTTCGCTTAGAGCACAAATCCACATTTTCAGGCCAGGACGGCAGAACACTCTACTTCGACTTCGACTTTCGCAATCAACCTCCAGCCATCTGGCCATATCCATCTAGTCGGTAGGTTCACATTCCAGCGCATCGATCACACACAGTCGCTTCCTTCAAATTTCACTCGTGATTTATTTTGCAACTCGCACTCAACACCGTCATTGATTTACCGCAAAAAAGAAAAGCCCTAATTGTCTAACATCGATTATCTCTTCTCGCAGAAGCGTCCAAAGAATACCGCCAAGATGGGTAAGGGAAAGCCTCGTGGTTTGAACGCCGCTCGCAAGCTCAAGGATCACCGCCGTGATCAGCGATGGTCCGATTTGTCTTTCAAGAAGCGCCTTTTGGGAACCGCCTACAAGTCCTCTCCCTTCGGTGGTTCTTCTCACGCCAAGGGTATCGTCCTTGAAAAGGTCGGTGTTGAGGCCAAGCAGCCCAACTCCGCTATCCGAAAGTGTGTCAAGGTTCAGTTGATCAAGAACGGCAAGAAGGTCACTGCTTTCGGTACGTCTTAACCTTGCCTGATAGATAGGTTTTACTTTCTATATATATATGACTAACGTGCCGTAATTCAGTCCCCAACGACGGTTGTCTCAACTTTGTTGACGAGAACGACGAAGTCCTCCTCGCCGGTTTCGGTCGTAAGGGCAAGGCCAAGGGTGATATTCCTGGTGTCCGTTTCAAGGTCGTCAAGGTTTCCGGTGTCGGTCTGTCTGCTTTGTGGAAGGAGAAGAAGGAGAAGCCTCGTTCTTAAGCGAATCAATTTCCACGAAACGAAGATACGAAAGGGGGTCGGTGCCGAGAGAGAAAGAACGAGAACAGGGACGATTTCCAATGACCTGTGCAGAAGGGCCCTTTAACACGATGAACACATGCCTTTCTGCAACCGGGGAAAAAAAGAAAAGATTTTTATACCATGATAATGGCATCAGGCTTAAGGATCTGTCTGTATGCAAAGAAATTTTCATTTAGAAGATTTTAAAAACGTTTCAAGGATTGGCGTCGTGACTTGAGTCTACGGGATGGTTGGAACGCTCTATCTACTAGTTGCTACGTATTAGACGAAACTGTTTCTTTACTGTAGTAACGGTGGCTGTTTGCCCTGTGCAAAATACATGATTATTGATTTCCCATTTGTTTTTTTTTTGTTTATATTCTCTCTTATATACTACGTATTCTGGATTTGTAGGGGTCTTTTTGGGCCTTCTGGCTTTCATTGAAATTGAGCATTTGGTCTTTTTCTTTTTCTGAGTTCACTAAAAGGTAATATCTTCTTTGCGATAATGGTCCGAGACGATACGGTAGAGATACGAAGGAGCATGACCACCTCTGCAAAAGGAATGTTAGTGAAACCATAACGAAGTGAGAAAGCTAAGGGAAGGGGGATTGATTAAATAGATAAAGGAAAAAACATACAAGTTTGTGATATACAGATCCACTAGTTCAGCAGGAACATAGTCATAGAGAGGGTTCTCTACGTCAATCTTGTCGACCAAGTCACCATCCTGATAAGTGATGACATTGCTGACATCACCGTATTCGATAAGTGAATCGATATCAAATGGATAAACAGGACTGAGCTTGTAAATACCACTGACGACGACGACCGGGGTCTGGTGAACTTTGGCTGCCCTAGCAATCACCCGCGTGCCTGCAGCAGCGACCAGGCCACCGTTAGCCAGAACTGAATGCGTGCCCAAAATGACTTTGTTGACCCGGGACATTATAGCAAACACTGCAGAGTCTGGGATAAGAATGACAGTAATTCCTAATGCAGTCAATGGCTTCGTGAAATTCTCAGGACTTAAGTTTTGGCCGTCACTGTCGGTGCTCCCGCTAACTCGGGCGTGAGTAGCATCATGATTGTTGGGAAATGACTCGGCATGTATGACAGTGAATTTCCGTTTTGCTGCAGCCTTCAGCAAGAACTTTTGAACAGTGGTCGACGACGTGTATGTGAGGATAACCTCGTTGGAATGAATATGCTCCAAAGCGTATCCCGCAATTTGATCATCCACCTGGCCTAGCTCGTCAATAATCTCACCGATGCCATCCAAGACCTCGGCTCGAATATCCTTATGTTGGCCATGCCCCTGGAATCTGCCTGACGGCGAAACAGTGCCTGGTGAGCTCGGTTGGGGTGATTCTGCCTCGGGGTGCTGGAGAAGACTGAACATAGAAATGCCGGCAGGCGCTTGTGATGATGTTGTGGTGGATGAGAGAGGAGGGCGAGACGATGATCGTTCTGATCCATCCTGTCGAATCGATAAGAGATCCTTATCTTGTGCTGGGATTGTGAGGTCGTCCGCCACATGCGAACGCGACGGGGAATGGCTTTCCGCACCATGAGGCGTGTGTGGCCGGCTGTCAGACCCAGCTTCGCTAGCAAGGAAGAAATCGGCGTCTCTCTCGTCTTCCGCCTCGTCGCGGATAAGCCCCAGCACGCGTCGTACAATATTTCCTACCACGAGTTCCCTCGGTTGGGCAACCATCAACCGCCTACCGACACTTTGGACCCGTTCGATCAATTTTGTGGCATCTGTGGTGCGGAACGCAGACACGACTCGGAGGAGAAGATAGGCAGTTGCTATGGCGCATGATCGTGATAAACGAATCTGTCGTCGTTTCAGTAGGCTATGCTCTGTCAGCGTCATGAAACTGGAATATCTAGGATCCTGGGAAGGGGGGGGCGTACGAGACTAGGTTGTCGATTGACGTTTCGATAGGGTTTGTTTTCAGGGATTTGAGGAACGACGACAGCCCCGGGGTCAGGGCTGCGGAGTTTGAGACCATGCTGGCTTAGATGTGGTGATGTTGTCCAGCTGAGTGAGGGCCGCAAAAAGATGCGGGAAAATTCGAGGTTGCCCCTCGTCGGAGTCACAACGACTTCTGCTTCGAGATTGGAGCGCTTGTTCCGCGAATCAAATCAGCCAAACTTGAAACAGGAGCAAGAGAAACACTAGACGCAGATCGTAGTCTCTTGTTCCCTGGCCGGCCGTGGTGTTGCGATCAGTGAGCGAGTGACCCGGTCGACTGCCTGCCTGCCAGGCGGAGTTTCTTTGGGGTGTTGCGGCCTTAGAGATTTGGCCCCAACGCTTCCTCCCCACATCGCCGTCATCCGACCAACTTCCGTCCCTTCGCAGCATTAGCCCAACTGACCAGGCTGGCTGCCAAACATCGCCCTCCCTCTACTTACGTGTCAGGAAACCTGCCCCTCCTTCTCTTCTCCTCTCACCTCTCGTCTCGAGTCCCGTCCTGTCGAAAGGGCTGATTTCACAGCCGTGAAATCTGTGTCCTCGGCGATTTATGCAGGGTCGCCAGCTGGTGCATCGTCAAGATACGAGCAGGTACTACTGCCTTCTGATGGCACAACCCCCTCGTTCTTTGCTTTTTCGTCGTTATTCCAATTGTGGCCATTGACATATCCCGTGTATTCTAGAGCTGGATCCGCATATCGTCATCCAATCGTCCTCATGGCCGTTGCTGAAAGATGAACTCCCTGAATATCCTGTCCTCCCGAGTAATTGGACAGGCTCCCGGCTCCGGCTCACGCAATCGCTCTCGTTCACAGGGCGACGCCTCTCCTGCGAACCTTCGTCACGACCTAGCAAAGTCTCGTTCGTACAGTGAACAACAATTCAACTACATCCTCCCCAAGGACGAAAAAGAGCTAGACGACCATGAACCCTCGGTGTCGAGCTATTCGCATGACGGCACGATAGAATTCGAGAAAAAGACACAACTGATTCATCAGCTTCAAAAGACCGGTGCAGTTCCCGCGCCAAACCGGTTTTTTCTGATTGCCCAAAGGCTATTCGACGCAATTGCCGAGACTATTCAGGCCATTCTTTCCACAATCGCCGCTCCCGGTGTTTATGTCGCGCAGACATTTCGAGATGAAGATGGACATTATTCACCCATTATACCCTTCCGAAAGGTCCGGCGATACGTGGCATACCGCAACATTGAGAATGAACGTAAACGGTCTAGGAAGACGACGGCTCCACAGCGCATCAAGGGAGAAAGCGAAAAGACCGGGACTCGGCGAAACGGCTCGTCTCGAAAACTGAGGGATTCGCCCTCTCGATCATCAATCGCATCGTCAACATCGGAGTCCGACGGTGACCGCGAGGCCTTGAGGCCGTCGAGCGCCAGGGAGCTTCGTGGCAAAGAAGCTACTCAGACAGAAGACAACACTCCGAGAAGGTCTATACGCATCAAGCTACATAATGATGAAGCCCTGAAGCGACAAAAGAAACGGTCTCGAAGCACTGACCTTTCGCGCCATTCGATAGACGAGGACGATCCTTCACCAGGCGCAGTCATCACAGCAGAGAGCTTAAAGTCGCCAATCTCTCCATCAGCCTCCCATCACAGATTAACAAAATACCCTCATGCTCCTGCTCCTCCGCGACCACTAGTGCCGCTTCGGCAACCATCCTATAGTATGCGGACACCGGGACGCAATGCACCTACGAAAGTCCCCCAAAAGACCCTTGTTCTCGATTTAGACGAAACCCTCATACATTCCCTGGCTAAAGGCGGCAGGATGTCCAGCGGCCACATGGTAGAAGTCAAACTAGCGACGCCAATGGCAGCAGCTGTTGGTTCTGGAGAACCGCCAGTGGCCCATGGTCCTCAGCATCCAATCCTCTACTACGTGCACAAGCGACCGCACTGCGATGAATTCTTACGAAAAGTTTGCAAATGGTATAGACTAGTCATTTTTACAGCGAGCGTGCAAGAGTATGCAGATCCAGTGATTGACTGGCTTGAGCAAGAACGCAAATTCTTCCAGGCTCGTTATTACCGGCAACACTGCACTTTGCGCAACGATGCATTTATCAAAGATTTGAGCTCCGTGGAGCCAAACTTGAGTAAAGTCATGATCTTGGACAATAGTCCTACGAGTTACATTTTTCATGAAGGTGCGTGCCTTGTACTGCTTAGGTAAGAGCCAAATCTAACATTCTATAGATAATGCTATTCCTATCAAAGGCTGGATAAGCGATCCTACCGATAACGGCCTGCTGAATCTAATTCCCATGCTCGAAGCTCTTCAGTACGTTACTGATGTACGAGCATTCCTTGCGCTGAGGAGAGGTGAAGCCGAGTCGTGATTTTAGCCATATTCATGGTGTATCATCCTTTGCTTTGGTTTGCAGGGCATTTTGTTTTACCTTATTTTTTTATTTTAATTTTTTAACCTTTCTTTTCATTTTAAAAACCAACAACAGCAAAAAAAGCCCAACTCTCCTCTTCTCTACTTTCCTCGCTCCTCTTTTCTCTGTCTTCAATCCCCAAGACCTGTAACCAGCAGAAAAGAGCAAAGGGATGAAGGAATCGAAGCATCAGACGAGAGAATCCCTTATGATCATCTTTTCTTATAAATGCATCACCCCCTAATAGTTTCTGTTTAGCATATGACATACCCACTGCCCTTTTTGCATTGTGTGTTTTCTTCTTCTCTTTTATCATCTTGGATATTTCGGTAGCAATCCAATATCAAATATCAAAGTGTGAAAAGTGTTGATATTACCTAGGTAATATGCAGTTACGTGAGTGTTGGGATACCTGAACAGGTACTATTACATATAGCTCTTTTTTCCCTAGCCTATTAGGTTATATATGTGTATGGTAGATACATTCCTCTCCCCCCCCCCCCCCCCCCTTTTTTTTTTAACGATTCCTTATCCTGTCACACACCTAATCATATTTACAGACCCTTAGCCTTCTTAACCTCAACATACGATTCTTGCAACGCGGCAATGGCATTATCAATGTCCTTGCGGTTAGGATCCGTGGCGCTGACGCCCATGTGACCAAATCGAATATATAGAGGAGCGATTTCCTTGTGGAGACCACCTGCGAAGACGACGCCCCGCTTGAGAAGTCCAGGCAAAATATCAGGCGCTTTAATGCCTTCGGGCAATCGAATGGCCGTCATGGCATGGGCCTGGTTCTCGGGCTTGGTGGCGAGTTGGGTCAGACCCAATTCGGCAACGGCGGCCTTGACCTTGTCTGATGTCTTTGCGTGGATGGCAAAACGCTCGGACATTGGCTGTGCGGTGATGCTGGTGAGGGTAGTGTGGAGAGCATGCACCAGCTGGGTTGGCGGGGTAGCGAAGTAAGAGGGCTTACCGGCCTCGTAGTTTTGCATGATTGGCTGCCAGTTGGCGATGGAAGCATAGTATGAAGCAGGAGGGGTTTTGCGGGTTTTGAATACATTGATGGCTCGCCCAGAGACCATGAGGATACTGAGGCCTGGGGGGCATCCAATGGCTTTCTGACTGGCTGTCAGCACTACATCCAGACCCCAGGCATCGAAGTCAATCTCTTCGCAGCCAACACTGCAGACACCGTCGACGATAACTAGGGTGTCCGGGCTGACTCGGTGAACTAGTTCAGAGACTGCTTTGATGTCACTCAACACGCCGGTGGATGTGTCGACATGGGTGATTGTGACCAGCTTATATTTCTTTTGCTTCAGCGCCTCTTCGATCTCGGCGAGCGAAGGGCGCTCGCCAATCGGGGCCTTTAATTGAGTTGCGTGTGCTCCATATGTTTCCAGCGCGGCAGCGAATGAGTCTCCAAAGTAACCAGTGTGAAGAACCAAAGCATCTTCGCCCTTCTCGATCAGATTGCTAGCGACAATGTCCCATCCAAGTGTCCCACTCCCGGAGATGATAAACGGTTGCGAAGCCGGGTCTGTGGTCTGGAAGAGTTTTCGGAGCAGTGTCAAGCTCTCTCCGAATGTCTTGACAAAGGCCGGCCCGACATGGCTCTCACTGCAAGTCCAATGCCATTAGCTTTTTTTTTTTTTTGGATTGTCTGTAGGCGGGGGTCTCTGCCAGACTTACGCATAATGCGACATGGACTGCAGGACGGCATCGTCGAATTCGATGGGTCCTGGAATGAGGAGGGTGCTATGGGCGGGCTGTGAAGACATCTTGTCGCTCGGAGATGGGGGCTGGGTGGGAGAATCGAGGTTGGGAGGGGTGCGCTGTATCGGGTTATATTCCAGGTCGTCGGGTTCGACAGACAATCTCTCGGACGAGAACGGCGTGTTCAGTTCAGGCAGCGGCAGCCGTTGGTCGAAATGCCTAGCGATGAGGGACAGACGGGCATTCCCAGTGCCCCGCCGGGAGTGTGACGCCAGCTTTTGCTTTCGCCGCCGCGCGTTGGCCGCGGGGAACTTGGTCGTGAGCAGGGGGAGGATTGCTGCACGATAAGACTGGGACCTCGGTCTCTCGATGGTTGTGCCGAATGAGGCCTGTATATACTATATGTATAGATGGCTATTCGCACACGGCACGGGGCGGACTGTCCTCCACGCTCAGGGTCCAGACTGCAGTCGCTGCCTGCTTTTCTTTCCTTTTCGTCTGCGCTGCACTTTTCCTTTTCTCAGGCCGAGCAAGACTGCCGGCACGTGACCGTCGGCGCCCTCCGTCATCGGCCGGCTCCTGCGCTAGTCCCGAGTGGGATATGGAGTCAGTTCCGCACTAAAAGCTTGGCACTTGGCATATGGAGCGGACTAACCGTATGCAGTTAGTACAAACTCTGTTTGCGGCCCGCCATGATCTATCCGGACTGCGCTGGAGCTTTCATGCTGGATGCAACTGTTGCGTCTATTGACATCCGTACCAACAATGTTCAAGGTTCTACGAGGCCTCGTGAAACCTCAGAAGTACCCTCTTCGCTCGCATATACAAGCCAAAAGATCCTTCTCTATCGAATGTCGAGGTTTCTAACCATCCGTTGCTAAAAACCTGCGTTGTTCGCATACTAAAAACCACGGCAGGCAACACGATATCCAAAGACGGTCTTTTTCGCTATACGAACGGACGATTCCTTAACGACGAGCCGTCCCAGCTTTCGAAACGCTACGTTCGTTTCGATGTCGAGAAATTATGTGACGTAATTGCAAATCTCCCTGGGACCCAAAAGTCGCCTGTTACGCGAATAAGCAAAATGGAGGGTGGTTTTAGCAAAGCATTACTCATTACAACTGAAGATACATCGGAATATATTGCCAAAATACCGTGCCCAAATGCTGGAAGTCCTATGTATTGTACCGCATCAGAAGTCGCTGTGCTTGGATTTAGTGAGACATTCTACAATTCACTCTCATAGGCTGAACTAACATGTATGAATTATCCTAGTACGAGATCGCACGACAATCCCTGTTCCCAAGGTCCTGGCCTGGAGCTCTGATGCATCGAATGCGGTGGGGGCAGAATATATTATAATGGAAAAAGTCCCCGGTGTTCAGATGTTCCAGAAGTGGGATGAAATCGCCGAGCGTAATCGAATATCTTTGATCAAGCGTATCACTCAATGGGAACAGGAACTTTCTCAAATCCGGTTCCCGGCATAATGGCAGTCTTTACTACAGAATTTCTCTCAATGAGAATGAGATGATATTATTGGACTCATCCATTGATCCGGACGGGGAGTTCTGTATCGGGCCTTCTTGCGATCCTTCCTGGCTTCTCCAGCCTCACCAGACCCTCTCAGATGTGAAAATTGGCCCTTGTAGGTGTTATTTCTCTTAGGTAACCCGCAAAACTACTTATTATTCCACAGGGAAGACGCTATGCGATATGGGCGAGTCTTTAATTGACCGCTCATTCATCAAAGTTTCGTCAACACCCAAATACACGGCTCCTGCCATTCCTATATGGGTCCACAGAAGATCATTACTCTCTACTTCGCATGGCAAAGAAAGCTTTGCCGACTATAACCAATAGTTCCAAGCTCTTGGATAAGTCTCAACCAATACTCTGGCACACTGATCTCCATATGGGCAACATATTTATCTCGGAGCATGACCCAGAAGTCGTGACTGGCATCATTGATTGGCAAAACACTTCTATCAATCCTCTCTTTTTACAAGCTCGGTGGCCTGTCTTCCTTACTCCTCCTGAGGGCTATCAATTAGGCCAGGTAATGCCCCAGCTTCCTGCAGATTATGATAGTAGGGACGAAGATGACAAGGAGATTGCGCTGTATAGCAAGGCAAAGGCCACATGGAAAAAAGCTTACGAAGTCGCAAGCTTCCTAAACAATAGGGAGACTTGGCGTGCAATGCAAGTGGTCCCAGAATTGAAAGAGGTATTTCTTCGTTGTGGAGCAACTTGAGATGAGGGTGTGTTGCCTCTCCGAGAAGTATTAATCGAAGTATTTCTCAATCAAGTAGCCTTAGGGCTTCCATCAGGAAATGTCCCATTACATTTTACGGATGAACAAATCGAACGACATAAGCAGGATTTCACTCTTTATGAAGAATGGCACCAGATGCGCAAATTTACTAAAGAGATGCTAGATACAGACGATGAAGGGTGGATTGCCCCTGAGCGTGATTTGGAAGAAACGAAGTCTCGGAATAAAATGCTGTTGGAGCACTATGTTACCCAAGCACGAAGATTACCCGAAGAAGTGGAAAATATGTGGCCGTTCCCTCTGGATACATGAAAGAGTTGACCTATAGGGACACCGTCTTCTTTATCCATCACAGATGCACTCGCTTGACAGTGGACAGTGTTTTGCGATGAGATGGCTAGATGAAAGAGACCCAATCCGTAGGCTTTGAGACCAATCCATAGCCATATAAAGTTGCTATAATTTAATTACATATAGAGAAATAGTTAGCCAGAGTTTCAGATCCTGCAACAACGCGTCGCAGTTCTCGGAGAGCAGCAATCCGTTCTGTACTAATACAATTAATTCACTATCTCTCTCAAACTTGTCTGCTGAATAGAGAGCGCCATCGCCAATATAGCATCTAGTAATATTCTATTTACTCTAATTACTTAATCCATTATCCTGGGCGTGTGGGGGCAGACTAACCGTACCCAGTTAGTGTGGATTCTGAGCCACCGCTGGAGCTTGACGGCGTGCCGATTCGACGACCATCACTGCAACGACCTGACGGCACAGTTGAAGCTCTCCGTTACAACTGTTTCGTCGATCCCCGGCATGGCCCATTGAGCATCATTAATGGGATCAAGATGACCTCGCGTCTAGTGCTGGTCATTGGGGACCTGTTCATCCCCGACAGGGCTCCAGTACGCTGCTAATCCACCCCGCGCCGTAATGCTGCGGCCTACCATTGCATACACTGCTAACATGGACACCTGCAGGACCTCCCTGCACGAGTAAGCCGTCCCACGACACAGGGGTCTAGCAGTCGCATTATGTCTAACGATTGAAAAAAAAATCATATTAGTTCAAGAAACTCCTCACACCCGGAAAGATCGGGCAGATCTTATGTTTGGGCAATATAACAGACCGAGAAACATTCGAATTCTTCAGACAAATCGCGCCCGACCTACAACTCGTCAAGGGTGACTTTGACGTCGACTCCCCGAATCTTCCGTTATCCAAAGTCGTGACGCACGGAAGTCTTCGCATTGGGTTTACCCATGGCCATACCATAATCCCTCCCGGCGATGCCGATGCCTTGCTCATTGCCGCCCGTCAGATGGATGTCGATATCCTTCTTTGGGGCGGTACACATCGTTTTGAGGCCTTCGAGCTGGAAGGCCGGTTCTTTATCAACCCCGGAAGTGCCACTGGTGCTTTCAGCACCGGCTATTTCCCGGACGATCAGGAACCGGTTCCAAGCTTTTGCCTGATGGATGTAGGCTTTCTTCTGCCCTTTCAAATAATATAATGCCTGCTATGCTTGGAGTATTTCAGACTAACTTGTTCGTGTGATCAGGTCCAAGGAGATGTGCTAGTCCTTTACGTTTACCAATTGAAAACTGATGCCAACGGAGCCGAATCAGTTGCTGTCGAGAAGGTGTCTTTCCGCAAGCAAGGCAATTCCCCATCTTGAAGTTTGTTTGGCCTGTACTTCCAATATATTCATAGATACCTTGAAGATGCTTCTCAAATATATTGCGTTTCACGTGGCATACAGTTCTACCCACCAACCCATGTTACTTTGCCAGCTTGTTCGACCATTCTTGACGATTGCTAAAGGATGACTGTTGTCGCGTGGGAATCAACCATGCCGAATGCTTCTTACTCTGTACAGTGCCTTGAATTGTTCTGCAACGAGGATCTCATAAGCTGCGCTCGTCCAGGTATCAGAGGATCTTCTATAATGTCTCTTGTAGCCTATAAACAAAGCCGCCTAGGGCTCTGAAAATGTGTATTGTAACCATTTAAAACGCACCATTACATGTGTAAGTAAAAGTAATTCATTCAACAGAGGACAAAGTAAAAAGCTTCAAGCCAGTGTTTTTAGAACTGAGTTGATATCATACATGACAAGACGGCGCTAAACCCAAAATAGCAGCCTACGTTCCGCTTCATTGGCGTCTGCGTCGCAGTACAAGAAGATTATCACCACTCTTTCAACTGGCACACTCAGCATTCACCATCAGCGACCGGGACTTTGCATTCCTCCCATTAATTCCGAATCTAACCATCGATTCGATTATTTATCGCATATTATTGTCGGTCTCGAAGAAGTCGCTTACTCGGCGCTAGAGTTTCGTTTTTTTTTCCCCTTCTCTTCCCTTCAGGGCGTGCCTTTATCCCACTTTGTTAAACAAAGTCTGGGACTGTTGGGTGATTTGTACGCTCGACGACTCATACACGCACAACACACATATTAGGCAGCCTATCATCTACCTCAAGATGGCTACGGAGGCAGCAAATATTCCAGAGGAGCAGCTGAACGCTCATACGCAAGTGGCTGACGATGAGGTATGCGCATGAACTCTCGTGACGGGAGAGAATCCTACGCCTGTTCCACGAGATCTATAACGTATACGATTACTTGATATACAGCGGCTAACATCTTGTGTGTTATCTCATTATAGGAAGAAATCGCAGCGATGAAGAAGAGAGTAGCGGAGATGGAGTCCGAGGCCGCCAAGTTACGCGAAATGCAGCAAACTCTAGACGAGCAGTCGGAAAGCTTGCGAGAGGATAAAGAAGATATTGATGCTAGGAGTATATTCGTGGGCAACGTCGACTATGGAGCCTCTCCGGAGGAGATCCAGGCGCACTTCCAGAGCTGCGGTTCGATCAATCGTGTCACCATTCTCTTGGATAAATTCACAGGGCACCCTAAAGGGTATGTTTGCAACTTTGCTTTACAGATAGAGTGGATGGGTTCTTTGAAAAACTGAGACGCGAGATACAGATACGCCTATGTGGAATTTGCGGAGCCAAGTCTTGTTGCGCAGGCTTTGGTTTTGAATGAGAGCGTTTTCCGTGGACGCAATTTGAAGGTACGACAGTGTCCTCTATCTCTTCTTATACCATTCGAATTGTTACTGAGCTGCTTAATAGGTGACACCGAAACGTACCAACGTCCCGGGCATGGCTAGGGGTCGAGGCCGGGGTCGTGGTCGTGGCTTCGGCCGTGGAGGTTTCCCTGGCTCATACCGCGGTGCCTACCGTGGTTATCGCGGTGGTCGTGGGCGTGGTTTTGCGCCTTATTAGGTGTGCCTCGCACACTCTAGGGACATGGATGAAGTGAGAGACAAAAGTTAAAAAAGAAAAAACATACGGAATATGAAATATGAAATTTGAAATTTGAAAAGAAAAGCGGAGAATGGGAATCTGGAGAGAACTCGAGTCTCGGCACTATCTCCCTACCCCCTTTTATCTTTCTCTTCTTCAACAATTTTTTTTTCCACGGTCGAGGCTTCGGAGTTGAAGGTGTATGATATACAATGTAGCTATCTAGTACAGCCCAGGTTGCAATCGGCGAATGGGGAAAAAAAAAAACGTGCTTGGGTTTTACTTTTTGTATGAATATGATGTTATTGACTCAATTCCATATCTTGCAGCCAAGCAGGCTAGGTCTGCCTCTGCAAAGTGAAGTGATCATTTCAGAGAAAGATATTCGTAGGAATTACTTGTCTTGGATGATATTTGTCTAGCATCAGATGTATCTCATGTCCAGTATACCAACCAGGAGATATAGGTATCTGCGACGGAGTGGCAGGTAAAATAGCGTATTACAAATACAAATAAAATACCGTACTATGCAACGATGCGAGCGATGGCAGCGGCAAGCTGGTAATCAATCCTGTATGCCGGGCGTACCGTACCGTCTAGCTTTTCCCATCAACCCCTCCCTCAACACGACGAACGCAATTACGTTGCTCTGTGCATTCTCCTCCCTCACCAACAGAGCAGAGAGACCACGCCGACTTGCGACGAGTTCTGACATCGCTGACTCTGTGGAGCCATCAAAGCCACCTCCCAGACTCACGTTTAGTCTTCGGAACCATTGCCAACCCCCTCCCCGCCCTGGTCATTGGCCAGACCTGCTCACGTCAAGCCTGCTCAGCCCCAACCTCGAAGAACAAGCAAGCAAGTAAGTACAGTACACAACCAACCCAGCGACGCCAGCCACGATCTCTTGCCCTCGTGGTCGATCAGCATCCTCCATCATCGAGCCTGCGATCACTGCATCTTCGCCCCGTCTGTCTTTCGGTATCGCCAATTACCCTTCCCGGTGGATGTGTTAGGCTTCCTCTGACTGGCCTCGCATCGGCTGCCCCGAAGTGCGTCATTCTACGAAAGGATGGGATCTAATCTTCCAGCGTAAGTGAATGCCGGAGTCTCGACTCTTGATGTCGATTTGTTGGGTTCTTCTGACTTGTGCTAACGAAACGCGGTCGCTTTTTGCAGTCAGCCAAACCTAAGGCTCACCAGTGAGCATTGCCCGATGCATCCCGCACAACCTGCGAAACAACAGAAAAGCTAACTCGTCTTTTTTCTCCAGTCATTGCCGCGGATGGTTTATACAAGCGCGATGTGTTTCGTATGTTATACCCCACGGTATCTGATGGTACTGGCAATAGGCTGACTGACTATGTAGGATTCCCCGACCCTTTCGCTGTTGCCACAATCGGCGGCGAGCAGACGCACACCACCTCCGTTATCCGGAAGACCCTGAACCCGTACTGGAATGAAACATTTGACTTGTATGATTTTCTCATTGTGCTCTTCTTATCTCTTGGAGTTATTCGTCTAGAGCTTTTCTAATCAGCGGGCTTTCGTTCAAACTTTATAGGAGAGTCAATGAGGACAGCATCCTTGCCATTCAGATCTTTGATCAGAAGAAATTCAAGAAGAAGGACCAGGGTTTTCTGGGAGTAATCAATGTGCGCATTGGCGATGTCATTGATCTTCAAATGGGCGACGATGGTAACTTATTCGATACGACCCATATCTGTCGATGGGGATTGATGCTAATCGAAGTTTAATCACTGGCAGAAATGCTCACTCGCGATTTAAAGAAGTCGAATGATAATCTAGTAGTACATGGCAAGCTTATCATCAATATTTCGACCAATCTCTCGGCACCCAATCCAACTCAAAATGGAGCACACAGGCCACAGCAGCCTTCTGCAAGCCTCACTGGGCTAGTTCCTCAGATACAACCCTCTCCTTCCTCACAGGGCCAAGCACTCGTCGACGGACCATCTGCGGCGTCCATTGCAGCAAGTTCGACGCAATCATTCACGCCAACTCGAACTTCTTCCAATGCACGACCGGTGAGCGGGCTGTCGGCTCCGGATGGCCCTGCACAGCCGTCGCAATCTAATGGGCAAACGACACAAGGCTCAAGAACGAATCTTAGCTCCTTTGAAGACAATTTAGGTCGTCTTCCAGCAGGTTGGGAGCGGCGAGAGGATAATTTGGGAAGAACGTACTATGTTGACCACAACACGAGAACGACGACTTGGACCCGACCCTCGGCAAATTACAGCGAAAGTGCACAGCGCTCACAGCGTGAGGCTAATATGCAAATGGAGCGTCGGGCCCATCAAAGCAGAATGCTGCCTGAAGATCGCACGGGTGCCAGCTCGCCGAACTTGCAAGAAACTCAACAGTCGACCACTCCGCCTGCAGGTGGAAGTGGCGGCGCTACCAACGCGGCCAATGCGGCGTCAATGATGGCCACTGGAGCTACAACAGCAGGAACTGGTGAGCTTCCAGCCGGTTGGGAGCAAAGAACGACTCCCGAAGGACGGCCGTATTTTGTCGATCACAACACACGCACCACCACCTGGGTTGACCCGCGTCGGCAACAGTATATTCGCATGTATGGACAAAATGCGACTGGAGGCAACAGCACTTTCCAGCAGCAACCAGTCTCGCAGCTGGGACCTCTGCCCAGCGGGTGGGAAATGAGATTGACCAACACTGCTCGTGTGTACTTCGTAGATCACAATACGAAGACCACTACATGGGACGACCCACGATTGCCCTCGTCGCTCGACCAAGGCGTGCCGCAGTATAAGCGTGACTTCCGTCGCAAGCTTATCTACTTCCGCTCGCAGCCAGCCTTACGGATTATGTCTGGACAGTGCCATATCAAGGTCCGCCGTAGTAATATCTTTGAGGACTCGTATGCCGAGATTATGCGGCAGAGTGCTTCTGATCTGAAAAAGCGGCTTATGATCAAGTTTGATGGTGAAGACGGTTTAGACTATGGTGGACTTTCGCGGTACCTTCACTTTCTTTCCCCTTCATATAAATTATCATTATTATTATTGCTAATTCTTATCCAGCGAGTACTTCTTCCTTCTTTCTCACGAGATGTTCAACCCCTTTTATTGTCTCTTTGAATATTCAGCACACGATAATTACACCCTCCAAATCAACCCTCACTCCGGCATCAATCCTGAGCATTTGAACTATTTCAAGTTCATTGGTCGAGTGGTTGGGCTTGCCATCTTCCACCGACGGTTCTTAGACTCGTTCTTCATTGGCGCATTTTACAAGATGATGTTGAGAAAGAAAGTTACGCTTCAAGACATGGAGGGTGTTGACGAAGACTTCCACCGCAATCTGTCATGGACACTGTAATTTCTTCCCCCTCCACTTTCGAATAACATCCTTTGGCACTAATGCTAACCAACGTCCAGTGAAAATGACATTGAAGGCATTGTTGAGCTCACGTTTTCTATTGATGACGAAAAGTTTGGCGAACGAGACACGATTGATTTAATACCCGATGGGAGAAATATTCCCGTCACTAATGAGAACAAACATAAATATGTCGAGTAAGTGAATTGTCCCACAGAATATGTTTTGAAATTATTCTAATGTTGGACTTAAGACTCGTCACGGAATGGAAGATTCAGAAACGTGTAGAGGAACAATTCAACGCATTTATCTCAGGCTTCAACGAGCTCATTCCCCAGGACCTCGTGAACGTGTTTGACGAGCGCGAGCTTGAATTGCTGATTGGTGGTATCGCCGATATTGATGTTGATGATTGGAAGAAACATACGGATTACCGTGGTTACCAAGAATCAGACGAAGTCATTCAGAATTTCTGGAAGATTATTCGGAGCTGGGACGCAGAACAGAAATCACGACTGCTTCAATTTGCCACTGGCACATCCCGTATTCCGGTCAATGGGTTCAAGGATTTGCAAGGTTCTGATGGACCTCGACGATTTACGATTGAGAAGTCCGGTGATCCTGGAGCTCTTCCCAAGTCTCACACATGGTATGTCTATGTTTTTATATGGCTCAAAGGATAATGCTAACATAGACATAGCTTTAACCGTCTCGATCTACCACCATACAAGACAAACGAAGCCTTACAGCAAAAGTTGTCTATTGCAGTCGAAGAAACACTAGGCTTTGGACAAGAGTAGAGCTGCACCGTGAGACAGACATAGTCTGAGAGAAGGAAAGGGGAAAGAGAAAGATTCATTCATACTTTTCGTTCAAATTCCTACCCAATGCATCAACACGGACTCTATATATCCACTCTACTACTCATCAGGACGGTTGATTGATTGATTGTACGGCGAGCATACCCTTTGTTTCCCTCCCTTATTTTCTCTGGGGAAAATATCCGTCGGTCTTCTTATACAGTTTTTCGCTTGTTTTGCTGTCAATCTCCACTGTCTACACCCCCCCTCCATTATTGTTTCTTTATTTCATATATATCTCTTCGAGTATAATTATTGGGAAGGAAAGTGACCAAGTTTTTCTCTCTCTCTTTTTATTTTTTTCCCTCGATGTTTTTGGTTGACCTGACACTTTTGACTTAAATTGATCTGACTGACTGACTGACTGACACACTTTTGACAGATATACACTATTGTTGTCTTTGTCCTGGCTTCTTCTGCCTTTTGAATGCACACAGCGATCTCGATTTTCGTTTTATGTCTTTCTCTTTTTGTCTCTATAAACTTGAATCCGAGTTTTTCTTTTATTTCTTTCATGTTTCTGGGATAAGTCGCTAGTTAACAAGGAGGGTTTCTCCTTGTCTGATCGAATCGATATTGATATAGCATACGGATATCATTTCATCCTCGACTCCTTCCTTCAGGTAACGTAACATACCTAGGGTAATGGAGGGGTCGTATATCATGTATCTGATGTTGTCATTGAACTAAGTATGGCGAGCCCTCGGCCTACCGAGTCGGCCAACACATGTCGTCAGCCGGCATCGAAATAAGCCCATAATCCTGAGGTCGGCGGGTGTGTATATATATATATACACACACGAATCTCCGTATGTATACGTAGATACTCTCCTGCAAAGAGTCAAAGACAGGTAGGTATGGCTCCACGATATCGCCGGGTTGCAGTTATTGGCGCTGGGCCCTCGGGCCTGGCTGCCGTCCATGCATTGGCTGGCGAGAAGACATTTGATGCCATTCGCGTCTTTGACCGGAGAGATCATGTAGGAGGACTATGGTGTGTTGTTGCTGTTGAGACCCCCTCCCCAGACCGCGAACTAACACCACCAGGCATTACGATCCTGAGCCCGATACTTTCCCAGCGACGACCGGCGTGCCTCCACCTCGCACTCTGAAGCCGCCTGCAACATTCCCAGACTTTGCACCCGCCGCCGGCCCAGATCCTCGAGCCAGGTCCGCGCTGTACTACAACCTGGACAGCAATGTCGGCGCCACGACCATGGCGTTCACGCACACCCCGTTCCCCGAGGTCAACTCGCCACTGTCCATCCAGAGATTTGGCCGTGGCAACCCTACTCGGCCATACACAGCCATCGCCGAATGGATCGAAGACCTATTCAAGCCCTTTCTTCCTTTTGTCTCGCTGAACACCACCGTGGAGAAGGTTGCAAAACAGGGCAAGGAATGGATCCTGACGCTCAGAAAGACGGGACAAGTGTATCGCGGTAAAGAGCACGATTACTGGTGGACCGAGACTTTCGATGCTGTGGTCATTGCCTCCGGTCATTACCATGTGCCCTTCATACCTGATATTCCTGGCCTAATCGAGGCCTCTAAGGCCCTGCCGGAACGCTTTGGGCACTCAAAGTCGTATCGCAAACCAGACAAGTACATCAATAAGGTAATGGAACAATGTAAAGCGAGCAATAGTTCATAACTAACCGCACTTCATATATATGGATATGGATATGGATATAGAGGATACTTATCGTCGGGGGCAATATCTCCGCCACAGACTTCATCAATGATCTGCACGACATCGTCAAGGGAAAGCTTGAAGTGGCCATTCGAAGCCGGAACGAAAAGCTCGAGTCCGCCTACAGCCTACCCAATGTGAACATCCACACCAGCAGCATCAGGTCCATTTCGGCAACCAACGGCCTCCTCCTCACCGTCACTTTCGAGGACAGCACTAGCATCAGCGGACTTGACTATATCCTCTTTGCCACCGGCTACAGACTGGAGTATCCATACCTGCATCCCAATCCAACCACGCCCGAGAACAGAGTGGCTGGCTTCTACCAGCATGTTTTCAACATTGACGACCCTTCTCTCACTCTTGTTGGTCAAGTCAAGGCCGCCCTTTCGTTCCGCATCTACGAATACCAGGCTGTGGCCATCGCTCGATACTACGCTGGTCGCGGCGCCGGTCTCCCGTCAGTGGACGAGCAGAGAAAGTGGGAAGTCGAGCGTCTGAAGGAAAAAGGACCAACAAGCGCCTTCCATGAGATTGCGCCCGATCTGGAGCCCTACTTTAACTGGTTTGTCGATGTGGCTGGGAAACCCGCTATAGGCACCGATGGTTATGAGCTTCCAAGGTGGCGTGACGAGTTTGCTGATAAGGGGCTGGCTGTTCTGGGGCTTAAGGAGAAGTACTGGAAAGACCTTGCCAATAGGAAAAGTCAAATCGCAGCTAAGCTCTAGATCTAATTCCATTCATTGGAGCCTGTCTTGATGGCTGAAAGTTTGAGAGAGGGGGCCATGTATTTATTGCTCGGTAGGCATAGCTGTTAGGGCTAGGGCACATATTGGAGATTCTTGTTTTCTGATCAGTGATAACGTCAGCCATTACAGAGAGCTCTTTACTCTGTTCGCTTGTCAAGCATTGGCTTGAAGGCAGGGCAATTGAACTTGGAGGTGTGTGCATCACTGTAAATAACAACGCTATAGGGCCCCGTGCCTTGGATAGTTAACGATTTTGCTAGGGTTTCTCTTTTGAAAGCGCATCCAGCTCTGGTAGTATTATTATTATACATTAGCAACTATTAGATAATTACTTGATATTGGCTTGATGTAAGCACACATTGATATCAGATCATAGAGACTGAGCCGTATCTTCGGTATAAGCTCCTTCCCCCCTTACAAAGCAACACCCAACCCCAATGCCATCGCGGCCACAAGACCTCCCTGCACAATCATCCACCCATTGACCATAACAGAAGCAGCGGCTGCAGAATCCGACGAGGTTGAAAGGGGGTTTGAGGAGGAGGAAGTCGACGAAGAGGATGCAGAAGCAACGAGATTCGACGATCCAGAGGAAGCAGTCTTGGTAGCAAAAGAGCCCGTAGATGTGGAAGAGGCGGATGCAGCAGATGCAGCAGATGCAGAGGGAGTGGCAGAGATGGAACTGCTGGTGCTGGAGCCGTATGCTTTGGCGGCGTTGCAGTAGGATGTCATTGTCTGCTGGGCGCCGAATTGTCCGTCGTCGCCGGGGCAGTTGTTGTAGCAACTAATATATATGTAAGAGTTAGATGTGGAGAGAGTTGGTGCTGATGGAAGAGGGATACGTACGTCAGCACATTGTTGCTCTGCTCACATAGACAATCCCAGTCGTTGGCCTCGCAGGCCTGGAGCTGAGGACTCGTGTCTTGGATACAGGCATCGAGGATGCTATACATGGTATGGTCAGTACGCTCAATCAACAACCGAGGAAACTGCTTTGACTCGAGGGCACCCACTTCTGAGCAGCGCAAGTGGCACGACGAGACTGAGACTGAGCGGCTGCGAGGCCGACAGTGAGAAGAGTAACGATGGTGGTGGTAGTGAAACGCATTGTTTTTCTTGCTTGCTTGCTTGCTTCTCAGGTGCTTGGAAATAATTTGATTGGAGTACAAGTTGATGATTGTTGGTGCAGACAGACACCAAATGGACAGTCGAGAGGAGAAGATGAATTGGAGGAGGAAGAAAACAAGAGGGAGCTCCTTCCTTATTAGTACTTCCATGTCGAGTCCGGATTTACGTATTTCAAAACGTCCATGTCTTTTATTTCCCCTACAGCTAGAGCTAAAATACCTTGTTTCCATTGTATTGGCCCTGTATTGCGCCGTGTCGTACAAAGCCACAGCAAAAGTTGCCCCTTGTTTCCGAATTCGGAAATGTTGCAAACAATAAATAATGCACCCTCTATTTTTGCTTTCGCCTTTCATTCTCCGTCGGAGCTGGCATTCTTGCATAGACGCTATGTGATGAATTCGTGTTTATTTTCTATTTTTATTTTCATTGATTTGTGTACATATCACGGTGTATGTGAAAACGTATCTAGGCGTCAACTGAAGACTGACTAGCCACCGAAATTATATCAGGACTCAAGAGGCTCTAAACATCCTGGACTAAAGCAAACTATTCACTACTAGTACGGAGTATGTAGTTGGGCAATGGTCTGACGAGTACTATGATCGGCATGTCCATGCACGTCCACGGAGTTACTCTGGGGAAATCTCTATGTGTCGTGTCTAGAACATGTCACTAATCACTGAGCCTTCATTAAGTCCTATCTAATTCAATGATCTGATATGAATGGCCTCGATAGATATGAAATAAAAAAGCCATAACTTCATCAAACAGTCGTTAACAAAAGCAGCAAAAATGGACGGTTATAGTTAGCAACGCAGACACCTCAGGTATATATATATATGTGTGTGTGTAGAGCAGGATATAGAAGAGCAAAGTAGAAAACCGAGTCAGAGCAGCACTTCTTCAAGCCACGTGCCCAAGCCAGCATACTGAGACCAACAACCAGTAACTTCCAACAACTTCCGCGCCTTGTCGGCATACAGTGCAGCGCCATGCGCATCACCCAGCTTACCCCTGACATAAGAGACAGACGCACAGACAACCGCAGTGCCGAAATCTTGTGCAAACGGATATTTCTCATAGACGCGTAACGCTCGTTCCCAACGCTTCAGCGCAGAGACCCATTGTCCGCGAACATGTTGAACTCGTGCGAGTCCTATGTTCAAACGACATGTGCTCCGAATCGACTCTGGTCGACGAGCCCCCTGTGTTATGCAAAGGCGTCGGTCCACGTCCCGATAGATATCCTCTGCTCTCCAGTATTCGGCCTGGTGCAGCACTGCTTCCGCCAGGGCAAGTCTCAGTCTCAAGATAGCTTCCTCCTGTTCTTCTGTCCTTTCCCTCATCGGACGGCCATCAAAAATGCTTTCCAGCCTGGCCGATATCAGCATTTCAGCTTCTACGGGATTCCCCAGCTCGCAGTGCGTGGCAGCCAACTCGGAGATTAAATCGCAGCTAGAAGCGCCCACAGAGACTACTCCTTCTGGGTACTGTCTCGCATTATATAGATCTTCCAGAACCTGACGAGCGACCTCAAAGCGGCCCTGGAATCGCCGGATTCGACCCCAGCAGATAGCTTTCTTTTGCAAAATAAGCTCTTCCAGTGTTGAAATATGATTTCGATCAACTGGCTGGACACGGTGCAGTAGCGAAAACGCGGTGTTGATATTCTCATTGCTTTGTTGCAGTTGCAAAGTAGAACGAGCTAAAAGTAGCTCTCCGCAGAGAGCATAGAGTTTCTTGCTCTTGATATGGGGGTTTGGAAACTGATAATCGATCTCTGGCAAAGTCATGCTGTCAGGATAGAACAAGTCAGTCTTTCTAGTGAGGATCATCATATCCAGGCACTCGTCCGGTGTTGCTAACCCAGCAGCAATACTTCCTGCTCTCTCAATAGCATCCAATTTCCACGTCGTGGACGAGAAATGGGAACTGGCAATCAGAGCATAGGCCACGATCTGCTGGGTCTCTATTGACAGAAGATCCATTACTCGTAGCCTGTCATAATGCCGAGTAATCACATGTTGGAACTGAACAATATAGAACAGTCCTAACTCGTAGAAGCTAGCGAATCGTGTCAGCTAATATAGAAACCCAGGGATATATGAGTCTTACTCGACGTCCAAATGAGCATCTGTGGGGAAAGCATGGCAAACAAGTAGCAGTGCCTGCAACATCCAGTAATTTGGATCCAGAATTTTCTGTTTGCACATTGCACGAATGCCTGCATCCATCCTCAGCAGATCACTATCGTCGCCGCCACCGCCATAACGAGTATCTAGACCCAGAAAACCATAGAGCCTCAACTGTTTGGTGACAATCTCGGATCCCTCAGCACTACATAGAGTGTCCACTAGTTCTGGCATTATCCCCGTCTCTCTCGGTGAGATTTCCTCTGGCTCTCCATCCAAAGCCCACCTCCTGAGCGGACGGCCTGCCCGTATCAATAGAGACTTTGGAATACCTGCATCGCTGTCGAGATATGCGAGGGTGCAGGCCATGCTTAGTGTCGCCTCGTCCATCTGGTCGATACTTGACTGAGTTGATATTAGCTGATTGCGGTCCTGTGGAGGTCTGCTATCGGTTTGTGCTGGGAGGTCGAATGTGACATGTTTAGTCTTGTGATGACGATGACGAAGTACAAAACGAGGGCGACGATACCGCAGACTTGGCTTAGCTGCCATTTTGGCTATAGTTGTCCTCCTCTCAGCAGACAGGCTCGTAAACCAGTCTATATAGAAGCGATGAATGTATGGTTGTATCTCCTTGAAGGATTTTCAGACGATGACAGAGGTAGCAGATGTGTCTTTCTTGTGTAGCAGTATAGATCCAGCTCATTTTGGCATGTATGAATAAGCATGTGCATATTCTTAAATGCTTGCAAGAGGAATGAACTTTCGAGGGATTTTGACTCAGGACTGATGCTCGAGGGCCGATGCTGACGGACTTGCCCGGGTCTTTGTCACCTCCAATAAAGAACTCCATAAGATCCGACTTACCATGTAGCGAGCCAGCAAGGTCTTTTCTTCAAACGTATTGTTTCTTTGCTACCTCAAAGTTGGTTTGATGGTATTGCGCGACCACGTGACAATGCGCGCCTTCCGTTTTGATTACTTTTCGCGGTCTCTCTTTCTCTCTGCAAGTCAAGCATGGCCTCACGCTTGAATTTCTGGAGGCGCGCTCTCCGTCCAGCGCAGAAGCTATCGCGAAACATCTCCAACATCTCGTATTGCCCCGTGAACCCCCAATCGAGGAAGAGACGCTACCTCACTATGAACCACCACAGTATTACCCAGTCGCTATTGGAGATGTGTACCACGACAGGTACCTGGTTGCGGGAAAGCTTGGATACGGGGCTTATTCAACAAACTGGCTATGCAAAGACCTCCAGTACGTGTCTTTCCTAAGAGCAAGTCGAGCAGATGTCTGACAAGTCACTCCGCAGCGATGACAAGTATAGAGTCTTAAGGTGACTGTTTCTTTGTCAAAGTTTCCCAACGCAACCAACCGTGAGATGAACATCTACGAGCATCTTGCAAAAGTCAAGTCTGATCACCCAGGCCAGTCTCTAATACGCGAGCTTCATGATTCATTTGATCTCCAAGGGTCTATCGGGAATGCACCAATGTCTCGTGCTGCAGCCGATGTATATTACAGTTCTCGAGATGATGCGACTGAAGCCACAATCACCTGATCTTCCTCTGATCAAACTAATATCAAGACGACTTCCTTTGGCCCTTGACTTTCTGCACACTGACGCCCAGATAATTCATACTGGTATCAGTCTATCCCCATATCTACTATATAGATTTGTCGCTGATAATCTGAACCAACGAGTGAGTTTTTCTTCACTGACCGTTAGCCAACTCAACAATGGCAGGATTAGGCATCAAGCATGCCTCAATAAAAGGAACAGAGTTCTGCAAATCGCACCAGACCCGGCCGATCTACAATAGATTATTTCGATCTGATTTCTCGATCAAGAAGGAAATAAAGTGGTGATGCGTCCAGGTCAAGACAACGCACCTTGTTTCATATTCGCCGACAAGCGACTCCCATATGTCATCTGGTTTAGAGATGCCCTTCGCCATTAGGGAGTTCCCACCGTGGTGCTTGATTTATATATCCTTGTCCTAGACCTCGACATAGCCGCCGACTGCCTGATCCAAGCTGGTTGGACGGTCGATATGCAATCCCCTCATTGAATTGAAAACGCAGAAGTGGAAATCCCGCAAGTCCCGTCAACGTCTCCAGATCCCCAGACGATAAAAGTCCTTCTGCTAGCATCAAATTAGAAGTTTCCTCTCACGACTGACTCTCTGCCCTCAACGGATGGCGAGAAATTGTCCTTTCCGCCATTGCCGGGTTTACTTGATGCCCTAATTGAGAGCTGGCTCGATGGCCCTAGTGAAGATAATATGTTACTGCTGCACTTAGCCTACCGGTTTAATTATCTTTATGGGTATTGTCCCGGCTTTGAATGAGCGTTCCTTTGCCAATCAGATGAGATGAACATCCCCAGTTCCACTTCGATGTGCTTTCAGGGATATTGTCATCGACAGTCCCATTCAGAAAACACCAACGCGAGATTCGAAATGCACTTTTGTAGTTCCTATCAGCTGCAGGGATGCTCAGCATCCCGCGACAATAAAGTCCTTTTTTGATAGTTGGGCAAAAATCCGCCTACCAGACCCTCCGGGGAGTCAGTCCGTGGAGTAGAATTCAAGTACAATTGCCAGAGCGAATATATCTAACCGCTATTCAACATTATCTAACATCAATTTCGCAACACTCCAAGCCCATCTCGAACTTAAAACCGAAATTAAACCTTCTTCTTCTTCCCTCTACCACTCTCCTTAAATCCAGCCTTGCGTTTCTTACTCGGTACAACACCCAGAATCTCTTCCTCTTCAGGCTCATCATCGTCGGCATTTGCACCGCTCTTTCTCTTGCTTCGTTTGTTTTTCTCAAACTCCTTTTTAGCCTCGCTCTCAGCCGCTGCATGTTTCTCCAGGATTTCAGCTGCATGCGGGAATCCGGACACGTCTAGGTTTCGGAGCACATAAGCAACACGTTCCACATCAGAACAGCTGAATTGGCGGCGAGCTTTATGGTCATCATCGTCGTCATCGTCGGCTTTATAATTGTTGAGATGGTGTCGCAACTTGCAGACCTCCTCGTACAGCTCGCGATATTCCAACATGTTATATTTAACATCTAGACGACCATCTTCCCGTGTGCGATTGGTGGCCTTCTTGTAATTCCAGCGATTCTTCTCCGAGCCAGGGAACAAATCGAGACAAAGCCAATTGTAGACTTCGTCGCTGTAGAATGGGATCTCGTTCGCTCTGCCCTCTGTGCGCACGGCAAGAATTAGAGACGCTGTGGCGGTGCCCACGGCTCGGAGTGGTTTCATAAGTATGTCTTGGCTTTTCTTGGGGAATGTCTCGTCGAGCGACTCTCGAGATGGCTCCGTGTCTATGCTGTCGACAAGGGCTTTGTAGGCCTCTGCTGTTGTCTTGCGGACTAGTTCGGGCTTGTTGGTCTTGATGAGTCCGGCTAATGCAGGACGATATCGACCGTGTTTGCTGGTAGATGTTTAGTTAAGACTTCTCACACATAATAGGCTTATTGAGAAACCAAACTCACAGTTTCCAATCCATCAATTTCACCAGTTCATCCTTGTGCATAAAAAGCGAATCGTACTTTTCGCCCTGCTTCAAATGAACAGTCTCATTCTTCTTGTTGTTTTTGTTTTTGCTCTTCTTCTTCTTTTTCTTATCATCTCCATCACTCTCTTCTTTCTCTTCTTCTTTTTCTTCCTCGTCACCACCTTCCTCGCCCGCCCGCTGCCTCAGAACCCGAGGCAAAGTCTCATACCTCCAATCATCCAGCTGCAAGTACTCATTCGTCTGCCGATCAAAAGCAGGGTCTTCCCTATTCAAGCGCTCGGGATACTTCCTGTGTTTTCGGGCAACGACAGCAATGAGCTTGCGCTTGTAGCTCTCTTTCAAAGTTGCGGGATAGCAATCCAGGAGTTGTGCGAATGTGGTGGGTGTGATGTCCCAGGGTGCAAATGATGGGAATGACATTATTCGCGTCTCTCCCCCCACCTCCGGCTTTTCTTCTTCTTATTTCTTCTTGACACAGGAAATCAAGCAAGCCGAAGCTCAATTCGAGGCGGATGCAATTTCAGAAAAACAACTGCTAGGCCTAGAGCGCTGTTCCACGTTCTAATATTTGGGTCAATTGAAACATATGCGGAATGGATATATATTTCTCTGCGAGAGATCCTTTGTCGTCAATGTTTGCGCCGAAGTCAGTGGTTTGTTGCTTCAAGAATGAATGACCTTTAAAAAAGAAGTACGGAGCTATCCTAATCTGGTCTAGACCAATCACAGTGCAGTCGCTCCAGCAGGCCCGGGCGTGGCTCTACTCAGATGCTAGACTTCCAAAGACGACATGCATTTCTTGTATGGATCCCAAAAGCACGTCGGACGAACACTTCGTAGTAAGGTGAATGATCTATTCGTAATACGATTCAACCCAAACTAAAACACATCGTTGGTTTATCATGCTAGACCGTATCGTTTCAATCGTTCATACCAACAAAATAAAAAGGAACAGAAGCAGCAGCACATGGCCTCCATCGTAATGATGGATTGAACAATAGGAAAAATACACTCATTAGCCTCCCAGCCTTGCACTCGGATAAAAAGCCTCAGTCCAGCTGGAGATCAACATTTCGTAACCAAAAACCTGCCCCATGCACGACTCCCGCTCCCTGAAAATCAAGTCACAAGAAAATTAAAACAATTTATCAGAACAAATTGAGGACTAACACAAGAGTAGGAAGAAAGGAGATGATCAAATATATATCGAATAGAAGGAGACCTCTTCAGTAGCCTTCAACGGTCGTTGCATGAAGAGGTTATGTTATGGCGACGAGGAAGAAGAGTTAATTAATGACGCTTCTTCGGATCCGCGGCTTTCTTGGATTTGGATGGCGAATTCTCATCGCCGGCAAAGCTAACACGTTGAGAGCGGTTGCGGCTTTGGTCCAATGAGACAATTGCTGGTGGAAGAACACGGTCGCCCTTTTTGCCCTGACTGCGCTTTAGACTAGACACTTCATGCCTTGTTTTATTCGTCGTGCCTTCGTCATCTTCTACCTCAACATCGTCCATCTCGTCATCATCATGACCATCATTCGATGGCCTTGAGCTGAGACTTTCTGAGTCGGAAACGGCCTCGTACTCGTCCTCGTTATCGCTCACCAGACTGGGCGCCTGATTTGACTCTACCGTGACAGGACTGAGATTCTCGTCAATACGAACTACATCCGTAGTACCTGATCCATTCAACTGTAAAGCACTTGGTAGGGAGGTAGATTGAGAGAACTGAGGTTGTGAATAAGGTGTAACCTTGGTCGGCGTAGAGACATCCAAGCCACGGGACATGCTTGCTTCATGTCTCTTGCTACTGGTGGGCCGCTGAATAGCGGCCTGAGGCATGGTTGTGCGAGCAGGTAATCTCGCGCCTGAAACAGCCTTTGGCTCATCGGAACTAGGCTCGTCCTCATCTTCGGATTCGCCCTCTGATAGAAACTCGCTCAAGTCAACGGTCTTCTTGGCATCGCCCACAATCTCATCCAAGTTAAGCTTCGAGCCAAGGACAGCCATCATAGTAGAGAGATGGGGTGTGTCGGGCGATGCTTTAAAAGACGATGGCGGAGTAACATTGTGTCCTTTCTTCTTCGTTGTCTTCTCAACCATTGCAATAGGCGTTTGATTCAAATTGCTTGGTTGGTCTTCAGAAGGACCTGGTGTGGTTTTGGGTGTCTTTTCAATTATATGCGCCGATCGAATCAGAGGATGAACGGACCCAGGGGTAGAGATAATAGACGGCTCAGCCGTAGGACCACCAATAATTGACCCGGCCTCATCGACATCCACTGGCTCTCCGCATGCTTCAGCAGCCGCATCATGACTGGCAAAGGTACGGCTGTGTGCGATACGGCAATGATTGATAAAGCCTTGGGTACTGGAGAAATCGAAACGCCGGCAATCAAGACAAACCAACTTGACCAGTTTATTGTCGCTCTTCCGCTTGATGACCATGGGTCCAGCTTTCTCCTTGGGGACAGGGTACCCATTTGGTAGAGATTGTAGCCTGGTGCTTACGCTGCCTCTCTGGGCACGCGATTTGCCTGCAACATAACCGTTCTCAGTGAAAGATCCGCGAGTAGAGCGTCCATCCCAAGCCGCAGAGTTGGGTAAGGGTAAGTCAGGAGATTCGCCACCATCGAAACGTGGGTCAGGAAGCAACCACTTGGCATAATGGCGAGAATAGGGTCCATCCACCACACCCCAAGGGGCGGGCGAGGTGGGTGGCGGCCCGGTTCCTGAATAGGGAATTGCGTATCCTGAGCCATCACTGACCGAGTGCGAAAATCCATGTGCACTTGATGCGGGATAGGGGATTTCTGTACACCGGCGTAACTGTTCCAAGGCAATTTGGCACTTCGCAATCTCCTGGTCGATCAGACGAAGTTCATTATGTTTCAAGAGCACCTCCAAGCTGAGCTGCGCATCCAAAGTCTGGCGCAAGATGTTCACATCTCTATTTGTTTGTTTCGCGGGGATATTGTTAGCATTTTGAGGAGGGATTCCATGATCGTCCATGCTGGGGTTCGTATGAGGCTGTAGCACGGACGTTGCCTGGGTAGGGACGGATGCTGGGGTTGGACTCTGAGCGGCTTCAATGCTGGATGGTGTTGCCACTCTTGCACTGTTGCATTCAGTAACTTCCGCTTGGTTAGGGATATCGATGCGACGTTTCGATGGCGGTGGCTCGTCTACGACGGTGAATATCTCATGGTTGTCGCTTCGTTTCCGTTTCAGCAACTGAAGAGGCGCGCTCCCCATTACGGGCGACTTGTGTTGAGTCGGGCTGACCAGCATCTCTGGTGTTAACTTGTTGACCCCCAAGCTCGAGGTCCACGGCAACAAGCGGAAGACGCCATGCGACAACGCCATCTGGTTGAAGGTAAATACAGGCATACAGCAGAAAGAAATAAAGAAAGGCTTTGCTCACTTGCAAGGAGCTAGTTATTATATGTATTAGCAAGTGCAGATAATCGACCCATCAGGTTTAGTCAGCAGCGTTGGTGCTGATGGTGTTGTGAAAAAAATGATTAATATGTAAAAGTAACGGGTAGGTGTTGTGACCAGCACTTGAGGTTTGTTTCGGTGGCGGTGTGATAAAAGGAGAGGTATGCGACCGTCGGGGAGACCACAAGATATAATACAGGCGCGCGATGCAAAGAAAGGCTGTTTCACAGGAAGCGTATGGAAAGGATGCTGGCTGGCGAAAGCCGGGATGCCACGGATGGAAGTAGAGTTGGGCGCAGTGGTTGGAGGATATGTCAGCGTTGACAGGACTAACCAGTACGGGAACGTACCAGCGACCGACAGGGACGAGAGGGAAGGGTTGATGGGACTGGACTGTGATGGGGGGACGTCCAGCCTGGGACAGTCTCGGTGGCGGATGGAGAGAGTGAAGGCCAAACGAAGTGAATCTAGGAGAGCGGAAGGGGAAGAGGAAGAGAGAGAGAGAGAGAGAGAGAGAGAGGGAAACAGAGAAGCGTCGCGAAGAGAAGCAGGGAAAGTAAGGGGAAGGAAGGAAGGGAAGCACGGACTGCAGGAAGGAGTTGGGGGAGGAGCCAGCCTGGCCAGTTACAGACTAGTGCGCTGGCTGGACCCAGCGTAGGTTCTGGAAGGGACGGGCGGAGACGATTACAACAAACACTTACGGAGTAGTCATTGGATCTTTTTATATTATTATTTTATTCTGTTTGGTTTTAATGTGTTCTATCTTATCTATTGATCTATGTAATCTTAGAATACAGAAGAGAGAAAAAAACCTCGAAATATCTTTCAGGGTGCATCCCTAGAATACGAGTCAGCATGATGATCGCAAGATAAGTTGCAAGTTGCGTATCGCTCGATACGGACAGCGCGGGTCTCCACTCTCAGCCCGGTCTATTTAAATATGCAGCTCTGATTGGCTGCCAATACTTGCCTCGAAATGTTCCGTCTTCCGCTGGCGATCAGCGGCCAATCAGACTACAAATGCCCACATCCCTGTATGATGATGCATGTTTTCGTATACGTCGCATTATCTACCAGTCTTTGTCTTCGCTTTCGCCTGCGGAACGGAAAACTGTATGCCTATCGCGAATCACTGCTTCCTCGCTCGCAACTGATGTGGCTGAGACAGATGCGAGCATGATGAACGGGTCCGATGCGCGTCTCAGATCGCTGCGAGTGGAGAACAGCGTCATCATCACTCTGGAGCAGACCAAGGATTACAGGCACGCCGCGTATTGGCTTGTTGGTAAATAATAATAAATATTTACCTGTATAAATCCGACTTATGTACGGACGGTAATGAAACACGAGGTGTGAGTGGACCAGGCAAATAATGCTGTTGCCTGTTTGCCTTGCTCCACCGCCCGTGTTACGGCATCTAGAACAGACGTCTTCCACAGAGATATATCCACGTAGACACTGTATACATGCATGTTCCATGTTGCGTCAATCTGTATAGCGCAGCGGTCACGTGCTCAATAAATCTTCGTCTTGGCTGAATGATGTATCATCATTCAAGTTTATAATTTTATAATAATATAATTTTTTTTTGAGACCGTATTTAGAGTTTTTTTTTTTTTTTTTTTTTTTTTTTAAAAAAAAAAAGGGCAAAGAAATCGTCAAGTCTGGACTTTTGTCGGCACTCTACGAGGTTCAAAATGCCCAAACACGATACAAAAAATCAACCAGAAACCCGGAATCTAAACCGATCACTTCGATCAAGATACACAACCCTATCTGTCAACCCGGCCTTTTCAATCTCAGCCTTGAAGTCCTCCAATGGACTTGCGAAGACGTCATAATCGTCATAATGTATCGGGATCGTCAGGTCAGGTTTGATCAATTGAATCAATTGTAACCCTTGCTTAGCGTCCATGGTCACCATGACTGCCATGGGCAACAACGACGGGGAGGGTACGGTCGTTCCGCCGAGATGAATGAGCATCAAGTCGATATTCTGACCTGCGTATCGCTTAGGGATCTCTTTTAGTTCGTCGACTAACAGGGTGTCGCCGGAGATGTAAATACGATAGCCGACTTTGAAGTCTGATGACGACTCGGTCTGGGAATGTCCGAGTTCTACCATCCATCCATTCGTTGGGGGGATCTTTTGGGTCAAAGGTTAGTACGTACTTTGTTTTTCAAAGGTTCCTGGTTATGCCCTGGGTATGTAAGGACATACTGCCTGAACGAGATCATTCAATTTCTGAAGCGGTTTTGTGGGAACATGTTTCCCAGGCATTCCTGTGACACGAATATACGGCTTTTTGCCGGTGTTACTACTTTGGATATCCACGACCATCTGCTCAAAAGGGTCTAGTGCATGGACATTCGAGAACGAGTCTTGTGGACCCTTTGAGGTAAGATGCGTTTTTGCATGGGGAGTAGTTATGATGGGCAAGTCTCGGCGTAGAGACGCTTCAACTGTTTGATCAAAGTGATCCCTTTGCATTTTGATCAATAAGTAGATCAAAGCCTTTGCGGAGGGTGCAGGTGCCCTACCCGTGATAATGAGATAGCAGGACTAGGTCAATTCGAGGTAGATCATGTAAATCTACTGCTGGATTGGTTTGGCGTATACTAGACACGCCAGGCCCTAGATGTACATGGTCACCGGCATGAAGGAAATTCGGCTGTGTTCTCTGTTAAAAAAAATATTTTCATATCTAAGGAGAACCGTGACTTGCGTCAGTCATGATCCGAATTCCTGCCCATTCTCTGTTCCATCAAAAGTGGAAAATATAAGCCACAGTATCTATAGGACAAGCCGCGGAAAAGAGCCGAATACTGACAATATTGTTGTCGCTGTTCCGACGAAATACAATGATGCATTTTCTTCACCATTGGCGCCTCGCGGATGCACCTTTATCTCCTTTGCGTCTGGGAGATTGTTAGGCAGGGACTTGCCGGATGGCAGGTCTCGGGTTGGGGCCTGTACATGTTTGGGGTCGAGAGTGAGACGTTGTACATCCATTGTGTATGACTGCGGTGTAAACTGAGGTCGAAGTTCGGAGGATAAGCTTGGTGGTCGAGGAGAATGAAGTTGATAAGGCGTTCGTATGAATGACGTCACAGCCATAACCCATTACTTTGAGACTTACCTAGGTAGGAGACAAACAACTATTTATTCAGATAGTAGATTCAACATTATGCATAGATCTGCTAAATGGATGCCTTTCTGCATAGATCTGCTAAATGGATGCCTTTCTGGGGAGAGGGCAAACAAAGAATAGAGCAATTGTTACATCTTTGCGGCCAGACGCAGCACGAAGATTTAGTAGGGTGTTGGACCCCCAACCCCTAATATTTTCAGAGTCATGCACCCTCCATGGATCTTCGCAGTTGGCCCATCCCAGTAACATAAATCATATCAAGGCAGGGCTTAGTTCTTTAAGGCAGAGTAGCCAATCGACGATCTCTCCGAGTTCGAACTAGCAATTATTCCAATGCCCAGGTAAGTTTCGATGGTGTTGGTAATGATCCTTTGATTTGATCATATAAGTCAAAAGTCAATCCTAAGTTTGTCGATTTGTAAGCTGATCATAATCTATGAACAAACATCAATGACGAAAAGAATAACATATAAGCGTCGTTCGTTGCATAACGTATAATGAAATACACGTAGATCCCAGGGTCATGACTGCATATTCAGAATTCTAGACAACAATGATACAAAGTTAGTAATCGAAGGAACCAGTCCAATCGTACATATCCCAAAAAAAAAGAGGGGGCCAATTGACATCGCAAACAAATATTCCCGCCTGAGGCGTTCTTCTTTACAGCATCTTCGTACACGCTCAGTCATTTTTCTGTATACCGAGCTGGTATGACCGGCACCGTCGGATCCCGACGATCAATGGTGATATACATAATTTCCAATTGGCCTGAACAAGGCCATCTTTCTTCCGTAAATATCAAGTCCGTCCCGTATCACGAATCCTGAGGACAAAGTTGACAATAACAGCAGCCAGCAAGGCCACTGCAAGCACTGAGGGACCAAATCGATCATCGAATCCACTCTGCCCTCGCTTCTTTATACTCTGGGCCCGCCAGTGGAAAGTGAATAATGCATAAATCATGGCTGCCATGGCAATGAGGGTGAACAGCCCGGCAGATATGCGACCAATGCGATCACCAAAGTTGAGGAGGCCAATGGCAAGCCCGCCCAGAATAACGGTAAAATTGAGCCATGAGAGGAAAGTTCGCTCGTTGGCGAAAAAGACCTTGGGCTCGACGCGAGTGGGAAGAGCGATTTTCTTGCCTGTTTAGTTATGATTTTGCATGTATAAGCCCCGAGAATTCAGGATGATAAAGCTATTGGTTCTGCCTGGAAGAACGAACCTGGGGCTGTCTGAAGAAGGGGCTGCGACGACATGATGTACTAATCTTTAAAGTCTGTTGGAGTCAGCAGTTGGATTGTGGATAGACGCACATAGCTCTCGGTTGAAGTCGATGACAGAAGAAAAAACTTACCAATGCTGAAATCCCACAATGCAGTCAAAAGTATCAATACAGATCGGTATATAGAATATGATATATGACACAGGACATGAATGTCGGCGAAGAATCAAGATCGAGCTTGCTTGAAGATAACTTCTGCAGCCCCGCCCGCAGCAGCAAAAGAATGAGCTAAGAGCTCCGGAAGCTATTCACGTGCCGCCATGCGCCGCCATTATTGGAAAGAGACGGATCAATAGTTTATCCGCCGCAGACAGCAACTATTCCCTTTCAGGCAAAGGATTTTCCCGGGAGATTGGGGAACTCCGAAGGGGGTAATTAACTCCGGAAACAGCGCTAACCCAGAAACACGCTTAGCGTGGTGCTTGGCTAGCGTGGTGCTACGTCCGACTCCGACGTCGCTTGATGGGCTAAATTAATTAGCAGATGTTATTTATTATTGTTGTGAAGCAGACTGGAGCGCTTTAACACAACACACACCAGAACTCAAGCTTATCCTGCTCCTGCTCGCGCCAGACCAACGCATCATCCGCTCAATCCTTTCTCACAGCGTACGTTTCTAACTCCACAAGCCCAGATGTGATTCTGTTTTCCCTGTCTTTTTCTGCGGCTCATGGTACCGGGGCAGCAACCCCCGCATTGGACCAAGTTGTTCACGTCAAAGTCGAGCGCAAACATTCTGACAATCAACAACAGATATCTGCGCAAATATACCTCGAAACTAAACGGCCGAGAGAAACGTTGCGAAAATGGCAGTCGAGCCTACTCCCACTCCATCTTTTGTACGTTTACATACGCGTCTCTGAGCTAGTACGATAGCTATGTCGCTAACGGGACAACTCTCTCTATCCAGCCGCTTCCTCCCGCCGAGCTCACGAAGATTACTACTGAGGTTCGTCATTCCTGAAAAGAGCTCTTGTGTTTTGGCAATGCTAGGCCAGTGATGCTATGAACATTGCGCGTGTCAATGGCTAGTGCCATTGATGGGATGGTGTCGGATCTGCTGGATCTGCCGGACTTGCCGAGACGTTGCAAGTTAGTGATTGCGCTTCCTTCACATCAGTGACTGACGTGTATACTTCGCATAGGCGTGCGATGGAGCTCTCCAGAAAGCGCTAGGATATGACCATACGCAGGTCGCAACATGGAATTCTACCATTATTGTACGTTTCTCGCCGTTCTGCGATGAGAAGAAAGAAAAGAAATCTAACATGACGAATTCAAAAATATAGAACTCCGTCCTCAAAGCGCTCATCGCAGCCACAACCCCAGAATCAGCCACTACTACCACCACCCCCTCACCACCTTACCGATTCACCGTCAACAGCACCATCGTCCAGCAAGGCGTTATTGACAAAACAGCTCTCGCCGGCAATTCCGCCGACGTCGGCAAACGGGGCATGCACTCCGCATCCGGAGCTTACTGGGACGTTAACCGGGATGGTATGTGGACATTCAAATATCCCGGTGGCGAGGAGCGGGGATTAGACGTTGTTGTCAGCGTTACCTGGTTTGCAATGGGTTAGATATATTATTCCGAAATAAAGAAAAAGAAGCGAGTTTGAAGAAGATATAAGAAAAACGAATCCCGTCGAGATGGAGGTACCTACCTATCAATGTACATCAGCATATTTCGTGCACGAGGCGAGGCGTTGTGTTGCGTTCCGTTGCGATGAGTTGGGATGAGTTGAGTTTTTGCCGGTATATGATATCTGATGGTGATGCTGTTCGTCTGTTCTTTATTTTGTTTGTTTTATTTGCTTTGCTGTTATTGATCTGACTTGATATATTGAGCTACAGCATTTATTTCTCTGTTTATATTATAACTGATTTTCTTTCCTCTTTTCTCTCGTTGGAACTGGTTCTTTCTGGTATAATGTTATTTCAATACAAATCCTCACCTAAAACTAGTCTTTCTTATCTAGGACTATATCCAGAATACGCCAAATATAGTCATTGATGTTAAACTAACTACTTGGGTATATTTACATCATAAATCATAAGTCCCCATTCCATACGCGATTGAGACCGGGTTGACCATATCCGCCCTGCGCCGTGCTAATGCTAAAAAGAGAGAAGAAAGAAAGAAGAAAAAATCGACTCAACGAGGCTCCGAATAGTCGTTCAAGGCAACGCATACTGATCCCCGATGATGTCCACTATATTGACGAATAATGGTGCCCGATGCTAGTTCCCAGAGACGCGCATAATGATCGCTAGACACGGTAACCAGATATGCGGAATCGGCGGAGAATGCGCAGTCCCATACCCAGCGTTGATGTCCCGAAAGGGTAGTCTCGAGGAAGAGTGTGCCCGTTGATGGGTCGATGGGCGGTCCATCGGGTTGTGTGGGAAAGCTGTTTTGTTGCTGTTGCTGCTGTTGGCTTGGTTGTTGGCCGGGAAGAAGAGGGATGGGATTGAGGCTTTGGTTGCTGCCAACCATGCTGAAGTCGCTTGCTGCCATGTCGGTTGATGTTGTAGTTCGGTTGGCAGAGGCGGTGCCATTGCTTGATACGCCGTTAATAGTAGGTGGATTGGAGTTTTTATTTGCGGTTCCATTTGTCCCATGGCCATTGGTTTGGGAAGAAGCTGCCGCCGCTGCTGCTGCTACAGCAGGAGGATACGATTGGTCGAGATTCCATATTTTGGCCGTATGATCTGCGGAACACGTAGCCAGATGTTTGACATCAGGAGACAACAGAACCCGAGTAAGGTAGTCTTTGTGAGCAAGGAATGTAGCAACTGGTACAATGCGAGTGACTTCGGTGTCTTGGATCATGCGCCAGATATAAACATTGCCCTGTATTGAAATTAATTTTATCCTTTAGAGGAGAGACAAACAGGAGTAAGACTAACCTTTTTATTTCCGGCGCACAGCAAAGAACCGTCACTTGCCACACTCACACTGGAAACAGCAACGTCGTCTTCCGGAATCAATTGGTGAGTGCAGACACTTTCCCCCAAATCCCAGACTCGAACAGTGCCCGCTCGATCGCCACTAATCAATTCGCCCTGATTCGGGTGAATGACCACATCATTGACAGGGGCTTTGTGCACGTAGTTGCGTTGCAGACTGCCTGAGCGCGTGTCCCAGACCTTGACAGTGCCATCCTCCGAGCTGGTGACCATCCATTTCCCTTCGCAGTGGAAAGCTACGCCGGTGATATTGTTGGTGTGACCCTCAAAGGTCATCACCGGATTCGGGTTTGAGGATTTGATATCGAACAGTTTGACATTCATGTGACCCGCTGCCGCAAGATATCGTTTGTCGGGCGTGATACAAAGTCGGTTGACCTGAGAATCGCCATGTTGGAGGGTGCGAGAACAGATACCGGAGAGGGCCTCCCAGAATCTTGGAAAGCCAGTTGTCAGCTGTCAATTTTCAATTTCAATTGGGATGGGTGGACAGAAAACGTACCGAATGGTATGGTCATACCCCGCTGTGTGGTTTTGGACGTTTTGGTATGATTAGTTGACTGCCCGTGTTTTCGGTGACGATCGATTGCTGCGAATGCACGATTGAAGCCACTTACCTGTACACAGAATAACGCTCATTGTCTTTTGCGCTGACTGGCGAGATGCTCGCTGATGAGCAATTGGTGGAAGGGCGCGCGCTGGATCAATTCGATGTTGTGGTGATGTGCTTGGAAGCAGAGGAATGCCAAAAGCTTAGTCGGTTATCCCCCGAAGCTTGGCTGATTGGGCGGGTGCCTTGGCGGTGAGGCAACCACTGCTTAGGCAGTTGAACCCTCCCTAAGACGATTAATTCTACTAAATCCATAGCATTAATTGCCTCTCAAGTGGAAATAATGGTTCAATGAGTATTTATCTTGTTCAATATCAAAATAAACATATGTCGTAACGCTCGTAAATGTCATCAAGTACTGAAGTTGTGCCTCCTCTTAGAATATCCGATCAAGACATATTTTCTCCGCCCAAGATGTAGTGTGATGATAACAAAAGGCCCCTTTCTATACTCGCTTCGCAGACAAACAAAAAGATATACAATCAACGCCCACCTCAGCCCGATCGTTTTCTGGCCCAACGAAATCTTCTCCTAGATGTGTCAGCGGGAATCCTATCTTTCTGGTGAGCCCGTAACTGCTTCCGGGCCTTTCTCCCCCCGCAGCAAGCACAGCAGCAGGAAGCTATCTGAATGATAAAACCGATCAGATTCAGCCCCGAGGCAATCCACATGAAGGCCAGCATTCGCTTTCCCAGGTACGCGTGGATGTTCAGATCGACGGTATTGTTCATGAAGACATTGGCGAAAATCGTGAACATGACTGTGGCAATGGCCGAGGCCACAATGGTGAATAGAGCTATTAGAAAAGTGAAAATGGCCATTGGCAGAGCTCGAATGAAAATAAAAGTTGGCCGACGGTGCGGGTGAATGTCTTCGTTGACATGTTCGTCCGACGAAACCGTCTGTGGTGGCCGCCTGGATGTTGCAAAAGGCGTGACGAAGATGGCAACGAAAGTCAACACCGTTGCTGTAATAAAAAGTCCAAACATCCAGTGAGACGCAATTCTAGCGATGGAGAGATCGTTTGTGACTTCCGTGGGTATAGCAACTGTCGGTTGTCCATTACGTATTAGTATCAACAGAGCATATACGGAGAAGACGGGACAGAGAAGAACATACCTGTCGCACCAGCAAGGAGCTCATTCAGCATAATGGACACTGGATCGAACCAATATAGGGACTTTGGGTGAGAGCAATGTGTGATGCCGGCGTCGTCATATCCCTCGCAGAAATCCCAGAGCCCGACCTGATAAAAGTCATGGAGACCAATAGTCCGAGCAGCACTGTTGATAAAAACCGAGTTCGGCACTGACTCGGGAATGATATTGGCGGTGTCAAGATACAGAAAATAGGTATCGCGCAGAACCGGTTTGTTGGCGAGGTTTCCGATCACCACCAGCAGCAGGAAAATCCATGCTAGTAGGTAGATGAGAGAACGAACCACCCGATGCCATATCACAGTTGAATGGCGCCTTGATGTATCGGCCCTTTTCTCCAGGGAAGGGGATGCCATTGGGACTGTGTGTGCGGTCGTCGTAACGGTATCTCTCAGTGCACCTTACCTATGAGGTACCGGGGAAGCATCACCGAGGAGTGGGGGGTTTCGGCGTGTGCAGGGTTGAAGATACGAGGAGAGGGATATTGACAATTGTAGAATTTATATTTGGTATTATGTGCTGGGTAGTATTTTTCATGAGGGGCTGGGAAAGAGAGAATCACTACTTTTTGTTGTTATCGGTGGATGACGTCCTGGTCCAGCCCCGGCGTCGATCCGCGTGAGAAACCACGTATTGTGAGCGCCGCTAGGCCTAAAGTAGGCATGTGTGGGGCTGTGGCTTGGCCGGAAGGCGCCTTTAGGGGCGGCCTAAGGCCCTAAGGCCACCCAGGATGCCGGGTCATCGGGTTCAGGATCCCCAGCATACGGAGTAGCCAGAGAATAAAAACCAACAAAGCAAGGCATTCGGCTGCAAAAGGGAAGATTTGTCGAGAAAGTAGAAATCTCCCCCGGCCTAAACAGAGTTTGTTGCGCAAGGCATTCTGCAGATCCAGGCGGGCCTTTACTAGTTTGTGACGAGGCCTGTGGCTTGCGTGGGGACCGAATGACATAATCTGGTGATGTACTCCTTCCTTATCAAAACAGCAGACTTTTTCTTCCTCCCGGAGTGTAAACTTCTATATTCTCCTCTGCTGGAATTCCACCTCTGTCCTCAAAATGCGGTCGTTCTTGCTCGCCGCGGTGCTGCTGCTCACCGCAGCCTTGGCCGATTCAACCACCTCCGCTGATTCAACGGCGTCAGTCATCACTCTGACCGGCAGCCAGACCACTCTTGACCAGGACACAAGATCTTTCACCTATCCCTCGGTTACAACGACCATTACTTTGACCTCCTCGACAGCCTCGGCTTCAAATGGCACCGGTCTTTCCACTTCCACGTCCGACTCGGTCACTGTGCTTGTGGGGGGCCATGGAACAACGTCTCTGCCCCCCAATGCTACTGCTACTACCGCAAGTAACAGCACGTCAACGACCTCGTCTACCCCGTTACCGAGCAACACGCAGCCTTGCAATGGCTATGTCGAGTTCTGCGACCGCAGTTACTCAAACATCACCTATGTTACCGCTCACAACAGTCCCTTTGATGTAAAGGGAAATCTGGCTTCGAACCAGCTTTATCCGGTGACAACTCAATTGAACGATGGGATTCGCATGTGTACGTTTGTTCTACTTGGCTCCCTTCCAGCCAAATCTTAAGCAAGAGATCTGACTACTAGTCTATAGTGCAATTCCAGGTACATTATCAGAATGGAACCATGTATCTGTGCCATACCGACTGCTCGTTAATAAACGTCGGTACACTCCAAAGCTATCTCACAACCGTCGCCAAGTGGCTGGACGAGAATCCCTACGAAGTCATTACAATCCTAATGGGCAATTATGACTTTGTCAACGTGAACAATTTCACAGCCCCGATCGTCAACTCCGGACTGTCCAAGTATGCGTATGAGCCCCCGAAGATTCCCATGGGCCTGGACGACTGGCCTATTCTATCGGATATGATTCTGATGGGGAACCGAGCTGTCATCTTCATGGACTACAACGCCAATCAGACCGAGGTCCCATACATCTTGGACGAATTCACCCAGATGTGGGAGACGCCTTACTCTCCGACGGACCCAGACTTCCCTTGCACAGAGCAAAGACCACCAGGCATATCCGATGAAGAGATCTCAACCATCATGTATATGGCCAATCACAATTTAAACGTGGATGTTTCCATTGAGGGTTTCAGCATCCTCATACCGAATACAGCAGTCATAAACTCCACCAACGCTGTCTCAGGATATCGTAGTCTTGGACTAACAGCAGAAAACTGCACAGGTAAGACTGAGCCCCCGTTTATTTCTCTTCTTTTCCCGATACTAACATGCTATTCTTGTTCCTCTTCTAGCTACCTGGGGCCGACCTCCGAACTTTCTTCTGGTTGACTACTATAATTACGGCAATTTCCCGGGATCCGTGTTCGAGGTAGCTGCAACGATAAACAATGTCACTTACAACGGCCATTGCTGTGGCTCGAATACTTCCGGGGCTTTGAGTCTACAGTCACAGTTTCTTGACAAGGCATGCTGGATGTTTATCCTAGCCACTGCCAGCATCGTTTTCAACCTTGTATAAAGTTTGCCTTTGGTTATGGATTATTTGTTATTTTTGGCGTGGATTCGTTTTTCAAGCGACTTATTCTCTTCTTGCGTCCGAAGTCTGGGTAGGTTGTTGGAGTTCTCTTTTCGGAGCAGACATGCATTTGATATGAACGTGATATGACGAGTACATGAACATGAACAGCGGCGAGCTCAACCATGGCTTGCGCATGGATTTGTGAAAATCGAATGAACATTGAATACCATTATATCATTTATTTCGCAGTTTGAACGTAGTTACTTTCGTAGTTACAGTATGACTATATACGTTAGTACCAATAGAGTAAGCCCGAGGGTCCCGCATGCGAGCCGAATGTCTACTCCGCAACTGCCACCGAGTCAAAGTCCACAAAAGCAACCGTCCGCGAGTCTCCTCGCAAACCCCTTCAATCCAACCCCAGCGAGACCTCCAATTGAGACTAGTCACCGTGAAGAATCAAGATCATCCCGCCAACCCATCTCCCAAGACCCAAGAGACGAGCAGACGAGAAGGGCTTGCAAAAGAAGGGCAAAAAAAGACAAAATGGTCGACATCGTACCCCTCTCCTCATACCCCTCGTACATGAGCCTACTACCATCCATACAAACATGCAACATCACCAATCTCCCCGAAAACTATTTCTTGAAATACTACCTCTACCACGCCCTCACATGGCCGCAACTCAGCTTCGTGGCCGTGGTGCGCTCACCGCGGAAGTCGAATCGCAACAACAACAACAGTGACTATATCCACGACTACCCCAAGGTGGTGGGATATGTGCTTGCGAAAATGGAAGAGGAGCCTTCGGATGGCGTGGCGCATGGTCATATTACCAGTTTGAGTGTAATGCGGACTCATCGACGATTGGGTGTTGCAGAGCGATTGATGAGGATGAGTCGTATGTTTCTCTCTCTTCCCCCCCAACTATCCCTCTCGTTCATACTAACACGATACAGAACGAGCAATGGCCGAATCCCATCGCGCACATTACGTTTCTCTCCATGTGCGCGTCTCCAACACAGCCGCCCTCCGCCTATACCGGGACACGCTGGGTTTCGAAGTGGAGAAAGTCGAGAGCAAATACTACGCCGATGGCGAGGATGCGTATGCCATGCGTCGTGACCTCACGCCCCTCTGGCTTGATTGGTCTGAGGACAAGACAGCATCGGCCGACAAGACGGCGGCAGATGGTGCGGGTGAGAAGGACGACGGGTATGCCGATGAGGGTGATGCGGTTGGTGATTTGGGCGGTAAGAACGATGAGCCCCAGGAAAAGGAGAAGATGGTCCGAGTTAAAGTCGGAAGGGGTCTGGGGGTCGGGGACTTGGTGGAGAGGAATGAAGCGGCGAATCGATGATTGTTTTCCCCCTTCTTTTTCACCTTCTCTTGTGGATGGTAGGAGATGATCTACTTTTTTTGAAGGATGAGACCATTATACTTGATTTTGGCTCGACTTTTGTATATTCATAGAATCATTTATCCGGGATAGCTATGCTGGCTTAAATCACAGACTGACCGATAAAGAAAAAATTACACGCAAATCATCTTTTGAGAGGATTGCCGTCCAACTCTGGTATCTGAAAAGCTGCGTCGCTCTCCTGCTGCCTGAAATCTTGTCCCCTGTTTACACTTGCACCTCCACTGCCCTCCCGCGAGATCGAATGCGTTGCAACACCATCATTACTCATTATACCAGTACTACTACTAACACCACTCTGTATCGTCCCCGTTTCGCCAAGCGCCAATGATGACGACGAAGCAACACTTCCACTGCCGATGCTCATCGTAAGACTGGGCTTCTGCTTATTCAATTTCTTGATTGCTTTCCGTTGTTGTTTTTCGTGTTCCTTGTAGGACTTTTGGATTTCTTTGATTCGTTCTTTGTTGGCCCTCTTGATTTCTTTGACTCTCGCCCGTTGTGATTCGGCCCATGCTTTGGCGGCCTCGTGGGGGTCCAGAGGCACTGACGGCATTGGGCTATTGCTCCCGTTGCTCTCGGATCGATGAATAGGTTCACTGGACGCGCGGTTTAGAGACTCCGAAGGGCTTTGAGTTCGATATTCCCCGTTGAGAGTAGAACCCATGGTTGGCGGGAATGTAGCATGCTGCTGTTGCTGTTGCTGTTGCTGCTGCTGAGACCGGAAAGTAAGATGACGGTGTTGCTTCTTGCGCATCTCCTTTCTGGATTTTTGTAATTCGCGCACTTCCCGTTTGGCGCGCCGTTCTATTTCGGAGAATTTCTCTCGCAGAAGCTTGGTCTCTCTCTTCATTGCTATCCGGCGTTGCTCGCGCTCCGCCGCTTCTGCCGGCGATTCCCATCGTCCCCAGGGTCGGGCTCGCTGTGAACGGAATCGGCCATTCCAACGTGCCTTTTTCAGGGCCTGGAGCTGGTTACGCAAGGATACTGCGGCATCGTATAATTCGTGGTGGTGATACCCATCTAATGATGTCAGTTGCTGGCGAACGGACGCGAGGTCGTCGGGTTCTAGATCCGACAGCGAAGAAACGGTTTCAATCGATGAAACAGATGCAATTGATGTGTCAGACGCTGCGGATAGCCGACGAGAACGTTCTTGCGGACGATGTTGGCTCTGAAAGGTTTCATATGCAGAGTCGTCAGCTTCCCTAGTTGAAGGTCCATTCATCGACTGAGCATAAGAGGCACGCCTTCCAATCCCAGACGCCCAGTTGGATAAGACATCCCCAGCGTTCTCAATTCTGCGTCCCTGCGTCAAAGCAATTGTTTCTAACCGCCTTGCACGCGCCAGAGCGTTCTCCTCTACTTTCTTGCTGTACAGTTCCACCTGTCTTGAGCGTGCCAATGCGCTCTCTTCAATCGATCTACCGTACTCTTGTGCCTGGTTACTTATCTTGGCGGCATACAGCTGTGCTATCGAGCTCATTTGCGTAGCCCAAGACGCTGGAGCTGATTTCCAGGGAAAGGAAGCTTGGTTTCTGTTACCAAGAGGCATTGAAGAATAAGTTCCAGCCTGATCAAAACTGCCAGCCGGACTTATGGGAGAAACCGCTGGGCTAGCATGTGGGTTTTGTGGTGATGGCTGTGATGTAGGCTGCGCCGTCTGGGGTACCGGTCTTCGCTGTATGGTATGTTGTCTCACTGGTGCTTCGGTGTGAACCGGGATTGGAGCATCGAATGATGCAGTGCGAACAAGCCTGCCACGGGCTCGAGAGGCATCAGTTGCTTGGGGATAACAATTTGGGCATAACGACGTTGTCGGACCTTCCTCCAAATCTGCTACATAGGTGTAGGTGACATGAACTCCACGGGGGCTAAAGAACTGCTCATTCCATTCTGCAGTGACTTTATTTATCCGAGCAGATCGCTCTTCATCTGTTTCTTGAGCGCGATCCTTCCGGTCTCTCTCAATTTCAGCTCGTATTTGGCGGTGAAGCCGATTCGATGATGCTGCTGGGCCTAAATGGGGCGGAAATAGGAAATTCAGAAATGTGTCCCAGTCATGCTGATTGATTTCACTCCCTCGAGCGTTCCAGCATCGTGGTCTTCGAGGAAAGTCCCTGCCTTGGCTCCGTGCATATATTGTCATATGGTGAACAAGCGTTTCCGATTTGGTATCTCCAGAGATTCGTACTGGTTGAGGCTGCTCAGCAAAGTAGCCTCCAGCGGATGTGAAATGGGTAGACATCGTGGTAGCTGAGGTAGTATACCCAGACTCCGTAGGCGATGTTGCTTGTGTGTTAGATAGACTGGAAGGCGAGGAAGCCTGGATTCGGAGAGAAGAGAAACTAGTCTCTATCTGCGAGGAATTTGCATTCGAGTTCTGATTCGCATCATGGCTATTCCCCGTGGATGCGCTGGAATTGGTGTTTTGGTCTTGCATAGGGTCGAGTGCAGAGTAAGGCGGAGGAGCGTCATTGTCGTTGAAATCCATTTTGTAGAGATTGACAGTGATAAATAAATAGTGATCAATTCAAGCCAGTTCTTAAATTCTTTTTGTCCATAGAAAAAAAAAAGGCGGATGAAGGCTGCAGGTTCATAAATCAGGCCTCACTGAGGCATTAAATCGCATGATATATACGGCTTAGGCAGAAAGTTGCCAGTGTGTACGTATGTATGCCAATGGCCGGGCGGTGCAGATGCATGCAGTGGCTGTTCCAATAGACGAGGCGTCCTTGCATCGAACTTGAAGCAGTTCAAAGTTGTTGACAATGGCGGTGATGGCTGGTTAAGGTTGGAGGAAACGTTGCAGCCTTAAAATCTGACGGATAGTTTTAAGGCTGCATTTAGTCTTTTTAACTAATTTAGCCGTCTCAGCCACGTCGGGTTAGACCGTATTGTTACGTATCGGTCAATACGCAGACGGCGTCTATCTCGTAGCCCTAATCGCCGTTAACATTCAATAGTATACATTCAGATATGCATTCGAGGGATGGATCGAGTATTCATAATGTATATAACTATATGTACGGATATGTTGGACGATGCATGACATGCACCGCCCCGTCTATCTTCTGATGCAAAAGCCCTTCACCATGCATCTCCCCAGCCATCCTCCTCACCCTCGTCCTTGGGCGTTGTATCTATGACCTTTGCAGGTTTTGCAGGCGCCCGTGATGTCGTAGTACGCGAGACATCTGCAGAACGCACAGGGAGATCCTTTGAAGAACCAGTTTTGTTCAGGCCCTTGGGCAAAGGTTTCTTTGCTTTTGCTTTCGATTGCGCTGCCAACCAGCCCGCAAAGTCCGGCTCGCCGCCATCGTCATAAGGCACCGCCGCCGTCGTCGTCGTAGCAGGAGCGGGTGATGTCAGAGCTGAGCTATTCCCTGCATCAAAGAATTGATCCTCGTCGAATCCTGTCTCCGTTTCGCCGCCACCTTCGTCCCAAGCATCGGCACCCCATTCGTCGTCATCGAAAGTCACCAGATCTTCAGTCGTTTGCGCTGCTGTGTCTGAAGCTGCTCGCACTAATGCAGGTGCCTCAACTTGCAGACTCGACATCGCATGTCGAGCTGGTTCATTTGTAGGAGCAATAGTGGTAGGCTGAGGTACAGATGACGGCCGAGCGGGTGTTTTGCCGTTGCCGTTCGGTTGTATCTCGCCATTTGCGGCGGTTAATTTATTGGTAAATGAAGATATTGCCCAGCCCGCCCATGATGTATCATTAGACGTCCCGATTCGTGCGACATTCGTATTGTTTGCTGAAGGTGTATCAACAGCGCTGGGAGGTGGTAATACCGAGTCAGCCATGGTATTGCCATGCTTCCGGACACGTTGTAGGTACAGATCAAGTGTTTTGTTTGCCTGATCTCGGACAAGTCTAATGGACAGAATCAGTCTTAAGAACGACCAAAGACTCTCCTTGTTTAATAGCTTACTTTTCTTTGTCGAGTAATGCGGGACAGATAGCTGGCATAATCTTGCTGGCACAGTCATCCTCTGCGAAGCATTCTAGTGTTGCTCCGAAGGCTAATAAACCAGCGTTTCGTGCGTGCACGAAAGGATCACGCACCGAGCGTGAAAATGCTGCAATGAGCACTTTCGATCTCGTCTGTCATAGGTAATCAAGGATTAATGAAATATATGGAGAAATAGAGAGTGGGCCACAAACTTACCCCTTGTGAAAGGCTTTTTGCAATCTTTCCCAAACAGATCGTTGTATTTGTTCGAATGCCAGGTTGCTCGTCGTTGGCAGTACGAGCCAAGAACCGAAGTAATTCGCCATTAATCACTCTATCAGACAACTTCCCAATAACAGTCAAGACAGCCTTGACGGTCTGTTCTCGAACAACAGGGGCAACGTCGGTAAATCCAGATGTCTAATGTAAAATATGAGCCCGAGTATCAAATCACCAAAGTGTACGTTTCTCTCCCTACCATTTGTGGCCAGATCTTGTCAGTGACAAGCTTTTGTGGGAGACGATCAATCATTGAAGGCAGATTGTCTAGTAAGCTAACCCTAATAGCGCGGTCTGGGTTCGCAAATAATCGAACAATAACGGGGTTCAAGCGCGAGGCATATTCATCGTCTGTGAGCTTGGTTCCTATCTTGATGACGGCAGTGAGAGCTTTAGGGCCGCCACCGCCAAATTCCACTGATTTCAGAAGCTCAGGCAAGACTTTCATCTTAAAAAAATCCTCTGGAAAGTCCTCCGAGATCGAGTCTAATTCACTGAAATATTGTGTGAGTGAGCGACATTCAAGGAAACCGATCATCAACTTACTTTAAGAATTGGTCTCTTTCCACTTCACTTTTCAATCCCATGCTCTCAATATCATCGGTCAGGCGGATCAATGGAGTCTCAAAAAACCCGCCAATCTTCTTTCCTTGTTCAACAAAATTGGCAGCACTGAGCCGCAATTTAGGATTCGCGGCACATAATCTTCGATAACTCTGGTGCATACTTGGGGGTATATTGGTTGTCTTGCCAACTTGGTCTGCACCAGTGAAGCTTCCATTAAAGACTTCATATACCAAACTCCCCAGCCCATATGAGTCGACTGCAGCCAGTGGGTTACGCTTGATGATCTCCCAACCACCTTTGTTGATTTCCGGAGGCGAGTAACGCGCAGAGTCAGGAACCAAGCTGCCGTATGTCTTTATATGATGTGCATTTGCTTGTATTAGCAGCTAGTTTCTCGAAAGCTTGAACCACATTCAACGTACGTAGATTATGGCTTCGTCGTCGTTCATCGAGCTTAGAATATCAAATCCGCCTAATCTCCACTCTCCACTTTCACTCGTATAGATAGAAGATACTCGAACGGCGCCATGCACGGAAGAAGCATCTACGTTTATGAATTTGAGTGTTGACTAGTACAATAAGAGCAGATTAGTTAAGAGAGGTCAACACCAAACGGGAAGGCTTCACTTACAGCCACAGTATATATCCCCCATTTTGCCGTTTCTTCGGTAACACTGTTGCGCTTCACTGCCCAAGAAAGAGGGGCAACTCTTTCGGTAACAATATATATATGGGATTCCGTCTATGAATCTTGTGCATGAGTATGTATTGCGTTGTCACTCCGCTGGGATAGAAACTGCTGTCTTACTTCGATTGTATCCAAAACTTTGATTACACCAGGGTGTCTGAGTGTTCGGAACTTGCGCATCGCATTTTTGGCTAGGGGTAGACGAGACTTGTTTGCATTGATATCGAATGTGAACACGCTGCAATTTGTACTATCGTCCTATTACTTGACGCGCATTTATTAGCTTCATACTGGCTGGGGCCATGGTCAAGATGCAAATAAACCACTCGATCAATAAATGCACAATAATTATAGAAGAACCACAAATGGAACGTCACGCACCCGCTTGGTCGCATTGTGTAATGTCCACAAGGTATCGTTCGCATCAACACGATCTCCGAGCGAAAAGGGAAGAGAACTCCCCTTTGCCATCGCCGAGGCGACGGCAGATTTGAGAAAGTCCATAGTAATAATGGAGCTAAATCGTGGTTATAGGCTTGTACACCGGCGTCCGTGTTCTGCGATAGTCGACTAATATCAGGGAGCGTGGGGAACCGGAAGTGTCAGCGCTCCCATAGCTTTTTGGAAGTTGATTTCGACGGTGTCTCTGTAACTCTTTGTCGCCACTATCTGCGCTATGGGCCTTGCAAGGTACACACCTTGAAAAGAAGTTTTGATGTACCCCTCGTGTGTCGACAGGAAGCAACTGGACAACTCGCGATTATTTGTCGCCGATCCCAGCGCCAGAGTCACGAGTGGAGACTAATCCACCTTTCCTTTCAGGGACTAGTCTCTAGGGTCCACCCGTGACTTGTAAGCATTTTCAACTTCGATTGAACAATCTTGCCATCCATGGGCTTTCCACCGTCTACGTCCCAGCTTCATGTAGCTGGCTATCGGTAAGAAACATTTTTTTCTCCTTTTTATTCTATATGCCTGTCTCTCTGTCTCTCTCCGAGGATGCGAACTTGGTAAAAGGTCAGATCATGGAACACACCTCCAAGCAACAGCGGAAGAAAAAAGAAATGGAAAAGAAAGAAAACAGCACACCATTATCTCGAAGGGGCCTATTTACACAAAAATGTGTCATCGTCTACGTTCTTCAATGTTTCCCAGGACAGGAAAGTCCATCCACCTTTCTCAATACCGTCTTAGGTATGCACGTGGATTAAATGATCTCCGAGGATTTGTCACTATCATATATACAACTCCCTTGGAAGATATCTCATGTGCACATCAAGAAAATACTGTCGCATGAATGGGGTTTGTTGCCCGCTTCATTTCCATGAGGGAGAAAAAGAAAAACAAAAAACAAACCAATGGCTTCGGCAGACAGGATCGGATTTGTTCCTCTTTCTGTGTTGGGAGAACACGATGAGCACGTGAAAATGGCACCGCGAGACATTTGGGGTGTTTTTGTCTCTCTTTTTCTTTCTTTCTCTTTTCTTCTCTCTGATTTGGAGGAGTTGGAGTGATATGATGACCATATTAATATAAACTGAAAAGACCTGAGGAGTCTAGATATCGAGACTTGCATAAGCATGCAATGCTTATAATGATCTGTTGCACAGTATCGAGAAAGACAAGGGCTAATTTGTCTGTGATAGGTATTATGCTATGACTGACTATCCGGATGGCTAAGAAGGGTATTTGATGACAAACGATCTAGTAATTCTTACACTTTGGATAAATCGCTACTTAAAAATAGTCCTACCATTATGATACTATTATGATAATAATTTCCCTCGTTGAAAATTAAATACCTCGCTAATATAACCCCACCAGCAAGCAGCCTTGTCCATCTTTTAAAATAACCGAGTATGAGCAACGCTCACAAGAAGTCTCGGCCCCACAATCGAGGCAATCCCTCCTTCCGCCACATGTTGTGGTATCGATTCATAAACTGCTGGGTTCAACCGGATACAGTAGCCCAACATCGCATTCTCCAGACCACCATGGAATCATGGCGGTGGGTAGATAGATCAATAGTGGCCATAAGCTCATCTCTCAAGCTTCGACGAAGTCGCAGAAGGATCATGTATCTGACTTGGGAATCGATAGTTCGAGGCTCTCACTATCACTGTGTCGTAGATTATATACCATAGGACATAATATGATGCGGAATTCCAGTGCTGGTCCAGTGCATATAGATGGAGTAGACCACTCGTCATGACAGAAGTGATATGCTCCTGAAAAGAAGTATATGTGACCTAGACATGTCTCGGGAAGATAGTGCGGAGCACATCTCATTTAGCATCATCTGATGCTTCGGTGGGCGGTGGGACGGCGGCGGCTGCGGAAGGTTGTTGGCCTGGCATTTGAGGAGGAACATGTTGCATTGGGCTATAATTATTCCCGGGACCACGGTGCTGATGGGGCGGGTAGTGTTGAGATTGATGAGAGCCGTATTGGGGTTGTGGGTATCCGCGATGGGGGGCTTAATTCTCGTTAGCTGAGTGATGTTTGTTGATCAATCAAGGTTTGCACCTACCATGACCGGGCTGCTGTGGCGCGTACACTGGCTGTGCCTGTTGGCCAGAGTTCATGAACATGACAGGCTGTGGTGGCTGACCAGGTTGCGAGCCCTGATGCATCATCATAGGAGCACCCCGACTAGGGCTTGGATATCCACTATGGGGTTGAGGTGGAGGTCCATTGTGCTGCGGATAAGCAAATGATGGGTTAGGGGAATACATTTGCATTTGAGGGTTGTAATGCCCATTCATGCCTTGTGGAACCCCCATATATGGGCCACCTGAAGGTTGTTGAACCATCATCGGTGCAGCCATACCATTTTGAGGGTTGACAAATTGAGGTCCACCGGGGTATTGGCGCATATGATTGGGCTGCGAGCCACCTTGGTTGACGTAGAACTGTGGCACGGGCTGGCCGTAAGCCAATTGAGCATGTGGTGCCATTGGCGAAGGGTACGCATGCTGCAGTCTCGGCGATGGGAACATATGAGAGGTCGACACAGACAGTTGCATACGGTGCGGGTCATCGAAATGAGAATTTGGATGCTGTTGGTGAAGATGAGGGGGGCCATGCATAGGACCACCTGCAGGATGTAAGTTTGGAGTGTTTTGTTGACCATGGAAGGGAATTTGCGAGGGATGAGGAATGTGCGAACTTGAAACAGTACGACTTTGAGGAGAAATTGCCGGAAGGGAACTCTTGAACATGTCCCCAAAGGTCTTCTCCTCGTTGCCAGGAGCCACATCCCAAGTAGGTGCGGTCCGATATGGCGGTGGAATCCCGCCGTTAAAAGTGAAATCTTTATCTTTCTGTTCTTCTCCTTCTTTCTTCAAGCGTTCCATAGGAGAACATTGATCCTTCAAAGATGGCCGCTCAGCCGCGGACAACGGCTTCTTGGAGCCGAAAAAGGCCGACGGTGTGCTAGTACGCGATACCGAGCGTCCACGGGAGCTCAGCTGGGGACTGGCGGTAGTACCAGTATTCCCAGCCCCGCTAGGGGTAAATGTGCTTGCAGCTGGATTAGGTTTGAACTCCATCGCCCGTACATTGAACTTGGTGGTTGTAGGAGTCTGCAACTGTGATTTGGCCACAACGTCTCCTGACGGACCAGAAGGAGGGATCCGAGCTTCGTGGATAGGTAGAGGTGCTGGAACTGGCCCAAGGGCATTCTTCTGTTGGCGGAAGTTGTCGGCTAGACGCGTGCTAAGAGTACCACGGCCGCCGCCTTGGAAGTTATGAGGGGGACCTCTTCCGCCGAGTGCAAAGTGAGGTCCTTGAGGAGGATACGCCTGTCGTCCACGATGATGGTTCTGACGATCGGCTGGTGCTGATGGAGGAATTGTCGCTGTTCCAGTCTCATTGCGAGGTGCCGTAGCTCGAGCTGCGCTAGGCTTCTGCTCTGCGGCAGGTGCGACCTGTGTCGCCGTTTTAGAAGCCGCTTTTTCGTCCGCCTGGCGCTGCGCCCGCTCGATGATTTCCTCCTGCTTAGTTGGGTCTTTCGCAAGTATGGGCACAAGATCCTTGGGTACTGGAGTAGCAAGCTTAAAGTTTTGCGAGAATTTCATGAGCTCATTCAACTTGACAGTGCGGTCGTGAGAAGCCTGATTGCGTCGACGTTCTTGCATCCTCAGTTTTTCGTTGTTTGCAAATTGTCGGAAATGATCCAGAACTTCAGTTTCCACATTTGAGGTGGCATTTTCAGCGGCTCCAGGGCGTTTGAGTGGGACATTTGCCAGTGATGGCACTGGTTGAGATGGAGTGGGCTGCTTTTCGGCGACGGCATCGGATGCAATTGCTGGCTTCGCTGGCACGGGGGCCTTCGTTGCGGCGTTGGGATTAGCTAATTGCGCGGATATGATAGCTGGATCAGCGGTGACTGGGGAAGCAGTAGCTGGCTGCTGAGCGGGCTGTCGTCGAGCCGGAGGCGTATACTTATTCGGTTGTCCGGTCTGCAAGGGGAGGTAGCCCGCATCACCACGACGGACTCCACTATATTTCTCCTCCTCGTCATGACCTTCGCCTTCTACTGCATGGCCACGCTCTTCTCTCATGTGTGAATTTTCCGTTGCCGTGCCTTCAATCTCCCGTGCTATCCGAGCAGCCTCAGCCTCCTTCCTTTTATATAGAGGGTCGTTACGATTAATTCGAGTGGTGTAGATATTTTCGTCGTAATTGGTTGTGGCACCGAAAAGACGCTCGTTTGCTTCGAACTGGTCCCAGCCCCCTGTCCCAGAGTCCTCTAGAGACATATCCACGCTAGGGTCGGTGGCGGTAGGTTCCCAACGTTGCAGATTCCTCTCGCGCATGGCAAGACCTCCCGAAATATCTGTGTCGGTACGAAAACCGGTTTGGGCGCCTAATAATGTTTAGAAATTAGGTTGGCTCGATGGAAACAGCGAAAGAGGTGTTTATATAACAGGAGCAAATATTCAGAGTGCTTACCATTGGATTCCTTAACGACAACTTCTGACGTAATGACGTTGTTCACAATAATATCATCTATTTCCTCGACGTTGAATTTCATACTGTGGTCGGCGGCAGATCCAATGAAAGGAGTTGTGACATCGCTCAGTCCATTAGCATGAGGTTCGAGCTGAGTAGCCACACGCTGTACCATTTTCAGCAGGAAGGTCGAGCCATTGGGCTGGAGAGTCGAGGATGAGAATACACCGCTAAACTTCTCGCCGTTTTTAGTGACAATGGTAGCGGGGAGACCCTGGGATTTGTTAGCAAGCATAGCATAGTCACGAGCATGGTATTTTAACGTACGGTAAAGCTCGTCAGCAGGAAGCGAAGTCGGTCGTGGGCATGTCGATCAGAGGTGGGTTCCTTGGGTGAGCTTGGTTTCGACGATGGTGTCGATTTCGATGGGACATTGCTGCCGTTTTGTAGAGAAGAAGGCTTCTGCAGGAGTGGATTATAACCCTGAGTCCAGGCCTTTTGGGAGCTAGAGCGTCTGATTTGTGCCAAGGTTAGTCATTGCAATAGATAGCGTAAGTAATGGCAGAGAAACAAAGACAATGCTCCCAGCGGTCGTGATGTGCAGCTACCAAAAGCTTCTGCGTTTTGGGACGAGCTGTGGCTCGCATAAAACCTCACGATGTTTTATTCAAGTGCGACCAAGCTCGTCCTAGCACGACTGTCTGACAATCAGGATAGAAGTAAAGCAAATCGAGAACGTACCTCGGACCACCATCGCCAGGGCTAGCAGACTGTCGTCGATTGACATCGCCCTTTAAGCTTGCATTTGTTCGTAGAGATTGCCGAGCACCGCTAGCGTTCTGTGAGGAAGGGTTCAGGTTGTTGGCGGAGGCCCGATTGGCAGCGGATGCTGAATTGGCGGTTGAAGCCATTAGGATCTTCGTTTCTCGAAGGGCGAGCTTCCAGCGTGGTCAACAGACTATCTTCCCACGTCGCAAAGCTAGGGGAAGGGAGGAGACCACGACACGCACACACCGCCCGCACGGTGGAATGAGGTTGCCTCTTTGGGGGGAGAGAAAAGAAAAGAAAGAGAAAGTACTCTGGTAGAAGTACAGTGAGAAGCAGCTGAGCCTCAGTCAGACGAAAAGAAGTGCAGGCTGCAAAAAGAAAAGGCTGCGCGGAGAGCTCGAATGGAGAGGCAGCAACTGGCGATGGGGAGGTTCTTTCTTTGGTTTGGAGGTTTTTTGGCTTGCAAGTTGGGGCACCGAAGCGCGGAGCGACGCCCAATCGGGACTAGTCCATTTTCGGGGAGCCAGGCTCAGCCAGGCCTGTCTCAGGTTTCCTTTTACTCCCCTGCGAATGGAAAAGCAAACGAATATGGATATGGATCTCACAAGAAGCATAGTCTCAGCCCCGGTCTTTTCTCAGACTACTACCGGCTTACAACAGGGGAGGGGGATGTCTGCCGGTTTCTCTACGATCCTATCGGATCATCGTTGATCATCGCTATTGCCACTGCTAGCCAGGATGACTCTACCTAGAGACAAGCAATGGCCTGAGAGTGCAAGCCGACTTTACGTTCTATAGGCTTGTATTCTCTGCATAACAAACCTTGCTGTTCCATCTCATATCAGTTGAGTTGGTCACAGCTATCGACGATGACTTGCGTCGTCATCGACGGGGCAGTACTATGCAGCATATTCGAATTCTGATTGGCTTCCACACCAGCTAATCTGTCTGAATTGGCAATCCAAAAGTGTCCAAAGGGCATTGGGTTTATACCCTGCACCACAGTGATATAACTTGTGAAGAGAAACAAAGCTAATCTCCTAAGATTACAATCACCCAATCGAAATTAAAGCATCGCGCAGTGGGGTTTTCTGATCTATTGCGTGCCGCGGTTGCTGAAATTGCAATTCGGTAAAGGCGGAGGAGGGCCTGTCTTTCTACAATCGGAATTTGCATGAGATCAAGGTAGTAACGTACGCCGGTCATTTTAAGGGCTGTTTGACGCATATCTGCCATTGCTGCCTGATCGATCGGACCCTGCTTTTTTGACTGTCCGGGAGTTTCCTAGGTCCCCATGCTGTAGCATCAATCTTGCCATCTTTTATAACAAAGAATACCCGCTTTCAAGCGAATGATATAGAGGTCTCGATGTGCTGGATCATGCCAATTGTCCCAAGGACGCAGCTAGTAGAGCTCGGACAGAGTCACCTGCTGACGACCTCTACTGATGAATCCGCTGTGTAACTGTATCTATAGGCTGAGCTGCCTCAATGGTATATGAGGCTGAGAATGTCAAGCGGGGGTGTCTTTGTTGCGGCCCGTGCCGGACCCCCATTTCTTTCACTCGTACGGAGTAAATGTTTGAGAACAAATAGTACTTACGGCGTTGTGGAGTACATTTTAGGAACTAGAAATATCAAAGAGGAGATTATTCTTGTATCTAGATATTGCTAATCTTTGGCCTCCGGATTCCGCTCCTTCGCACTTTAATACCCCTTATGTACCACTCATCGTATACCATCTCTTCCGCCGTTGGCCGGTCTTCTGGATTCCACTGCAGGGTTGATCGAATCCATCGCAAAAATCCTTCTTTATCCTTTCAGAATCACCTAGGGGGCTCTGTAAGCATTTGGCATAATATCCCCATCGTGGCCCTCGGTACCAAATCGAGCTTCTCCGAAATCAGTCAACAGAGTTAGACCATTGCTGGGTGGAAATCCTGAGGATTTATAGATTGTTCGGTCCTTGAGCACCATCCTAGGCAACGGTGCATTAAATATTCGTTCTTCGTAACTATCGAACGTCTTTGCGTCAGGTGCAGGAAGGAGTAGGCTTCTTAGTTGTAGGTCTTCATTTACTTTTCAATTCCATTCTGTTTTCAGAGGAATAATCATGGTTACCTGTATGAACGATTTTGGCCTGGCAGTGTAAAAAATCCAAAGAGACAAGTAACTGCCTCAGGCAACGTTTCATACTTTTCGAGATCCATTGATTGGTTGGGCAAAAGCATCATCACATCATCTGCACTGAGAACTAGAGGTTCGTGAACAAGACATATATGAGAGCCATGGGGACCTTCAATAATGAAATGGTCGAGGAGCAAGCGAATCCACTTTTTGCCCGGGTGGTTGGTTTCTATGCAATTGAAATGCTCCATAGATATCCAATTCTCGGTGTCGACGTTCGCCTGCTACGTAAACTTTCAAAACAACGTTTTTGTAAACACCAACTTGGTTATATTAATATTAATACCATCTTGGAATTTTATTCATTCAAAACTCACATCAGATCGCGGCTAAACCATACAGTCGATGTCACTCCATAGCCTAGCTTGGCGATTGTTTGATATCGGTTGTTGGAAATTTCCCCTTATTGAACAGAACAATATTTCTCAGGCTCGTATATCACAAGCATCTCCTCTTAATTTTCAGTATTTGGTTCTAACAATTCGAAGCCAGAAGCTGGAAATTCTCGAGGGAGGGATGCCCCCTGCGAGGACACGGATCGATAGGGCGTGTTCACGGTCCTTCGCGTAGCTGACCTGGATAGAAACGAATTTGAAGCCAGAGATCCGAGAGAAGGCGGCAATTTCCCAGTGCGTATGCATTGCGAGCATGGCGTGCGATTCGCTTTATAATCATGCTTGGGATTGGGATAGTTTTATAGATCGATTGGGAAGACAGATCGATTGGCGGGGAACTTTCCAGCCGCCGAACTCGTGACCCACACCTTCCCGAGTTGCCAGGGGCCACACGAGCGAGAGATCTCACTCAATCTGCATTTATTCCCTAGGTGATGGGCCTCCAGAACACAATACGAACTACGAGTGAGTCTGCAGTAGCTTGTCTTGATGCTACATCTTGTCGACCGGTCTTTCTAGGAACCGCACAGACCTACGTTTCATCGCCCTCGCCTGCCGCCCATGCAGTCGGCACATTCCTTATCGCGTTCCTCGCAACGACCATCGAGGGCCGGCTCGCCTTCAACTATCGGCAGTAGCAACGGGGGCAGTATGGCCTCACAGACATCCGGACCCCGGAGCTCCTCGGGCTCAAGCCAGTCTCATACATCACGAAGTGGCGTGGTAAGTCTCTCTATCTACCATCTATTCTACCCGCTTCGTGGGCTGTTTCCTAGTCTCCGTCTTCTGTTCTAACATCAATGTCCAAGCCTGGCAAACAAATCTCGCAAATCGAAACAAGTGTCACCCACCTCCTAGTTGCGACCAAGCAATTGCTGGAGACTTTAACTCAATGGTCTCGACAACAAGCTTCGGAAAACGAAGTCTCGGATGTTTACGTACGCTTAGGATATGAATTCAATTTGGCATGTCGCGCCTTCAGCGCCATCGGAGTCGACACGTCAGACCTCGGCCCCGTACCTGACCTTCTACGGACTATTCTTGAAGATACTTTGAGTCAGGATGCATCGCCGCAGAGTTTGGATAGATACTTGCCTCGTATACGTGACATAATCATCAACCTTCTACATGGACTGAAGAAAAAGCAAGCACGGTTACGCTCGCGCCAGACACGAGATGATAGCAAAGGAATGCCACCAAGACAAGCCAGTGTCGGTAGTATAGCTGGCAGTGAGGCCGGCCCGTCGCAAGCATCCGAAGAAGGCTCACAGTCTCCCCAGAAACGACCTTCATCCTCCCGTCGATATGGGAGCAATGGCTCATTAGAAGGTCAACCGCCGATACCGCGCGATCATGCTGGTAGTTTCTCCGAACGTGAGGCATCGAGAAGAGAGACTCAAAGAACGCTCACATCACCAACAGCGGCGATGCAGAGTCTACCCTCTCACCCTGGTTACCCGCACCCTGATAAATCTGCAGCACCTCCGTTTTCAACCCCTCCTCCTCCACCGCCGCCTCCAAAACAAGATGATGCCTTGGGAGCTTTGCAGAGAAGCGGGGAATTGGAGAGGCGTGCCTCACGTCGATTTTCAGCCTACCAGATACAAAAGCATCTCGGGACATCTTCCAACGGTGTCCCAGTACTTCCTACGCAAACTACACCTTTACCTAATAAAGGCCGCGATGTGAGAGAATCGTTGAATGCTGTTCGCTTACGAGGGTCTTATCAACACGGTCGTCAAAGGTCAGCGAACCGCCAAGAGACGTCACCCAATAGGACCATGTATCAAGGCCGTTCTACGCCTACTATTCCTGAAGATGGGGAGTCAAGTCGCACAAAATTACAGGTTGCCCCCATCGCTGAAGCACCCACCAATGACGACCATGATAGCCCTCTTGCCAAAACTCCAACGGACAAGCTTGGGCCTGTAGTGGAAGCACAGGACCGTGACATCTCTATTACTGACCCGTCAATCACGTTTCCTCGGCCTGCTCAGGGCCCTCCTGTCGTTGGGGAACTTGAGCCCACAAAAAGCCAGTCCAGCGATCCCGTACTTGCTACGACTAGGGCTGGTAACGAATCTCCTACTGTACTTGACGTTTCTCAGTCACAACAGTTCATACCTGAACAGTCGCCATTTCCAGGCAAAGAGCTTACCTTGTTTCTACAATATAAGAGTAAGATAAAGAAATATGTGATTCCGGAGGGGTCTACAGGGTTAACGATTGGGCGTCTTCAACTTGCATTTATTGAGAAGTTCGCTTGGAATACTCAGCAGAACGGTGTTGATCTCCCTGAAATTTATATTCAAGATCCTATATCTGGAGTACGGCATGAGCTTGAGGATTTGAACGACGTCAAAGATCGGTCGGTTCTCGTGCTCAACGTTGAGGTTCTTGATGAAGTCAAACGCCATTTTGATGATGGAATCGGAAGCATTCGACGATTAATCGAAGGTGTGAAGGATGCCGTCGATGGTCAAGAAACTATCATCCAGCGCGTCTCGGAGAGACAGCTTGACAATGCCAAAGAAATGGCCCGGCTTACAGCCACCCCACAAATACCATTCTCACCAAACCCAAATAAATCCAGTGAACTGAATTCCCTCTCGCTCAAAGACGGCAGTCGGGCCGCTGAGATTCAGAGTCTACGGCGCGACATTGCTGTCTTGCGTCAAACGTATTCAAACTTCTCTTCCGATATTGCGGCGTCTATGACCAAAATCCGAGCCAAGGCGAGCAGTGTTAAAAGTGCAGCAGACACTGTATCCACACCTTTTGAAGGCGATGCAGGGCGTGCTCGCATCAATTCAGGCAAGAAAGACCTCGGTGATGAATCAGAAAGACTCGTTGGACGCGTGGATGATCTCCAAGACCTGGTCGAAGACTTGCGAAAGGATGTCGTGTCACGTGGCGTGCGGCCGCTTCCCCGTCAACTGGAAGCTGTTAGCAAAAACATCAGCACGGTCACGAAGGAAGTCAAGAAAATGCAGGAATTCCTCAAACGCGAAAAACCTATCTGGACAAAGATCTGGGAAAAGGAACTTCAACTTGTTTGTGAAGAGCGTGATCAACTTACCATGCAGGAAGATTTGGCTGCAGATCTTGAGGATGACTTAGAAAAGGCTGCTCAGACATTCGCTCTTGTTGAACAAGCTACCCGCCAGCAGAACGTGCAGACTCCAGATGGCGTTCCGGTTCTGCGTAGTACGTCTCGTAATCTCGCAATCGACCAAGGAGTCGATCCCATAAAGGCGAAAGACGGTGTTCTTGGCGAAGTTCGGGCTCTTCAGCCGAACCACGAATCCCGCATAGAGGCCATTGAACGTGCAGAGAAAGCGCGACAGCGCGAGCTAGAGTCTCGACGCGTTGGCCTTTTCCAAAAGGAATTGGGACAATTCGTGGAAGAAGGGAAACTGAAGAAGAGTGGAGGGTTTGAAGAGGCGGAGCGCTTACGCCGCGCCAAAGATGACCGCATTCGCAAGGAAGTATGGGAGCGCCAACAAGCCAGGGCCGCAGAGTTAGAGCAAGCGCAAAATGAAGGCACACAGGAGACGCCATCAGAAGAGGTTAATAGAACCGATGAAACCCCAGATGCAACTTCCGAGACAGACCAGATTGAATCTACGTCGCAGCCCGATCATGAGGCGGAAACCCCATCGCCTAACGAATCCGAAGAACCTGCAGCAGAAGAAAAATCAGCTGATTCTCCCACCATATAGTCGATACACTTCTCCCAGGCTTCGATGTTGATATCCCGTGGTGATCTTACTTCGAGTCTTGTCTTCCCATCGGCCTGTTCATCATTCGTTTTATTTACTATATATGCATAAGCCCACCACAGTGGGACCGTCGAGATTTTTTTCTTTTCGTTATATTTATCGTCCACTTATTTCCTTGAAATCCGGAATTCTTTACGATATTGTCGAGGATACCCATGAACTGTTATGTTTTTGTTTACCCACCTGTTTTATCTTGTTTGAAATGCACTGTTATTATTCCTGCATATTTATATCTACATTATAAGATGGAATGGAATTTTTTTGGTTCAATGACAAATGTAATTTTTCAAGCCTGAGCAGTGATATTTAAAATTTTATAGTAGAGAAGGTAGAAGGGAAAATGGTTGGTTGTCCAGGTAACTATCAAGGGCCAGCTGAGTCAGCATTGAGTCGTCGCAGCTTTCCATCAAGCAGGGACGTCTGAACTTAATCTAATGCTTTGAAGAAGAAAGAAAGGAAGAAAAGGAAGGAGGTGAAAACATATGATTGTCAAGCATGAGGCTGATCAAACCAACATGCCTCTTATACAGCGCCGCATTCCTCACATCTGCCGCGGGGTTATCGTCCACAGTCAACAACAAGAGCTACATCGTCGATCAGCAAGATGGACAGCAGAATCCAGCGGTAGTGCGCAAAATGAGTGATGACGAAGGCGAAAAATTCTATTTCGACTACTGGGGCATCGTCAACTCGGGAGATGTCGATCATTCGTACTTGTCGTCGTCGAGGGAACATGCCAATACTAGTAGTAGTAGTACTATATCGAAAGCAGTTTCCGAACTTCGACCACCGATTTTAATGCATACGGACACTGATACCGACTCGCTTTCATTAGCTGAAAGGTATTCTGCTTCGAAGCGTGTTTTGTCCGTGCTGTGGAGGAGGGATTTTCAATGTCCCACGGATACATATAGTTGCACTTCAATCGGTCAACCCGATAGCTGTTGCAATGACAGCGATACATGCGTGATAGTGCAGAACACCGGCCTGGGGGTTGTTGGCTGCTGCCCCGCTGGCGAGACATGTGGTGAGACCGTGGGTTCATGCGCAGAAGGGTATTCTAGCTGTTCTAGCAGCCTTGGGGGAGGCTGTTGCATTCCTGGCTATAAATGCGTGACTGGTGGATGTTAGTAGCAGCCGAAGGAGGGCCTCCGGGTGGTATCTTTGTGATGCAATTAGCTGACTGGGAAAATGCCTAAGGTGCCTATGTGTCTACATATACGGTGACGCGCCAGTCTACAACATTCGTGTCTTCTTCCACTGTTTCCACCGTGCCGACTGTACCGAGTTCGACATCCAGTAGCACGTCGACCAGCAGTACAACATCTACATCAACTTCTTCCTCTTCCTCTACGACCTCGACTACGGTGGCCCCTGTGCCGCCGGTTCGACCGACTACCGGTTCTCAAACCACCGTGACTACGACCACCTCTTCTTCATCAGCATCCAGCGGCATCTCTACCTGTCCTACTGGCTTCTACGCCTGCTCTGCCGTCTACGAAGGTGGATGTTGCCGTGTCGGCCGGAATTGTGACACGACATCTTGCCCAGCGACATCGTCCACGACCGTCATCAACTCGGATGGCATCACGATAGCGGTGCCGACGGGGAGCGCAGCGACTACAGCCTCCGAGAGCGGCGGCTCTTGCGCGACGGGCTGGTTTAGCTGTGCTGCCTCAGCTGGCGGCGGGTGTTGTCCCAGTGGGTATGCGTGTGGGAGCAGCTGCACGGCGTCCGATTCGGGGGGAACAGCGACAGCAACTGTGGTGAAAGAGCAGCCTGGCGCAGCTGAGAAGAAGCATGCTGCGAATGGATACGTTTGCGGCGGGGTGGTGTTGGTCGCGTTGTGTGTGCAGTTTCTCGGCTGGTAGTATGATATATGATATATGATATATGAATATGAATATGAATAGGATAATGGCAATGCGTATGCGTATGCGTATGAGTATGTGTATATAGAATGTGATAGATATCCTGCATAGTTAACCATGTGGCTGTTGCAGTGTTTAGGGCATTGCATGACTGCGCAGTCGGATGCGGACCATGTGACTTCGCAGCCGCCGGTCACCGGTGAGCCCATCCGCCATCGGCTATCACTCCACATTTTCCCCGACTCCGCTTCCTCTTCTCGTTGTACCTGTCACCTCGCTTTTCTCCTCTCTCTCCCTCTCTCTCGCCCATTCTCCTCCTCCTCCTCTTTCTCTATCCTCTCCTGCAGGAAAGCGCGCGGGGCAAGCTGCACGCCTAGGATTTGCACATGTACGTCTGGCGAGCTGACTGGCTAGCTGTATATTGATCGGGTAATAGCATGTCGACCGAAAAGCCTCTGCCATTCCAGTACCAATTCGCCGCCGGTGCGATTGCCGGTGTGTCTGAAGTAAGTAAAGAGCTATTCTACGTGCAATGTTGACTGTACAAATACTGATGGGTCTCTTATTTCCTCAGATTCTGGTCATGTATTATTCCTCCCCTCACGGCCCCCAATGCCGCTATTAGCCGATCCTCCAATTGACATGATGCGCTAAAGGTACCCGTTGGATGTCGTGAAGACGAGAATGTATGTTTGTTGCTTTCCGCAAACGAAGAAGTGTTTTTGCTAATAATTGTCTGCTCCAGGCAACTCCAATCCGGCACTGCCACCGGTGAAGAGGCGTACAAAAGCATGTTCGATTGCTTTACCAAGATCATCCGCAATGAAGGGTGAGTTTAACTCTTCTTCCATCAGCAACCCCGAACAGGCGCGTCTAATCTACCTCTGTCTCGTCTTACCTCAGAGCTTCTCGTCTGTACCGCGGCATCACTGCCCCCATCTTGATGGAGGCCCCCAAGCGTGCCACCAAATTCGCTGCCAACGACAGCTGGGGCGAATTTTATCGCAAGATGTTTGGCGTCGAGAAGACCACCCAACCTCTAGCCGTCCTAACCGGTGCCACTGCCGGTGCAACCGAGGCTTTTGTCGTGGTGCCCTTTGAGCTGGTTAAGATTCGTCTGCAGGACAAAGCGCAAGCGCACAAATACAACGGCATGATTGACGTTGTGACCAAGATTGTAAAGCAAGAAGGGCCTCTAGCTCTATACAACGGTCTCGAGTCCACTCTCTGGCGTCACATCCTCTGGAACGCCGGTTACTTTGGATGCATTTTCCAAATCCGCTCTCAGCTGCCGACCCCGGAACCGGGCAACCAGCGCCAGAAGGTCACCAATGACTTGTTGGCTGGTGCCATTGGAGGCACAACCGGTACTATCCTGAACACCCCAATGGACGTGGTCAAATCTCGCATACAGAATAGCCCCAAGGTGGCAGGCGCCGTTCCGAAATACAACTGGGCATGGGGAGCTATTGGAACAGTCGCCCGCGAGGAAGGCTTCGGTGCCTTGTATAAGGGATTCCTGCCCAAGGTGCTCCGCCTGGGTCCTGGCGGTGGTATCCTTTTGGTTGTTTTCACTGGAGTGATGGATTTCTTCCGCACATTGCGAGGAGAATGAACAAATTTCTAGCAGAAAACTGAAAAATGCGAAAATATTCCCACCAGGCAGGACCAGGCATCAAAGATTATTTCAAAAAAAAAAAGAATTTAGAGACCCAGATGAAGGAAAACGCCTGATATATACCCCCCGCGCCACACGTACGAAACGAAGTTTCGACCCATATTCTCACCAAGACAGCAAAACTCTTTTGTGAGACAAGAAAACAAACGAAAGCTGTGAATATTGTACAATTATCAGCGGCCATACTCTTTCTCATCTCTCTCTCTCTCTCTTTATTTTTTTTATTTTTTCATTCGTACATCCTTTGATACAGATAGATTGAAAAACATCTGGAAAGATTGGGTTATGTGAGATTAATCGGTACTTGGAATGATAGAAATGGATTGATTCTTGTCATGAGAGCTGGGTTTTTACAACTTTGTACTGCGTACGTATCTCAGAATGATTTGAATGACTACATGGGTGCTTCCGATGAATTGGATGAAATCATGCGTATACCTTCGATCATTGAACCATCAATAGATAAATGACAACAAAAATTCAACAGAGAACAGACCTGGATGATCTGAGCAAAGAGAAATGACGCACAAACACGTTCATTCCTTGTACCATAATTCCATTCAGATAAGAAAAGCAGCTAGACAAACTAGGAACGGATTAAGCTGACAAAAAAGCTTGGTAAGGATTGAAGGGACGGAAAACCAATGAGACTAATAATTGAAAAGAAACGAAAATAATAGCTGGATTTCCAGACTCGAGCTAGAAAGGAGAAGAAAGAGCACCCATGGCGTAGGTGGGATGGAGGAAATAAATGAATCCTCGGGGTATCGATAAACAAACAAATAGCAGATACAGGCAGACAAATAGATGAATGACAAAGATACATAAGTTATTGAATGCGATGTAGTATGTATGTCTCGGCATGCTAGACAAACATAATGCAACCAATCATCAATATCGTGATTAAAGTTAAGGAAGAAGAAACCCTGCAAAGATAAAGTATAAGAGCGAGAGAGAGAGAGAGCGAAAAGAAATGCAAGACCGAGCCGATAACAATATTTCACTCAAAAACAAAAGGAGAAGAAAAAAAATAAAATCAAGAGAAAAACTACCAACCGATGATGCAAAACAATCAAGAAACTGCAATCGCAACCAAACAGATCTACAACCGATATTCGTGTCCTCTCGACGCCGCCACATATGCAACAAATCGGTCATGTGTAAGTTCCCCACGAGATACGAGAGAGAGGAAAAAGCGCCTACATATCCATCGCATATTCATCTTCTTCCTTGAAAATACCGCCAGTGTGATTGGAGCCCCAAAACTGGGGTTGGCCCGCTCCCCCGCTGGTATTTCCACTGCCACCGCTAGTGAAGGCAGGACTTAAACTCTGTGGACTAAGTGCTCCGTTGCCCTGAACGGGGTCCCCGGCAATATTTGTGTGCTTAGGCACGCGAAGTCCAGTACCCGGCGCACGACTGTAGGCAAAAGTATTGGCATCATTCTTCTCCATCGCATCAAGGAGCTCAGTGCGCATCCGCTTCTCGTCCTCGGTTTGTTCAAAGGGCCACGTTCCGCCGAGACTGGAAATGATTTCTGCCAGCTCTGATTCCTGCTGCATCTTCACATGCAAGGCCCACATGAGGTCCCTCATCCAACCGACGGCACCATTCAGGATGTCTCCTTTGTTGGGGCCCTTCTCCTTCTCTTCAATTGGAAGGCCCATTGTAATATTCCCTGCCGTTGCGCGGCGACCATTGCCACCGGCTAACAAAGAAGTCGCATTGGGAGGGCTCATACTGCCGCCTGGTGGAGACAAAGCAGTATTGTTGAGCAATTGTTTGCGAACTTTGTCGTCTTCCAAACGGTGCTGTGGAACAAGATGAGAGAGATCTTGAATTCTTTCGTTGATGTTGTCGCGGCGCCTTCGCTCCACCATGTTATGAGAAGCCCTACGTCGGCGTCGTTTTGCCTCCTGCGATTCTAACGCCTGGGCGCTGGGCGTGTCAACCTTGGCAGGTAGCGATGCGTGTTTGCCGGACTTGAGAATTTCCGAGATACCAGCATGGTGAGAATGATGATTGGGAGAAGCAATCGGTGACTCCATAAATGATTGTGCACTTCCTGGAGTGCCGTCCCATTGATTTGAGAGGGTTTTCTGGTGGCGGTGCTGGAGATTTGCGGCACGGATAGGCTGCGAAGGGAAGCTTCCGGATTCTGGTGTGCCCAGATTCAATGCACCAATAGCCGGTGTCTTTGGAGTCATCGGAGTCCTCACATCTGAGGACGATCGATCTATGGTTTGCAGGCTAGGCCGTGTCTTTCCATTCATGAAGCTGTGGTCAAAATGGTTTGGAGCGCTCAGGTGTGATGGTGTACCCTGCGAGTGCTGGTTCAAGGGCTGAAACTGGTCGTAGTTGAAACTTCCCTGCAAAAAGGGACTGTGTATGGGGGCGCCATCAGGGGTTTGAGAGTACATTTGAGTCATCTGGCTTTGGTGGCTCATGGACAGGCCTTGGTTCTGTCGTTGGTCTTGCAGGAAACCCATACCGTCCGTCCGTTGGATGCCATTCTGTCCGTTGAGGTCGAGATCGAGTAGCTCATCGGTATCGATGCCGGAGTTTCCCATATTGTAGCTTGCAGACATATTTTGTTGCGACCCAAAAGAATAGGGCATGAACGCCGCGCTCTGCATAGTTAGGTCCGACGGATCGACAGCGTCGTTTCCGTTGAGATTGCCAAAATGGCTATCAAATTGTTGGTTTGACATGGTGTATCCAGGCTGAGACATTGTCGTCTCCGAACTCTAGTTTATGACGGAGGTAAATATTTGTCGTAGAAAAGACCGGCCTCTACCATCAATTGGTGCGAGGACCAAGCCCTTCTGTATTGGATAATGAAAACAATCACGATTCAAGGACTGTTTTGGTCCAACTGCGGAAGGATGAATACGCGCAGGGTGTGAAACCGTCGCAAATGCTTTCAATTATATCAAAAAAAGGTCCTGAAGCGTGCGCGTCTTCAAGCGACTTCGCGGAGACACACGCACCGTGGCGAGGTGGTTCTTCAGTGACCGAGTTGGTTGCAAGGAATGCTATCAATTGACAGCGGGCAAACTGGAGAAGGGCAAGTTAGACGATCAGTCGCAATAATTGCCGGGCCAACATGCTAAACACAAGGGAGAGGAGGGCCAAAAGCAACGCAGAGACGATGGAAGGAAGAGCACGCGGCTGATGGCGGATGGAATCGAGGGGGAAAGCTGAAAAGAGGGGTGGCGGCAACGTACGCAGGAGCACAAACAGGGTCTTTCTTTCTTTCACGCAGGCTGAGATATGATGGATGATGTATGATGTATCATGCACTGAGCGGCGACAGACACAGTAAGAATAAGGCAAGGCTATGGCAGAGGGAAGAAGTGATGATATGTGATAAACGAATAGACAAGGGACAAGTCACAACAAAACAGCAAAGCATGGGGGGGGAAAGAGGAAGAAGGGAAGGAAGCGGCTGGCGAGTCGCCGCCGGGGAAGCCAGAGCGGTGAGAGCGGGCCGGGGTTGCCTCCACACCGCCCTACTTCTTCCTCTTCCTTCGCTTTCTCTCTCCACGAACGAGCACGCGTTCTGCGGCTGGGGCGCTCAAAGTCCCGAGGCCTTAACGTTGAACTGTCAAAGCTATGGTTTCTTTGGCCCCCCTCCCCCGGGCGAGGTCCGTTCCTGACCGCAGCCCGGCCGGTGCCTGTTCTGCGCCGTTTTGCCACGCCCACTGTACAACACGGAGAATGTGGGATGCGAGTCCAACAACGCGCATGAAACGAACATTGAACAGAAATGAAACAAGTGCACCTACCGACACTAGAAGGGGATGGCTGTCACTGTGACACTGCCGGTTGGACGGCTCAACAAAACAAGGGGGTTGTCGGTCTGTACGTCTGTCAGACTCAAAAAGCTTCCTATGTGGTGGACAGAGAGTCCTGCACTTACAGTCAGATATGATCTTGATTCTTTTGTATTGAGAATGAGGGCCGGTACGAGCCCACGTGGCGTTGCGCTTCGGCAAGGGTCCGAGGTCAAAATGTTAGGACAGCGAGGTGTTCTTCAGTGTAATCGTATCCACTGTAGCCTGTAGGGCTGGACGCAAGGTACCCGGAACAAGTTGCACGTAAAGGTGGAGAGGTAAGGGCTTGGATGTTGTAGGCAAAGGGATGGATAGATCGAGTCGATCGAGGCGGCAAGAGGGACCAAATATATCAGTGTGCGAATACAAGGCGAACACGTAGTTAGGGGGAAAACTCTACTGCAGGGTCCGCGGGCAGGCCGTCTGTTTTTAAACATGCCAGGCCAGTCAGGCTGCGGTCCTGCATCTCCCATTTGACAAATTGATCGATGACATCGAGGTCATGCAGGACGTCGATCGGCAGGACAAGGACCAGGCTTTTGATGACACCTACTACGGACTACTTCCATTGTAATAGTACGGAACTGCCGTCTCCGGTTTCTCTGGATTATTCCGGTGGTGTCAAACGTGGGAGGTTACGGCGCAAAGGGTGGGTTGCCATGTCGCACAGCCCGACTATATTCCTAGTTTTTGATGTATCGCATGAACAGGGAACTTGATCATCAAGCCGTTGCCAAACAGGGAAGAGATGACTCACGCGGCGGTGCAGGCAAGCTAGGCCAGCAGAATGTATCAGATGCCCAGCTCGACATGGGTAAACATACTCGGGCCTGACCAGGGGGAGAGGGTGGGATGATTCATCCAACCACGTTCTCTGAGGTCACTTTCTTCTCCTTTATTAGAATATGTTCCTTTTCTTTAGGTTTTTCTTTTCCTCGACTCATCGTTTTACTACTACGCACTTTATTCAAACTTTGGTTGTGGACCCGCCTCGTACGCGCGACTTACTAGTGGGGCAAATCCAGCGAAATAACTAAGACAGTGATACAAGGAGGAAGATGAGGAGGAGGAGCAATCAATGATATCTACGGCGGGATTGACTTGTATACACAAAGATGTTAACGAGAAGGGGAAGCTTGGGCCATTTCTGGATGCGTGCATTGCATGAGAGATCTGAGTGGTGTCGTAGAGCAAGCCATCCTGGCACTGCAGCGGGCACTTTGCTCAGTCCGGGTACGAGAATGTAAGAACTGTGCCTATGTATGTACACTTAGGTCGCCTCGATCTCGATACATGGGTCTTTGTGTGACAGCTGCAGGCAGTACCTATCTACTTTGTCGACGACGTTCGTATAAATATTTCCAAGATGAAGAAAGAGATCGATCTTATCCAAGTGTACGAGGTATTGGCACTTGGCATAGGCGCGATTCTTTTCTTTTTTCTTCGAAAATCAGAGCCATTAGGCAGGCTCTATATTAAATTGGCTAGCGTCAGGCAGCACCCGACTCGAAACGTGCATTCCTCTTCCAGGGTTGAGCTCAGGAATGCGGCACAGAAAATGTAGGGCGATAAGCAAAAGCCTCAACGTGCTGTGCTCCGCCCTCTTCCGCTTTCCTCTCTTTTCTTCTGATTGACGCTTGGGGCGAACCCAAGGTAAGGAGATCTCGCCGGCCCGTCAAGGTTCGGCTAGCAGCGCGAGGGTGGGGAAGGTGGATCTGCTGCACTCCATCTTCCTTTATCGATTGTCCTTTATCTGAACACCACAGCCTTGATATTAGATGTTGGTAGCGACTCTCCAGGGTGGTGCCGCTATCCGATCTAATTTCTACGAAGTGCGAGCTACCGGCATCTCCACAGCCTTCTCCGTACAGTCCTGGAAATAGGTGTGTGTGTGTGTGTGTTACTTGCAGGGGTTGCACGGGGAACAGGATAATCGCATCCCTGTCGTACATCAACTACCTAGTACTATGTAGTTATGTGCTACTCTGCCGGAAAGAAATATGTAGACTGTTGTATGTGATTGGCCACGCTGCCACTCTGCTCTTGGGTTCTTCCTCGCCTCTTCTTTTTGGGAGGGGGGTCTGTCCCTCTATTTCCTTTCAAACTTTGGAAGGACTAATCGAGCCACGCATGTACGCGTTGACCCCTCACATAGATAACCCGTTAGTGCGCACTTATCGTCATTCTGCTGCATTCAGCGGGAGCGGGCATAGACGATGCGGCCCGAGAGAGCCACACGAGCCAATCATGTCCTGGAACCGTTTCTTCGTTTAGTTTCCAATGAGGTGCGTTGACTTCGTCTGCACATATAGCTACTTAGCCATGTAGAGAACAGACACTGCCCGCCGATAGTGTGCACGACGGACAAGACACCCAGCCAACCAGAGTGGAGCTCTGGCGTAGTGCAATAACGATATTAATAAGGGAGCGCCATGGGGGTGTCGAGATATATATTTCTTCAACGGCAGAGACAAACTTCTGCAGGATCGGCTGGACTAAATGGATCGCCGCAATATGATATACCTGCTACCATAGCCTACGGGATGCACATCATATCATATAAATTAGGGACAGTGGAACCGAGCGACGCACTAGCTAACTAGCATACTGCATATCTAATACCGTACTAAAGAGTCCATTGTCCGTAAATACCAAACACTCTAGAGAGCATGTAAAGCACAAGTAATCGGAAATGCGCGCCCCTCCTGCTGCGCTGACCCCACAGGCCCGCTCCTATTGGCTCCGGCTACACACCACCCTGCCAGCTATTTAGCATTTAAGTTGATATTTACAATCATACCGGCCTAAGGTTACAGCGTAACGATGTTGCACCATAACGGGCATCGGCTATTCTGCCATGTCACGACTCATCTACGACACCATGGCTGTGAGCCCGCGAGACCACGGAACGTAGCGGCCATGGTTTGTGTATTATTTCGAACTATGCTCGGAGCAAATAAGCTACAAACGAAACTGTATGGACTGGCCAATCAGGGCGGTGGCTGTGCGGCCGTCCGATGATTGGACTGGCTCATGACCCCAGCTGCCATGCGCGCTAGTCCCAACGCGTGCTAGGCTGCACATTGGCATCCTGGACCTCAGGCTACCGCAGCACAAACTCAAGCTTGCTCCAGGTATCACCGTCAGTGTCACTCACTAACCTAACCAACCAAGACTTGCATAGCACTCTGACTCAAACCTCCAGAAGAGCATCTCCGCCATCAGCTCTGCTCGCGTTGCGTCCGTCACTAGTCGCTATCTAGGTGTCGCCATCCGCCTCCTCCCGACTCGTTATCAACCCCTCCGCTTTGTCTCGAGCTTGTCTTGGATTTTCTAAGACAGTCGAGCTATCGTCATATCGGCCTCTGCTAAAATAATAAAAAAGAAATCATCTGACACCCGTAAACGCTAAGAGCTTGCGACCCCTCCTCCCTCGCTACCCCCCTCAAAAGAGAGAAAGAAGAAAGGAACCACAAAGCTACCTCGCTCATCCGTCAACAAATCAGGATTGGCCGACACGCCCTATTTTTTTTTGGTCTCGGCACTCTAGCTTTGTACGCTTTTACTGGAGGATAGAGGCGCGTTCATTCTTCAGCATCCGTGTGCGCCGTCTCCACCATTCGTCCATCGCCTCGTTTTCCATTCCAGTACTCGGCTTTGCATCTTACCAACAGTTCGGCCCGCTCGGAAATATTCCACCCGCTGTCTAGATATCGTCTATTACGTACATCTAGCGTTTTGATACTCGTTGGATTGGTCGTTGCCTGTCGGCGTTATTGTTCTGCCTGCTGCGCTTGAAAAGGAGCCTCCGTCTATTAGCTTTTCTTATGAATGGGTCAGGTGTAGAGCCTAACTGTCATTGAAGATTCCGAAGCAAGTAATCTCACAGAACTTGATTACCATCGTCATTCATACAAGTGGCCTGTGGCGAGAAACATATTTCCCGCATAGGGGTTTGCGCGATTGTCACCTGGCCTATTTCATGCGAAAGACTGCTCCGGCTTGACCGCGCTAGTACACACGCACCAAGAGATAACCGCTTATCACTTTTTTTAGAGCAGATCATCTGCATCTAGAGTTTTCGGCTCCGGCCAGTTTTTCAAGGCAGCTAGCGCCTAACAGACTGGGTGCTGCTTGATTCCATATATCCATTACAACACTGCTTGTGGATCATCGTTGATCATCTATATCAAACAAAACACGCGTCTAACCAGTTATAGAAATGGCTTCTGCTTCGTTCCGGGAGAGTATAAATTCTCTAGGTTGGTCGCGGCGAGACCAAGACACACCAGCGCAAACAGATTCATCCACCACACCCATCCTATCCAGGCTCCAGTCTTTGAATCCATTTGGTAGCGGTGAAGGCTATCTACGACTGCCTACTCATGAGCCCGGGGCACCTTTACCGGCAGCCTCGCGGCGAGAGGAAGAGGAGAGCTTCTTTGCACGTAAGTTTTTTTTCGTTGCTTTTCCTTGTTTTTTTTTTGTCTCCCCCACACAATACGCTTTGTTCGGAGCATTTTTTCCCTGCTTTTTATCTTGCTGGACCTTGTGACTATGACCGTTTGTGTTGCTATTGGCGGGGTGGGTTTCAATCGGTCTACTGCTGCAAGCCCGGGTGATGCAAGCCCAGTTCCTGCGTTTTCCCGGATTCACACGCATTAGACCAGACGGAAACGTCTTTCTTCAACCAGATAAATGTAAAATGCTGACATTGTCATGCATGACTTTAGTGAGTCGATGGGATCGAATGCTCATTTTTGCTGGATGTAACCTTGGAGCTGCGGTTTGTTTCCTGCTTTGCTTCATCCTATGGCCAGCCATGATTACAAGGCCCCGCAAATTCGCCATTTTGTAAGTGCAGTTTTTCTCCTCTTTCGTGTCGATTCTTCAGAACTCCCTACCCTCGTCTTTAGTTCAGGATCGGCCCGTGTGTGTGTGGTGACGTCGGTGGGTGACACCTATGTTTTATCGCATGGCATGTGAACGAGAGTCAAGCCACCTTGGTATACTGCCTAAGACAGGCTAGTTCTAACCAAAATTTGCCTGGTCCCTTTTGATTTGCACGCGCACCTGTCCTGTGGCTGAACAAATGATATGCCATTTTCTTAATCTGAAAGAATGCACCTGACCCTTGAATCCTCGTTCAAGATTCTCTCTCTTCGCCTATACATACCTTATTCCTTTCTTGCATTTCAAATCGCTAACCCATATCGTCTACACCGCAGATGGTCCGTCGGATCAAGCTTGTTTCTGGCATCATGGGCCGTGCTTATGGGCCCTCTCACATACGCTCGACACCTTCTATCCGGACCTCGACTACCATTTACCGCTGCCTACTTTGGCTCTATCGCGCTGACATTATACTTTGCAGTTGGCGTAAGTCCCTTGAAACAATCAGTCCACTTTCCCCTCTAATTATTCGACTCAACATGCCTAATACTTTCCCATATACAGCTACAAAAGAGTTTCCTAACATTATTCGCCGCCATCTTTCAACTCCTCGCTTTGGTCTGGTATCTGATTAGTTATTTCCCCATGGGCAGTGCTGGGTTACAATTCATGGGCCGGTTTGGTGCGCAACGAGTTGTTTCTTGGGTAAGCAGTTAACTAGATAAGCCAGATACCTACTACTTACCATTAGGGTTGTCATTCATTATAATTAACGTCCGAAGAATTGCTGTACATGTATCTATCTTTGTTCTTTTCGTTTTCCTCTATTCTGCTCACATTTTGCTATTCCCTTAGTAAATGTTCTTTTGTTTTGTTTTCGGCATAGCTCATGAGGGTATGATGCGAACCATTTTGTCTGTCAATTCTGTGTCATATGAAGCTAGTTTACATAGAAGTTAAAAATACCATAGATTAACACCTTGTCCTTTTTGTCTTCGATGATATGAATAGTAAATCGTACTCCTTATTTCCCTTTTGACTTTTCTTTAAACAAACGCAGGGGGAAAAAACCCCAATTCAACTACTTTCCTCTCATCATAACCGGTAAGATTGCACCATCAAGCACTTTCACGCCGGATACTTCAGCTTCCCAGATCCCCGTGTCACCTCCCGACCCAACCTCGAGCCACTTTTGCAACAAATCATTACTCTGCTTGGGTTTAACCTCGGGACTCGCCGTGCCAACTGTGATGTGTGGGATATGGTTGACGCATGCCCATGTAGAAGAGGAAGAAGTATTGTCGCCACCGTCGGCCGGGTTGGTTGTATTAGTTGATAATATTCGCACCACAAAGGCCATGATATCGTCATTCCAGATCAGTCGTTCAACACGTACACGGGCATCGGCCAGTTTTGGTGGCGTGGTAGTTGTTGAAGAACCATCGGATAAGCGCTCATTCATTCGTTCTATGTAAAGGTCCGTGTATTGGTTCCAGATCCCAGGATGCTCTTTGCTGTGTGCACGATGAATTAATGTGACGTGGAAACTAGGTTGGATGCGTTGCGATCTTGTGAGATGATCAAAGAGTTTGTTTCGTTCGCTGGACCCGGCTGTGTTGCTAGCGAAAATCGATGCAAGTAGTTGTTGGATTTCGGGGGGCGAAACCACAATTCCTAAGTATTCGATTTTCTTCGCCAAAACTGTAGGGTCTGGTGATTTGATCTTGTTGTTGTCGTTGCTGTCTTTCATAGGAGTCTTCTCCTTCTTCTGGTTCTTTTTATCGTAGGTCCAACTCAGATCTGTGTCGACCTGATAGTCATTTAGTGCTGAAGCAATCGCAGTATCCAGCTCAGCACTGTCTGGGACCCGCTTAACGAGATTTGGGAAAGCAGAGTGCAATTTTTTAACGATCTTCTCCAGGTTGACACGAGAAGAATCTCCAATATCCAGGTCGATAACTTCATGGAAGTACATGTCAGGCTCCCGATCTGTATCCACTGCTTCGAATCGTTGCAAGAATCCTTCCATTATCCTAATCACTTCGCCAGAGTCCTTGCTTCCAGCTCGAATAGTTTGGTGGTTGTCGCCACGTGAAAGCACACGGTCTCTCGTAACACTCCGTATATGATCTAACAACAGTCCCTTCGGCTCGTGTACATATTGAAGCGCAATGAATTTCGCGTTTGGAACAACCGCTGTCACGTCATCCATAATCTGAGCTCTCTCACGCTTCTGGTGGTTATTGCGATCTGCTATGACAGCAGGTTTGCTAGCTAACGTGTTCGTTACTTGTAAGGCAAACTTTTTCGGCTTGTTCTTCTGCTGGCCCAGGTTATCATTCTGAACGTGGCCCCAGTCGAAAAGCCTTGCCAGCGCCAGAGCAACAGTTGTCTTACCGCATCCGATTGATGCAATAGGGACAAGGACAAAGTTCTTAGCCGTTTTCTCCTCAGACTCTAGCTCGCCTTCATTTTCCAATGCAATAATTTCCGAACCTTTCAGTCCCCTCTCCTTTAAGAATCCATCTCTCATAGAAATGATACCATGGTTCTGATTGTAGAGTTTACCGATACTAGGGTCCTTGGCCAACTGCCGACGAGCGTAAAGCAGATATTCTTCGGTAATCTTCTTATGCTTTCTGATATTGGGTAATTTCCCTGCAATCACCGCCTTTGTTACCTCACGCCATTGACGATACATCAAATATGGCTCCTCAAACTTGTATTTGAAGAACCAGTCCCTGTAGATGCCAGATGCAGCATCGCCCAACTGACACCGGATGACGAAGCCTTCGGTATCCCGATTGTTCCATGATCCGGTTTCTGCGCATTTGTCCAAGAATTCTTTGACTGCCCGGATATCATCCATGACCACAAACTCGGCCTTCTTGAATCCCCATTGGTCGGCGAATTTATGTACCTCGGAGCTAGGGAGAGTTGCAAATTCTGGGACGTTGAAATTAATTCCATGAAGATAAATCCCAGCAGCTGCTTCATCGTAGGCAAGTACATGTTCCTCGAAGCGGTCATCACAGAGCTCGCCAACAGCAGTTGCATTCATTTTCCGTAGTTCGAGGGCAAGCTCTTTGACTGATTTTCCGACTTTCCTGAGATGTCTCTCCACCCATTGCTCGCCTGCTTGTGCATGACTCAGTGGAACATCGCTTCGGCTGCCGGTTGAATGTTTGCTGCAGACCAGAAGAGTTCCGTCTTCCAAGCCGGATATGAAGATGATACATCCGTTTTCTTTTACGCTGAGCTCATAGGGCCCTCGCGTGTTGTCCTCGATGTTGCGCCATTGCGTGTCGTTTACTTCGTCAACATTGAAGAACTTGTCGTAGCCACGGATACATATTTCATCGCGTCCGTCCTTGAGTTTGGTGGTGAACAGCCCACGAGCGTAGGTTGGCAAGTCCGGCCTCTTGTAATCCCAGTCCATAAATCGCCACGAGTCTACGGAGACGTTATCAGCTCCGGCCACGACAAAGGTTGACTTCCTGCAGCTGAAGGCCTTCTTTCCATCCGGTTTGCCGCGTTTTTTGCTGGCAGCCTCCAAGCTCTGCACGAGCATGCGCACACCATGGGGATCTTGCATCGCCATGGCGGACGAAGACAGTTCGCGTGTGTTCCCTCGTGCGGTGTGGCTTATTGGGTATGCGAGAGTGAAGTTAGAAACGTAGACAGTACTATTCCTGCTGGTGCAGCTCCTCTCGTTGAAGAGATCCACGAAAGGAAGAACAGAGAGAGAGAGAGAGAGAGAAAGATGACATAAATTCGAGACGGCCGGAGCCTTCCTCTTTTGGACGCCGCGGGGCAAAGCGGCGAGCTCCTGCCTAAAGTTTTGTTGCGGTGCTGCCCCGCCAAGCGCCTGCGGAAGTCGCTGGACAAAAAAATTACAGAATGAACAAACAACAAACAACAAAAACAACACATTTTACTCGCTGTGACTCACCAGCTCTCTCTTTCAGCCCCAACAGCCATATTCAACTACTACCTATCCACTGTACTTTGCAACAATGAGCCAGCCGAACCTGTACATACTTGCCGCGGACAATCCGTCAGCCGTGTTGAGTCACCTGCGATCTGACGCTTCGCGAGCATCTAACCAGGACGAACACGGTTACTCTCTCCTCCACGCCGCCGCCTCCTACGGACATATTGAGCTGCTCCGTGCGCTCGTGCAGGAGTTTCATGTGGATCCCAACTTGACGGACGAAGATAACGAAACGTGTTTATTCGTGGCCGAGCAGTTGGACATTGCGAAGTGTCTCGTGGAAGAACTGGGCGTCGACGCGAACCACAAAAATGCCGATGGATTTACGGCGCAGGAGATGATTGAAAGTGAGGGATCATTCCTCGACATCGCTACATATCTCGGAGAAATCACTGGAAACGCAATATCGGACGAGCGCCAACAAGCCCTACGAGACGTCCACCCACCGCCCCTTCCTCCAAACATCAGCGTCAACATGGGCACGATGTCCGAACAGGAGGTTGATGGGGAAGCAGGCGACGTCGATCCTGAGTTTCGGCGGAGGATTGCCGAGTTGGCTGCGAGGGAGGATTTCCACACTGAAGCAGGCCAAAATCAGCTGCGCGCCCTGGTAACAGATGCAATTAGAGGAGTCGGTGCACATACCCAGGATAGAGACGTGCGGAGGAGAACGGAATGATGGGCTGCTACTTAGGAACAAAATGGGAATAAGCTCAAAATTACAGACATTCGGCACTCGACAGCGCTACAACATTGCTCGGAGAGTTCGAACAGGCATGTTTGGCGGGTTATACTGCATCTCTCCGATGCGTTTATCCCGCTTGCTTGATGCTGATACACCTGAGGACCCGCCCTGAGATTCTGACTTCCTGCCGTGTGGCTCTCAGCAACGTTGTCTCCTAGAGTAGGGGCAATCCACACGGGCGGATAAGTTTACTATGCGTGTGCGCTATGCGAATAATCAAGAAGCTCGACATGTTTGAAATCCAGGGTCCGTCATTGAGTTGCACATTGACAATACTAACTAACTACTGCATCATGTATACATAATATGACCATGAACTTCCGAACCAGATTTACGTGTGTATGAAACCAGCAACATGCCAAATATTCGTCGGCCCCATAGAACTAGTAATATTATATGAGGAAAAGTACTGAATACCGTTCTCACCGCCTGCCTTTCTCGACGAAATAACGGCAGTAGCCCGCGATGTGGCCAATGATAGGCATGTAATAAAGGGCGGTATTACAGAGTGTACAGAGTTAAATTAAAATACCTCTGCACCCCGCTAGCTTGGGGTCTAGACGTCGCGTTTTCAATTTCTTGCCATGTGAAACGCGTCTCGTTGCAGTCGACGGTACTCAGCTGTGAGATTACGGACATTGACTAGCGGAGAATCGTAGTGAATAAGAAATTTGCGCGGCTCGGGAGTCGGCTTGCGATGAGCATGGAAATGAGGACAGGCTCGCAGGTCGGCATTAAACTATGAAATAATCTCTCCGACCTCCTCACTTCCCCTCCCACAGGTATTTTCGAGGCTTGATGTCATAATACAGACGCCATCCCTGATTTTGGCGAACGACGTCGATTGATACAAGCGATGCGCGGATGGGCGTTGCAATCGCGAGCCCTATTCGGCAGGCTAGTCCCGCCTCTGCACGTTTGGACAAGCACCACGGATCAAGCCAACTTCCTCATCAAGAGATGGTCCCACGAACTAATAGCTTAGCAGCTGTTCGTTTATCGGAGAGACGCCTCATTGCTCGGAGCCGCCCTCCCCAGTGACAGCCGGTCCACTTGTCCACGTACAGTGTACCCACAAGGGCTCCGTAATTCCAGGAGAAAAATTGCTTCATCTTGCATCCAAGCTTTCCGAGATTACTCGAAATGGATGGCGTCTACAGGGCGGGTACTCCTCCTCCTGCCGCCCGTACTTATACGGTAGAACTAACTACGTAGTGAGAAGAAGCCTCTTCCTCTCCTCAATTCCAACTCACTGCCGCGCGCTGCTTGATCACAGCTCGGGGCTCTCTAAACGACTGGATCGGCCTTGTCTAATGAGTTCTTTTGTGATCCACCGTACTACGTAGTGTTATCAATCGAATATCCATCTTGACATGGACGAGTCACACGATACGCCGTCGGGGTCGAGAGTGAGTGCGGACAGCCGTGGGACTACACAGATCAGCAACTAACAAGACATGCGTGTAGCCTCGAGCAAGCACCACGGTCAGAGAAGAGACTGTCAGTCCAACAACTATCCCCGCCGTCCAGAGGTCGTCAACCGGTGACTGGGAAGGTATTTCGCCCACAAGGGCCGGTTTTCTGTCCGGCGATGGAACCAGCATTCGCCAAAGAAGGTCGACTGCTACCCGTCGCAGTGGTTCGGCCGGCGTGCCCAGTATTGCGCCTCGGACCACCCTGGCCGAGCGGACTCAGGGCAACTTCACTATGGCTGGTCCAGAAGAAACGCCTCAACTGCACTTGACTCATCAGCCTTTTGTCCAACCCGGTTACGCCGAACTCAACCCATCGTACGAACAACCTGCCAATGCCAAACCAGTATGGAGTTTGGCAAAGCCTCTTCCTCGCGTCGTCCGGCCCGGTATGGTGCCAACCAGGGAGGAGCTGCTGGAAAACCGCGCAAATCCGCTGCTTCCAGCCGAGAATTCACAGAGGCTAGGGCTAGATGTTGACCCCAATGATCTCGAGAAAGGTCAGATTCCCAAAGTAGTTGACCCGCGGAAGATGGCCGCCCAGGTCACGGATGCCCGCTTACAGCGTGAAACCAACTTCATAAACACTGTCCTTAATGGCGGCGATGGCACATCTGTGCAGCCATCGTCACGCTTGTCTCTGAGATCATCTCGTCTGAGACGCCCTTCCAGACCTTCACGGTGGGAGGATGGTGTTGAAGAGCTTTCGACTGTCGAGGAAAGTGTGGATCAGTCTCAGAAAGACAACGAGACGGAAGATGTGAGTAACGAACCTTTGCAATCTCCGCAGGAGGCGCCGAACTTGGATCCTCATCCGGACGCAAAACCTGCAGAAGACACACCGGAAAACTTCCCCTCACTTGAAGAAGCAGCGTATCCGGATGATCTACACCCGCTGCTTCAAGAACTGGTGGAAGAAGAAGTCCACAACAACCACACAGTCTGGTCAGTCATCCGCACACACCATCGAGAAGCACTAGCCGAGTCGTTAGCAGTCTTTGTTCAACTTACTCTCGGCTTCTGTGGTGATCTTGCTGTTACCTTGGCGGCAGCTGGTAACCCCAACACCACTGATTGGGTATGGGGATTTGCTACCATGATGGCCATTTATGTTTCTGGTGGTATCTCCGGTGCCCACCTTAATCCAACCATCACAGCCATGCTGTGGTTTTATCGCGGATTTCCCAAGCGTAAAATGCCCGAATACTTTCTGGCACAGTTTATCGGTGCCTTCTGCGCCGGTCTTGTCGCTTATGGAGTCTACTATGAATCCATCCAGAATTTTCTTTCTGTCAACCCTGGTTCTCAGTCGAGCATTGTTGATTCCTTTGTGACCAGCCAGCGTGAAGACTACATCGGCCCTGCAACGGCCTTCTTCAACGAGTTTGTGGGCACCGCCATCCTCACCATCACTATCCTCGCCCTGGGTGATGATCAGAACGCACCACCAGGCGGTGGTATGAACTCACTCATCATTGGCTTCGTTATTACGGTCACCAGTATGTGCTTTGCCTTTCAGACTGGCGCTGCATTCAACCCAAGCCGTGACTTTGGCCCGCGACTCGCACTCCTTGCATTGGGGTACGGCAGTGAACTCTTCACAAACCCATATTGGTTTTATGGACCGTGGGCTGGATCTTTGACTGGAGCTTTCATCGGTGCATTCATGTACGATTTCATGGTTTTTACTGGTGGAGAGTCCCCTGTCAACTACCCCTGGGAACGTACCCAGCGTGCCTTGCGGAAGAGCCGTAGCAAGTGGGGTCGCAGGCTTCATCTTACTTCCAAAGAAGGCGAGGAGAAAGTGAACCAGTAGGTTTCTACAGAATATTTAGGGGACACTAGTTGGGAGCATTTATAAAAGCCTCGGTGTGAGGTTGATTAAGCATCGTGTACATATTGTACATATCTATGGCAGGCCGTATACCAAGTCTGTCGACTAATTCATGTCTAGTCGGACTCAAAATTAATGTCTTGAACTAGACTTCTCTCATATCTGTATACTTATTTCACATTTATAGGCCCGTCTTGTAACATTATCCAGCAGAACTTGGGGACTACCAAGTACTTCTCACAATTAGTCCTCTTAAGTAGCAGTATTCGGTTACCAAGCTTGACGCAGCTAGAACTACAGCTGCATAAAAGCATACTAGCAAGAGCAACGAAGCTCATATCGACACAGTAGTCGTAATGTTAATATGAGGGTTGAGTATCAAGAAGTGAAGGTCTATAGAATCGGCCAATCGGACAGCCTGGTGCAGCGGAGTATCCTCAGGCACCAAGCCGGAGCTATCAGAACTCCCCGCAACATCTGGAGGAACGACTAGTTCATGACAACATGAAGCAACAGACCAGCCAAACAACACTCCGCGACAATGGCCTCTCATTCATATTCTGCGCAACCGCCGGCACGCTGGAGTAGCTCTTCTTTTTTAAGTAGCGGCCTCTCTGTCGATTCTGAGACCCCGCCGCCTCCTCCCCCAAAGCCCGACAGTCACGAAGCAAGCCGACGAAGTACCCCCTTGGCTGGAGGGCTTCCTTTGCCTCGGTCTTCCCCGACGACTCAATCTCAGGAATCCCATTATTCAGCGGAGACTCTCTTAGCAACAAATCCCTCTGCTCGGGCATATGCATCAGAGGTACCCCAAACCTTAGCGGAGCCTCCGCGCCTGGAAGACGAATGGCTACCAGACATCGTCAAGAATAAAACGTATGTTTGTTGAATCCTAAAAAAAAAGTATCATGGCGCTGTACTAAAAGAACCCATTTTTACGAGCTGAAACAGAACCCTCGAGCTACAATCCATCCTATCGAATCCTACTCTTCTTTCCGCATTATCTACCTTGCACCATTCGTACCCGGCATCTCAACGAGTTCTCCAAGCACACCTCGACAACAACAAAGCATTAGCGCAACATGTACTAGACCTAGAATCGCGATTGTCAAGTCTACGCGCAACCACGGAATCTCTCCTCCTAAACCATCAATCCCTCGAAGTATCGTGGCGGAAGAAGCAGGCGGAAATGGATGCTGCCTTGGAGCCTTGGTCTCCAAAGGCGCTTTATCAGCGTCTTGCCGCGGCTGTCGCCGAACAGGAGGCTATTTGCCATGCGGTAGAGGAGAGTTTCCTTGAAGGTGATCATCACTTGGGTCGCGCCACGGATAAAGAGGTGTCAGATTGGGTACGACGAATCCGCACTGAGGGTGCCAAGTTAGAATCTAGGAAGGAAGCGAGGGCACGATGGGATGAAGGAAGAGTTGGAGGATGGCGTTAACGCAGTTTTTTTTTTTTTCACGATCTTAAATTATCCCGGTATAAAGGAGTCTGGTGTCATTATAGACAAGGAGGGAGG